GTGACCGAACCATGAGGGGTTGGCAGTGACCAGACTTCCAGCACGACTGCACACAAAACCTGCATGAAATTTGAATGCCAGCCCCACGAGTGCCGAAGGAGCTTCGCAAAATGGCCGTCACTCACAGGTGTAGGTGAGTGGGCACGCTATTATTTGCTTTCTACTCGCTGGCCTCTAACTGGTGGACGAGGCGTGTTGGTGCGTAGTGATTACGGATATCACTCGGGTTTGGTACAATGTATGATGTTTCATTAGGCGTATTCACCCTCAGAGCCTGGGCACATCCCATGCCATTTCAAGAGAATCAGCCGGTTTCTGCAGTGTTAGGACAAAGTGTTCGCCGTTATTTGGTTTACTCCAAAATACGAGTGAGAAATTATGGAGGGAGCGTTGGTCTCTATTGGAACTTGGAAGGTTGTAGGCCAATAGGGACTTGGGGACTTGGTTATCTCCATTCGTCGCCCAGGAAACGGCGCAACTTATCCAAGCCGTTACCGGCCGTACTGCCTATTCACGCTACTGCACCTCTAGAACAAGGAGGAAAAGCTGCTGGTGAATTTGCTTTGTTGATATCAACAGCATTCCAGCGAGGATTCAAGTTCGTCACTCGACGCTCATGGGCATACGACATAAGACCAAACCGTGGGGATACGCAGTATTACGGGTAATTTTGGGTGCTGGGCATAAAAATCGTCAACTCATGTGTGGTGTGGACAGTCTTCAGTTTTTGCGACGGCACATGTTTTGGTGTGGCTTTTGACCAGTGTGGCTGGTGATGATGGTGTGGCTGGTGCTTTTGACGTGTCCGGATGAACGAGTATCTGGAGGATACATAGAAGCTGGAGATGACGCCCATCTACCGTGTATCATGTGGAATTCCTACTGTACTCTACGATATTAGCTGCCGGTGATTTGTGCCGGCGAATGCTGGCTTGTGATGTGATGCCCCCGCTGCACGGTTCCCCCCACACGGCTAGCAATCATACAGCAGAGCATCCACAGTAGAGTGCTCTGTTGTCCATACAGAGTAGAACACGCAACATCCCCTCATTACCGTCCCCTCCTCTGCTCCAATTATATCTTGAGCAGCAGCTGTTCATCCTACTCTAAATCCTCGTGCTAAATTGAAGACGGAAACACTTCACCCCGCTTCAATTCCTTACATAACCCCGCCATATCCCAACCGATAGCTCGGGCTTGGCGAGAGACGTTCAGCAGCTGGAACAACTCACCAAAAACGCACCTCACTGAACGAACAAAACCCAGTCCTTGACTCCCACCACCAAAGCACTCATCACCGTTCGTGGATGTGCAAGTTCTCAACACCATAGCCATGAGTGCACGGCTTCTTTCGTCCCGCTCCGTTCTTGCGACCACTACACGACGGTCTCCCCCGATCTCTTCGCTCCGCCGCTTCTACACCTCTCCTTCGACCATTCCGCCGACTTCCGGCGGTCTCCTACGCTCCAGATCGGTCCTCCAGTCCAGAGGTCAAAGATGGCCGGGCCAGATCTACTACCATAATTCTGGCGCCCTAGCGGTCAGACAGATGAGCTTTGCCAGGTCTCTGCCGAAGCTGGTGCTCAAGTTCGCGCGGATTCCGGCGGCGTTCGGCGGTGCCGCGATCGCGGGTTTGGCATATGTGCAGTATAAAGCAGAGCGTCAGTTACCATCTCTCTGGGTTATCTTTCTACCGGCAGGGTTGTCTGATATTATGCTGTGCGGATAGAGGCTGGAAACTATGCGAAGGGCGTGCTGAATCAGGGCGTCGACATCGCCGCGACTACGTGGGATGGCGCGAAGAAGACGGTCGGCGGAGTCTACGATACCGTCGCTAGCGGGGTCGATGGCATCGGCGCGCCCGAGATGCCCGAGTGGATGCACAAGATCATGCAGTTCGGTGGCGACAAGGGCGGCGGCAATGGGGAGAACGACAACGGTGGAGCTGGGGCAGGCGGGAATGGCAAGAGACCCGATGGCGATAAGAAACCGTACATGGCCGCTACCGGCACAGCCACAGCTGCGGCCTTCGGTTACGGCGCAGACGATGATACGCGCAATCCGATGCAGGCGGCGAAGGACGACCAGATGATGGTGCTCACGAAGAAGATGATTGAGATTCGCAATATTCTCTCCCAGGTCGGCCAGACGCAGGCGCTGCAGCTCCCGTCGATCGTCGTGATTGGATCGCAGAGCTCCGGAAAGAGTTCGGTGTTGGAGGCGATTGTCGGCCACGAGTTCCTGCCGAAGGGATCGAACATGGTTACCCGCCGTCCGATCGAGTTGACGCTCGTGAACACCCCCAGTTCCACAACGGAATACGGCGAGTTTCCTGCTCTGGGCCTCGGAAAATTGACCGACTTCTCCAGTATCCAGAGGACACTCACGGACCTCAACCTGGCGGTGCCCGAAGCGGACTGCGTCTCGGATGATCCAATCCATCTCAACATCTACTCTCCGAACGTTCCAGATCTGTCGTTGATTGATCTGCCAGGCTACATCCAGGTAACCGGTGAAGGACAGCCCCCTGAGCTGAAGACCAAGATTGCCGAACTCTGTGAAAAATACATCAAAGCGCCCAACGTCATCCTGGCCATTTCCGCTGCCGATGTTGACTTGGCCAACTCCACCGCTCTGAAGGCTAGCCGGCGGGTCGATCCGCGCGGAGAGAGGACTATCGGTGTCATCACCAAGATGGACCTCGTCGAGCCGGAACGGGGACAGTTGATCCTCAAGGACAAGAACTACCCCCTGAGGCTCGGATATGTCGGTGTCGTTTGCCGGACTCCCAGCACTGGCTACTTCTTTGGCAAGAACGCAAACATCACCAGCGCCATTAGCAAGAACGAGCACGCGTACTTCAGCACGCACCCCGAGTTCGCGCCGGAAGCCGGAACCACCGTGGGCACTATCAACCTCCGCCAGAAGCTCATGACCGTGTTGGAGCAAACCATGGCTTCTAGCCTTCAGGGCACCAGCGATGCTATCCACCAGGAATTAGAAGAGGCTACCTATGAGTTTAAAGTGCAGTATAATGACCGGCCGTTGACGGCTGAAACGTATCTCGCCGAATCCCTCGATAGGTTCAAGCACTCCTTCAAGGGCTTCACCGAGTCGTTCGGACGGCCTCAAGTGCGTGAGCTACTGAAGGGCGAGCTCGACCAGAAAGTACTCGACTTCTTGGCCCAGCGATACTGGAACAAGCCTCTGCCTGAGGACCTCACCCGCGTAAGACTCGATGAGAAGTCGCTCGCCGAGCTTCCCAAAGCCGATGTCGACAGTCTCTACTGGCACCGCAAGCTTGATGCCTCCACATCGTCGCTGACGAAGATGGGATTCGGAAGACTCGCCACCAACGTTGTTGCGAATGCGCTGGCACAGCACATGGACCGGCTTGTGACCGAGTCCACGTTCCGTGAGCATCCGTTCGCAAAGAAGGCAATCCAGGACGCTACCAACACTATTCTCAACGAGCGGTTCTATTCAACCAGTGACCAGGTTGAAAATTGCATCAAGCCGTACAAATATGAGATCGAGATGGAAGACCGTGAATGGTTGCAGAGCCGCGACAACGCGCAGAAGCTTCTGAAGGACGAGCTCAAGGCTTGCGAGGAGGCTATGAAGTCGATGAATGTCACCATTGGAAAGAAGAAGTTGACCCAGGCTATGGCGTTCATCGATCGGGTCCGCGATGGCGGGAAAGTTGATATGAGGGAGGGGACTGAGGCTTTTGGCTTCAGCCAGGGCTTGTTGGAGAAGGGTATGTCTTCCGATTCTGCCATAAGTTGACTTGGCTGGTTGCTAACATCCAACGAAGGCAGAGAAGCACTGTTCCTCCGTGATCGCGCAGAGCTGTTGAAGATGCGGCTTTACGCTCTCAAGAGCAAGCAGTGCGCCAACAAGGCCAACAAATACTATTGCCCCGAGGTCTTCCTCGACGTCGTGGCCGAGAAATTGACGTCGACGGCGGTGCTGTTCCTCAACGTTGAGTTGCTGTCAGAGTTTTACTACCACGTATGTTCTCCCGTTGCCAACCGTCTCCTAGGTATCCAAACTAACCCTCCATAGTTTCCCCGAGAGTTGGACAACAGACTCGGCCGCCATCTCTCACCTGAGCAGGTTGAGGCGTTTGCCAAAGAAGACCCCAAGATCAGAAAGCATATTGACCTGCAGCAGCGAAAGCAACTGCTAGAACTCGCGCTCGAGAAGATGGAGAGTCTGATGGCTCTCGAGAAGAGCAAAAAACATCCCGCTGGCGAAGACCCTGTCGGTCCCAGTCCTGCGGGCCGCTGGGGAAGGTTCTTCTAGACGGGGTAGATGATCGGTAACGACTTTTTGTGGGATTTTCTTCGGCGTTGGACATGAATGCGTTTTCTCTTCGTTCTTTGGCATGGTCTGGGAATTATATATGGCCGCACAGCGTCGTATTCTGTCTGTCTAGGGTGGTTTTTTTGGTTTCTTCCTCCTTCAGTCGCTTTCTTGTTTATGGGTTGGTTGGCGATGTATATTCATTCAGATTCCACTTCTTCTGTTGTTTGGTACCTGGTAGGGTGAATGTGAGCATAGAGGAGGGATGGGCTTTAGATGATCCCAAGCTTTATGATGATGTTTTTGTACAAGCATGCGTCTTCTCATTCCGTGCTCTTCTGACTACCGCGTAAACAAGGACATCTTCGGGTGCAAACCGAAGACCATCCAAAACTCCCTCGAATCGAGGTTCTTGCCCCTCCTACCCACATCCCTCGGCAGCACACGTTGATCCTCCTCCCGCATGAGTTCCATCGCCCACCCTTTACACTCTTCGCTCCCCCAGGCCAACGCCAGGTTCCACCAATCATAGCTCCGCATATCAGTCAACAGCCACCTCTCGCCGACCGCCAAATCCCACTTCATCACGACCTCCAGCACAGCCCTAGCCACATCCTCCCCATGAATCAAATGCAAACTCCCCTTCTCCCTTAACTTCTCCTTCGTCCCCGCCACCCTCGCAATCCAATTCCGCGGATCCCTCGCCCCGCCCCACAGCCCCGCCAGATTGATAACCGCGCCACACCCAGTCTCGAGGAGCATCTGCTCCTCCCTCGCCCTCTCATTCGCCCCGTTCCAGGGTGCATGTCTATCCATCCTCCCCTCGCCCTCCCACACCCCAGTGGACCCGAACTGCACCCAGTGCGCCGCAGTCCCCTCATGCGTGGCGGCATACAACTCCAGCAGCCGCTGCGTCGCCCCCGGCACGGTGATCGGAAACGTGATCAGCACTGCGTCCGCGGGCGGCAGCACGGTGTACGGGGTCTTGTCGGTGCTAGACGGGTCGAAGACGAAGCTGATCGTGCCGTCGCGGCCGTTACGTGTTGTGCGTGCGTGGGTGATCCCGCGAGAGTCCAGGAGCGGGACGAGGAAGGTGCTGGTCCAGCCCGCGCCGAGGATTAGGAGCGGGACGCGCGTGGGCGCGGCGGAGGGAGGGGCGGTGGAAGTAGGGCGTTCCATGTGTGCTGATGGGGGGGTGCTGGTGCTGGTGTGCGTGCGCCGCGTGGATGGGAGTTGCATCGTGGAGGTATGGGTGCGGGGAAGGGACGGGCCGCGGGGGTGGGTGGGCTAACTAATTAATGCGAGTGCACGACGTCACCTCTCTATATAGAGAACCTTTGTGGATAAGGCCGTGCGAGTCATGGTGCAGCACTCGGTGAACGTCCACATTCGACCGACATGATGGGCGGTATTGATGCTGGGGGCGTCGCCACTCCTGCATGTGGTGTTTGTCACCCAGTGCGAGAATAGGGCCCAGCGCAAAGGTGGTGGATTTGGAGCCTGGATACTCGCTACATTTCAGCTGCCTCGGACTTCTGGTGCCGAGCAGTGATGCGGGTATTGGCGATCCCCGCGAGGATCCCCCACCGCTGGCTACATATGTACAATCTCAACCTCGCTTCCTTCCTTTACGTCTATAGAATCGAAACGTTCCAGACATTCCAGCTGTAGGGAACCGATGGTTTCCCCGCCCATCGACGAGGTGGTAGTTACGGGGTGTCTGAGGTCTCGTATCCATGCTGCACCTCGATTTGGCGATGCCAACGTTCACTGTTAGCCAATATGTATAATGTACCTAGAGCCGCTTCGTGAACTGCAACTGGAATATAAACTCACGATTGACGTTTGGCGTCCGCCTCGGTGATGGTTCTGGTGAACGTTTCGGCCGAGGACCTGAGGTTTGGATGGCGCTGATAAAGGGAACGATTTGTTCCCCAGATATCAGCACCTTCGGCATCTCCAGCACCTTTTACATTCCCCTTCGCTTCCTTCACGGAGTTTAATCCATTGCCTGGCGCAATCCATTCAAATTTATAATCTCCATTCTTCCGAGAATGTACTTCCGCATCGTCATCCTCCCGCATCTCCTCCTCCTGCCCTCCATCCTCCCCCTCCCCGCAATTCGGCTTCGGCCGTGGCGGCGACGGCGGCGACGGCGGTAATGGCGGCAACACACGCAACGACGTCGAAGCCGGCGTGTGCGCACCGTATCCATAACCGTAATCTACGCCCGCGGCACGCGGTACCAGCGAGGCCGGGAACGTTGGCGCGATCGCCGGCCGGCCCACCGTTCTTCTCTGCGCTGGCCGAGGAAATGGGCGGGGCTGCGCAGGTCGCCGTACAAGGCGTCAACGACTACGCTGCCGATGTGAGTCCGCTGCCGCCATACACACACATCCATACGAGGACTGACGTGGAGGTAGGTATCCTGCAGGGATTTCCCCGGCGTGCTGGGGCAGAGGCAGCTGGTTGTGTGTAGACAGGAGGATCTGGTTTGTGAGGGCCAGAGCGTGGTGAGGAGGGAGCATCTGCAGTATAAGAGGGATGCGGGGGATGCGGCAAGGTTTGTTGTGGGGGTGGTGTAGGTGGGATGCGAGGGCGGGGGAGGGGGGGAGGGGGAAGTGTGTATGATATGGTTGATAACGGAGATCATATCGGATGGACTGCGTGCACTTTCGGGCCCACTGATTTCTACCTACCTACATCAGTACCTACTCGAGTGTCCGCAGCCGAGTTCATCCGAGTTCATCCGGCCCGATCCAACCCCTTGATAATCCGTGCCTGGTGTCGGACTTTTACCGCAGGTTGAAGTTGTAATTGCTGTTCCGAGAATACAGGTACATATTCGGGAGTTGGGGCCGTGGGATTGGGCCACTCATCACGCGTCACCCGGCTGGCTTCATTTCTCGCGGGTTGCAAATCTCCCACCAGCTTCGGAGACTCGGCGCAGAGTAGTTATTTTCGGGGATGGGTTTTTTTTCTCAAATCTTGTGAATCTGGCAGTCCGAGTGATAGGTATCGATAACTCACACACAGTCCGTCACAGTCCATCACGGCGACGACGATGCCCCGCGGCCTAAACTTCCAAGCTCGCGTTTGTTGATACCACAGTACCACCCTTGTACCCCAATAATATGGCGGTTGGTCTTACTCATACGCTTCGCTTCGCCCTGCGTCCACTGGCGAATCACTCGCGGTGTGCACTCGACCTGCGCGAGCGCTGTACCCGACTGTCCCCCGTCGAACGATATCTCTGCAGTCAGAAGTGTCGACGGCCCCTTCGAGCTCAAGGCAGCAGCAGCAGGATAAGAGAACAAGCACGAGCATGAGCATGAGCATGAGCACGGCGCCTCAAGATTTCAGCTGGCACCTGCTCACTACCTACCCAATGTATTCATGGTCCGGTGAGTGGCTGATGTACTGTATACCTAGTAGGTAGTACAATACATTTATCACCCACCGATCACTCGGCGCAAGAACCCCGCAGTCCATCATTATCCATCATTGATGGCGCGGTCCTACTATGTAGGACCTATGTTGATCCTCCACGCAGGCCGGCGGCGAAGCCGCTCCGCCCGCCGTACCGTACACAGGTAGGTTTCATTCTGGCCGCGCACGCAGCGCAGAAGTGCGGCGGCGACGCCTACATACTGAAGATCACAGGGATTCCGCAACATGCGCCGCACAGTCGCGACTCGGGACGCGGGAGTCGGGGGCAGTAGCGCTACAGCTACCTAGTATGCCTCACTCATAAAGGCAATGCATATTGCAAAAGCGGCCGTCCCCTCTTTACGGAAGCTCTGGAATAGTGAACAGTGGAACAAGGTGCTGACTGCCACGAATCGCTGTTACTAGGACACGGAGTAGAGTATGATCTTCCCCTTCCGAGCGTGAGGAGTGGGGTCCGCCCGCACTCTGAAACCCAGGGGCGGCGGTTACACATGCAGGCACACGCTCTACCAGTCACCGTTAGCGTCATGGGAAAGAACGAGTCACGACTTCATTGTTGATTATTCGCGGATTCTTCAGGCCGCAAGACTGTTGCAGCTCGTTACTCAACGCTTTCCTGCACCACTAGCGATTTTTGAATCTCAGCCACCATACCGGTATGTATTGGTACATGCCGGTATTTGTCCCTAAGAGAGAGAAAATCATGCTTGAATGTCGGTTCTTCGGTATGCACATACTCTACATCCTGCTCTACTTACTCCTCATATTCGCATGACCCGACCGCCGAAATGCCTTAAGAGCAGGTGTCTGATATTCAGGATGAATTCCAAAGCTGAGGAAAAAAACCCGCGATCTACACTGTGATTTTGAGGAGTTTGCCCCTCCGACAAGTCTCATCACGATTCACACTGCGCACTTGTAGGTATGTAGATATCCAATCGGAGAGTGCGCCCACATCCGGGTCTATACATCACCGAAAGTATGTATGAAGTATGTGCCTGTTGATCAGAATAACTACACGCCAAAGCGACCTGCGACCATGCCGCCGAGGGCCGAGATGGTGAAGTTTTTTTATGCGGGGTGAGTGGTTGCCAAAGTCGTAGCTAGGATGGAGGAGCCAGCAAACCGTCGTGAAAACGGATGATGGGCTCCTGAATCCTGAATGATTGGCTCTCGCGGGGAGGCTGGTTGGAGGTCCGTCCTAAGATATCGAAGGATTGGCTCCCGGTTCCGGGCGGAAGGGGCGATGCTATGATGCTAGTGGAAATTCCCGACCCCACGTTTCAGACCAGACCAGCTGCGGAGTCCAAACAACATGAAGAAAAGCGAGAAGCCACCGGTCCTGTCGAGACTCGCATGCGGCTGCTGAGCTGCTGCGCTGTCCATCTGTATCTAGAGATATATGTAGAATATGTACGTGCTCGTTGGCTAGAGCCCGAAGCCCGGAGAAACCGAGGACGCCTGAGCAGTGAGGACGAGATCATACCGTACCTGCCGTAGGTATTGGCCACATGCAAGAATCTGCCCTGCGCTGCCATGCCGTCTCCTGCCTTCTCCTGCCGTCCGTGGCGCCGATAGTCAACTACATGTTACAGCTCGCCGTGAGCTACCCAGAGTGGCTGGCTACCTTGAGTAGGTAGCAGAAAGGAGTCGCCACGCGACACTCTGCCCGATTCTTCAAGATGTTTCTGTTTCTGTTTTGGCGTGATGTGATGCGATGTGATGCGTGATGCGTGATGCGTGGTGCGTGATGCGTACTGCGTGTTCCTGAAGAACTCTGTCCTCTCTACATATCTACTCTAAGCGCTGGGGCTAGGGTAGTACTCCGGTGGTTCGTTTTACATACGGTAGTAACGGGACTCCTACATACGTGGAACCACGGAGAGCTGCAATGCTGCAACGCGGGATCCTCGGAGCGCCTACACGCCCCGCCGGGCGCCCCACCTGTGCGGCATGCACGACATGCACTCTGCAGTCGTCTGAGACTCTGGGTTACCCATATCCAAGCACTTATGTATGTGCGTTCTCTGAAGGAAGACGTATGTAGGTATTTTCGTGACATTTCGGCTGAAGAAGAATTCCACATTTGTCAAGCAGCGAATCCAGTCGAGATATTTCGTGGCTGGGGAATCATGTGGGATTCGTCCAATGGCGAATTTAGTCAAGAGATTTCGTGAGGCTTCGGCTGAGGAATAATGCCGGATTCGTTCAACTGCGGATCCAGACGGAAGAGATGATGGGTACAACTGAGATGATTCGGTGAAGGTAGATGGTGTGCGAGTAGTAGTTAGAGCAGGAGAGTGGACTGTGGAAATGGTTGCCATGATAGGTAGGAATGTGGAGTACATATCGTACAAACTTGGGGCATAGGGTAGAGTAACAGCCACAGCCACAGCCACTGCCCCACAACCAACCTCTGTCCCTCCCCATAGTTCCTACACGACTCGATCCGCAAAGTATCCTGCTTCATTTTCCTCTTCAAAGGCGGGAGATACAATAGCCGCAGACCACAACGGCGCCGGCATTGACTTTGATGACTGCAATACCCAGACGCAGGAACCCGGGCCCCTGTGGGCGGTTCGGTAGGTAGGCAGGTATGTACGCGAAATCTCGACGCTGGGCTGGCGGCAAGAGGCACATGCTTGGGGAAAACAACACGCGTCACTCAACGAAATCATGCCTCTTTCCGCTTCTCGGTGTTCTCGGTGGGAAGGGCATTCAATTTCCGCAGAGACGACGGACATCACGAGATCGCACCACAGACACAGCCACAGCCAGATCCAGATCCACATTCAGCTGCTTGAAGACCAAATCACACGAATAATTGCTCATCATTCACAAATGTCCATCGTATGGCTACCGGGAAGCCCGGGAAATAGAGCCCTTGTCGTGTGATGTAGGTACGGAGGCGTTCCTCGCCTGCGAAAATCAAAATCGCATGCCTTATGGCTAGCTGAGCAGCCGGCTAACAACTTCGCTATGTGGAGTAGATATTGACCTACCAGCCCTGGCTTCGCCACGTGCGCTAATCTGCCTACTGCTCCTAGTGAGGTCCCTTCCTCCTGGGTCCATTGGTCCTGCGCGCTTACCAGGGATTGTTCTCTAACAATCTTCGTTGCAGCCAATGGGCCTGCTTGGTCTCCCCCCCGGCTACATGCTTTGTTTTTCGGGATCGTGAGCAATTCACCGTGGCGCTCGGGATTCAGCAGGTGATGCGGGAATCCCTGGTTGTTTTGCCTCTGCCAGAGATCGAGGCGGCAGGAATGTGGCCTGCCCATGGTAAAACGGCCTGAAGGCGGTACGTACATAAACCGTCGGATCCCGTTTTCTCCTGTGTTTTGGAATATCGATATCTACTTGCTCGTCCGTCTGTCCATTTGCCTACCTGCTCGTCCGCAGCTGCTGCATTACTGTCGCTTCTATTCGGTCTGGACTGAAGATTCTACATTTTCATTCATTCATTCGTTCATCCGTTCGTTCATTTATACATTCATCATCATGGCCACAGGTTTGTTCTCCATTCTACAGGATATCTCGCCGAGGTCGGAATTCATGTTCATGACTGACCCTCCTGGCTCCACAGAAACACAGATCCTCTACAGTCCCGTCAGCAGCATGAGCTCTCATTCATCATCCTCGGGGAGACTGAGCCTTCCGCGCCTAAAAACCCCAGGAAACTCGACTCTCCAGCCCTACCATAACAACAACGAGCTCTCGGCATTATCGTGCTCCTCGATAGTGTCACAGATCATCGGACAGTACATCTACACGCCGCTTACAGCTGCGCCCGAGAGCTACGAGGCGGCGACAGTGGAAGAGAACCAGCTATACTGGGATGAGAAGCAGCTGTACTGGGAGGAGACGAAGGAGACCGTCGAGGACATGATCTATGCCCTCGATAGAGTGCTAGGGATGGCGCCGGGAAGCAATGTTGGGAAGGAAGAGGCAAAGGAGGAGAAGAAGATGGAGGTGCCGGTGGTGTGGCCCGAGGTCAGGGTGGAAAAGCAAGAGTGGCCCGAGGTGAAGGTGGAAAATCAAGAGCTGTACTGGGGCGAACAGAAGGAGTCCGTCGAGGACATGATCAACGCCCTCAACAGGGTCATCGAGCGCGGCAGTTCGGGGACACCGACTTCGGACGGTTATACGCCGCTCACGGCTACGGCGGAGAATTTTCGGTTGGATATTATGGCGGAGCCGGAGGTGGTGAGGATGCGGTTTTGCGCGAAGGAGGAGGTGGTGGTGGAGGTGGAGGAGGAGGAGAGGGAGGAGGAGGGTACCAGTGCTCCAGGAGGAAAAGAATGAGTCGCCGGAGGAAATATCCCACGGCCTCGACCGGTCGCTTTCAACGGCTAGCAGGGAAATACCGTTTGCGCTGGACGACGTGCTATACAATCACATCCAAGGGCAAGGAGTGCTGCCGAGACGCCAGCGTGGCGTGAGACGGGGCAGTAAGGTGCCGGTATCATCAAGATTGAGCCAGTTGCGAGGGCTCCAGACTGGTAAGTTATTTTCTCGTTCCTTGCTGAACCACAAAACAAAAGCTGACATGATATCTTCAGGTCCGAGGAAAGCTGGAACTTCGGCATTATACGATAGCCCGATCGACTGGGCACCGATCCAGCGATTGGCAGTCCGCGACGCTTCCGAGCCGCTGTCCGCGGTATCCCCACAGTCCTGCATCACCGATGCGTTCACGGAGGAAACCCGGTGGTCCTCCATCCGCAACGGCCAGCGTCAGGACGGCCGTTCAGGCTACGAAAGCTACGCCGCAGACAATGAAGAGGACGACTGGGAGACCACACGGTCTTGCACGGAAACCAGCATCGACGACGACGAAGACACCACATCTCCCTGCGAGACGGCGACCAACTGGGACGGCGTAACAGTCATTGATGACGACGAGAGTGTCATTAGCATCAGCATCGTCGATGGGACGGAGGACTACAACGACGACGAATACTTCTGCGACACGCCCACAACGATAATCATCGCCCCACCACCGCCGACAACGGCCCCTCCCCCTCCACCCACCGCCACAATCCCCAAAGACACCAGCAACGAAATCATGTCCCCCGTAATCTCCTGCCGCATCAACACCATCGCCAACCTCGACTTTCCCGCGTACATTCCCAGCGACGACCGACGGCCCTCGCGCTCCACCGACCGCTCCGCGACTGAAATCCGGGCCACCCCCTCGCGCTCGCCGCACCAACCCGTGGCGCGCCGTACACCCGCACACCCCAACCGCGCCGCCACCGACCCACTCACGATCTCCCGCCAGGCGATGCGTCAAGAGTGGACGGAAACACCGCCCATGAAGCTGGACCTCGCAAAGCTCGAGGGTATACCTCCGCAGCTGCCGCCGAGGTCTACCACCCCCAATAGTAGACCGGGTACCGGCACTAGCACGGGGAGGAGGGAGAGTCCCCTCCCGTGGCTCGCCTCGCGCTCGGCGAGCCCTGCTAGGAGTATCGAGGAGATTAGGAAGTCTTCTGTGGTCGCCGGATTGGGTGGACTGGAGGCGAAGAGGACGAAGAGTCCGAGGGGGTGGAGGTTGTGGTAGTGGTACCTACTTAGTATATAGTTAATCTCGGCCGCTCTTAGATGGCTTTCTGCCTTTCTGCCTTTCTTTCTTTTGTTTTGTGGTCTTTTTCTTTTGTTTTCTTTTCTTGTCTTCGGAGTTGGGGGCGTTTTGTTTGGCTTTGGCTTTGGCTTCGGCCGTGTATCATAATACTCTATTTTGTACCTACTGGACCGGATCGTTCAAATTTCAATAATACGGTGCAAGCTTTTGATTCCCAATAACCGTACACACACACGTGCACTTGAAACCTGGCAAGAGCTCGTTCGTTCGTATGTAGCAGATATCACCATCGACTACACGCAAAATATGACAAAACGAGTGATATGCTGCGTTATGGCATACTGAGCAGCAGAGTAGATTGGCTGGCTAGCTAGCTGGCAGAATCAGTTGTGGATCGGGACGGGGTTTCCTATGCAGGTATCAGGAAATACTCTACCCCAACTTCCAAGGGGGTCGGATCCGAGTGCTATACCATGATGCACCTGGACTTCACCGATTACCTATCGCATAACTATCCCTTTGGGTGCTACGCCTGGATGAGGTTTGCAGGCTATGAATTATAGTAGCATTGAGCGCCAGGCCAGTAACAGTATAGCATATATCGGCATCGAACCTCATCTCATGAGCTGTGCGGGACCTCTATAAACCCGCCAACCACCATGCCTACCAAACGTGCGCGATCCCCACTCTCCTCAGCCTCCGGAAACCGACGTAACAAGAACAAGGAGTCAGGAGCCACTGCGCCTGCGGAAACTTTCACGCCGTTATCGCATCGGCAACCCGAGCATCTTTGTGAACCGCGAGTCCCTAAGGACACAGAGCTATCGCCATTGGCCATCTTCTCACTCTACTGGGGCGAAAGGATTCTCGACGAGATTGTAATCGCTACCAACCTCTATGCCGAGTCGAGGCGGAGTCGAACTCCATCGCGCCTCCAACCCTTGCAGCGGAAATGGAAGCCGTTGACGATTGGCGAGCTGAAGCGGTTTCTCGGTGCAACTATCTTGATGGGTGTAGTCAAGCTACCATGACGTGGTGACTACTGAAACAAAGGATTGGTCAATCTGCCAAAGAGCTCGCTTTCGCTCCATAGATGTCAGCAAATCAGGCGGTATCTTTACATCTCCCTGCCACCGGACGAGTTCAATGCGTTACCGCCGGGGCAGCCAAGTTGGACGGCGGAACGCGAGCCTCTCTCCTCCCACCTCCGTCGGCGATCCCAGAAGTTGTATTTCCCCGGCACACACGTAGCGGCGGACGAGATGATTGTACGGTTCAAAGGAAGCAGCAGCGCTAACACTACCGTTCGTATGCCCCGCAAACCGATATCTGGTGGCTACAAGATCCTCGCTATCTGTGATGCCGGCTACACCCTCGACTGGATATACGCATCTCGCATCCACCACTCGATTGACGGTCTCTAGCAGTAGGTCACAGAGTCGACACCCCCTGGCTTGGCGATCTTTTAGCTGTGCCGTTCCCTTGAATATCCCGAGGACCATCGTTAAATCGTCTATATGGACGACACTTTCACTACGGTCCCCTTGCTGCGAGTGCTACGCAGCTACCAAATTGGTGCATGTGGCACTATCCGTCTTGATTCTGCAGAGCTGCCGGTTGAGATGAAGTCGGACTTGAAGGAGGCTTGGAATAGCCTTGGTGGGCTGGTGGTGAAGCCATCTGAAGTTGAACAGGGATCTACGGCCGATGTCCTTTGTATCCGCTGGGAGAATAGCACTGTGCTCCGATTTCTTACAACAGTCCATCCGTGGAACGATGTCACACTCCAGCTACGCCGCCAACCGCGAACAACCAGTACCAACGCTGCTGCTGCTTCTTCTTCTGCTGCTGCTGCTGTCCGCCAGGTCTTCGAAGCCACAGAACGCACGCTGCCGTATATCCCCACAGTATTTACCATATTTACCAGAAAGTCCCAAGATTTTACGCGGGAACGCGCACAGGCAGCAGTGGCGTATGCCAGTGGTAGTGGTAGTGGTAGCGGCGGGAGTCATAAGCTAGTCACAATGGCGAGAAGGCGTGCTTGTGTTGTGTGCAGATATAGATTTGAAAAGACTACCTAGGCAGGTAGGTGATTGACTGGCCGGAAAGGCAAGGTCCAAAGTGGACGTGGTGGGGATGAGTGTATTTCATGTCAACCTGCTGTATGAAGCACTGTGTGGATCTTGTGGACCTGGGGGGGAGAGCTATTGGGTGAAGGGTGAAGTGGCACGACGGAGGTGCGGAAGTCGTTGGGGAAGTTGCTGGGTAGGAGCGCTCACGGCTGCGAAACCGCGTATGCGGTGGTCTGCTTGCTTTTGATATCACTCGATGTAACTTCACCCAGGCGTAACACCCAAAGTGAACACAAAAAAAAGATAATTGTTAGCCTGTAGCTCAATGACATTGAATAGCACCTTCCAGCCGAATTCTAGATATTCAAAGGCTGTAATTGGAAGCCCCGCCTCGCCTCGCCTCGCCTCGCTATTGGGCTTGGTATTTTGTGGCTCGGCGACAGTGAACAGCACCTTAGTTAACCTTCTGTAACTCAGCAACAGTGAATAGCACCTTCAACTTCTATGGCTCAGCGACATTGAATAGCACCTTCTTGCCAGATCCCAGATATTCCAAGCCTGTGGTCGAAAGCCTCGCCCTCGCCTCGCCCTCGCTGGGCCATTGGGCTTGATATTCGGGCGGCAGTGGGTGCGCAGGAGGCAGAGCTTTATCGAAGGATTCACGCAGCCCGCGCACACGAATGCAGTGAGCTCGAGCACTGGTCATATTCCATATCCCTTAGGCGCAGGGCTCCAATGCATGGCATACCGCTCATCTGGCCTGTTTGGTGGGGAATGTTCCGTCTACCCAACAGTGGCAGATCAACAGAAAAGGTCAAAACCATCATCCCCGATGTCACGCACGCCCCAGTCTGAAAGAAAAAAACAAGTCAAGAACTAGAAAGATATTCATTTCCTAGTCTCAAAACAGATCACCCGTCCATATCCACCGCACCCCGTAGTACAACCCTGAAAAAGGAGAGTGAATGAATGAATCACTCTCCCTCTCTGTCGTCCACATGTGAATCGAATGACATTACATTAGCTGAAAGCAAAGTTAGGTATTCATATTGCACAACACACACACACACACACACTAAATCATCTCCTGCCCTGCAGCCACTTGTCGGCAGCAAGGAACGGCTTGGCCTCGGTCTCCATGGTCGCTTCCTGCACGAGAACCTTGATGCCGGCCACAACCTGGGTTTGGTCAGTACGTGCATCACACACACGGGGAAGGAAGGAACAAATGGTAAGACTTACTCCATCCCAAACCCTGAATCCGAGTTCAAGGTCGCCGACGATATCGACGGCCTGCGGAATCATCTCCCTCAACTTGCCCATGTGCTTGCTCTTGTGGTCATCGGAGGTGGGTTCCGCTTCGTTACAGAGCTCGTCGAGATACGTCTTGGCGGCGATCCCGAGACACGAGTTTACTTCGTCGATGAATGGCAGCCTAGAGGCAGGGTGTGTCAGCTGTGGTCAAATAGTGAGGTAGAGTTGCCCAGGATTTCGTACTTCAGACCCAGTTCCGCCCAGTCGTCCCTGCTCTCTCTGTCCACATCGCCCGCCATCAACATGTTGACCAGCGTCATCTCAACAAAGTTCCGTAGTTCCCTGGTAAGTGAACGGCTGAAGCCGTTGAAAGCCAGCATATTCCGGCTCAGAGGACCAGTGTACCCAATGTTCTTATGATCCATGTTGACCAATGAGCAGACGCGGGACACCAGCATGGTGTTTGCCTTGTCCTCATCTAAACACTTATCAGTGGCGCCCATAGAATGACCAGACTGAGAAATCACCTGAGCCGCGCGATGGGGCACCAGAAAATGTCGGGACGAAGTTGTCCGGCTTCAATGCCTTCATGCGGAACAATTCGAGGGCGATGTAAAGAGGTATGAGCAGAGACTCGTCCTCTGTGTCCAGATTCTTGATGGCGGCAACCAACGCTTTACCCCACGACGTGAGCCTGTGAGATTCCCCAGCAACGAATCCGCGCATCTGGAACATGCGCCACAGGGCGTTGACCCTAATCTCATCTTCCGAGTCCAGTAGCTTTGTGTGTAATTTTAGTAAAGTTCACCGAATCATGATCGCCAAACTGGACGGGATACCTTTTCTGGGATTTTAGGAGTGACGGTTTGAGCGGCAAAAGACTCATCCTCCAGTGACGTGATGCAGAAGGCGAACTCCCCCCATTGCTGTCTCTTGGTTAGCCCTGCGTGCAAAACTTGGACACCTGGGCCCTACCTTCTGCTTGTCCATCACTGGTCCCCACACATCCTCCCGCACATTCCACTTCTGTGCAACCTCCGATGGGTGGGCAATGTCCTTGTGAACCAGAGTCTTGGGTTGCGCCGGGTCAAACCAGTTGTAAACCTTGACCTCGCGATTCAAATAGTACCTGTGAATCGACTTGGAGAGGAGAGAAAGCGACTCAGTCCTCATAACGTTCAGCTCGTTGAGGAACTTCTTGTACTCGTCCGACTCGTTTCCGTCCAGTGGCGGCGATTGGATGTATTCTCCAGTGGTGATCATATCCATGACCTGGGAGCCGATCATTCCGCGGGACAGATAGAAGTAAAGCTCCTCCGGCAGGCGCAAACCAATGAAGTCCTGCACATCGGCGGGCGACTCGTGGAAGTTCATCTGCTCGACCTTGCCATCTTCCGTCATGACCGGATGGTGCTTGATGGCCGCACGCGCTTTCCTGAACTTGTCGAGATACTCGGTTTGGTCGGGATGGGAGTTGATGGCGTTTCCAACGGACCTGTTCCTTTTGATCAAAGCGACAGCGTCCGAGAACTGTTGCTGCGAGTTCTCGAGTGGGGGGAACGGGCGACAGAACGAGCAGCCAGACAGAAGGATCGCATCGACGAAGTGGTCGTTCGTGAGCAACAGATCGGACCGGAGCCTCGCCTTGTTTACCCAATAGAAGTGGCCGGTGCCAAGGTTAAAGTTAACGATGACTTTCTCGACATCGAAGAGGAACAGATCCGACCCTCCATAAATCGAGTCAACGTAGCCGGTCTTCTCGAGGTACGCCAGCTATTTCGCTTCGAGTCAGCACGGGGAGCCCACTCCGAAGCTTGCACGGACGAAACCTTACCTGGGGCCATGAGGCATAGGGAGAAACCTGAAAATCAACTTTCTCATCCCTCAGAATCCTCATGACGATTCGGAAGAGCTCCACAACGGTGATGACGCCTGCCTGACCAAACATATCCACCGCCTCCACCGCCTGTCCTTTGTCATAGAGCTCCCACGCACGGGTCCGAAGCTTCGCCGAGTCATCAGGAACCGAGAACGGCTTCTCCGTCGGCACCATCTGGAGTCCGCTGAAGACGAACACGGGCTTGATGCTGTTCTCGCGCAACTCGCGGATGTCGTTCTGAATCATCTGCTTCAGACCGAAAGGAAATCCCCCCAGGGCCGAGACGAGCGGCTCCTTAAGCTGCAACGCGAGAGCCTTCTGGAGGTAGTAATGGGCTTCAATTCCTATGGCCGTGTCCTTGAGCACCGAGATGGGGAGCATCTGGGCTCTGCCGTTCGCTTGCGACCAGACATCGAAGGTTCCCGGGCGGGCGCTGGGCACTGGCGAGCTATCAGCACGAGCGGCGGAGGTGACAATCATACTGTCGGTGCAGGAGGCAGGATGAGGACTCAAACCAGGCATTGCGACAGTCATGGTAAGTTTGGCGGGGAGATTAGTGCCGTAGCTTCTGTGCACGATGGTCCGAAAAAGGGAAGGGAAGCGAAGTGAACGAAAGGAGCGGCCGGCCGGGTAAATGCGCTCGCTGGAGACGAGAAGGAATCGTATGGACACCTACAACTCAAAAATGAGGGGAAAGCTGAAGAGATGAATGGATGGAGGGCGCAGTGGAGGGAGGGGAAGAAGGATAAGGGACGGGGTGGAAGAAGGATTTACGCGGAGGAATAGGAGGACAGGCGCCGAGCTGTCGTGGTTTAAGGGCGGACACCACTTGGGCGAATCGTCACAGCCCGGTCAATTTTGGGGCCAGGAATTTGTGACGTCCGCGGGGCCAACTGAGCGGAAGTTCCCCACTAACAGAGTTTCGATACTTTCCGCACCCTGGTAGTGCACGCTCAGGCACATGCTAACAACCCGGGAGTTCATGCGAACCCGACACGGCGTTGTAAATCGCTAGGAGATATCGGTATCCTAATTCCTCAGTGTAGAGTACACCGGGTCTCTCCAGACATCCGCGAATAGGGATCCATACGTTGGCTAAATGCATTCGGACCATAGCCAGAGCATGTAAGCTGTCGTTGGGGAGGGGGGCAGATGCGACGGTTCAGCTGTATACAGCACATACATACGGTACTCCGGGCTTCAGCCTCCACAGGAGCTTCGCTTTGGGGGCTTCTGCGGAATGGGACGGCATTCTCCGCCTTATCTTATCACCCCACTACGCGGAGAAGTGAGCTCCACTCGATCACCGTTGCGGTTGGTAAGTAGTGATGACTGTATACCGTCGCCCCGTCCCTTGAATTGCAACTGCTGGCAGTTCTTTACCCATACTCGTGACACCTCCATTCACCCTCCTCTTCCTATTCAACTGCTACAAGATCGATTCCAAGATGCCCAAACTCGCCGCCTCCCTCGACATAATAACGCTCACCGACACGCCTGAGTGTGCTGCACAGCTACTCGAAGCTGCAAAGACACTGGGGTTCGTCTACATCACGATGGCTGGCACCGAGATTACTCCCGAGGCGGTAGATGAGATGTTCAAAATTGTATGCCATCTAACTCTCTAACGAGCTTTGGCTGACACCCCGAAAGTCAAAGCAATTCTTTGCCTCCCCGGAATCCGAAAAAGCAAGCTGCGTCATATCCGCAAACAACAAGGGCTGGTCCGGAATGCTCTCGGAAACCCTGGATCCACCGAACCAGAAGCGCGGGGACTTCAAACAGTAGAGCGCTCCCCTCCCCGGCACATCCGCGGGGAAGCTGACATATGCCAGAGCCATGAACTTCGGCGAATTCACGCAATCCGGCGAACCGCAACAACCGATCACACCCACGCTGTCGCCACACCTTCCCACGATCGCGCACTTCTCGACGCTCTGCGCCAACGTCTCTCGGCGGCTCCTCCGACTATTCGCGCAAGCACTATCCATCTCCGCCTCCGCCGGCGGCGCAGAATACTTCACCGCCTCGCACACGTCCACGAACGGCCCGTCGGGTTCCATACTACGGCTGCTCTACTACCCCCCCATCTCCAGCGGCGACTACGACCCATCGAGCGACATCCGCGCGGGCGCGCACAGTGACTACGGCTCCCTCACGCTACTGTTCCAGCACGACGGCGCGAGCGGCCTCGAAATACTCTCCCCCGGCGGCGGGTGGAGTCCCGTCCCCGTCGTGTCGGAGGCGATATGCGTCAATATCGGGGATCTGCTGAGCTATTGGACCGCGGGCCTGCTGCGGAGCACTGTGCACAGAGTGGTCGCGCCGGGGGACCAGGCGGGGGAGCGGTACTCGATGGCGTATTTCTGCCATCCGGTCGATAGCACGCCGCTCGGCGGGATTCCGAGCGAGATTGTAAGGAAGCGTGGAGAGAGGGGCGCGAATATCGAGGACGAGGAGGTGCTCACCGCCGCGAGACATCTGAAGAGTCGGCTTGCCGCGACTTATGGGTGGAACAGCTAGCTAGAGTAGCTAGCGCATAACTACATCCATTCCTTAATAAACGAGTGCCATTCCATACGCCAAGACCCTAGTAAACACAACCAGCATAAAAAAACCTCCATCCCATCCCACCTCTCCCTCCCTCCACAACCACGCACAACAAACGGTACGACTCCCTCCCCTCCCCGCTCTCTTCCCCCCTCCACGCTCCCCCTCCTCTTACCCTTCCCCCAAACAAACGGACACACCACGTGTCCGCCAAAATGATGAGCACTTAGAGTTCTGCAATTCCGAACGATGTCCCTTCGTTCTCCGCAGGCTCCATCATCCCCCCTCCGGTCTCGGCCGGGATAGGTGTGGGATCCTGCAGTCTTGCGGAGGACTTGGGACGGATATGTGGATTAACTTAAATCTACACTTGATCTGATTTTCCCGTTTACATACCCCCCACCCACCGACTACGTACGACGGAGATGGAGGAGAGAGAGATGTGGTCGGGATAGAAAGCTAATATGAAGGGTGGGGAATAGACTCGAGTCGATGTTCGATGTTCGTGGGGGACGGTGAGGAGTGGATAAGGGAGATGGGAATGGTGGCAGGAAGGCAATAAAATTATCATGCCGTGCATTCTTTGGAGAGATCGTGAGGACGCGAAGATGTGAAGAGTGAAGATGTGAAGAAACATTTGTGTAGAAAATCGGAGTGCAAGTGTCATGGAAACATCCAAAAGCAGTATCGCCACGACTTCTAGATATCAGGTAGGAATGCCAGACACGCGATAAGAACCGGTGGCTGTAGCGACAAGCATTAAGAACGAGACCAACGGTATGAAATGACCGAAAAGCAGACGGCCACTGACAGAATCCATGGACTCGCAAGTCAACCGGTCTTCCTTCAACATAGTATCTACTTGGTCCCTCCTTCCGGTGATTGGACTACAACATTCCAACCTACCGTATGTTGGTTCGGCGAATAGATGGCACGCGTTTAAGATTTGGTTTGGACATCATCACTAAATCACTTCATAGGGTCACGAGGTGAAGAACAACTGAATTCAACCTTAAAGAACCCCAGCAAAAAGAAAAGTATTTTCCCGACCTAAAGAAACCAACCAAGCAAAACACCCGACCCGTAGACCCGTTTACAATTTCTGGAAGATAAGTCAGTGTTGGAAAACATCGAAACCGGATGATGGGATAACTTACGTCGTAGTAGTTGTTGACATCGGGCACGACCTCCTTGATACCCTTTCGCTTCCTCATCTCCTGCACAATCTGTCCGGACTTGGTGGTGGCGTCAATGGGAGATCCACCGGGCAGAACCTGCCAGTGGTCGAAGACCGACTGGGGGAAAGCTTGTCCTCCGGTGTTGGAACGGAGATCGGCGGTGAAACCGAACGACTCGTTGACGGGAAGGTAAGCCTTGACGTTGAACAGAGGAGTTCCGGGGCGCTGCTCCTCCGAGAAGACGTGACCTCTTCGTCGGGTAAGAACACCGTAGATACCTCCCATGGCGGACTCGGGGACCTGGATCTCGACCAAGTACACGGGCTCGAGGAGAGCGGGGTCGGCGAGCAGGGTGGCGGCGTAGAGCACACGACGCGCGGTGGGGATGATCTGTCCACCTCCACGGTGGATGGCATCGGCGTGAAGGGTAACATCGAGGATGTTGAAGCGGACGCTGCGCATGGGCTCCTCAGCAATGGGACCCTCACGGGTGGCCCACTGGAAACCGGAGACGACGGAGTCCTTGATTTCGTTCAGGTACTGAACAGCCTTGGTCTGGTCAACGAGCAAGTTGGCACCGTTGGCGTCGGGACCGAAGCACCAAATCTTACGGGCATCAGTGACATCCCATCCGTGCTCGTCAGCAAGGATACGAGCGCGGGCCTTGAAATCGTCACGGGGAGAGATCTTTCCGTTCTCAATGTCTTTGGAGACATCCTCGTCAAGAGGCTGAGCAGTGACGTAAAGACGGTTGTGCTTGTTGGGCGACTTGGATAGAGCGGTGATGCTGGAAGTACCGGAAACGGTCTCACGGTAAGAGACCACCGGGGGTGAGACACGGAGAGGAACGCCGGCGTGGTCCTCCTCAAGATCCTTCAAGCAAATCTCCAAGTGCAACTCACCGGCACCGGCGACGATGTGCTCACCGGACTCCGAGATGAAAGTCAAGACACAAGGGTCGGACTTGGACAGACGCTTAAGACCCTCGACCAACTTGGGGAGATCGTTGGCGTTCTTGACCTCGACGGCGACCTGCACGACGGGAGAGACGGAGAACTTCATGACCTTCAGGTTGTGGGCGGTCTCGGAAGTGGTAAGGGTACCAGACTTCAACAAGAACTGGTCAACACCGACCAGACCACAAATGTTACCGGCGGGGACATCATCGATGGGCTCAATGTAACGACCCATCATGAGAATGGTACGCTGGATGGCCTTGACGAAAAGGTCCTCCTTCTTTCCGGGAAGGTAGTTGGGTCCCTGGATGCGGACCTTAAGACCGGACTTGACGGTTCCAGAGAAGACACGTCCGAAAGCGTAGAAACGACCCTTGTCGGAGGTGGGCACCATCTTGGAGACGTAAAGCATAAGGGGTCCATTGGGGTTACAATCGCGGATACCGACACCACACTCGTCATCGATGGGTCCCTCGTACAGAGTCTCGGCACGGTACTTCTGGGCGGTGACGGGGGAAGGAAGGTGAAGACAGATCATCTCCAACAGCGCATCGGCGGCGGGAAGGAACTTCTTCATCACAATCTTCAGGAGAGCCTTGCCCTCGAGGTCCTTCTCCTCACCCTTGAGGACGATCTCCAACTTGGCCAGAAGGTTGGTGGTGTCATCCTTCTTGAAGTTCATGATGGCAGCGAAGATCCTGAAGATGGGGTCTAAGATGAACTGGTTGAAGGCACGCTCGAGAGCCTTGCCCTCGTACTGCTCAACCTTGGTCCACTTCTTGGTCTTGGGGTTGAAGAAAGAGTCGCCCTATTCGATTTGTCAGTCTCGGTCCAGAAAACATAGAGGAAAGGCCTCAACATACCCAAAGACGCTCCATCATCTTCTCCTTGTCAACACCAAACTTCTTGGCGTAACGGCCAGCGAACTGACGGACGGTGAAAGCCCATCCATGGAGACCGGAACCGAAAGCAATGGTGCCCTGGTCGGGGTAGACCTGGACGTCACCGAGGGTCTTGTCGTAGTAGGTGGCGATAATGACGTTCACGGACTCGACGGTACGGGCGAAAGACTGGTACAAGTCCTCCTTGGAAACCTGGAGCTCCAACAGGGCACGGTCGACCTTGTTGATGATGCAGACGGGCTTGATACGCTCACCAAGAGCCTGACGCAGCACAGTCTCGGTCTGGACACACACACCGGAGACACAGTCGACGACAACCAGAGCACCATCAGTGACACGGAGGGCAGCGGTAACCTCAGACGAGAAATCAACGTGACCGGGGGAGTCGATCAAGTTGATCAAGAAAGAGTTGCCGTCGGTTTTCTGCTTGATGTCCTTGACGTCCTCCTCGAGGAGCTCGGCGTACAAAGAAATGGCAGTGGACTTGATAGTGATACACCGGTCCTGCTCGTCCTGCCGAGTGTCGGTGAATCGGGCCTCTCCAGCCTTGGCGGCAGAGATAATACCAGCACGCTGGACCAGCGAGTCGGTGAGGGTAGACTTTCCGTGATCGACTATGGGATGGGAACGTCAGAGATGTGTCCTCCGTCGACGGTTCGTTCAGCATCGACGGAAAGACTTACCGTGAGCAATAACGGACATGTTACGGACGTTTGTCGTCCGGTCCATGAGTTCACGGATCTCCGCGACGGTGAAGCTGTAAGACCAACATCGTCAATTGAATGCTCTTCTCGTTTTTTCGAAGCGGAGCAGCGGAAGCAAAAATTGACGAAAAGCGGGGAAAGGCATCACTTACTTGACCATCTTTGCGGTTGTTTTGAAACTTTTACTGGGGAAACAATTGAAGGTGAAAAGTTGTCTCTGCTCTTTCGAAGGAAGAGGACCACGAGACTCTAGAGATTGCTCGCTGGGAAATGGCGAAGCAAATTGGGAGGGAGGAGATCGTGGGAGAGAGTGAAGGGAAGTTCTCTTGAGCGGGGAAGAGGAGGGGCTAAAAGGCTCGAACGCCAAGCACGCTAGTCTCAGCCGGGGGGACTTGCAGATTACCAATCGCAGATTTTGTGTGTGACTGCGGAGTGGGGCGGCTCCGCAGGCAAGCCAAAGTATGGTGGGACGATAATCACCCCTCACCTTCCAGTCTTGACGAGCAAGAGTGAGTCGACAGCACGGAGCAATGCAGCACAACTGTCAACGAAACACCCGCTCACGGCGAGGTCATCGCCTGTCTATCCGAAGGCTCATAGCCAGCAATCGAGCGCTTCGTGGGGACACCGAGGCGAGAAACGGCTGAAGCTCTGGCGAGCCTGCAACTATTTAGGGCATCTTGCGCTGCGGATGGTGTGACCGAGTTTGACATCATTCCTCATCACTCCTGCTCGACCCGTCGGCAAAACGGCTAGGCAATTCCCCGCCTCCAATCAATGCGAAGAGGCGATGCTCATGGCCTTGATCAACGGCCGCCAGGAGGGAGGAGAGGCTGGAAAGTAATTTACATACATATGCACATCACTCATATATACAATCATATCGGCCTATGCTGCATGATGAGGACGGATTTAAGGGATCCTCTTATCGCTCTAACGCCGCTGCAAGCGTGTCGGTCGATTCATAGGCTATCACTCTACTACTGGACCACTACTGAGCCAGCTCGGAAAATATCCTCGCATGTATTTAAGGGCTTGCCCGGGCACCTCTGTGACTGGTGGGGCCAGGAAACGGTGTATGTGTTTTGAACTGTCGCAGGATGATGAAACGAAATAAAAAAAGTAAGGGCTTGCGAGCCCGCAGCGAAAGGTTGATGTCGCCGAACGTCTGAAACACGGTAAGGAAGCTAATTGGTTTAGCGTTCCTAGCGGGGAATATCAAGGCATCTTCTGCTTTTCGAAGAAGTTCTCCAAGCACAGAAATTGCTGCCGTCGGATTGCGAGATACCATATTTACTGGTTGAAGCGGATGCCAGCGAGTTGTAGTGCCCTTTACCAGGTCTTTGATTCAGAGTTCTGCCTGAACTTATGGCCTATCACGAGAGGGGTATTGCCATGCCCGCAATGGCATCCACTTGAGATCATGTGGGACGAGATTGCTCCCATGAAGCTGTCCTATGTTTCCGGTGTAGGTGGAATCCTCGGATTCCTTTAGGACAGGATTCTCATGTATGTACTGGATTCCACCCCAGAAAATATCCAGTTGGAGTCTGGAGACGGCCCGAGATCCAGAACCTCTGCACAAGAAGCTTCGGCCCGACCTGGGACAACTTTGGCTAATTTTGGTTCTTCTGACGAGTACGTAGAGTTGGCTAGTAACTCGAGGGGCGTATGTAATTGTGCGTTTCCTCTGCTTCGGACAGTTAAACAGTCCGTGTGAATCCCATTTCCACGGCGTCAAGTCTCAAGTCTTCATGATGGAGTTGGTGACGACGGGCAAGCGTAAATGGGGATTGGCTGCACGTACGATTGATGCTCTCTGAAGAGCCTCTGATAGAATCACACCTGAGCGCCATCCATATCCATGGCCAGCAGATGTGTTGAAAAATTGGAGTATCTACATCAGTAACCACGGACCCTGACGTTAGGCCAGTGGTTTGAGCCGCCTTAAACGAGAAATTAGACAAAACGCGTCTTCCCTTCACCTTCCATGTAATACAACGCGACTGACCTCGAACCCGTTCGCTGCTTTCTGGGCCGCAACTGCCAACCACCGTCACGACCGTCACGACTCTCTCTACCATCCATTTACCACCAGCGGGGGCACACAGCGATCGCACGTCTGCATCACAAGATCCTCCTCAATTCCAATCCCACATCACACTCTTCGCACAATGCCAGTTCCCTCAATCCCCACTGCCGCCAGTGCCTCGCTCCACTCCGGCGAAACCGTCAAGCTCTTGGAGACGATCCACCGCTTCCGCCCCTCCAAAGCCTTCCAGAACATCAGTCAAGGCAGCGAAATCACATCCCTGGATTTCGATGACAAAGGCGAGCTCTGCGTCGCCTCTAGCACCGATGAGACGCTTCAGGTGTACGACTGCGGGAGCGGGCGACACCAAAAGACGCTCTTCAGCAAGAAATACGGCTGCCACCTCGCGAAGTTCACGCACACCTCCACCAACGTAGTCTACGCCTCCACCAAGGGCGACGACACGATCCGATACCTCTCCCTCCACGACAATAGCTACATCCGGTACTTCCGCGGGCACCGGCGCATCGTCAACAGCCTCGAGGTGTCCCCTGTCGACGACCAATTCATTTCCTCATCGTACGACGACACCGTGCGGCTATGGGATCTTCGCAGCCCAAACTGTCACGGAATTCTGAACATCTCCTCGCCCTCCATCGCGGCCTTCGATCCCAGTGGCATCATCTTCGCCGTCGCCTCGCACACCGCACAGAGCATAATGCTCTACGACCTCCGCAACTACGACAAGCAGCCGTTCACCACCTTCACCGTTACCGACGACAGCTTCCTGAGCAGCTTCTCGTACCCGCCCCGCATGCCCGCCTGGAGTAAACTCGAGTTCAGCAACGACGGGAAACACATGCTCCTCGGCACCCGCGGGCACGCCCACTACATCATCGACTCCTTCGCCGAGAACACCGCAAAGTTCTTGTACCGCGTCCACCGCCCCCGCGGACCCACCAACCCCAACGTCACCGAAACCGGTGGAGACGTATGTTTCACGCCCGACGGCCGCTACATTGTCGGCGGCCATGGAGATCGCGGCGTGAGCGTCTGGGACACGGCGATGCCCGCCGATGAGAAGAAGACTCTCAAGCCAGTTGTAGATCTGGCAGAGAATGGCAGGAGTATGGCTGCGTGTGTGGCCTTCAATCCGAAGACCAATCTTTTTGCAAGCGCAAACAAGGAAGTGGTGAATTTTCTTTCTTTACCTGACGATTGGGAGTGTGGGCACTGACAATGGCCGGGTGCATAGATCTTCTGGTTGCCGGAACAGCACGCACCGGATCCCCCGCAGTCTCCGCAGCAGAGGTAGTGTGAGTTACGGGAGAGGGATGGATACACCGGGTGAAATGTTTTTTTGTACAGTATTATTTGATGTCAGATAACCGCATGAGAGCAGCTGATTTGTCTTTTTGTTACCTTTGTTTTTCCTGCAATTACGATCACAAGACGAATTGATGAATATAAACGGAGGGCCCCCAATCAAATCGTGAAGTAGGCAACTAAGCAAGTATCCCCGTGAAAAACAAACAATACGCCCAGACCCCTATTCCCATCTATCCCCACTCAATCTTCAGCACAAACTCTAAAACGGATCGTCGTCGTCGTCCATCATCCGGCCCCGGCCGCCCCTGGGCGGACTACTCGCATCAGTGGTCATGGTGTCATCACCCTCGCCGGCCGTCTGCAAAATATCCCTCACGATGCGTCTACTCGCGGCCTTCGCCGGCGTAGCAATCAGCTTCGACGGCGGCAGGTCAAACCGCATAGTCTTTGGCGGACTCAGGCCCGCCGGCAGGAGGATATCGTCGTCGCTATCGTCGTCGTACATGTAGTCGTACTTCCCGATGGCGGAGGCCTTTCCCATTCCCTTGACGGACTGTTGGCCGGCGAGGGCAGCGGCGGCCTCGAAGCGCGCTGCGCCGGGAGTGCGGAGTGCGCGCGGAGTGAAGATTTGCGTGCGGAGTTGGGGCGCGGGCGGCGACGAGATCGGCGAGCTGTCAAATTCGCGGCCAAACTTGGGTTTGGGCGTCGCGGCGGCCGCGGGACGGTACCGTGACGGCGCGGGCTTGAGTGGTGTCGCTTGCAGCCGCCAGTTCTTGTCGAGGACTCGGTGCATGATTGCGTCCTGGTCGACGCCGGGGGTGCGCGCGGGGGGGCGGAAGGGCGAGGAGTCGGGGGAGCCGGCGTAGCGGCGGGTGGTGCGTGGTGTTGTGGGCGGCGGCGGGAGCGTCGAGGAGTCGGCTTCCAGTGCGGCGGCTGAGGTGGGTTGCCGGAAGCGGTTCAGCTGCTGCCGTGGCGCCCGCTCCGGACTCCCGTATTTCATGGTCAGCTCCTTCGCCAGTGTTTCGAATGGCGACTCGATATCGGCCCAGCCCTGGCTCCCCGTGCTACGGCCGGATTTGGGCGTGCTCTGCATGGGCAGCTGCGCAGACGTGAGGTTCAGCGAATCCAGCATGGAATCGTCCAGATCCAACTCGGTCTCCCCTTCGTCCTCCTCCGGCCCCTCCTCACCGCCCATCGTCTGTTGTGTAGCATCCTCATCCCGCGTATAATCCCCGTGCGCATGGACTCTATGGGTACCACTGTAGTGTCCCGGCGAAGACGCGGCCATGGACGTTGCATCCTCCGCGTACGTTGTCTCCTCCTGCTGGACATCGGTCTCCTCTTCGTCGTCGTACGTTACATCCTCCTGGTAATTCGAGATGGCAACGTTCGCACTGGCCTCAAAGAACTGCTTCCAAAACTTCGGGGGTGTCAGCACCGCACCAACAACAGCACCCAACCAACCAGAGAGGGCCCGACCTTGGACCCCTCCCACACCGCCTCCGACTCCTGGCCGTAGCGCTCGACAATCGGCAGGATCGAGGAAGTAACGATTCGGTGGGCACGGGCGAAATTGTGGTCGATTTCTGAACCATCTCATCAGAGTTCTGCTCCCTTCCCCACCCCACCTCTCTCCCCAGCGCTCAGACACGTACCTTGAAGCGTCAACGTAATCTTCTGCTCAATCTTCTCGAGTTCCGCCGTTAGGGACTGCGGGCGCTGTGCCATGATTTTGCCGTGCTGGGAAAGGAAATTGGTGAATATGCGGTATTATGAAGGTGAGCGGTGAGCTACCGTAGTGGAGTCGCGATGTTTTGTTGTCGTGTACTTGGTGTGGTTGCTCGCGTTACGAGATACAGCTAGGGTTTTACCCGGCGGATCACGGTGCTCACGATATCGTCATAATAAGTACGGTCATAAGTTATGGGTTCCTAATGGCTCTTCGCAAAGACTCACCTCCAGCAGGCCATATTCGTGGCCTACCTTCTCAGTGTCTTCCTTCACGTAGATGAGCTCATATACAGTAAATTATACATAACCCGACCCCAAGTTTTTATTTCCAGTTTCAGCCCGTAAACACCGCCCACACCGCCCTACCACCTGATCCCACCCATCAACTCCTCCGCAAGGTGCAGATGATCAGGAAAAATGAAGACAAAGGCATTATGAAAACAAAGAAAGTAAAAAAGGGGAGTAAAAACCAAATGTCAGTATCCATCCAACCAGTGGGTTTTTAGAGAGCATTAAGGGGGAGAAGTGGAGTACAAAATAATATTCCCCAGAAGATAAAAAGAAAAAAAAAGAAGCCCTAATTGAACCCATCAGAAAAGAGCGAGATCAAATGCGCTTTTTATCCTCGTCGTCATCGTCACAAATTTCGGTGTCGTCCTCAGCCTCGACCGCTTCCTCCTCCCAGTCCTTGCCCTCCTCCGAGAGCCGTCTCCGTCTGCGCTCCTTCATCGCATCCGCAATCCTCTTGGAGACAGTTTCGAAGCCGGCCTGGGTGGAGATTCCTTCCATACCACTGAGCGCCTTGATCGAGAACCCACCACTGTTCGTCCTCGATCTAGCGCGCGAGGCCGGCCGACTGGCGAACAAGCCAATGTTTCCAAGGTTCGCAAACGACTCGCTCCGCGGAATGTTGTGCTTGACCGGACCATCGCCATGGCCGCCGTCGGAGGAAACATCGGAATCCCGACGCTGGAATGTGATCGACGGCAAACCGTCAGTGGGATTGCGAGCGAAGGGATCTGCGACAACACGGCCGGACTCGAAATCGGGGTACAACTCGGGTCCGAGGGAGTTGATGAGATCCGTCACGTCCGCGGAAAGCTGCGCGCGCTTCTCGCGTAGCTTGACGAGGGTGTTGGCGCTGGTGGGGTTCAACGACAGGATGAGGGGACGTAGTGACTTGGCGATGTCCATTCCGATCTCGCCGAACCGCAAAGCGGCAAAGGTGATAGTGGGGAACAGAATCCATCCGACGATGGCAACGCCAATGGTGGGAACCCAGTCCGGCATCAGTCCGTAGAACCGGTGCTTGGCTGTCCACCAGCAAAAGAGAACGACGTAAAAGTTATAGCAGAGGGGCGCGAATGCCAGAGACACCAGCAGCTTCCACGTAGCCATCACATCTCGTCCCTGGATCTTCACGGTGGATCCCTTAAGCGCCTCCTTAGCCTTTTGGATCGAGATGATCTTTGTGGCAATGAAGACCGGGAGGAAAAGTATGAATCCAGGCAGCGCCCCAATGCCGAGGATGACAAGTTTGAAGACGCGGTACACCAGGGTCCAGATAACCTTGACGATGGAGAATTTGGCGTACTCCACTTGGTGATCCCTAAGGCCGAGCAGGCGCAGTTGACGGTTGTATTCCGAGACGGATTTGCGCAAGTTCACCACCCGGAGGTCGTCCTTGTAGTGTACGTATCCGTTTACTAGGCGACGGTTCAGCTCCACCACTGCCGGAAGCGGGAGCTTCTTCTGTGTCGGCTTGTATAGCCTGCGTGCAGCTTGGATAACCTGTCAAAAGTGTGAGCGCTTACTCCCCAGTCATTCCCGGCGAGTACTGGTATCATACCATCAAGGTGTCATAATCGGGAGAAGTAACGGTGACGGCAAGCAATCCATTGTAGATGAGCTCAAGCAAGGCTCTAACAGCTTCCCTCTTTTCACCACCCCGGTACATCTCCACCAGCTCCTTCGGGACTTCAATCGGATTGCCGAACTCAATCACAGCCCTCGACCGGAACTTGTGCGCATGGAAGTAGTTCATGCCCGCAGGGACAATCTTCAGGTCGCAATCCGGGTTCGCGGCGAGGGCTCCAAGCGCCATGATAGCGACACCAGCCTTCAAAGGCAGCAGCTCCGTTCTGTCGTGACTACCCCCCTCGGGAAAGATACCGACACATCCGCCCGAGTTCAACCTCTCAAACACCGCATCGTAAACCATGGTCTGATCCACCTTGGGCGCCTTCTTGAACTTAGTGCCCAATCCCTCCTTCGTTTTCGCCGTCAACTGTGCCATGGCACTCGACGCCTTAAACTCCTTCTTCAGGACGATCTCCTCATCGTTCAGAATCTCGGCAATCTCAGAGCTGGCGGCACTCCGCCCACCCACCGACGGCAGGACCAACAGTCCGCCAACCATACACTCTTCGGTGAACTTGGTACCGACACCGCGGATGGTCAAGAGATCCTCACGGTTCAGCAAGTAGATGCGCCCCGTTCCGGGCGACGTCATGTCCTGTGCGCGGGCCACGGGCACCGCTCCGACGCGGCGCGACAGCCATCCGATGAACTTGCGGCGCATGGATTTCTCGGCGACAAGAATGGCGAGGCGACGGCGCGCTTCGAGCCGCACGGCGCGCATGAGAATGAGCGGGTCGACAAACTACGGTACCAAAGTCAAGTCAGCCCACCTGTATCCGTCTGCATATCCTTATCGCGGGGAAGGCAGAGAGAGGGGACAAGAAGTTTGCCTACTACTCGCACCACCTCTGGTTGTCCAGTGGAAAATTACCCACCTGGTTTGCATGCGGGGCAGCAACGAAGATAACAGCGCCCCGTCTGGGAATCCTGAATGCGCCTCGGGGGTGAACTTCACGGAAGAACAGGTCCACCAGAACTGTTGTCTATCAGCCCACTCGCTCCCTCAAAGCTTCACTTCCCTTCTCTCTCACTCGTGAGGGACACTAACGCGAGAACGACCAGATAATGAGGTCGTAGCTCCAAGGCACCATAGGCGCAAAATCTTTCGGACCCGACATTGTGGTAAGGAGCGCCTCGACCGGTGGTTAGGCTCCGATGACGTTGGGGGAGAACAAAACGAAACTTTGAAGAATGAATAACAGACGGGCAGAGGAGAAGTTTATATCGAGAGTTTCTTGAGAAAAGGAGAGAGAGCGAGAGGGGGAAATTATGGGAGTTTCAGCACATGTGTCGAGAAAGTCCAGTTCAAGTGGATGGATGAATGGATGGAGTCGTTGCTACAGCTAGCGTGGAGGACGATAGGGCCGCGGATGGCCAAGAAAGGGAGGCTGATTTCCAGGGATCCCTTGGCGCATTCACCTCCATGGGTTCCAGCCTATTAATCTAGTGGCTTTTCAACCACACCGAGTGATCTCGACTTGTTATTGAAGAATATAGAGCAAAGTCACCTTTCATCATGAGATTCACCTATGCATCACAGACAATGGTGGCAAGCCCTTTGGACTGTCCTATACCGACCATGTTGGTCACTTTTTGACGGTCCGCTTCGCTGAAGCCGGGCCAGCTTTCGATCAGTATCAAAACTCGCCGCCACCGCTCCTCTTGTTGTGAGCTCTTTCTCACAATTCGAATGGAGAGCCCGCGGATCCACCATAGCAATCGTAACAGAGAGATCTTCAATTTATTTCGCATGCAGCCTATCTAGACTATGGTGAACTGTCACACTCCTTTCCAACCATAGCAATCGTACCAGGTGGTGGTTAACCCAGTGCCACATAGTGATCTCGAGTGATTTGGAAGCTAGGTACCGTGGATCAACAACCACCGCCGTAGATTCCAATCACCAGAGTCCCAAGCCCAGTGCCCACACAACCACCTCACCTACACCCCTCTGCCGGCACAACATCCTCGGTGAAGACATGTACATATAAACAGGGAGCCGGATCAGATGTCCATATCTCGCGGGCGATGGGATCGCCCCAGGGAGTGCACGTGTAGTTACGGCCCGGCCCGGCCCACCTGGCACCCACCTAGCACCCACCCGCCCAACCATCGTCAGTAAAATAAAATGCTGTCCAACCCATAACCTTCACGACAACCCGGAATATGCTCGGCGATGCTGGCAGCTGGTTGGATCCCGGTGGTCCTGTCAGTAAGTCGGTCCAGTAAGCCAGTCGGTTCAGTCAATCCAGTCGATTCCCAGAATTGAAGTCTAGACTTTATTGTACATAGCAATCCCCGGTGTATGGCGTGGTGATGCCCTATGAATCCTGATGGTTGGAAGAAATTCACATGTGCTCCGCGGCTACTCCCTCGCGTTCCCCTGCAACTTATGTCGTTTAAAAATGTGAAGATACTCTCGGTGAGAATCGTCGACCACCCGGGAGGAAGGTTGGAAGAATGGATGGAAGAACGGCAGTAATACCGGCCGGCCGGGGTCCGGCCCACGCCGTGGGCAGCATGTGCTTTCTCATCTCGAGTTACCATGTGATTTGATAATGCAGTCTTTTTTCCGCATCAATCGGTATCTACTTGAGTAAATAGCACAGATGATCGTTACGGTCGACAAATAACAGCTCAATCGTCTATAAGAAGAGGCCAAAATCCGCAAAATCCGCAATAAACAAAGCCACAAATTTCCACCCCGCCCCAATCCTTAACATGGCCAAATACTATCAACAAAAACATACGCACCCAAAAAAACATAATAGCCAATATCGTGCAACCAAAAAACGCAATAGAGTATTAAGGTCTCTTTTTCTACGGAAGGAACAATAACGCAGTGGGGTAGATAGAGTACATAGCAAGAGTACATAGCAAGAGGATGCACAAGTACATGATGCAAACAATGGCCAGCAACCTTACATACGAAGAAACGAGTCCCATCGTGAAAAACAGGAAGGGGAAAATGAAAAAAAGCAATCGCAATCGCCGCCATGTAAAAGATGATGTACGCCTTATGAACCCGACCCGACCACCCAGTGCTAGTTACGTAGAAATGAAACGAGAAGGAAGCCAGAAACACACAAAAAAGAAAGAAAGAAACGGGGGAAAACGAAACCTCTATTGTGTAGTACACCCTTCATGATTCATTCAAAGCAACATGTAGGCATAGGAAGGGGATGCGTGCATCTAGACAACCTTGAGGGCCTTGCTCTCGACAGCATCCTTAGCAAAAGCCTCCGGGGAACGATCGAGCAACGCTTCGAGTTCCGCGTCCGAGAGTATCTGATCTCCCTCTTCGACCACTGTGACCTTTTCGAAATCCTCTTTCAGAATAAGCGAATCCAAAGCCTCGGCGTCGTCTTTAGAAGCGTCCTTGGAAAAGCTCTTGAATTTGCCCTTCTGGATGATTAGCTTCTCGAGGCGACGCTTGCCATCAGCCTTGTCCAGAAGAGTCTGCTCGACGGTATTCGCGGTCGCAAACCGGTAGATGACGACGGGCTTCGTCTGGCCGATGCGGTGGGCGCGGTCCTGAGCCTGTAAGTCCATCTGGGGATTCCAGTCACTGTCAAAAAGGATGACCGTGTCCGAACTCGTAAGCTACAATATGCATCAGTATGTGAACCGGCATGAGGCATGAAGGAGAGGAGTGCATACATTGATACCGAGACCACCGGCACGGGTCGTCAACAGGAACAACTTGGCTGATTCTGCAGTATTGAAGCGTTTAATGGCGGCACGGCGGTCCACCTGCGCAACCGCACCATCGAGACGACACACTTCCCAACCATGTAAAAGCTCAGCCCAATCATGAATGATATCGAGCATGGCCTTGAATTGGCTGAATATGAGGATCTTATGCCCGCGCTCAATGAGAGCGGGAACCAGACGCTCCAGGAGCATCATCTTCCCGCTGGAAGTGACCAAGGTTTTGTCCGGGACTGGCTTATCATGGAAGGGCCAGAAGAAGTGGTGGGGCGTGTTGCACACCAAACGAAGCTGCATGATCATGTTCTGCAACTTCTTATTCCCAACCTCGCGGACTACTCGATCGTCAGATGGGAAGACCTAGAAATAAGGGTGAGAAGGGGATCACTTACGGGAAGTCATAACGGCCTTCTGATGCTCAGACATCTCCGGAACCACTTCATCCTCTTCAGTAGAAGCATTACCCTCTTTCTCGAATGCGGTATACCATTCGCTGAACGGTACGTCCTCTCGATAACAAACGGCCTTGCGCGTACGCTTTCCCTCCACAAGGACCGAGGACTCCGTCTTGGTCTTCTTGGGGGTAGATCCGTTTTGGCCTTCGACAAGTTTGCGCTTCTTGGTAGACGAGTCGTAGGTGACTTTGTCCTTGTTGAGGATTAGGTCCGTCAAAAATTCGACGGCTCTATGCTCCAACAACGCTCCGTAGAGGCCCTTCTGCAACGGAGACAGCGGCGCGTACAAGATGTACTCCTTCTTCGGCGGCAGATCCGTTTCCACATCCGTTTTCACCCTCCTCAGGAGAAAGGGCTTGAGAAGCGCATGTAACGAGCCAACTAGGTTCGTCTCTTCGTTTTCCTTCATGAACGCCGCATGCGCGGCTTTGTCCTTATCTTGGATTTTGCTAAAATCAAAGTAATTCTCGAAGTGAGAGAAATCATCAAAGATTTCGGGGATGAGAAAATTGAGCAAGGACCAGAGCTCTAAGAGGTTATTCTGTAGAGGTGTACCCGTTAGGAGAAGACGGTTCGAGGATGTATACGTCTTGAGCTCCTTCACGAGCTTGCAGTTCATGTTCTTGAGTCTGTGCCCCTCGTCGATAATGACGTACTTCCACTGGTACTGGCTGAGGACGGGTTTGTCACGGATGATCATCTCATAATTCGTACAGATGATCGGGAACTCTCCGGAGGCGATCAGGTTCTTGCTCATATGGGTGCGGCGAAGCTCCGCACGTTCCTTCGGGTTGCCATGGTAGAGCAGCTAGAAATCTCACAATCAGCCTCCACCACCAACGCGGAATTGAGTTAACGAAGAGGGAGTACTCACAGCTGGCATGTCCGGCGCCCATCTAGCGATCTCGTCGACCCAGGAGGAAAGAACGCTAACCGGTCCGACCACCAGAAATGGACCCTTGATCCCCTTTTCCCTCAGGAACGCGAGGAAGCTGATTGTCTGGAGCGTTTTTCCGAGGCCCATCTCGTCCGCAAGGATACCGTTGAGACCGTTCTCGTACAAAGTGATCAGCCACTCCAGACCTTCAAGCTGATAGTCCTTCATGATCCCGCCAGTGATCAACTTCGGCTGCCGAGCGGACCTCAACTCCTTATGTTGTCCCAACTTCTCACCGTCGTTATCTGATGCCGCAGCCGCCAGCGCCGCCGATGTGGCGGCCGCGCCGACAGGCCCAGCTGTATTCCCGAAAAACGAATCGATGGTAGCATTCTTCGCTCCTCCCTTCTTGGCCTTGGCCTTACCCTTACCCTTGGTCTTCTTATTTCCCTTTCCGTTGGTGGTGGTAGCAGCCGTCGAGGTCGAGGTCGAGGTCTGCGGCTCCCCCCCCTTGGCAAGCTCCTTTGCCCGATACCTCTTCAACTGCTCGGATATTATGGAAACATAGATGGAGCTCTGCTTCATTAGGAACTCGACAGCAGTGTGCGACTCGTTCTCTAATTGCACCACCACACCAATCAGATCTCTCCTAAAAATATATATCACGGGCGCACATACACACACGGAGGAAGGACTTACGATCAGAGATGGGCTTGTTGTCTTCCCCGACAACCTTGGCTTCGTTCTTTTCGTCGTCCTTAGGTGCAATTGAGAGTCCTTCGATTCCCGTGCCCGAGACGGTGGAAGCAGGAGTCTCGACGCCGTCGCCGTCGCCAAAGCTCGAAGTAGTTTCACTCATTGTAGTGCTTTGTACGCCAGGTAGTGCGTCAGGTATAGTTCTCGGTTCGCGAGGAAGCGCGGAAGCAAGCAATGGAGGAGGAAACGCGTAAATAGAGGGCGAGAAAGGGAGGTGCTTACAGTTGTGTGGGAAGACGCGCCGCCATCCGTAGTGACCGTGGATAAAACCGCTTGGGAGTGATGGAACTACTGTCTAACCGTATGCAGTATGGTGGAAGGGGGGGCGGGCTGTGACCTTGGGTCTAGATCTGCCGGTGGGCTGTGGTGGGACCGGTACGACGGTCAGGGTTGCGGGATCTGGTGTGACGTGCACGATACTCATCAGGGTTAGTCCATGAAGCCCACCGTGGCTCTGCGGAGAGTCGCCGGCTATGATGCGCATATGGTAGAGTCGTCGGGCGTGTTCGTGGAGCGCTGAGTCGTCGATGCTTGCGGTGTGGCACAATGGAGAAGCTTTGATATTGGCCCAGTACCATGGGTGGCTTTGCTCCGTGGACCGTGGAGAATCTCCCCGGTACCATGGCCTTGATCTCGATGCAGCTCAATCGCCTGGACTCCGGGAAAAAGAACAAAACCAGATCTCCCTTTCCTTAATTAACTAGCCACAGAAGATATTGCCATTGCCTTCAATTGCTAAAAACAGGTGCATGTGGAATACAAAATTATGGCCCGAAACTACTGCTCCTAACCTCACAAGACAGTCGCCGCCAATCGCAACGTATGACTCCAGACTCCCTCCATCCCTCGGTACAAAACCCCAGTTTTTTGGCGCCAGACTCCCAAGTAACAATTAATAATCACTCACACCCGTGCATGAGCTCGTTCTTTGGCCACGGGTATCCCGTATCATCCCAAGTCTATCGATTCGTGAGCCTTGGGCCAAGAAACGGGCCATTCGGAAATCAGACGACAACTTACGGTGAGGTTGGAATTTTGATACGCTTTCGGGTGCTTCCTGATATAAGAAGTCGTAGCATACCCAGCTGTATTCCGTCAGTCAGCAATGTTCGTCAACTATGTAGCCGCAGAGAATTACGTGGATCGCAAGTAATAGACTCTTCTCCTTCCTTCTGGTAGATGCGAACGTAGTCAATATACATCGTCGTTCCTTCGGCCAGTCTCGGTCTGCCATCGTCAGCGCCTATAAAAAAATCTCTCGGATTGGCTCCGTCGATTCTCACCCAAGCGTGGCCCAGTCGATCCAAGTCCACGACGAGCTCATCCCAAGATTCAATATTATTGACATCGGCTCGCGAGAGATGTCCCGCTGCCCGATGTTTCCGTTAGGCCCCGTTGCTTTGCCTTTTTTCCCCCATTCACCTCAGTATTTGGATGCTCGTGGAAGGAAGCAATAGCTACCTGACATGCGGAATGTCTCATCGTCACCAACAAACCATGCAATGGCTCCATCTTCTTGTCCGGGGATGTACTCGAATGCATACTTTTGATACTAGTACTACTTGTCAATCTGTACGTCCGAGATAGGTAGGATGGACCGTCTTACCTGGACCTCATCGTACCAGTCGTTGTTGAGCATTGTGACACCTGCTGATTGTGAGGATCGACTTCACAAGAGATGGATGAAAGCTTGCCCACCACTTATAGCCTGCTGGTACGGGCCACCTCGCCATCCGTTCAACTGAGTGATCTTGGTATCCCGTATGGCAAGGAAGTTATGGTCGACTCGGTACCAAATATCGAATGGAGCCTACTGACTGACCGTAAGCACTATCCCACACGTGCATAGCTGGTAAGTAGGATACCGACCACCTGACTGGACTGGGTAACGACGCCGACCCGCATATCATACTCCGCCGCTCCCTCCAAGGCATCTATCTCCGGCGCACCTCTCCCCCTTCCTGGCGTAGGATGGTCCTCACCGGTACACACACATTTCGCGAGTCGCTGTCCCGGCAGGAACGACAAACCATCCGCGCTCGACTGATTCGGCGTGATTCCAGCATCGCACTGATCGTAAGAATAAGGCCAGACGCCATCACTCGTCGCACGGTAGCCGGGGCGTGCAAGGTTCCCCAGCGTCCAAATCCCCGGCCACAGTCCGGGCACACCGGCAGGTCCCGCAAGAGATGCCGAGACCTCCATTACTCCGCCCTTGAAGCACATCTTGTTCCAGCTCTGCAACATTCCGGAACGGTAATCCAAATTGTGGTTGGGAATGGCCTGCATTTTGATCTGCAGGGTCCCGTTGGCCGTCGTTATGGCGTCCGGGTCGTACCATTCCAGGTCGTTTGTTGCAGCGTAGTGGAAGTCGGCCGCTTGCCAGAATTGGTCGTCGCCTTCGTAGAATGTGCGGCCGTCCTGGTTGAATTCGTCGCTGAAGACGAGTTTGAGCTTGCCTTGGCCCAGGACAGAGTCCCGTGTCATGGCGTACTTGGGGGTGTCCGGATCGATCAACGAGGTCCTCACGGCACCTAATATCGGATGCTTGTGTTTCGATATCTCCTCGCCTTCCCTATCCGAATTATCTCTCCCAAGGTGCCCATAAGTGACGATTGGCCAGACAATAAACAACACCGCTGGTCCGATCATGAGCAAGATGAAGCACATAAAAGTGAGCAGAAACCTCCAGCTGCAATGAGCAAAACACTCCTTCAGGCCGAGGTGTCTATCATCCTCCCCGTCCGGATTATGCAAGCTATCGTCATCCTCCTTCTCATCGATGGAAGGGTACTGTACCGGCGGGCCCTGTCGTTGCAAGTAGGGCGAGTACCCCCGCTCGGGATCACTCGTATCGAACCCGTGGCCGAGCTGCCTCACATCCCCATTGACGTGCAGCCCACCCGGCGTCCACGACGACAACGACGAAGGCGTAGCCAAGTCGACCAATGTCCCGGACGGCTGCCTGGACGGATACCTCGAGAAATCCCTGCCCACACTCTGCAGGGAGACAGCGGGCGACGGCCTCCTGAGGGTATTCCGCGGCGACGACGGCTCCGAGCCCGCCAGCGAGCCCTCCCCGTCCTCGACCAGCCCCGGTCCCGGCCGCCCCACAACCCGGATCTTCAGGCTCCTTATGCTCCGCCGAGGCACCAGCGGTGGCTCCAGCGGCGGCTCCGAGCTATCGTCGCTCCCCTCACTGCTGACCGCGCCGTCGGCACCCGCCCTCAGCGGCGAGGGGACGACGGGAACGTAGTTGGTGCGCTTGCTGCCCGATGAGTACAGTATCGCGGCCACGGTGGCCGCGTCCTGGTCCAGGCGGCGGTGGCGCCATGGGCGTCGGCCCGGAAGTAATGGGGCCCCCGTACGCCGTCCCCCTACTCCAACGGCTGGTTCCGAGGGTTTGCTGCTCATTGAGCTGGTGATACGGTAGGTGGTTATGGCCAGTCGAGGAGGCCGGTAGGATACGTGCGTGTGAGCTGATAGGGTAGCCAAAAATGCTTGGATAAAGGAATGGAGATTGAGCTGTGGATACGAATGAGGGGCAGTGTGAGAGAGATGTAATAGTACTAGGAAGCTACTACAATAATCTTAAGGTAACGAGTGTCCTAGAGCTACGAGCGGGCCCGGCTGCAAGCTGCAAGCTGCAGGCTGCTGCTATGGGAAGGGCAGTCAATGGTAATAGTGTTCGGACCACCTGGAGCTCACAAGCTTAATAACTTACAGCTCAATGCGGAGAGGAACAGAGTGGCTCCAGGATTTTTAAGGTCCTGGACAGTGGGAGGCAGTCGTCCAGCAGGAGCTTAATCCGTTTGAATTCCGCCCTGAACCAGCCACATCCACATGTCACTCGTCCCGTGCACTGACCAGTCAGTCACCAGTGCCAGATGCAATAAGCCCCCATTACATCACCAAAGAAGCTTTATCCCCACTGCTCCACTGCACATCCTCTCGTCTCCTCCACGACAGTTCTATCCAGCCCGTTTCACTATACACATCGACCGAACACCACACCGCACTTAACCAGAAAAAGATAAACCAAAATGACCACCCGTTTCCTCCTCCGGCAGAGTACCTAGCACCCCACTCAAGACCTTAAACAATCACAGCTGCTAACACATCCACCTCCAGCCATCCCCATCCGCAGCCGCTCCATTGGCCTCCCCCGCATCCGCGCCGCGACCACTCACGCCGCCGCGACCACCTCAACCGCCGCCCCCGCCGCCCCTCCCCCCCCCACACCAGCGGGCACGATCCCCACGACCACCTCAGCCGCGCACGAGCTGCTAGTCTCGCAGCGCCTCTCGCGGCCATTGTCACCACACCTAAGCATCTACCAGCCGCAGCTGACATGGTACGGTTCAGCGGCAAACCGTATCACGGGCGTGGCTTTATCCGGTCTGATCTACGGCTACTTCATCGGGTACGGTCTCGGGGTGCCTGGATTCGACGTTGCCAGCCTGGCCTCGTCGGTTGCGGCGCTGCCTTGGGCGGTGAAAGTCGCGGGGAAAGTGGCGGTTGCGTTGCCGTTCACCTATCACTCGCTGAATTCCCTCAGGCATCTCGCCTGGGATATGGCGAGGCTGCTGGATATTAGGGATGTCTATCGTACGGGCTATGCCGTCCTGGCGCTGACGGCGGTGGTGTCGGTTTGGTTGGTTTCTTTGTAGGAGAGACGCGGGACGAGGGAGGGAGGTGAGGGAAAGTAAATTTTTATTTTTATAATGCATGTAACAAAAGTCTTGTCTCTAACGCCAGTATCCATTCATCCATCCAGCCAGCCAGAAAGCCAGCCGTTCATCCATCCCATTCATCCACCTGTACATCGTTGCCCTGTCCCATTCGTATCACTCGCAACCAAAACCCCATTGCACGTGACTACCTACCATACATATCGTATCCTATCGTATCCTATCATACACACACAAAGAGATGAGATTAGCTGATCCCGTCTATCGTCTTCCGCCCATCTATAATTTTTTCTTCTCCGCCGACTCATTTGCCTTGTCCACACGTATTGTCTGGGATTCCTGTTCCGCCTGAAGCTGCATCTGCGCAGCGACCTGTCGACACGCGCGCTCGCACTCCACCACCAACGCGGGCACATCAACGACCTGTGCGATCTGTCGCAGCATCAGCACCAAATCAATCTTCCAGGACCACGGGGGGGTATGTAGAGTATGCGACTAACATCCTGCGCATCCTGCTCTCGGAGCAAGAGCACATCCTCCTCCTCAGCCACGGGCGGACCCTGTTTCCTGGCCTTCTTAATTACCTCCGCGGCATCGGTAGTAGTCCACTCGACGCTCGTCATTGCCTTTAGTGCCCTCGCATCGATGGTGACGGCTTTCCTATGCCTTGTATACACCTCGTCGAGCGCGGCGCTGGGCACAGGTTGGAACATCCCATTCGCCGCCAGGAAGCCGAGGTGTTTCGCGCCCTCGAGCGCCTTCCAGTGCGAGAAGGCGCGGTACGCTAAGTAGAAAAACGGCAGGTTCGGGATCACGGGGACGAGTGCGAAGGGTGCGGAAATCGGCATGCCGATTAAAGACCAGATCAGCCGCTTGCGGTGCACCGCGTTACGCTCGGTTGAGAGGCGCGATAGAAGCCCCGCTACCGAGGAGGAAGAGATTATGCTAGGTGGGTACACCACTTCGATCTTGGCCCCGGCGATTTCGTCGGCCTGGCGCCGCGCGGAGAGCGGGGGGATCGATTTGAGACCCCTAGATACACACACGGTCAGCCCAGGGGAGGGTGCGCGGGATGGGTGGGGGATATAGTTACCATTCTTCGAACGGTATCCGGTTGAAAAGTTTGTTCCCGTATTCTGTCACCCGTTTCTGCCAGCCTTTTTCTGCAGACTCCTAGATATGACGCAAGCACGCACGCATCAGCTCCGGCGCAACTCCCACGTCGATACTCCATCCGCACTCCAGGGAAAAAGAATGCCGTACCCATTTCAGCCACAACTGTGAGGCGCGGCTGGGTCAGAAGAAGTGCATTGAGTCAGGCACATGTAGGTAGACGGCGACCGGACTCAAAGCGCGCAGGACCAAGACTCGAGACTCACGTAGACGCTTTATCCGCCAGCGACGGCTGCGCATGCGTAATCTTGTTCAGGCGCTGTCCGTAGATGAGGGTTCGCCGCGCCGAGATCGGGATCAGGAATAGCCTCATGGTTTCTCTTGTCTGTCTTGGGGGGGATGCGAGGACGTGAGTTCGGGTTCTGTAAGGTAGGTTGGTGGGCGCGATGGATGTATGGAGGTACGTAAAACTTTGGCGGGGCAAATGTTTGGCCGAGGGGCAGCTCTTCCAAGTTTATGTAGTACCCACTCTACTCTACTCTGCTCAGGATCTGCATGTGCTCTTCTTCTCATCCTACGTAACAAGCGCTAGCGAGCGCGAAGGCAAAAAGTCCACGACGTGCCGGGCAACCAGGCACGAAAACCGGCCAGTGGAGTGGGTAGTGGCCACAACAAACAGCGGCGGTCGTTGCAAGTGGCTAGAAGATTTGGAGCGCTGGACAAACATAGGGCACTGGTGTGGCTGAGCATCGACGGCAACGCACACTAGAATTCTCGGTGCCCGCAGCCAGTCGCCGGCGACGGGCCCGTCCAGCTGGTGAAGAAGCTTCGTTCATTCTTTCTGCCTACCGTATGTACTGCACGCCTGGATCCGGGCGGTCTAGGAAGACGCGGCTCCGTCTAGGGTACGGTACGGTAACGTTTGTGCTCGCGGATCTGGAGCACTAGTGATCCCTGCGAAATCTTGTCTCGTCTCGCGAGCGAGCGAAGTTGGTGAGCCCTAGAGATGAGGAGATATCGATGACCGCGCTGGTTCGATGGGATGGGATCCGGGGACGAATCTTGGGGCACGGATCGGAGGGGGTTTGTGAAACAAGACAGGATGAAGCAACCGCGCGCCTGCCTGGGGACGATCTGGAGAGAGCTCGGTTGTGATAATGCAATTGGCATCGAGACTTGTGGCTTGACTGGCAATTAAGTAAGCAATGAGCATCGAGTACTACGGTAGTACTAGACTCTTCGTGAGATGCGGAATCTTGTAGAGTAGAAATCATACCGTTGCCGTCCGCGCAAGCCGAACAATCCAGCAGGTGTCACCAAGTCGGCTTCTCGAGCTGGCGAGTCTTGAACCAGCTGGATGCGAGAGCGAGACTGTGACTGGACCTGCAGTTCCGGGATTGCGCCAAGTCTCCGGCAAGGAAGGCGCAGCGAGGACACGGAGAGTCCATAGCCCGGCAGGAAGCACAGGAAGAACAGCGCACTGGAGGCTGGTACGAGCCTCGTAGCAGCGGGGGAAGTGCGGAACAGAACCCCGGACCGATCAGGGCAATCGCAGGCTTTTGCATGACAGCAAGACAGTGGGAACTTGGAAGGTCACGGTGTGTCCGGGCCTCAGCTTGACTCTGTCGTTCTGAACGGATACGAAGGCCAGATGTCACCCGGCCTTTGCCCTTCGGAGTCTTCCTTCGATCAATGTTGCCAGCCACCGCCAACACCGTATTCCGCACAACCAGCTGATGGCTTCGGGACGTCAATTGCTGCGATGCTGCTGCTGCTGCGGGGCTGAGTGACCGCACGCGCATACACATGCAGAGCACCTTGGCTGACGATACTGTTCGTGTGACTCTGCTCCAACACCTCCCCAAGACCCGAGAGGTTTGGCATGAATGCGGCACGCAGGAATCCTTACAGTTGGTACATACCCGACCATGCTCCCATATTCTTCACGACCTACCTACGGTACCTACTATATATGCTCCTGACGAAACACGGCCTACATCAATCCCACATACCTGTTGTGCAGAATCTCCTCCTCTCCACAGCATCTCTATTTCTACGTCATACCCTGCCCCGGCATCACGTCTTTGTTTTGTCCGATCGCTCTCAGTCGTCGCGCAACGCCACACCGCATTGCGCTTAGAACGCACCCTCCCCTCCCCCCTTCGACCTTCCCCTGTCTCTGCATTCCCTCATGATCCCCCCAAGTCGCAGCAATTTGCAGCCTAGCCACCCCACCGAACTTCCCTGCTCGCATGCCGCATCGACGCCAGTTCCCTGGTCACAGAGCAGGCAGCATACAGCATACTTTACATAGAAGGTCCGACAGGCGACACAAGTCGCGACTGCAGACGAATATTCGCCTCGTCCTCTGAATCTTGAGGAATCACCGACAGACACACGAACAGTCACTTACGCTTGTCTCGCCCGCTTCTAACTCTAGAGTGCCCGTCCAATACACATCACCGAGCTTTCCACACATAATCGAGCGCCCATACCTCCTCGACTAGGTAGATACTGGTAAATCGAATCAAACGCCCCAAAAAAAAACTCTCCAACAATCTCAAACACACACACACACCCCCCAAGCCTACTCTGAGCTGTCCAATCCATCGAAAGCCTTCGCCCACTGAGGCGATGGCCGCCCATCCCGCCGCTCCCCACGATGTGCTCCCAAATACCAACAAAAACAACAACACCACCACCACCAACAACAACACCGCAACCCTCTCCGCTTCCTCAGCCGCTGCCAATGGCCTGGCTCCTCTAATCATCCCGCATTCCATCTCGGACCAGTCGGCAATGTCTCTGTCGCATCAGAGGAAGCACGATGGACTTGGCACTGCCACCGGACGCGCAACATCCTCAGCTGGAAATTCACTCGACTCCTTCAAGTCCTTCAGCGAGGTCGCTGCTCCCACCACCATCACCGCCAACGACCACGGTGGCCGGGAAGCTTCTTCTACATCTATGTCGCCAGAACCAGCGCGGCACGTACGGACTCTACCCAGTTTGTTCCCCCCTACCCTGCCGGCTATGTATACCGAGATCGACAAGAAAGAAAGAAAGAGAAAAAAAAAGCAGAGAAACCGAGCACAGCCCCACTACGTTCGATAGCTAACGCTGCTTGTGTGCTCTTTCAGCTTGGGTTCACACACGAGGAGAAGATGAAGACGACGAGATCACATTCCCCCGGCTTCCGCCACCGCTCGCCCGAAGACCCCCGGGTCCCTCCGTCCACGATGCGCAGCGCGAGAAGACGCCGGTAACGCCATCGGCTCCGAGCTACAACAATCACGGCGGCGGCGTCAACCAGACTAGCAGGTGGCGGGGCTTCGTCGAAGGCACTGCCCTCTACCCCCCCGGCACATCCTCGCATTCGGAGAAAGTCGATACCGATTGGCTAGCGCAGCAACCGAACCTGGAGGGTCCGTGGCTTGCCAGTACGCAGGATCCCGAGAACGGCGAGGAAGGCTCCGGTGACGATCAACGGGAACTGTTTGGAAAGAAGAAGCGGCGGATATGGTACAAACGGATACACGTTGGGCACCCTCGTCCCCCCCCCCCTCTCTCGCGCCGGCCATGGGCTAAACTTTGTCTGTCCGTCGTAGATCATGCTGTTGAACAGTCCGATGGTCCCTTTGACCTTTCGCTCCATCATCTGGTCGCTGTCGCTGGTGGCGCTCGGGCTCGCTGGTAACATCTTTCACATGAGTAGGACATATGGTGTCGAGCAGAAAGCCTCGACCGTCATGGCAATTGTCGTCGACGCTTTGGCCCTAGTATACCTGATATATATCACATATGACGAATACTCCGGCAAACCGCTGGGTCTACGTTCACCCACTGTAAAGATACGACTGAGTAAGCTCAGCCTTTCACACAAACCAGATGCTTCATCTTCATCCTGACTAACCGGACTTGCAGTCATGTTCGATCTCGTTTTCATCGTCTTCGATTCGGCGAATCTTTCTTTGGCGTTTGATTCTCTCTTTGATGTGCGGTGGAGCTGCCGAAGCACCACCCTTTTTGAAGGCGATTCTGTAGTAACACACCCACCTCCCCGACCAGAAAAAGACGAATTTTAGTACTGACAACACAAATTCAGGCAAACCGGACCATAGATCCTATTTGTGATCGCCAAAGGGCCCTAGCAGCCTTTCTCTTCCTCGCACTGTGCGCATGGGTCTTGACGTTTACCGTGAGCGTGTTCAGGTAAGCGGCTTCCCTCTCCGTCTGACGAGCAGCCGACTGATTCTTTCTCCAGGGTTGTCGAACGCGTTGTATCCTCCCGGTAAATCCGTGCGAGGAGCCTCTCTGCCATTCAATTCTTTTCGTTCCTTTCATCTTTCCCATACATACTACATTCCTTCATTTACGGATATTTTTTCCTTTTTTCTTTTGTTCCTTTTGCAGCAGAGCATAGGCTAGGCTTAGGTTGAGAGGGGGAGAGGTATATATACTGGACCAATTTTTTCGGCGTTGTGGGAATGTGTGTTGCGGTGGCATCTTTCTTCTTTTCCTTTCCTTTTCTTTTCTTCACTACTGGTTTGTTCTCCTTTCGATTCTTGTTCTTTCCTTTCCTTTTGCATTGTACATACACTTCACTGTGTGAGTTTCTGTTTTGTTCGTTTCTTTTCTTTTCTTTTCTTTTCGCGACCGCTGGGGTTACTGGTTAATGAGGACGGCGTGGGATGTCCTGTGATTTGGGGCACGGGTTGGCTGATTGGAAGGGAGTGGTTCATCATGGAATAGCACTCGATGTGTTTTGCCATCCACTTCGAGGTTCGAAGTGGTAGCAACGAGATAGTTATCCAAGGTCACCATAGTCTAGACCGGCCGTATGTGACAATAAACTGGTGTTCTCTCTCTCTCTCTAACAAAACATCGAATGAAAATTGATTAGTCTCCCATCCCCGTCGAGTTCGCCTGTGATCTGAATTGTGAAGCTTGGAGTTGACCAACTTGCAGATAGCCTGCGTGGTGTTGGGGTTCACCGTACGGCCCGAGCCCCTCGACGAGCCGGTGTGGGTCGCCTCGCGAAGGGGGATAGAGCTGTGTTCTCATGCAGGCAGTTTTATTGTAACTTCGATGCAGCTTCGAATGTGTATTCCAGAATCCTGCACCGAGTCTCGTCGGTTCTCTTCCATTGCGGAGCACGGACCAACACTAAGTTGACATCGCTTCCAAGACATCAACTGGATAAAACTGCAAGACTTTCAGCCATTCTCCATCACTTTCAACCGCTGTGTCACCAGATTCGCGTTCGGTGAATGAGAAATGCCGAGTGACACGATATGAGTCCGAAGCGCGTCATGTAGGGTAAAAAATCCATGGATTCGGAGCTAACTATTGCTCGCGAAATCGCATCGTATGACTCGAAGGGTGTTCCTGCTGGTCGAACGCGAGCCAGAGAAGGCACCCGTGCTGACTTACATACCGAGTACGTTGTTGCTGCTGCAGGCAACAGGTATTTGCCGATATGGCGTGGTGGATTGAGAACGGGCTGGAGTACCGGGAGACAGACAAACTGGCCTCTTACATAGGAATTGTGTTCTTCTTCTTGACGTATATGCGAGAGAGAGAGAGAGAGAGAGAGAGAGAGAGAGAGAGAGAGAGAGAGAGATAGTTACAAGAGGGGGAATTGTCGAGTGAGGAGGCGGGGCGTTGGAGCTATCGCAGGGATAGATAGCAGCGGACCCTATGCGACCGGCGGTTAGGTGCGAGTGGGGCTCAAAGACTTGCTGGGTGTTACATAACTCAAGTACTTTGCACCCAACTCATACGGTGCTAAGCACTTACTCACAACTCCCAAGATAGTTCACTTCCCTTTCACTGTCTCTCAGCAGTAAACATCTCCTTCAGCATCCATCCATCCCGTCCCAGTAACCCGGCACTCCCCCATCTCGCTCCTCTCCCCCAGATCACAGCGACACACCCCACACAACACAGCGAAGCTAGGCTGGCCTTCACCCCCTACAGTCCCTTCTCCTCCAATCCTCGACGCACATAGCTGGACGGAGGTCATCGGAGGGATAGCTTTCCTGAGACACGCCCCCCCTCGCCCATCACCAGTCTGCCAGCCCACCGAAGACAGCTCCCAGAAGCATACTGCCCGGCAACATCTCCAACATGAACACACCGAATCGAGAGGATCTATCAGCAACGTGAGACCTACTCACCCGCCCCACTACTCTTCCCCCCGCCATCCCCGCCATCCCCCCGCCAGCGCTGGGCTAAGCTTTGCGGTGGACCAAGGTCGCTGACCCTCACGTGTGCAGATGGAACTATCTGGAGCAGGGAGTGGAGAAGATCATGCGGGATCTGAACAGTGGCATGGACATGAATACAGTATTTCCCCGCAGAAATCCATCGAGAAACTGGGTGCAAGGCGAATAGGTTGCTGATGTTGCGTGCTTGCTTGCTTTGATAGTACATGGGTGTCTACACGTACGGCCCTCCTCGTCCTCGTCCTCCTCGTCATCTTCCTCCGGGTTGGTGTCGCTCGTGTGTGTGCGAAAGTATTGACGTTTCGACAGGGCGGTTCACAACTTCTGCACATCTCAACGCGCTGTTAGTGCCAGTCCGTCACTCCAGCAGGCCGCCGGTGGTCATCGAGGTGGTTCGTCTTTCTCCAGGTGCTTCTGTTCTGGCCGTTTGCTGACCCCGCATCAAAGCCAACCTTCTCGGAGAGGATCTATACAACAATCTCATCAATTATTTGTCCAGGCATCTGTCCGGGTTGAAATTTGTGAGCGCGGCTGTGGCATATACTTGAGACGCGCCCGGAAACTGACGGATTTTGGTGGTCAGGAATCGCAGAAGCACGCTGATGAAGCGCTGCTGGCCTTCTACATCAAGGAATGGGACCGGTACACCACGGCGGCTAAGTACATCAACCATCTCTTCCGATATCTCAATCGACACTGGGTGAAGCGGGAGATGGATGAGGGGAAAAAGAACATCTATGATGTTTACACGGTATAAATCCTGGTTTACGGGCTTCTTGATGGTTCCGCCCACTGACAGTGTCTTTAGCTTCATCTTGTGCGATGGAGAATGGACCTCTTCGATGACGTTCAGAAGCACGTTATGGATGGAGTGCTCAAGCTCGTGGAGAAGCAACGCAATGGCGAAACCATTGAGACGGCGATGGTCAAGAGCATTGTCGATTCGTTCGTGTCACTCGGTCTGGACGAGAACGATTCCACAAAGTCAACGCTCGATGTGTACCGCAAATACTTCGAATTACCGTTCCTAGAGGCGACGACGGCCTATTACCAGATCGAGTCCAAGCAGTTTGTGGCGGAGAACAACGTTGTTGAGTACATGAAGAAGGCAAGCGGTCCACCCCCGTTAGGTAGCGGTTGACGCATAGGCTAACGTCTGATACAGGCTGAGACAAGGCTGACGGAGGAGCAAAACCGGGTACAAATGTACCTCCACCCCGACATCAGCGGGCCTTTGATGAAGACTTGCGAGCGGGTACTTATTCAGGAGCACGCGCCACTACTACGAGAGGAGTTCCAGGTTCTGCTGGATAACGACCGTCAGCCAGACTTGCAGCGCATGTACAACTTGCTCTCACGCATCCCTGACGGATTGGATCCTCTTCGTACCAAATTCGAGGCGCACGTACGACGGGCTGGTACGTCCGCGGTGGACAAGATCGCTGATGGGGGGGACAGTCTTGAGCCCAAGGTGTACGTGGATGCTCTTCTCGAGGTCCACACGCAGTACCAGAATCTCGTCAACACGGCATTTAAGGGAGAGGCCGAGTTCGTACGGTCTCTGGATAATGCTTGCCGTGAGTTCGTCAATAGGAATCAAGTCTGCAAATCGGCATCGACAAAATCGCCGGAGTTGTTGGCGAAGTACGCCGACTCCCTCCTCCGGAAAAGCGCAAAGAGTGCCGAGGAATCGGATCTTGAGAACAAACTCACGGCCATCATGACTGTCTTCAAATATGTGGAAGATAAGGATGTTTTCCAGAAGTTCTACTCAAAGATGCTCGCCAAACGTCTGGTGAACAACCTCTCTGCCTCGGACGATGCCGAGACGAGCATGATCGGAAAGCTCAAGGAGGCGTGTGGATTCGAATATACCAACAAGCTGCAGCGCATGTTCCAAGACATGCAGATCTCCAAGGACCTGAACGATTCATACAAGGAGTGGCTCACCAAAATGGCAGACGGCGGGTCAGGAGTGGACTTTTCATGCCAGGTATTGGGTACGTCGTTCTGGCCGCTCAACCCGCCCAACACCCCCTTCAACATCCCCGAGGTCATCGTACAGACCTACTCTCGTTTCGTCGAGTTCTACAACCAGAAGCACACTGGTCGTAAACTCACGTGGCTGTGGCATCTGTGCAAGGGTGATCTCAAGGTCAACTACTGGAAGAACACCAAAGTACCTTACACCTTCCAGGTGTCGACCTACCAGATGGCGATATTGCTCCTCTTCAACGACCAGTTGACGGTGACGTACGAGGACATCGATACCACTGTTGGGCTCACCAAGGATTTCCTGGACCCTTCATTGGGCGTGTTCCTGAAGGCAAAGGTTCTGACCATCTCTCCTCCCGGTTCGAAGCCTGGGCCGGAAACGACATTCACTCTGAACCCAGACTTCAGGAGTAAGAAGATCCGTGTGAACTTGAACATCACGGTCAAGGCCGAACAGAAGCAGGAAATCGAGGAGACCCACAAGACCATTGAGGAGGACAGGAAGTTGTTGATGCAGGTTAGTATTTTGTCAATCTCCCCCCATTATTCCGAGTTTGGCTGACAGTTACCGCCAGTCGGCCATCGTACGTATCATGAAGGCGCGTAAAGTGATGAAGCACGTGGTTCTCGTGCAGGAGACCATCGTACAGATCCAGTCGCGATTCACACCCAAGATTCCCGAAATCAAGAAGTGTATAGACATTCTACTGGAGAAGGAATATTTGGAGCGACTCGATGGCGAACGTCTAGGTAATTATACCCGCATGTGCGTGCATACATGGTTGTGCTGACAATCATTCTCCACAGGTTACTTGGCGTAGAGATGCACCGCTATCCAATTAATAGAAGGTCATGGCCGAATTTTCACGACGTTTCATGCGATGGGCTCAATGTTGGTTTGTTTCCTGTGGCAGCAGCAGTAGCTGAGTGTGGGGGGACTGGTGTAGTTGATTTGGCTGGTAAAAACCTCGGATGGTGTTTTTTTTTCTCTTTCTTTCCCTCTTTGCTTGGGAAGTTTCGGACTGATGAGGTAGGTAGCCTGGTGGTTTATCCATACTGCTTCTTCTCCCTGAACTTTGATTGTTATCCTTACTTCCCGATTCAGGAGTTGAATTTTTCTCTCCCTCCTCCTGTGGTTTTCTTGGCTGTTCTTGTTTTTTTTCTTGTCTGTTTTTTTCTTCTTTCTCGGGATGGTGTATCTGGGAATCGAATGCGTCAAATAGCGGAGTCCTTGCTGGGCGGTTAGCTGGTTTTTTCTACATACTTGTCTGGGGAGGTTGCCTAAATATGATAGAAGGGTGTCTGCTGTCTGTCTGTATTGTACTCCGGGGGACGGGGGGTTGATGTTGTCCGGACTCCTAATCGCTTGCTGGTGATATCCTGAGGAGCGGAGCCGCTTGCCAAGCCAACTAAGTGTCCTATCTACCATGGAAGTGGCTTGCCAGAGGGTTGGTGGAGATCAGCTCCAACAAACTTCCTCTGGTACCTTTTTCGAGTTCCGCCTACCTAGGTTGTCTACACTACATATATTATCTTCTGCACAGCAGAATGCAAATCTCGAAGTAATTAGCAGCCCACCTTAGTGGTCTGTCGATATGGCGATTGCTGTGGGGGTAGAGTTACCTACATCCTGTACTTTCGTAGAGTAAACCGTGGCGTGGTGGGTTGGTTGGAGAGAAAAAGACACGGTAGTGTTTGGGGTCCCAATGCCAAGTTCTGGACCTCCTGCGTGCGCTACATATCAACGTCAACCCAGAACCAGACCAGACGGCAGCTCCATCGCCCATCACCATCGCCCACCCCTCCGGCCTGTGAATCCCCGTCCGTCTCCCTCCTCCCCCCCCCTCGGCAGACCCAAAAGCTTCGCACAACTACGTTATCGTCCGCCTCGCACGCTCGAAGAAGCTCGACTGCTCGACTGCACAGCACACACGAAGAAGGATCCATAGCTCCAACAAACAGCAATATAACCCAATAACTACGTTACCATCAAGATGGATATGGAAGCGCTGAAAGATCAGTGGCTGATGGCGGAGGAGCAGGATGGTGTCCGCTTAAGGTTGTTATCACTCTCCCACCCACCCGCCGGTTCGTGATGGGGATGGGGTTGTGGATGTGGATGTGGATGCGGATGTGGATGCGGATGTGCTGACCCCCCGACGTCGGTCTGCAGTTGGAACGTCTTCCCCAGCAACCGTCTGGAGTCCAGTCGCCTCGTCGTGCCGCTCGGAGTTCTCTACACCCCGCTCAAGGAGAAGGAGAACCAGCCGCCGGTGCAGTACGAGCCCGTCACTTGCAAGTCACCGTGCAGAGCTGTGCTCAATCCTTACTGGTTCGTTTCCTGTCATCACCACCACCTCCGAGATTGGACGGAAGAGGAGGTTGTATGCTGATGAGGATGATGATGTGTCCACAGTCAAGTCGATGCCCGCGCTAAGCTGTGGATATGCCCGTTCTGTCTCCAGAGGAACCAGCTGCCTCCACACTACAAGGACATCGGCCCCAATGCGTGGCCGCTCGAGCTGTCCCCCGCGTATTCGACCATCGAGTACAAGCTTGCGAGGCCCGCCCCCGCCCCGCCGATCTTCTTGTTCGTCGTGGATACGTGTCAAGAGGAGGACTCCCTCAAGGCCCTTAAGGACTCGTTGATCATGAGCTTGAGCTTGCTCCCGCCGCATGCTCTGGTCGGGTTGATTACCTTCGGTACCATGGTATGAAATACGGGGTGGTTTAATCGCGGTGGTGGAGTTGGGACTGATTCGGGGGGTTGTTAGGCACACATCCACGAGCTGGGATACACCGAGTGCGCCAAATCCTACGTGTTCCGCGGCAACAAGGAGTACACGTCGAAGCAGGTGCAGGAGATGCTCGGCCTCCTCGGCTCCGGGCTTCGCCCGCAGCAGCCCATGGTCCCCGGACGCCCGCAGGCGCACATCCCGCCGTCGTCCCGCTTCCTGCTCCCGGTCCAGAACTGCGAGTTCCAGTTGACGAATGCCCTCGAGCAGCTGCAGAAGGATCCTTGGCCGGTCGCGAACGATAAGAGGCCCCTCAGGTGCACTGGTGTGGCGTTAAGTGTCGCTGTGGGACTGCTCGAGACTTCGTTTGCCGACACCGGTGCGAGGATCATGCTCTTTGCCGGTGGTCCGAGCACTGAGGGTCCCGGCATTGTGGTTGGTCCGGAATTGAGGGAGCCGATTCGTTCCCATCATGACATTGAGAGGGATAATATCAAGTACTACAAGAAGGCGACGAAGGTATGGGTTTCCGCTGCCATTTGTGGGGGGAGGCGATGCTGATCGGTCCAGTTCTACGACACAATGGCCAAGCGAACGGCACACAAGGGTCACATTATCGACATCTTTGCCGGATGCTTAGACCAGGTCGGTCTGCTCGAGATGAAGTCTCTGGCCAACCAGACTGGTGGCCACATGATCCTTACCGACAGTTTCACGTCCTCGATGTTCAGGCAGAGTTTTGTCAAGATCTTCGACAGGGATGCTAACGACAACCTGTTGATGGGCTTCAACGCTTCGTTGGAGGTTCTGACTACGAAGGAGCTGAAGGTGACTGGTCTGATCGGTCATGCCGTCTCCCTGAACAAGAAGTCAACCTCTGTTGGAGAGACTGAAGTCGGTATTGGAAACACGTGCTCGTGGAAGATGTGTGGAATCACGCCAACGACATCCGTTGCTACCTACTTTGAGGTTGCATCTCAGGCTGGACCCGCACAGGCTCAACAGGGCCCCCAGAAGGGTATCATCCAGTTCTTGACGTACTACCAGCACGCGTCGGGACAATTCCATCTCCGTGTAACTACCATTGGACGCGACATCACCACTCCGACCGGCGATCCATCCCTCGCCCACTCTTTCGACCAGGAGACGGCGGCCGTGCTGATGGCTCGGATCGCAGTCTTCAAGGCCGAGGTCGACGACGGACCAGATGTGCTGCGGTGGGTGGATCGCATGCTCATCCGACTCTGCTCAAGATTCGCGGATTACCGGAAAGACGACCCGACGTCGTTCCGTCTGGAAAAGAACTTTACTCTATACCCGCAGTTCATGTTCCATCTCCGGCGCAGTCAGTTCCTGCAGGTGTTCAACAACTCTCCCGACGAGACGGCGTTCTACCGCCACGTCCTGAACCGTGAGGACGTCAGCAACTCCCTCATCATGATCCAGCCCACACTGGACTCGTACACGTTCGACGAGCAGCCCCGACCCGTGCTCCTGGACTCCACCTCCATCCAGCCCAACACGATCCTGCTGCTGGACACGTTCTTCCACATCCTGATCTTCCACGGCGAGACGATCGCCGAGTGGAAGAAGATCGGCTACCAGGAGCAGGAGGGATACGAGAACTTCAAGGAGCTGCTCGAGCTGCCCAAGGAGGACGCGAAGGAACTGATTTCCGACCGCTTCCCGTTGCCGCGATTCATTGTCTGCGATGCGGGGGGCTCCCAGGCCCGCTTCTTGCTGTCGAAGCTTAATCCTAGCACTACCCATACTAGCGGTGGCATCGGTGGCGTGTCCCAGAACGCTCAGACTATCTTTACCGATGATGTTTCGCTCCAGACGTTCATGGAGCACCTCATGAAGTGAGTTCACGCTCCCCTCCCCTCCCCTGCCGATAAACTGTGATTTGGGATATTTACTGACGTGCGATGTATAGGCTTGCGGTTACGGGGACGAATTAGTGGGAAGGGGAGAGACGTAATGGACAGGTGATTGCTGCGGCTAGGGTGTGCTAGATGTGTTGTAAAATCTTTTTTTTTACGGTTTCTTGTTTTTTATTCTTCTTCTTGACGCCGTGATTTATTGCTGGAAAGGTCAGCAGAGGTGATGGATCGATGGATGCGTGTTGTTTTTACTTTAGCGTTTGCAAAATACATTGTTCTCCGTGGGCACTGGTCATGGCTGTTGATTCTTGATTCTTGAGAGGTTCTGAGCGCACGTCGTGTCACTCGGGTTTGATGATTTGAGGATTGTTTGATCGTCCTCATGGCTTCCATTCCATTGCTTAGACTCTACTATAGATAGGCCGCATGCGAAAATAAATTGATGTTTTCTCTCTCTCCCTCTCATGACATCGACTCGGTGCATGCATGTCCTTTTTCATTCCTTGATTGCAGAGATGACATCAAAGTCTTCCGCATCTACCATACAAACAACCCAAGTCCTCCAGTCCATTTCCCATCCCCCTCGCAACCCTTCGCAACCCTTAGATCAACAGCCTCTCGATCTTGTCCTTGATAGTCCTGATCTGGGCCTGGAGCTCACTGGCCTCGTTGCTAGTGACGGAGGCGGAGATGACGGAGCGGCTGACACCACACGCGCGGCCGAGCGCAATCTTGCTGGGGATAAAGACGTACGGGACGTTCTTGTCCTCGCACAGCAGCGGCAGGTGCAGCAGGATCTCGAGCGGCTCCGTGTCCGCCGCCATCACGATAAACTCGCTGATGCCCCGGTTAAGAGTCTTTGTCGCCTCGTTCGCACCCTTCTTCAATTGCCGGTAGTGAGAGGCTTGCTGGATGATGTCCAGGATCTGCTGCGTGAGCGCCGCGTCGGCGAGGGGGAAGGCTGCGAGAATGTTAGTTGGGGAGCGTGGAATTGGGGAGCACAACGGATACGAACCCTTGGGGTTGGGAGCGGACATGGTAGTGGTGTTGGATATGTGGTTGAGGAAAAGGGTTCACTGCGGTGGCTCGCCCTTTGTTGTGGAGAAGGAGGTGGTGGAGGTGGTGGTGATGTGAATGAAGATTTGTGAACGTTGGAAAGAGAAGAAAAAAAAGGTGTGGATGTAGCAGTTTTTTTTAGGATGAAGAGAAGGTGCGCCAAGCAAGAGATCAGATAAACCCTGCTGATTAGATAAGGCGTTGCGTGGATTAGACTAATCAGATCGATCACGGCCATTCTTCACACACGCTTTCGCATCCTCTGCGCGCGCCTCCTAGTCCCTCTCACACACCTCGCCCCGACCACCACCACCACCACCACCACCACCAAAGTTCAGACCACAAGCGCAGCGGACTCACACTCACACGCGCGATTCAACCTCAACGACCTTACTCGCCAACCACAGCCATCCAGCAAAACCACGACTCAGCAGCACGCATTCCACGCGCGCACAACACACGCACTCCGTCCGACGCACGCGCTCAATCGACAGCAGCACACTCCTGAATTGCGCCCTGCCCCAATCCCCGGAACCGACCACACGAATGGACCACGGTCACCCACAGCAGCAGAGTAATACGGACGACGATTCGCTAAGTTTCGCCGATAGCCCCGTCGGAAGAATGGACGAGTCTGCGGATGTCACCATGAGCGGCGATGATGCTGCCGTACAGGTATGTTTGCGTCTCTGTCTGTGCGTGGGTGTGGGTGTGGGTGTGTCGAATGAGGATGGATGGAAATGGGAATGGGAATGGGGAGGTTAATGGGGTGCGATACATAGTCGAAAGTGAGCGAGACGGAGGATCAGATCATGCAAGGCGCCGATGATAGTAAGCCGCATTCCGGAGATTCTCAAAATGGTATCGAGGGGGCGACGGCGGCGGCGAATGGCGAAGGGAGTTCCAAGGGAGGTGTTGTTGGTGGTGGTGGAGAGGGGGGGGAGGCATCGTCGACCAACGCGAACAACAACGCCGGCGCCGAAGCTAGCAACTCCAACACCACTCAGACCGTCACCAGCCCCGAAGCTGAAAAAAAGAAGATGGAGGACGCAGCTAGGAGCTACCTCGTCGAGCAGACGCATGCCGTCGTCGTGCCGAGCTACTCCACCTGGTTCGATATGAACAAGATTAAAGACATCGAGAAGAAGAGTCTGCCCGAATTCTTCAACAACCGAAATCGCAGCAAGACTCCGCTGGTGTACAAGGATTACCGCGACTTCATGATCAACACATACCGCTTGAACCCTACTGAGTACCTCACTGTCACCGCGTGCAGGAGGAATTTGGCTGGTGACGTTTGCTCGATCATGCGGGTTCACGCGTTCTTGGAGCAGTGGGGATTGATTAACTACCAGGTATGCAAGCTTCATCGCACATGTATTGGGTGGCAAGCTGATAGCCTTTGTAGATTGATCCCGAGACGAAGCCCTCAAACATCGGTCCACCATACACGGGCCACTTCCGGATCACAGCCGATACACCCCGAGGACTGCAGCCGTTCCAGCCTCCTCCCGGTGCGATCCAAACTGTTGGTAAGCCTCATGCCAGCACCGAGCGTGCCACCAGCGGTACCCCCACCAAATTTGAGTCAAACTTGGAGCTCCGAAAGAACATCTACGACTCTGCTGGCAACAAGATCGCCTCCATGAACGGTGACGCTAAGGATGATGAGCCGGCCGAGAAGAAGACGCATCACTGCTTCGCCTGTGGTGTGGACTGCACGCGGGTGCGCTACCACAATAGCCGCAGCCCTCGCAATGCCAAGCTGATCGACCTGTGCCCGAACTGCTACCTGGAAGGCCGCTTCCCCCAGAACTCTGCCAGCACCGAGTTTCTGCGGATGGAGGACCCAGGGTACTCGACAGTGGACCGCGAGGTGCCATGGACAGACCAGGAGACACTGTTGCTGCTTGAGGGTCTCGAGATGCACGGCGAGGACTGGAACGCGATCGCCGATTACGTCGGCACTCGGACGCGTGAGCAATGCGTGATCAGATTCTTGCAACTACCCATTGAGGAGAACTTCGTCGAGGAGAAGCCGGAGCAACTGGGACCCTTGCAATACAACCGCATGCCCTTCACCCAGGCCGACAACCCCGTCATGAGCGTCGTGGCGTTCCTGGCTAGCATGGTTGACCCCAAGGTCGCTGCTGCCGCGGCTAAAAGCTCGATCGAGGAGATGACCAAGAACCTCACTCTCCAGGTTTCTTCCTCGCCCAGAAAGGCCGCGGCAAAGGAGACGACCACCTCGCCAACTGCGACCGAAGGTGCAGCGAACAAGGAAGCTTCTGCCACCACCCCCGGGGTTAAGTCCGAGGGCACAGTCGACCCCGACAATAATATGGATGTCGATGGCCCAGAAGCCGGCAGAGACGGCCAGCCTGCAGACGAGGAGGAAGACGAGTCGATCATCTCCCGGGCTGCCACGATCGCGTTGGGCGCCTCTGCAGCTCGCGCCGCGGCCCTCGCCTCGCACGAGGAGCGCGAGATGACCAAGCTGGTGAACGCCGTGGTCAACTGCAACCTCAAGAAGCTCGAGCACAAACTCAACCAATTCAACGAGCTCGAGCAAGTGCTGCAGGCGGAGCGCCGCGAGATCGAGAAGGCGCGCCAACAGCTCTTCTTGGAGCGCCTCGCCATGCGCACACAGTGCTCGCAGGTCCAGGAACAGCTCAAGCGCGCCATCGCCACCGGCGGCCAGGAGGGGTACATGATCGCTGCCGAAGCCGCCATGATGGGGAGTCAGGGACAGAAGCTGCAGTTTGATAACGCGGCCGCCGTCACGAATGCGGCTGGTATTCCGCAGGTCGGCGCGAGACCCCCGAGCTTGGAGAACCCGGCGGGATATGTGGCGTTCGAGGCTTAGGGAGGGAAGCATGGGGGTAATGGGGATGTAGCAGGCTTTCAGTTCTCTTTTCTTTTTTCTCATTTTTGTCATCGGTGATTCGTTCGTATGTGATCTGATCTGATGTGTGTGTGTGTGTGTGTGTGATGGCCATGGCAGTGGCCTGGAATTGATGCCCTTTTCTTTTCGTTTTCTTTTTCTTTCTTTTCTTTTTCCACTTGGTTTTTTTTTTCTCGTTTTGTTACAGTCCGCTTTGTGTATTTCTAGTAGCAAGCAGCTCTCAGGTAAGTAAAGTAAGTAAAAGGGTTTCGGATAAAACAAACGCTACATGATGTACGGTTCACAATTACTGTCTCTTACGGCTACTTGAGTACCTATTATTCTTCGCAAAGGCTTGCTTTGAGGTGTGGGCCCATCAAGGTTTCAGTCCAGTCTTCAATCAGAGGTCGATGTGGGCAGAGCTTGGTAACTGCACAGGGGCCTGAGTCTGTTGATCATGAAATATTCATCGGGTTTTGACGAGGGTAATCCAGTTTTTTTTGTCTGTTTAGTTAAGCGCCCAGCTGCCATGCTGCGCCACACCGCACGCGCGCCAGCGTCAGAAGATTAATTCGATCGCAACCACCTAACCCTTTAAAATGTACAGATGGGTACATGTGTGGATGGTCATGACCAAGTCGGTCTTGTTACTCAGATGTCCGAGCAGTGACAATTCTCAGTAAATCTCACGCAGCCTACTTGCACGTGTATGCGCTGGCAAAATACCGGTGCTCCATGTGGCCATGCCGTGACAGTTATCCAAGCTGTCAAGAAAGTTCCGATAGCCTTCATGCCTGACTACAAGTCACGGTAACGCTGTCGCGCTGGCGATATGATGTTCTCTCTGTTGTATTCTGTCAAATATATCGTCTGAATTACTTGGCTTGTCTATACACTCGGCGGTAGGCCTCTATATATACACACCCGTTCGTTGCCTCTGGCGGCCACTCGTCCGGCGGCGCCCCGGCACCCTGGCGGCACTACCCAGCGGCCACATCTCCGAACGCTCATTTGACTTATTCTTTTCTGACGCTGTCGTGCTGTCGTGCTGTCGCGCTGTCGCGCCGGGGCTATGATGTTCTCTCTCTGTGCTACCTATTCTTTTCTGACACTGGCGCGCTGGCGCGCTGGCCCTGTGGTGCAACACGGCAGCTGAGCGCTTATTGTGGATTACCCTCGGCATTAAATTTGTAAACCATCCTACATACTGGGTAGTAATTCCGCCCGTTGCAGTGGCATGAGCTCTTGGGGGCCTGCGCAGTTGATGACTTGGTTTAAGAGCTACCTCAGACTCGCAGAGAAAGATTCTGATATGTAGTTGTCTGGCTCTCGTCCGTGTACGTGAATTGAAGCCCATGCTAACTTATCCCGCTGGACTCTGAAGCCGGCCAGTACGATACTTGGGGTGCGGCACTACTACTCACTCGGTGGAGACTCGAGCGTACATGGTTTGATAAACCTATTCCCGAACAGGGCCTCAGCCTGTCTGCCTATATACCAACCTGGAATTGGCCTGTTGATGGTGGTATACACTTTCAAGTCTGGGGATGCAGAGCATTAGTGATAATGCCCTTACTCCGGATCTGCAGCCTTCCTTCCAGATGCGCGGGATGGCTACATTATACATAGGCAGCGACTGTTCCCGTAGCAAGTCAAGTCAAGTACGCACTCGAACCAAGCATTATTGTCTAATATATCTACTATACAGTCTATTCAATTCGGTAAACAAAAAAGTTTGGTATCAACCATCCACCACCGACGACCGCTTGACGGCCCCGATCTTGGATTCCTTAACGGTATATGGCTCCTCGCCGCCCTCCTCCACAATCAACGTGCCACTCGTGATGACCTTCGTTTCCACTGCTGCGGCTGCAGTATCCGCTTTCGCAGTATCCGGCTTCGCAGTCTCGCCTTCACCAACCAGGTCGTCCTCATTCCCCTCCTCCCCTTGCACCCACTTCACCCCCAGGCCCTTCGAGTGAACACTCCCATCCCCTTCACCCCTATGCAGACTTTCGACAGCCTCGCCCCTCTCCGGCTCCTCAACTACGATCTCCCCCTCCCTCTCGACACTCCACACCACCTGCAGCCTATCCAACGCCTGCGTCCCCTTCCGCAGCGTGCCCTTGATCCCATCCATATCCTTCCACGCGATTTCGAAAACCCCACTCTCTTTCTCGCCTCCCTCTCCCTCAAAATAAGCATTCCACCAGACGTGAGCGATGCTCGTGACGACGGCGAGGCCAATTGCGCCGATCTTCGACGACCGCTTCTCAAAGTCGATATTGACATCGCTGCTAGGCAGCCACAGGGAATTCTCTGGCTCGAGGATGACATCCGCGGCGTCTGGCGCCGTCCCGCCCGTGATCTCCCTTCGCTCATGTTTCCCGAACGTATGAAACGTCTTTATCTCGCGTCCCTGCTCGACAAAGCCCTGGACCGCGACGCGCACGCCCTGGCGCAACCCCCAGATGTGCAGCGCATGCACGCGTACCCGCCGCTCCACATAGCGCTTCCCGTACTTCCCCGTCCACGCCTCGACGTACCCCACCCACCGCCGCTGCGATGGGATACTCACCCCCTCGCCGAACCCCTTGCGCATGCGCGCCTCCGTGTACCGCGCCATCGCCCTCTCCGCCGTGTAGCCGTACTCGGCAATGAGCAGGGCGCAGCTCATCGTGCCGCTGCGGCCCTTGCCGGCCTTGCAATGGACGACCACGGTCCTCTCCCCCCCTCCATCCGCTCCTCCGGCCAACCACTCCCGCATACTCCCCACGACCCTAGGCACAAGCGCGAACGGCGGGGGATGATGATCCGGAAAGGGCGCGTGGTAGACCCTACCGCCGAGCTCGGCGTCCGTATACCCCGTTCCCTCCGCGCGGAACTCAAATATTGCCCAGTCTGTGCCGTGCGCGCCGTTCAGGAAGCGCAGGACTGCGCTGGAAGGGTTGCGGTATAGCATGTGTGGATACGAGACCGCCGGCATCGACATGGCGATTATGCACGGTGATGAGGTCGAGACGTAGCATAGGTCTAGGTTGCTGGCGGCGTGTGGGAGACGGGGGGACGCGATGAGTGTGCGCAGGAGTGTCGTCTGTGGGTGTTAGTAGAGCACGGTATTCCCGCGAGAACAATAGGAGGGGGAGGGGACCATAGTCGGAAATAGACAGTACAGCACACCGGCGGGAAGAAGGAATCGCGTGGTGATATACTCGATGTTGAGGTTGAGGTTGAGGTTGAGGTTGAGGTTGAGGTTGAGGTTGAGGTTGGATCTTGAGCTTACCATGGAGCTGGAGCTGGAGCTGGACATGGCATGGCTTTTGTGTTGTTGTGTTGAATTGCTGGTTCCATACAAGCTCCTTACAAGCTCTTTACATGTTACTCTACATACAAGCTTTCGGCTGCGAGCTCTGGAATGCGGCGGGTGATGTCATGCGCGTATATACCAGGTATCTTGCACGCGTCTAGGCGACGGACTGGGACGACAGGGACGACAGGGACTCGGCTGAGTCGGCTCAGCCTTCAAAGTTCAGGGAGACTGCTGGCGCATGCATGCATGCACCGCCCCGGAACCTGGACCGCTCCGGAGCCCGGAACCTGGAGCCAGGACTGCCAGCGAACGAACGGGCGCGGGCGATAAGATGATCGAGATAACTGGGAGGGAGGGATGAGGGAGAGATGGGGAAGCGATATCTTTGGAGTCTGGAGTCGCTGTGGTTATGGAGACATTTGTAGAAAGACACACCTCCCACGTTGAGGCGATGCGAAGTTGCTTGATTTTTCGCGCTCGGAGCCTTGGAGACTTGGAGCCTTGGAGTCTTGGAGCATTTGAGACTTGGTCAACCGTCAACCGTCAATGCACAGATTATTTCTGAAGTTGCACTTAAGGAAAATGTATATAGACATGATATTCAAGCAAGGCTTCGGCTCGAAGCCGAAGCCTCACGCCCCAAACGTTGCATTCCAAACACCAAAGGGACTTCCAAGGGACTTCAACGGGACTTCCAAGGGACTTCAACGGGACTTCCAAGGGACTTCCAAGGGACTTCAACGGGACTTCCAAGGGACCTACCTACTAGTACTTCCAAATGGCCGCCCACCTACCGTTCCCTCAGCTCCCCTCCCCGCCAAAGCCGGCCGGCGGGGGCATTATTTGCAGATGTCACTGTCCGATAGCGGTGTACTTTGTGCGACTCGACACTCAAGCCCAGCATCATCACACATTACGTATCGGGGCCAATTTATGTAACGTTGCTTGAAGCGAGTGGGTCACTGTGATGCATCCCGCTCGGCACATATCTTCGACTGCATTCTTTCTGCTATAGATAGACTGGTATACTCGAGCCTCGAGGAAGAGAGCATACTCACTTATGCATACAGTATACTTGCAATCCCACGAACCGGATATACCTACTCTACCTACCTGTACATTTCCGCATGCGTGCACCGTCTCCTCCTGTCTGGTCTTCCTGGTTAATGTGATGTCCCAGCAATGGACTGGAATACCAGTAATAAACATCGTCGACGCGGTACGCATACTCGGCCTCGGGGGCTCATGGTTGATGTTGGTGATATACCATGTTCCGAGCTACCGACTTCAACCCGCCCGCCTAGCACTCCCCGGTATCACAGTCTCACAGCCTCCCAGTCGAAACGTAGCAAAGCAAACAAAAAAGTGTATAGACATTACCATGCCACCTTCACCGTCACCGTCACCGTCACCGTCACTGTCACTTAAAAAGCCAGCTCCCCTCCCTTCGCTCCCTCTCTCCCTCCCCTCCCCTCCCCTCCCCTCCCCTCCTCTCTCCACCCCACCCACCAACCCACCAACTAAGCAATGCAACAATGCAAGTTATGCAAGTTATGTACCACGTAAAGAATCGTTAGGATCATGGATGATGTCATGAATGAATGAATGCAGAGGGCGCAAAAGAAAAAGAGAAAAAAAAAGAGAAAAAAAGAGGTTACAAGGAGTCGTTAATATCGTATCGTGAGTCGTTAATGATGAAGAATAAGAAGGAGAAGGAAACACAAAAAGCCCCGCTACGCCCAAAGAAAAAAGGAAAAAAGGAAAAAAGGAAAAAAGGAAAAAAGGATAGGAAAGGAAAATAAATGGAAAGGAAAGGGATACAACAGAATCTTTTGGTTCGTTTCATTTCATTGCATTGCATCATCGTTACAATCGTTGTGTCGCTCACGGCTCCAGCCTACATATTTCAGAGGTGAGACTTCTGAAAACGGGAGTAGGAGGAGGAGGAGGAGGCAACGGCCGAGGCGGCAGCGGCCTCAGAGGGCGGGGAGAAGACTAACAGGATGACCTCGAACTCCTTGTATTTCGCGAGGTAGCTCATCTTGCGTCTATAGACCTTCAGGTATACATCCGGACGGATCTTGCTCGAGATCTTTCGTCCGGCGAGCTCCTTCATGGCATCGGTGGGGCTAAAGAACGGATCGAAGACCAGCAGACTGGCGCTGCCGTCGCGCCACTTCTCGAGTCCCACAATCGTCATCGAGTGTCCGCTATGCTGCAGGTAGATCGGCGGCTTGACTGTGCGCACGACCTTGCCATTGACGGCACCGGGCGCGAGGTCAGCGAGGAAGTACTCCTCGACGAACGCGAGGAGCGCCTTCTGCGTCAGTAGGGAGTTGGAGTCGGGCGCCCGCGTGAAGGCGCGCGCACGTGACTGCAGCCCGACGCTTGTGAGGAGTGTTTGTGCCTGCATCCGTCAGAACGTGAAAATTGTCGGCGATTCATGGGAACATACCTCGGAAGTGCCAATGTACTTTCTGGTGCCTCTGATGCCGCCCGTCTCGAGCCTTGCGGTAGAATTGATGCCCTTGTCCCAGCCCTCCTCGATCAAGTCTTGCATTCTGAGGATTGTAGGAATACGACCTTCGAACGGATGCGAGCCCCGGGGGAAGGCTGCTTGGATGTACGATATCATCATCTGGATGTTCCTGTATCCGCAGAACCCTCCTTCCTTTGGGAGCTGTTTCCCCACGTGTTTTGTCCCGGGGTGGCACAGGTATGCCCTAATGATTTCTGGATCACGTTCGCTGAGCAGTGCCATGGTGTAGATGAGATCCGGCGTCTCGTTTGCGATCTGGACGACGTTTATCTGGCGGCCGGTTTCCGGGTCAATCTTGCGGACATTGATCGCCTGGCCGCCTTTCTCGAGCTCTGCTCGTAATCTGGATGGCATCTGTACTTCGTGCGCATGGGGTCCGAGGTCGGATTTCTGCAGACGGGTTAGTAAACGCGAGACGGCACAATGGAGAGTCGCGGAACGTACACCCAGCTTTTTGATGCCGTTGACAGTTTTCCCACTTTTCGGCGGTGCCAGAGTCATCGGCGGAGCGGTGCTCTTCCCTTTCCGGATCTCGACTCTCTTCCCATCCGGCCTCTGGAGACTAACGGAGTCCGACCGTTTCTTGCTGTCGGACCTCTTGACATGGGCACTATCGGACCGCTTCTTGCTATCGGAGCGCTTATGTGCGCCCCTGCTCTGCGATCTCCGCCTACTGCTGCTGCTCCTGTGCTGATCCGGCGCGACGACGACGGTATGATGCGGCTGCGCAATCGCCAGCGCGACCCTCTCAAACCAGCTCAGGCCGCGCACAGGACTCCTAGACCTCGATGTCGTCGCCGGAATGAACGACACCTTCGGATCCTTCTCCTTCTCTTCGCGGCGCTTCCTATGTTCGCGATGCTCGCCATGTTCGCGATGCTCGCCGTGTTCTCGGTGGCGGTGATGATGCTTGCCGTCGTCTCTCCCCTCGCGCTTCCTCTCGCCCCGCTCCCCGTCGCGCCGTCGGTGGTGATGCGACGACGAGCGCTCGCCGCCCCGAGCCTCGACCGCCTCGCTGTCCCGCCTCTTCCGCAACGACACGCCAACGGGCTCCATACTGAGGTTCGCCGCGTCGTGAAAGTCCATGTGCGTCTGCAACTGCAGCAGCGGGATAAACTCCTCGCAATCGCTCTCGGGACAGAGAACGTAGTCGGGGTCTTCTTCGTCGTCAATTAGGGTCGTGGGCGTGTGTGCGGCTCCTCTTGCATGGTCGTCGGCGTCGGGGACCGCGACGAATAGGCTGTCCTCGATGTGCGAGGTTTCGATGTGCAGCAGCAGCGAGTACTCGTCGTCCGCACGGAATCGGCAGAACGGGCAAGGATCGGGGCGGAACGAGGAGGCGGCGGCGGCAACGGCGTTTGTGGTTCCGGTTCCGGCTGTGGCGGAGGTGAAGGCCGACGTGGAGGAGTAGCAGTCGAGGGGGGCGAAGAAGGAGTAGGGGATGGCGGGCGATGCAGTGGAAGGGGAAGAGGAAGAGGACGCAGAAGGGTACAGTAGCTCGACCATCGTGTGGATCTATCTTTGCCTGCCTGCCTGCTTGCGCTGGGAGCGAGTGGGCAAAGTGGCTAACAATCTACCCTATGCGCTTGCTGCTCTGCACGATGCAGGGCTGGGTTATGTAGACCGTTTAGTGCGCTGGTTGATTCGAGTTGGGGGGAGGGTGGGAGGGGGAAGCGGCCTGCCTGATAGGACGCTGTGGAGGGAACGCGGGCATGGTGGAAACAGCGAGACGTAGACACGGACAAGGGTTGGCTGTGTGTAAAACGCATCGAGCAGCCTTAGAAGCGCAGGTACTTTGGATGTTGTACTGCGCAAGTACCAGGGCATTCTATGTGTGTGCAAGAAGGTGCATGATGATTATCACCACATCCTAAAAGTCTTCAGGAGACTTCACGTCACTATCTCGCTCCTGTGAAGACAAGCTCATAGGCACTGCATGTCCAGTCCAGACGTGAATGGGACGAATAATGAGGCCGGTTCGACAGCGATGGACATATTTTCGCTGGCAACTTTGACGCGGGACCGGGCTGTAGCAGGCTTACATACAGTACTTACAGTTAGAGTATGTATGTCGATATTTTATTCTTGATTGGCGGCTTGGATCCTCGGAAGTGGTAGTGCGTGTGCTAGGACCATTGAGGCTCCACTCGCCGTGAGCAGCGAAACTATAATAGTAGCTCGAGCAAGCTACAACTTCCCCACAATCCACAATCCACCCTCCGCCTTCCGCCCTCCGTACATACACCCCATCTCACCCTTCCCACCCACCCACGATGCAGAAAGGCGTCGGCCTCGGCGCATTAAGCCGCAACAGCAAGCACTCGCAGCTGTACGCGTCGCACGGGGAGCGTTTGCAGCGCTCCCACGCCGACAAGCTCTCAACGCAGCTATCAGTCTTCCAAGCAGCGCTGATCGAGTTCTCACGGACACACGCGAAGGACATCCGATCGAACCCTTTATTCCGCGCGGAGTTCGCACGGATGTGCACGGCGATTGGCGTGGACCCGCTCGCGAGCTCGAGCAACAAGAAGGGCGGCTCGTTCTGGGCGGAGACGCTGGGCACCAGCGTCAACGACTTTTACTTCGAGCTCGCGGTCAGGGTCGTGGAGGTCTGCAGACGCTCCAGGGACGAGAATGGTGGCTTGATCGCTGTTGCGGAGGTCAGGGATCGCATCGAGAAACTCGATGAGAGGATTGGTGGCGGCGCCAGTGGTGTCAGCGAGTATGTGAGAATATAAATGCGCGAGAAAGACGAAGACGACGACGCGAGTTGACATGAGCCGCGCACCCGCAGGGACGATATCCTCCGCGCTGTCGAGTCACTTAAACCCCTAGGCTCCGGGTTCACGGTTATCGAGCTGGGACGAAGGCAGATGATCCGGTCCGTGCCGAAAGAGTTGAATACGGACCAGTCCACGGTGATGGAAGCTATTCAAGTACATTTCCCGTGGCACTCAGCAGTAGGCCGGCACAGCTGACACTAGCCAGGTTCTGGGCTTCGTCACGCACTCGATGCTTCGTGATAACTTGAGTTGGGATCGGGCTAGAGTGCAGACCGTGATTGATGATCTGCTATCGGATTCGCTGGTCTGGGTGGATTCGCAGGCGGAGGAGAAGGAGTACTGGGCGCCTACGTTCATTGGCAATATAGGCAAGTAGCCGCCCAAGTGGCTCATAACAGTCTGTGAAGCGCTTATTGTAGGATATGCCACTCTATGACTTTGGTGGAGTGAAGTAAAGTCCCGCTACTTGAGTGGCCTTATCTCGCGGTGGAGATTACCTATTGTATTAATTCCGGTTCAGTAGCTTCTACTTTGTGCATACGACGAAAAGTATCCGGTGCTACTCATCTAGGTATGTACTTGTAGCCATGGTCCGTGTCGGGATGTAAGCCCTCAACGCCACGATTGGATAGGTAGGTAGGCCGCAAGGCTGGAGCGATACAAAGCACCACCTATTCCTGCGGGTATCGTAAAAGTACCGTACAGTACAGTACAGAGTGACAAGAAAAGCTCCCGATCTGTCGGCCGTGAGCTTTTGACGAAACTGATTGGTCGGTTGATCTGTGGTTGATCTGTGGTTACGACTCAACTTACGAGCTGACGCGGCTTGAGGCTTGACACTCATCCTCGTACCTATGAGGTATGTACCTATCGGACGTCCGCGACGTCGACGGCTATCACCAGAGTAGAGATACCGACCGGAGCCGGTGGTTGGGAGTATCGTTATTGGCGACCTGGTCATACGAAGTAGCCAATGCGTGAAGTAGGAGTACTCTCCAACCATAGGTGAAAAGCCCCGAGAAAATTCCAGAAAAGAAGCCAGAAGTTGCCTAACAAACCAGCACCGCACACCTCTATACCACCTCCTACCCTACGGTCGTCAAGAATTAAAACTGGCGTGGATCATGATATTTGCACTGCCGTTCCAGGCCCACTGCCATTATCGAAACAGATCCGAACCCATCCCATCCCATCCCATCCCGACGCACAAACACATCCGTTGAAACAAGAAGAGCGTCTGAAGAAGCGCTGTAACTTGTCGGCAGTCCCTGGGTAGGTACATTGGTAGGTAGATACTCAGCCTGGAGGCTAGGACCAACCTGGGACCAACTGTTGAGAATCCCACAAGAACTGCTTTGGATGTCGACCGATCCGTTTGCCCATCAGACTTGCCCTTCTTTGCCCTTCTGGGCTCTGGTAGGTATGATAGGTACCTATTTGATAGGCTAACGCATCAGAAGACCTTGCCCTACCTACTACCTAGTAGCAGAGGAAGGCAGATTGATAAGTAGTGATTGGATAGTCCGGCGATGCAGCACGATAGGACGGAGAGATACCTATGGACAAGCTTGAGGGAAATCCGCGGGACGAGAGATCGCCCCGGCACTTCGACTACTCGGGCCGAGTTTTTGTCCATCGCGGCACATGCGAATGGGGATAGGGATGCGGATGGGGGCTGAATTTTGCTCGTAACTATCGGTATACCAGAACCGGTGCGGTGGCGCCGCGGCAGTGTTTAGCGCAGGCGCGGCAGCTTCGGGTAGGATCTGCCCCGGGAAGCACCAAGGCGAGGCTGTCAGTAGGGTGGAAGGTCGGGGTTGGGGTTGGGCAAGAGATACCTGATCATTGATGGGAGCGTGGGTGCGAGCATTGTGGGCAGTTGACGATGTACGAAGTCAAAAGTCAAGTCAAGGCAAATCACTTGCGAGTGTGGCTCATGGCCCATGATGGATGGAAACCGTGATACCGTGATATAGCACCGAGAGTCGGAGACAGTACTCTACCTAGATGTGGTGGAATGTGAGGGGAGCGTCCGGTCCACTGTCCACTGGCCACAGCACCGCCGACGGAGAACACCTACATAACCAGTGGAACACTCCATCTGAACTGTGAATTGGCAGCGTGCGCTGCATCCCATCAGTCTCGGTGTCTCGATGTCTCAGTTTACTCTGCTCTCACATGAGTTCATCCTATGATACTCCAATAGGAACCGTAGGGTAGCTGGCGTCGACACCCCACCCCACTCCACTGCCCACCTATGGCGGGTGTATTCAAGACCTGATTAGGTCCAGGGCGCGAACACGCACCCTGGACCTTACCAGGTCTTAACCTGCAAGGGCACGCCCCGCTCAGATTTTACTGCGCTGTACTGATTCGTAACGCAGCATACTGGCCGGTACCGTTGGCCATTTGCTGCGAGGCTACCGTACTGGCTGTTACCAAACACGCAGTATGTACTAGACTATCGCCGCGTATTAGCTGCGACCGCCGCAGGGAGGATACCGCGGGCGGTACAGCTCCGGAACGATCAGTACGGAGCAGTGCTGAGCAGTACCGCTATCGGCGCATTGCTGGGCGCAGTACTCATTGCTACAGGCTGCTACGGCAACGGGCAGGCTGCATTGGGCGGTACAGCTCTGCAACGGTCAGTATGGGGCAGTACTGAGCAGTACCGTTATCGCTGCATTGCTGGGCGTGGTAGTGACCAGTACTGCATGCAGCCCGGGCGGGCATGGAGCTGGGGGCGGACATGGAACTGGGGCCGGTATGAGTCCTTAATTGTCAGTACTGGTCGGTACTGAGTGGTACCGCTATCGCCGCATCACCGGGCGCGGTTCTGACCAGTACTGCAAGCGGCGGATGCGGCCACAAAACTGGGGCGGTCATGAAACTGGGGTCGGTATGAGTCCGTAATTGCCAGTACTGCTCGGTACTGAGTAGTACCGCTATCGCCGGATCGCCGGAAGCAGTACTGACCAGTACTGCATGCAGCGGGGGCGGCCACAAGATTGGGGGCGGTCATGAAACTAGGGTTGGTATGAGTCCTTAATCGCCAGTACTGCTCGGTACTGAGTAGTACCGCTATCGCCGGGAGCATTACTGACCAGTACTGCATGCACCGTGGGCGGGCAGGAAGCTGGGGGCGGTATCAGTTCGTAATCGTCAGTAGTGCTCGGTACAGAGCAGTACCGCTATCGCCGCATCGTGGCCCAGTACTAACCTGTACCCAATGTGGCGGCAGCAGGGAGGACGCTATGGGCGGTACAGCTCCAGAACAGCCAGTACTGATCAGTACAAAGCGGTACCGCTATCGCCGTATTGCCAGGCCTGACACTGATCGATACTCGCTGCGCTGCGGCGGGCAGGATTCATGGGTGGTACTGCTCTAGAATTGTCTGTACTGCCCGGTACCAAGCGGTACTGCTAATGCTGCCTGACTGCAGGCCGCGCCTATTGATACAGCTTCTCATCGTGGACAGAGGCCCAAAGCGGGGTTATGCCCAGATGGTAGCACTGTTATACATGGGTATTCACTTGCCATATGCCGTCTTCATAGCAAGATTTTCATCTGGTGGTATTTGCCATCAATTTACCTTCACCGCGTATGTGCAGTAGGTGATCTACTGGCCAACAACTCCAAGTTCCGATCTAAACCTGAGCGATGGCCTCAGAACTTTCGTATAAGCTTTGGGCATGCTATAACTATCATCAACGAACTTCTAAGACATATCCCACCAAGTCTGAGAGTGCCAGACTAATTGACTCGTCCACACCAATAACGATTGGTTGGTGGATGCTGTAAAGTACTGTCCGATACTGATGTCTACCAATCTTCACTGGATCTTTCAACATAAACAGCGGTTAAAATCGGTTTAGAACTGATGATCGCTTCTAAGGCCAGGTAACTTGTAGTGATTCTCGCAAAATACGGAGACACTATGTCTGGAGGCGGGAACCTGCATTAATTTTCAGCACTCCACAAGGGAAGGTGCATGCAGTCACCTCATTCTTACCAAACGCAGCACCTGGCATTATAAAAAGTGGAACATTCCAATGATTTTGATATAGCTGAAGATTCTGCAGCGGCGGCGATGTAGGCTGATAGTCACAGGTAGTGCTACTACAGGCCAGTATGGCAAATGGCGCGTTGGTGACGGTAATGCCCAACGTAATCCGCCCGCCTTAACGCAGGCAGTACCCATAAGTACTGCACCCGGCGATGTGGCGATAGCAGGACCTCTTGGTATCGAGCAGTACTGACGATTACGGACTTATACTGCCCCCAGTTCTGTGCCCGCTCCCAGTTTTGTGCCCACTCCCAGTTTTGTGCCCACTCCCAGTTTTGTGCCCACTCCCAGTTTTGTGCCCGCCCCTGCCGCTTGCAGTACCCATCAGTACCGGGCCCGGCAATGCGGCGATAGCAGTACCTCTTGGTATCGAGCAGTACTGACGATTACGGACTCATACCGGCCCCAGTTTCATGCCGGCCCCCAGTTTTGTGGCTGCCCTCGCCGCTTGCAATACTAATCAGTACCGCGCCCGGCGATGCGGCGATGGCGGTACCACTCAGTACCGAGCAGTACTGACGATTACCGACTGATACTGTGCCCAGTTTCCTGCCCGCCTCGGCCGCAAGTAACACGCGGCGATAGTCCCATACTTTGTGTCCGGTACCAGACAGCACCGTTGTCTAACAGCAGAAAGCCAGCCGTACCAGTCAGTACTCACCATTACCTATCAGTACAGCACAGTAAAATGTGAGTAGGGCGCGCCCTTGCTGGTTAGGACCCGATTAGGTGCTAGGTGCGTGTTCGCGCCCTGCACCATATCAGGTCGTGAATATGCCCGCCATAGGTGCCACTGCCAGTGGCCTCCTCTCGTCCCCACTCCCTTCTCCAATCCCCACTCCCCACTCATCTCTACTATCCCATGCAGCTCCATGTGATGTGGGGCATTCTTGCTTTGAGCACAAGCACGCAACCGGGCCCAACCATCTTGATCCGTCCCCACTGATTCACGACCACCGGATTAAGCTTATTAGGCCCTTGTGAGCCGTGGCGTTTGATGCGGCAAAAGTTTGAACGAACTTTGAACGGACGGGCATGAACGGGCGCAGGCATAGTTATGAAGTACAGGTGTGAGGTGTGTATGTAGGAATTAGGTATTTCCGGACAAGGGCCTGTTCTAACTACCCACCATCCCCGCCATGGATGCAAGCGAGACGGCCGGCCGAACACGTGGCTTCCCCACCACTCCAACTAACTAAACTCTACAGTAGTCTCAAACCATCTCCACAGGAAACAGCAGTTGAACTCGAACGTACTGAGGGGGACAAAACAACGCGACCCAGACAGGTGTGTTTTCCGTACAGCGCCACATCAGAAGTCATGTCCACCACACGAAAAACAAAACATCACGTCGCCGTCGCGTAAAATGGTGTGGTGGACATGACTTCTGATGTGGCGCTGTACGGAAAACACCCCTGTCTGGGTCGCGTTGTTTTGTCCCCCTCAGTATGTAGGAAGCAAGGCAGCAAGGAAGGAAGGAAACGTGCAGAATAAGTCCGGCTGCCGGCCTTCCCCTCGTCTGATGTTAAGTAACGAGTAACTACTCTACCCCACCGCCTCCTAAAGCACCATACCATACTACCCATCATACCCAGTACTCGTACAACAGAAACATCTTCAAAGGTACTTGCGCGGCTTGTTGTGCTTCCACCATTTATAGACCAAGAACGCCGCGGCCCAGATCACCTGCATCAGCACCACAATCCCCAGGAGCATTCCGATCCGCGGTCCGCCGGTGGTCATCACTATGCACCCCCCGCCAATCCGTGTCAGCCAGCGAATCACAGCGAGCCATGTGGAATTGCTCCACCACCACCACCCATACGAGCGACAAGAGAACCGGAAGCAAGGAATGAAGACGAACCGTGGTTGACAGCCTGCGGCACCGCAAAGAGCAGATTATGATGATGCTCAGTGATTGTGTGCCGGAGGTCCTCAAAGTGCGGAGCCCAGTCGTTCGAGGTCATGACGTTCGCAATCTGCAACGATACCTTCTCGATACTGTTTCTGCGAGGCCGTTAGACTAGGCTGTGGATCCATCGCGGGATCGGGATGGGGAACTCACATCCGTGCCTCCATGTTGTCGACCTGAGTCCGCGGAACGCGGGTGTGCCGCAGCTCCTCGCGGTCGCCTTCGCCCTTCCAGTGCAGCTCGTCGATGCGGTCGTACATCTTTCCAATCTGTATCTGCACAGCGCCGAGATGATGCGTCTGTTTACGCACCGCCATCAGCCCTCATCCCCTCCCCCTCCCCTCCCCCTCCCTGCTCCCCCCTCCCCAGCGACGCATGCACGTACCAGCGCCAAAATCCGGTTATGCAGATCCGCAAACTGGTCCTCCTGGGACCTGTAGAGCTTTGCGTCGCGATCCTCCTCGCCCGGCTCAACCTTCCACTCGTCGAACACCTCCTCGTGCGGTAGCTTCCCGCCGTGCGAGCGTCCGTACCCCGGAGGCGGCTGGTCGTGCGCCCCAGCTTCCGGCGGCTGGTTCCGGTCCCGGTTCACGTCCACTTGGCCGCCGTAGTGGCCTTGCGCTTTGGCGGAGGCTAGGGAGGATAGAGAAGCCGCGCTGGCGAGCAGCAGTAGGAGGGGCGGGATTCGCATGCTGGGTTTTTGTGTTCCGTCTGACGTCTGTGGATCTGTGGGGTGGTGGGGAGGCTCGAGGTATCGTACAGATGTAATGGCCAGCAACGACAATGTGGAGTGGAATGAGAAGAGGAAGAAGAATGAAGGGAAGAGAGAGGGGTTGTTTAAGTTGAAATTATTATTATTATTATCATTCTATATACGACCCGCAACTGCATGCAGACGAGGGGCTCACTTCACTTTCCAAACCGGCAGTGATTGGCACCGTCGTGCCGTTCCTGCCTCAGCTCACCTCACAAAGAAAGAACGAAAGAAAGATGCTACCTGTCCTTACTTCTTACATGTCGCCGATATAGCTATTGATATTGCAGGGCCCCTTACATACTCTACATACTCTACCTACTCTACCTACTCTATGTTGTACAGCCAGTATGTAGAGTGGAGTACTGGTAGATACATGCCAGCCGGGTGTTTGTAACGGTTCCATTGCTACTACTAGTAACTAGTAGGAAGTAGGTGTATCTATCTGTCGCGTTTTCGGCCCGTAGGTGGGCTTTGCCGGGGAAAACAACCGAGGATCACGCGTGGAAGTGAGAGCTTTCGGCTGGGGTGGGTTGGTATCCGGGGGGGGGGGGGCGGTGGTGGGAGTCTGGGAGAGCGGGTGACGCCTGGTAATAAGCATTGATTGCTATTGTACCTGCCTGTAATTATTCACACTACTTCTACCATAAATATCTCGAGCCGTCTCGAAATGAAAGTCGAGTTACCCAGAGTCTGCCATTTGCCATTTCACTCCCCTTCCTTTTTTCTTTTCTTCTTTGTCCATGTCTTGCACTGGCCACCACAACCGCAACCGCAATCCAGTCGCCGGGAATTGGAATTCCCCAGCCGCAGGGACCGGAACTTGGAACTTGGATTCTTGGAAGCAATCTCGAGCCCGGCATCGGCGAAGCACAAAGTCGGCGATTCCATAGGTAAGTAGATGGCAATTTCCGTCGCCATCTTCGAGTCCCTGGAGGACACGGGCGTCGCCAATACCCGTGCGCAGACATATCAACCAGCCAGTTGGATACCATAGGTACAGTAACTACCTGTTGTTATTACCATCATTACCATCGTTATTATCATCACTATCATTACTGTCATTACTGTCATTACTGTCATTACTATCATTGCCATCGTTACTGTCATTACTAGGTATCATTACTATCATTACATTGCCTTCCGGGTTGTATATACTACCGGTATAGGGCGTCTGTAACTCGCGTGCTCAAACGCTCGTGGAGAGGCCAGGGCGTTCGGTCCGTACCCGTACCCGTAGGTATCTATATGCCTGGACAGCTGGCAAACGGAATGGCGGGTTCTGTGGCGGCGAAGTACAATTACCTACCGACGCCAATCGATATAACTACCATATCACCAAATCTACCAAATCAGATCACAGGATCAACGTGCACCCAAAATCCTAGATGAAATCCGACGGAGTGGCACCTAGTTACATACCACTCTGGAATTTCTGGAGTGCCTAGATATCTACACACCTAGTCCGGGCGTCCCATCCCATCCCATCCCACAGCCATCCAGCCATCTCTGAGCCTCTGGCTACATACCTGGTATCTAGTTGGATTACTGCGGTGCTTTGCCAATTGAGCCTGGGGGATGGGCCTTGGGGAGAGGGAGAGAGATATCTTCAATTTATTTCGCATGCAGCCTATCCAGACTATGGCGAATAAGGGCGTTGGGGAGGGGATTGAGCCTGTGGGGAGATTCCACGTTTCTGAGTGACACATTGTGATCGACGGTGTAGTCTGGTCTGGTCAGGGGTCCAAGCGAATAGGTATTGGCAAGCACATTCACGACAGTGTCACTGTGAATAGCCGAACCCAAATTCTTCAGGAATAATGCTTCGACATCAAAACGACCTCCCCCCCCCTTACCCCTTCCCCTACATATCCCCCCACCTACCTAGCTCTGGAAAAACAAAACCCAAACAAAAGGGGGCCCCTAGTCTACGCGAGTGATATCCCATGCCCAAGCCACATGCCACTGCCACCCACCCACCACAAGACGGCAAACTCCGTGAAGACTTTTTGAAATTCGAAGTCTGTTTTGTTTTTCCCCCGTGGAGAAACAAGGGGTCGGGGAGTACCGCCCCCCGCCCCCTCGGCCATAAACCTCAATTCATCAGGATTCGGCGCTCCACCCCCCCCCCCAAAAAAAAAGTCTTATTTCTAGATGTTTTGGAAATCTTGTGGGGAGTGGGCAGTGTGAATTGATCGGGAATGGGGATTTATGCGGAGTGGGTGGGTGCGAGCGAGGGGAGCTCTGTAACGAGTTGGAAGATGTTGCTTTTGTGCGCGAGGGCGGGCGGGCGGGCGGATGGCAACGGGCAATGGCAATGGAAATGGGTAATGGTTGATGCCATGGTCCGCTCCGCATGCTTCGCGCTGGGGGATAGAGTTGAGTACATAGAGTACCCAGCGGCCGTGCGATATGGGTTCGTCCGAACGAACGTGGGCGGCGCTGCTCTGCGCAGCCTGCACTGCACTGCACGAGAAGCCTATGTAGAGTACATATCATACATACCTCCTAGGTAGAGTAGATGCACCGTACGTAGAGCCCACGAAGGGGGGGGGGCCGCCAGCCATCTGCAATCCGCCATCCATCCGTCCATCGATTTCGATCCCGACTCCCGATTCCCGATTCCCGAGTCGGTACCGAGTTTTCGCAGCCTTCAGGTGCAGCTCGGCTCGTCAAAGTGAATGACTAAATCATGTATGTAGGTTATGTAACTATCACGAGCGCGATCCTACCTACCTTCGGTAAAAACAAAAACAAGAAAGGAAAGGCATATGCTCGCGCAAAACAAAGTTCCAACCCGTTGCAACCCGTTGATCGGGATAATTTGTGGCCTGCCTCCGTGAGTGCAACCCAGAATAGAGTTGGTAACCTGACTAGTGATTCCAACTGAGGACAGAGGTGCCTGGAGGTTGGTGGAGTGGGATGGCAACTACACAATGCGTACGTAATTCTCTGTCGTCATCGGCATCGTCAACGCCGCTCCGCTCCCGCGGCGGCGGCGGCGGCGGCGGCAGCAGCGCGCCTGCCCAGTGTCGATACTCTACGGAACTTGAATTCGCTTGCTCATGTACGAAGCGTGAAGCGTGCCGAGGGGACATATGCATCGTAGACCGCTGCTGCGAGGAGACCGCAGGTCGGTCAGCGTGGGAGCCTGGAAGGAGCCCGACGATGCCGCCGCACCCGATGGACACCGTACCGCGGCCAGTGATCTACAGCCAGTGATCCGCATAGCCAACCAGCCAGCCAGCCAGCCAGCCGTGAAAAGCCAGCCATTCGAAGCCGGGCTGAACGGACTGAGCGGGTTGCGTGTGCGAGGTAATACAAGCTTTTACAGCAGCGGCAGCATCCAAAATCTCCTGCATACCGTACCCAGGCCTCTGCAGGATCCGCAGGCAGCGAGTTGGGAGCTGGGAGTTGGGATCTTTGCTGAAAGGAAATTGGACGCAGCGTATGCATAGGGTATCGTTCCCGACAATCCGGGCACAAGTCGTGGGGTCTCTCGAGCACGCGAGACGGTGACCGGACGTGTATAAGTACACATGTAACTATCTACAGCAAACGTACGGGGACCGACGAACTTCTCCGCGTGGAGTGAGGTCGACACGATACCTATCGGATGGATGACTTCAATGCTATATGCACTTTCCGACTTACCTAACCATTGGTCTTCAACATCGAGCAGTCTAGCTAGCGTGGTCGCATTGAAAAGAATCCATCCATCCTGACGGCCGGAAGAGCCGAGCCGGGCAACCCATTCCGGCAAAATTGCGCCGACTCGCGACGACCACTTCCCAACCGCCAGCCAGAGGCACTTCGCCTACTGTGGTTGGTGATGGTGGTTAGGTAGAGTAGTTACTCGGTTGATCATGATCGTCTCCCCAATCATCCGAGTTTCAACTGTTCGTTGGCTCGGGTCGGAATAGATCCGGTTCCCATTTGGGGGTTCGTTGGTTTTTCGGTTCATGTGGGCGATTGCTTCGCGATTGATTCGGCAACGTTTCTCTGCCAGTCAGACTCCGACTACGGTAGATATCGGGCTGTGGTTGCGGTGGAAGTATGCATACATGCATGCCGGAGGCTGTGGAGAGCTGAGCTGAGAGGTGAATGAAGTACATACCGGCGGCTGCCGAGAGCTGAGCTGAGAGTTCTCTTCTTCTTCCTCCAGCACCGCCTACTGCCGTCGGATTGAGTGTCTCGTTTGGGGGTTCCACGTTTCGCGATGCATATAGCAGAGTGAAGGCTCATCACAGGCCTTTTGAACCAAAGAGATGCCGACTGTGTGCAGGTTCTCCAAGACTCCAAGTGTCTACCTCTTAGCACGCCGAGTGCACCACACTAACTTGCAACTAACTCCACCGCACCGCACCCCGACTAATCGGCCATCGCGATTCGCCTGCCCACGAGACGAGACGAGACGAGCGAGTGAAGATCTGCTGCCCTGCCTTGCTTTGGCTGCTTGCCTGCTTGCCGAATTCCTGCCTACCGTTCTGACAGAACTCTCCGGCGTCCATCGAACCCAATTTTTTTTTCCCGTGTTGGGCGATCCCATTCCCTTGTTGATTTTTCGTTCTCGATTTTCTCGATTTTTTTCTTTCGCGCACACACTGAACGCTTGCTGCCCTGCTTGGTCTCGACGACCTTGCCTCTGCCTGCCTTGCGGCCAGGCCAGCCCACAGCGACGCCCGTCTTAGAAGTAAAGTAAAGTACAGTAGAGTGAGTTAACCACATTTACACCCCAGACCGCCACGCCACGCTTCGCCTCACCTCGCCTCGCCAACTTCTTCGTCTCTGCCCCCCCCCCCCCTACACATGCCCGGTCCGTCGCCGTTTCTTTGTTCGACAGCCCTCCGTCCCGCTTCTTCTCGCCAGACTAGAGTAAAGTGGCCCGTCACCGCCACCACCACCAGCACCACCACCACCAGCACCACCCACCACCACTACCCACCGCCCACCACCCATCCGCCCACCGTCAGAGCCCGTACCTCCCTCCGCAACCACCGCTCGACCTCTCCTCCACTCGACCTCTATCACAAGCATCACCACTAACGTGCCACCTCCGAATCCTCCCCCCTCCCGTTCTGCTCTCCCCTCCTGCTGGTGGCGCCTCTCCGAAATCGCGTCCGAGCCGCCCAACGTGAACCCGCTTTGCCGCGCACCGCTCACCGCTCACTCTTACACTCTCCCACTCCCACTCCCACTCCCACACCAATCCACCCCCCACAACTCAGCCCTGCGAACAATAGCCAGCAGTATCATACACACATACACATAATCCTCACGCTCCATAATCTCTTACCTACGCAACTCGCTTGTCGTTATTTGTAGAAAAGCCAAGAGTCGTGCACAGACTGTTCCGAACACGCGGTCCACGACTTCTTCTTCTCCCACCTTCCTCCCGCCTTTACCATCTCGACAACGCTTCCCTACCCGGCAGCTTCTGCCCCCTATACCCATCCGGCCCGTCCATTCGATACATACACTGCTTATCTTCTTACTCGCCCCCTCCCCCCCGCCGCTTTCTCTCTGTCGCCCTCGTCGCTGCAGCCAAACACCTCCACCACCCCCCGTATCGCTTCTTAAGAGCCTCGAGAGCAGGTTGTTGCCGCTCTCCTGTGGATGACCGACGGTTACGAGTGACAACACACTGGCGGACCTGTCGTCAGAGCCCCCCCAAGGAGCGGGAAAGACCTCTGCATATACTACGAAGAGACGACCGCATTCACGTTGTTTTGCCAAACCTAGCCTCACGAAACGCCGTCACCTGAAACGGGCTGCAGACCTTCCTCGTCGATCCTCCCGTACCTCGACCCGACTCTCCACCCTCTCTCTACCAACTACCACTTACCACTACCCACCACCACCCCCCCAGCTCATCCGTTAATTCCAACCCCGTTTGTAACACTAACCTCCACACAACACACCCTCTACCACCAACACACATCAGCACCACTACAACCACCACCTCCAACACCACCACCACCTCGACCACCTCGACCACCACCACTCTCCTCTCCACCACCAACCTCGACCACCACCACTACCTCTACCTCCACCTCCCCTCGTCGTCCACCTCCTCCACACCGGGCGTACACCCCTACGATAATAACGAACTTGTCCTTCCTCGCGAATCTCTTTTACGACAGAAAAACCCCGCGACATACTCTCAGCTCCCCTCCGTACGCGCGCCCCGCTCGTTTCAACGGATAGCTGTGTTGTTTGGAGCCAAACATAAAGGGAGAGATCTTTGCGAAGGCCTCGTCGACACGTACGGGTTCCCCCGATAATTCTTACGACTTCTTTCTCCGCCGGCTGGACCGTGGTACAACACCCCCCCTCCCGACACGACAGAGTTCTCGACTGTGCAACAAGCAACCACCTTCGACTCCTGGCGTCCAGTGTTCCACCACAAGCGAAGCATTTACCTTTCGCCCCCAGGGTCCAGTTGCTCATCACCATAATTTTGCAGACGCCTTGAAGGACTGCGCTACCGTACGGGCTACTGGTTTTTCGAACTCCGTTTAATAGTAACCGCCAGTTCAACATACACACCAAACACACATATACACACTGCCAACATGGGTGCATGCATGTCCACAGAGAGCGAAGAGAGTCGCAAGAGTGCGCTGATTGACAAAGAGATCGACGAACATTCCAAACGAAACCGGCGAGAATGCAAGATCTTGTTGCTGGGTGAGCAGGGAGAATGATTCAGCAAGGGGAGGTTATCGATGACATTTTTTTTTCTGACTGTTGATAGGATCCGGCGAGAGTGGTAAATCGACAATCGTGAAGCAGATGAAGATCATCCATCAGAACGGCTATTCGGTCGACGAACTCGCCATGTATCGTCTGACGATATACAAGAACCTCGTCGATTGTGCGAAGACTCTGGTGCAGGCGTTGCGACAGTTCAACATCGAGCCGGAAGGAACGACGAACAAGGTAGGCGTTTCTCCGTCAGGGGAGGATATTCCGAAGCACTTTGACTGAGTATTGGTTCAGGCGCACGCCGAGTCCATCCTCGAATTCCAGGTCGACCCGGATCCGACGCTCCCGCTCGATCCGAGGATAGCAGCTGCGGTGGTGGCGTTGTGGAAGGACCCCTGCATTCCAAAGATCATGGAGCATCAGAACGAGTTCTACCTGATGGATTCGGCGCCATAGTAAGTGAATCGCTGCTCCGGCTGGTTGACCGCACTCGCTCACATAATGTTTCTCGCGTCAGTTTCTTCGACGAAGCCCCCCGAATAGGCCACAAAGATTACATTCCCACGGAGTCGGATGTGTTGCGCGCTCGAACCAAGACGACTGGTATATACGAAACTCGATTTTCGATGGGCCAGTTGAGCATACAGTTAGTGGACGCCGACGCCGGGAGAGTTTTGAGATGTGTTGTCCTGACTTGTAACCTTTTAGCATGTTCGATGTGGGCGGACAGCGGAGTGAACGGAAAAAGTGGATCCACTGCTTCGAAGCAGTAACGTCGATCATTTTCTGCGTGGCACTTAGCGAGTACGATCAGGTCCTACTCGAGGAGAAGAACCAGGTCCGTCTACCGATCGCATCGCCATTAACCCCCACCACCACCTGCAGCTCGCCCATTTGCTAACCTATTCCAGAACCGGATGATGGAAAGTTTAGTGTTGTTCGACTCGGTGGTGAACAGTCGTTGGTTCGTCCGAACGAGTATCATCCTCTTCCTCAACAAGGTGGATCTGTTCAAAGTCAAACTTGCACGAAGTCCGTTGTCCAACTACTTCCCCGATTACTCGGGTGGAAACGATGTCAACCGTGCCGCCAAGTACCTTTTGTGGCGATTCAATCAAGTCAACCGGGCCCACCTCAACCTGTATCCTCAGTATGTATCTACATGTTTTTGTTCTCGACCACATATCGCTGATGCCTGCCATAGCCTGACACAAGCCACCGATACATCCAACATCCGATTGGTGTTCGCGGCGGTCAAGGAGACGATATTACAAAACGCCCTAAAAGACTCTGGTATACTATAATTCTCTGGTTTGATGCGGCGTGGGCGGGGGGGGGGCACCTGTTACTTGCTTTTTGGGGGCGAGTGATGGGGGTTGGTCCTGTTCTGTCGGCTCTACTATACGAGACGCATTCAGTATCGCATAACGAATCGACCATCATGGGCCAGACAGCTTCGGGGGGGCATTCCGGTTGTTAGGGGTGACTTCTTGTGTATTACTGCAATTGCATGCATAGTAGCGTTTTCTTACCTTTTTTTTTCTTCTTTCGGTTTTCCATCACCCGCACGGTCACAACTCGTCGTTTCCACCATCACCATCAACCAACCTTTTTTTAGTTTCCTTTCCTTTACCCACTGCATTGAAACTCTTTCATTTTTCTTCTTCTTCACTTGAGCTCTTTTTTTTGTGTTTCCTTACCGTATTTTATTCCTCGGCCTTTTTTTTTTGTGTTTTATTCGAGCATCCGGAGTTTTGGCGAGGGGACTTTGTGAGCACTCGCAATGCAATGCTGTGTATAGGTTTTTTTTTTCTTTCTCTTTTCTTTCCTTTCTTTTCGTTGCCTTTCAGTTTTCGTTTCTTTTGTTCTTTTTCTTTTCCTTTTTTTCTTCTCGTTTTTTAACTTTCCTTTGCAGTTTTCTTTCTTTCATTTTTCTTTCTTTTTTCATTCGATTGCGAATCGGGAATCGGGACTCGGCTTGTGTCCAATTCAAGGGTTATATTTTTTTATTTTACATCACATCACCATCGAGATCATACACACACACACACATAACGTTGTCTGCTCCAAAAACTGCTGTGATTTTACCTTTTACTTATTTATTTATTATGTTTTTTTACTTTTGCTTTCGGTTTTCCTTTGTGCTTTTGGTTTCCCTTTTTTCGTCTTTTGTTTTTGGGACGGTGGCGGGCTGTGGGTGAATGGTTTGGTTGGTTTGGTTGGTTTTTGGGCACTCTCTCCGGCGGCTGTTTTTTTTGGATAATATTTACTTTTTATTTATTGTGATACGGTGCTACCATTTCGCTTCTTGTTGTTATTTCTTCTTCTTTTTTCGTTCTTGTGGGCGAGTGAGTGTGATCTGGGGTTGGATACGGATTTGGATATGGAGGCGGATACAGTTGGGTACTGTTGGAAGTTGGGGACAGTTGGGTACAGTGAGTACACTGGTACGGATGTCAGATACAGATACAGACAGATTACAGATACAGATTACAGACAGATTAAAGATACAGATTACAGATACAGATACAGATACAGATTACGGACAGATGCACATACAGATGCATACTCGCTCATCCAACAATGAAGCGAGTATAGATGCAGATGGGGATACAGATACAGGTGCAGATATAGATGCATATAGTGTTATTGTTACCAGTATTGGTACTGCTGCCATTTATTTCGGCCTTTTCGTTGCGTCGCTACTTAAGTATGCGATGGTGATGGTGAGCGCGAGTGCGATGGGGTTGGTGAGCGTAAGCGTAAGCGCGGGTGCGAATGCGAGCGCGAGTGCGAATGCGTAAGGCGGGAAACCTGGGGAGAAATTTGGGAGGAAACCTGGGGAGAAATTTGGGAGGAAACCTGGGGGGTTATTTTTTGTCCTTTTTGTGTCTTTTTTTTGTATCTATAAATCCGCAGGGCATCAACATTTTTACTATAATTGCGGTAAGCTCTCGGTGGGGTGGTAGATCGGGGGTGGGGATGGAGATGGGGATGGAAGTGGTGATGGAAGTGGTGGGGGGTGTGATCGATGGGTCGATGGGGGGGGGGGGTATTGAGGGAGGGGAAAAAAGAGGTTTTGTTTTTGGATGCGATTTAATGCGGAGTGCGCGATGTGCATGTGAGCGAACGGTTGCGAGGATGAAGGTGATGGGTGAGGATGATGGGGAGAAGTCCGAGGATGGTGAGGATGAGGAGAGGGGCTGAACAGTCAACAGTGGGCTGATGTGAGGGGGACATGACAGGACATGACGGAGGGAGGGGCTTGTACAATGCCTACAGTATGTACGGTACGGTGCGCCTACGGCCGGTTGGAACTTGGTGATGACTACCTAGGACGGCCGGGATGAACACTCCGCTGCAACGACGACTGCGACTACGACTGCTGCGCTGGCACACAGGGCTGGCCAATACGCTGATGAGACGAAGGTGAAAAGGTGGCAGAAACCGTGGGGGAGAGATCGGGGTTTATCTATCGATGCCGGTGCCAGTGCGAGCATCGCTGGCTGCCGCGTAAGTATATGTATGTGTATTATATAGTCGCCGAGAGCTACCGTGGCTAGCTAGAGAAGCTAGCATCAGTGCTGGGTGGTGGTGGGTGGTGGGTGGATGGATGGTGGATGGATGGTGGATGGATGGTGGGTGGATGGTTCGCGGGTGCCTGCCTTGTACCATAGGTACTCCACGTAAGTGTGCACTAATTAGCGGTTGCTACGCAACATGAACAGAATAGAATAGTCGGTTCGGACTCGGGAGCCCGGTACTCTACATAGGTGGGCAGGCTGTGGCTGTGGCTGTGCAACGTATCGATGTGTGTGTATGTGTGTGTGTGTGTTGGACGAGGATTTCGTTCGTGATCGCACGCTGCTGCTGGGTAGGGGAGTGGAGAGTGGGAATGCGTCATCTCAGGCCATCCGTGAATCGTGATTCCGTGTCATTCTGTCGTCCCGAGGGCCAGGGTGGGAGGGGGAGAGAGTGAACAGACGAGGCTCGAATAGGTTAAGAAGGCTGGGAGAGAGTCATCAGCGTTTGGTGATGGTGATGGTGAATCGGTGGCCATGAGACTTGTCACTTGGGACAGCTAGGCGGCCGAAGCTGTTGATTTTGCCTGAGGAGGGGGGTGTTCTGGCCATGAACCTGAGGCCCAATGCCCAATGCCCGGAGCTGAAAGTACGGAGTCACTCACTGTGCCTGGGGTGTGCGATCTGGAGGCTGGAGCTTAGGGCTTGGAGTCGTTGGCGGTTTTCTTTTGAAGCTCGTTGAAGCTTGGGGGTTTCTGGGTGTACGTAGATGTGAAGAAAGAAAAGAGGTCTATGAACTTTTGGGAACATCTGTGGTGTTGAACAACGGAGGGAGCGACAGTAAGAACAGAAAAGCAGCAACAGAAAATGTTTCAACGTTCAACGACCACATCGCGTCTCCCCTCCATGCATAACACTTGGTCCCACCAGGTCTATGCAAGGTCTCTCTCCCCAATTACCAGGTCCCACCCAGGTCTCGACAAGCTCTCCTCTCTCCGCACTCACCGACGAGATCTTGGACTGCTCGTCCGTCCGGACAGACAAACGCGCGGGTGATGGAGGAGGAGCTCGAGCCTTGAACCTCGAAGCTTTGACTCGAACTCCCGCGCCAATGCAGCCGCCACTACCGCCGGGCGACTCTCTCCCGCTCCCGTAGCGATTTTCACCAGGCGAGACAGATCAGACATTACCGCCTGCATCCGCATTCCGCCTGAAACCACGTCCTGTCCTATCATCCATCCGCCCCCGAGATCGTCGACTTGCATTAGGTATCTTAGAGTACCTAGCCCCCCACCACCTCCCCCCTTCCGCGCGAGATTGCACGGTTCGGAACGTGAATCCGCTGCGCGCACTCGTACGCTACATGCTTACTTACTTCGTATTTACATGTTGACGATGTTTCGTTTCCCATCTGGGAGGGCATTCCTCTCGAGTCTCGCTCCTCTTTTCCGTCGTCGATCGACACCTTGCTTCTTCCGGGTGGGTCCCGGACGTGTTTTGAACCTGCCCGCCAAGCATGCCAGCCAGCCAGCTTTCTTTCGTTCTTTCACCTCCGCACTCTGCTCCACCTACTTGGGTGCTATATGTACTACCGTATACTCCGCGTAATACCGAAATTCGGCTCCAAAAGCGACGGCTTATCCCAGCGCCCTGGCGATCTTCTTCATAATCCAATCCCCCCCTCCCATCCGGATCTCCTTCTTTCTACTTGCCGGACAGAGTTTTCTCTCGCTGCAGCCATCCGAACGGAGCTCTCCTGCGAACAGACTTCTCTGGACGTGCAGCGCCCAACGACGCCCATCGACGCCATCCCACTCACGCCGTTTTCTCGATGGCCGGCCGACGCCTCCCCCCACCATCCACCGTAGTGATTCAATGCTCGGGCTCCCGCGGTTACTATGGCTGTGGGAATTGATCGGTCAAGATAGCGTTGATTGACTACACCTCTGCCACGCCGTTTCCCGTGAGTAAGCGGGGCCAAGAGCGGTTTTGGCGTGCGTTGTGGGCCATTTGCAGGGATGACAGGCGCATTCTTTTCGATCCAGCCCACCACCACCACCACCACCATCCTTCACAGCTTGCGCCGCCCGAAGAGCTACATACCCCGCATATACCCCGCGCCGGACACACCACGGTGGTAGGGGTTTCGTTTGCAACTGTCGGGGGGCAACCGTCGATCATAGTTTATCCCGTATACACAAACGAAACAATCCCTTGACCGGTGGTAGATAGTTGCTGGGCGACCCCGTCCAGATAAGTTATCTGCCTGAAGTCTCTGTCCGATCCTTCTTCTCCCGTCGGGGAAGGGGGACGGAGGAGAGGAGAGCAGGGGCGACGGGGATGGCTTGCCCTGTCCTGCCCTGGTCCCTTTTTCCCCCTCCCACCGGTATCTTGGTGTACACAGGTATCGTCTACTCGCACTTACACTTGCACTGGTGTCAACTAGCACTGCGGCTTGAGGATATGTACATAGTTGGCCATATCATGATCACTTGCTTCAAGATATCGATCTGACAGCTAAGCTGCGTCTTGCTTGCCTGTAGAGCATGTAGGTATGGTATTCCTGGGGATCGTGGACTCTACAGCTGGCGTGGCTGGCAGCTACTGCTTGCTAGCTACGATGCTGCTAAGTGTCTAAATGCGCTGCTACTGCTGCTACTGCTGCCACTACTGCCACTACTGAGTTGCTGCTACCGCTGCGGCCAATAATCGATGCCGCTCCTGCTCCCCACTCACCTTACCTTACCCCCCCATGCACGTTGATAGTACCTGCACGCAATCTGAATATGGGCGTGATGTCAAGAAAGGTGGGATGGCTTTCGAGGTGGAGGGGTAGTGGAGGAGGCGAACTGAGCTCCGTGCCGTTCTCCTCATCCCGTCGTGCCCCTCCTCCCCCCCGTATCCACGTCTTCCTGCACTTGCGTTTTTTCCGCAGCAAGCAACCAAGCAAGCATCAGAAAGCGGAGTACCAGCTTGCATGCAAGCCAGCTGCGAAGGAGGAGCCAAAAGTCTTCCCTGTTTCCTTGCTTCTTTCTCCGCAGTTCTGCTCTCTTTATTTGGACCGCTGTCCCGCAGTTTGAGAACCGACTCCTCTTCCTCTTCCTCTTCCTCATCCTCCGTCCCCCCATCTCCATTCCCCCATCTCCCATCTCCTCCTCCTCCGTCTCCCCTTCCCCTCCACTAACCCACCCACCCATCACCCTCGATTCCTGGACTGCCCCGCGCTGCTCTAGAGGGACGTTGACGCGCTCCATCCTCCCCGCACATCCCCGCAGCAACCGGCCATCACCCCCCCCCCCCCACCATGTCGGCCCCCGTAGTAGCAACACCGCCTCCCCCAGGCACCGGCGTCAGCGAGCCCCATCTCCGTCCCAAGCACAAGAGGACTCACACCGGATTCGGAATCCGTGAGATCAAGGCGGTCGAGGCCAGCATTCCTCCACAGCTGAGAGAAATGTAAGCTATATCCCGTCCCCCCATGTCCCCCACGTTCTGCACTAGCAGCATCTGGACCATTGTACTGATTGCCGCCATGATGAATGTAGTTGGCGTAAATTGGTGGGTCCCCTAGATCTTTAGATGTCCTTTGCCACCGAGTGTGGTGATGAGGCCGATTGAGTTGCGATTGAGATTGAGTACTAACGTGTGCCGAAAAAAGACTGTTGCTGAGTTCCAAGGGAAAGATGAGTTCCAGGTTAGTTTGATTTTGATACCTCCCCCTCCCCCCCACCCAGCGGTGTAGGCAGTTGCTGATTTGGATTTGGTGCTGCTCAGAGGGAGGTTGTCCGTCATGTCGAGACTACATTGGCCCGTTCGATGTACAACTGCGACGATGCCGCCGCCTATGCCGGAACCGCGCTTGCCATCCGTGACAAGCTCGTGATCGGCTGGAACAAGACGCAGCAGAACCAGACCCTCCAGGACCAGAAGCGTGTCTACTACCTCTCGCTAGAATTCCTAATGGGACGGGCATTGGACAATGCCATGCTCAACACCGAGGTGAAGGATATCGCTCGGGACGGAATCAGTGAGCTCGGTTTCAGGATGGAGGATGTCATCAACCAGGAACACGACGCCGCACTCGGTAACGGTGGTCTTGGAAGATTGGCGGCTTGCTTCTTGGACGGTCTTGCTACCCTGAACTACCCTGGCTGGGGTTACGGCCTGAGATACCGTTACGGTATCTTCAAGCAGGAGATCGTCGATGGTTACCAGGTCGAGGTTCCCGACTACTGGCTCGACTTCAACCCCTGGGAGTTCCCCAGACCTGATGTCTCGGTGGACGTCATGTTCTACGGTTACGTGAGGAAGGAGTGGTGAGTACTCCCGGATGAATACGTTGAGTGAGACCGAGTAATCGCTAACCGGTTAAAAAGCGACGCCGACGGCAAGACCATCAACCTCTGGGAGGGCGGTGAGATTGTTCAGGCCATCGCATACGATGTGCCCGTCCCTGGATACAGCACATCAACCACCAACAACTTGCGTCTCTGGTCGTCCAAGCCCGCCAGCGGAGAGTTCGATTTCCAAAAGTTCAACTCCGGTGACTATGAAGGTTCCATCAGGGACCAACAGAAGGCCGAGACCATCTCGGCGGTGCTGTACCCCAACGACAACATCGACGCCGGTAAGGAGCTCAGACTGAAGCAACAGTACTTCTGGGTTGCCGCGTCGCTGCACGACATCATCCGACGATTCAAGAAGACCCACCGTCCCTGGTCAGAATTCACCGACCAGGTCGCCATCCAGTTGAACGACACACATCCCACTCTCGCTATCGTTGAGCTGCAGAGAATCTTGATCGACGTTGAGCATCTGGCCTGGGATCAGGCATGGAAGATCGTCCAGGGAACCTTCGGGTACACCAACCACACGGTTCTTCCCGAGGCTCTGGAGAAGTGGCCGGTTCCACTTATGCAGAACCTCCTGCCCCGCCACATGCAGATCATCTACGAGATCAACCTCTACTTCCTCCAGAAGGTCGAGCGCTTGTTCCCCAAGGACCGTGGCATGCTCGGAAGGGTGTCCATCATTGAGGAGTCGCAGCCCCAGGTCGTCCGCATGGCATACCTCGCCATCATCGGTTCCCACAAGGTGAACGGTGTGGCTGAGTTGCACTCGGACCTGATCAAGGCTACCATCTTCAAGGACTTCGTCTCTATTTACGGTGTTGACAAGTTCACCAACGTCACCAACGGCATCACCCCCCGCCGATGGCTGCACCAGGCCAACCCCAAGCTTTCGGACTTGATTGCCAGCAAGCTTGGTGGTTACAACTTCCTGAAGGATTTGAACCAGTTGGATCACCTGAGGGCGCACATCAACGACCCCGAGTTCCGCCGTGACGTAAGCTTGTCCATCCACCCCACACACAAAGGTGTAGATTGACTGACATTTTTCTAGTGGATGGAAATCAAATTGGCCAACAAGATCAGGCTGGCGAAGTACATCAGGGATACCACCGGCACCTCGGTCAACCCCCACTCGCTGTTCGACATCCAGGTCAAGCGTATTCACGAGGTATGTATCCTGGGAATCTATTACTTGATGATGATGGGCCATGCTGACACACACTCTCTCTTTCTCAGTACAAACGTCAACAGATGAACATCTTTGGTGTCATCTACCGATACCTGATGCTCAAGGAGATGTCGGCCGACCAACGCAAGAAGGTCGTCCCCAGGGCTTTCATCTTCGGAGGAAAGGCCGCACCCGGATACTGGATGGCCAAGACCATCATCCGTCTCATCAACGCTGTCGGTGAGGTCGTCAACAAGGACAAGGACGTTGGGGATCTCCTAAAGGTCATTTTCATTGAGGATTACAACGTCAGCAAGGCTGAGTTGATCATCCCCGCTTCGGACATCAGCGAGCACATCTCCACCGCCGGAACCGAAGCCTCGGGTACCAGTAACATGAAGTTCGTGCTCAACGGTGGTCTGATCATCGGAACCTGCGACGGTGCCAACATCGAGATCACCCGCGAGATCGGCGAGGAGAACATCTTCCTTCTCGGTAACTTGGCCGAAGACGTTGAGGACCTCCGTCATCGCCACCGTTACGGAGAGGTCGAGATGGACCCCAAGCTGCGAAGAGTCTGCGACGAGATCGAGTCGGGCGCTTTCGGCCACCCCGATACCTACGGAGGACTCATCTCGTCCTTGACCGATGGAGGCGATTACTACTTGGTCAGCGACGACTTCTCGAGTTACATTGCCACTCAGGACCTTGTCGACGAGGCCTACAAAGATAAGGACGGATGGGCGACGAAGTGCATCAACAGTGTCGCCAGCATGGGATTCTTCAGTGCTGATCGCTGTATCAACGAGTATGTTCCCTACCCTCTTTTTTCTCTCATCATTTCAATCGCTAATGCGCGTGATACAGATACGCCGATACGATCTGGAACATTGAGCCCCTGGCTCCACGGAAAGACCTGTAGTGTGATGTTTATTGAGTTTCTTGTTTTGTTTTGTTTTTCCTCTTTTTGTTTCTCTTGGGGTGGTTTATTTTTTGGGTTTTCGCGACTGTGCTGGAGTGGTTCGGGTGGGAAGCGGGTGATTGTCTCTGTGGGTAGTATGTAAAAGCTCTCACTATAGTTGGTACTGAATCGAGTATCATTGCCTGCAAATCGTGCTGCTATCCTTACTAGCTACGTTGTGACGTTGGTGATCTGTTGGTGACCTGTTGACACGGAGTGAGCTGTCTTGTCTGGTTTAGTATCTAAGGTGTAGAAGAGATATGTTTGAGTATGCGAAGTTGCAAGCCCTAGCGCGGGGGGGAACACGACTCATCACTCCAATGGTGCCTGATCTTCGTAGGGCTGGGGCGTACGTACTTAGACAGCGCCCATCAGGAGATGACTGTGGTGTATGCAAGTTTCCAAGGCTATCCGGGAGTTGAGAGGGTTATGTAGACAGCACTGCACGATTGGGTCGGTGTGGGGGGGTAACTGTATGTACCAGCTCCAAGCCACTGGGAAACAGTGTAGCTGCGCGGTGTTAGGGGGTAACGTCTGCTGTTGTGACTTGTCTGCGTCGCTTTCATGAGTCGTCACTCGGTGCTTGGAACTCGGTGCTTGGTGCTTGGTGCTTGGAACAGCTCTGTGTGTGGTTTTATCAAGTGTACTCTATATAGTAGGCACTGGACGGGAGGTTGAGTGGGGAGGGCGGAGCGGGGAGTCCTGGGCGGAGAGCAATAATAGGGAACGAACATCGAGCTCGCGGCCAGCGTCCAGCGGTCGGAGACGGTGGGAGTAGAACTGGATTTTTGTATCATACAGCTATGATCTGATAAGGTCGAATGCTATATACGATGATGAAACAAAACAAATAACAATTGTAAGTACTGAGATGCGCAGCCTCGCAGGAGCAGGAGCAGAGGTAGAGGCAGAGGCAGCCTGGCGTTGTCTAGACTCCAGAGAGCGCCGGATGACTGGGACCAGCTGTGACAATGATGGGACTTGGGTGAGACCCACTTCCGGGTGCACGGGGGCTGGCAGAAAACTGTGTGACTCGAGTGGGACATGTTGTTTTGGGGGCGGACCTTGGGCGGACCTGTTGAGACCAGCTGTTATGGGGGTGATTGTTGATGTTTGTTTACATCGTCGTCGAGCAGACCCGATGCGGTGCGGTGCGGTGCGGTCGACCAAATGTTAGGTAGGTTTTCGCCGCTACCTGTTATATAAGAGGGACTTGCTCCCCCGCTCGTCTTGCTTCTCTCTGTCTTCTGTATACATCGCTGCCTCCCAAGTTTTCTTTGAATTGATTGATCACGTTTATTTCGAATCACACCTGGTTCTGACTCTATCATTGCCGATTTCATACTACCTATCTCAAGGAGGATTGCTAGACGATTGAGCTGCTGAGCTCTCTTTATTTACCACGACCACTCCTCCCTTCTCTTCACAACTTCCTTTCCCAACTCCCTCCTCCCTTCTCCTCACAACTTCCTTCCCCCACTCCCTCCTTCCTTCCCACACTCCCTTTCATCGTTCCATTCACACACGATACATCCTACTACCCATACTACCTAAGTGGTTTTCATCACGTCTTCGACACTCGATACCTGTGCGGGTACTATTTGACTGCCTATTTGACTACAGATGTAAGTCCCCGTTCTTCTAAGTGCAATAGTTCCATCAGGCTCACGAAAACAGCAGTCATCCATCAGCTCTCAACTTTCACCCCTCCCCTCCCCTCGTTCCACACGATGTACGACATGAAACTCCACGTCTCATCCCCGACGGCATGTCATCTCTTTAATGGCCGTCTTCTCACAACATACGGAGATATACGATACCGGTACGAGACGACAACTGTGGCACCTACCTGCGCTGCACAGCGGGCTATTCTCGTGGTGTATTAAGAATAAACCCCTTCCGTCTGTTACGGCTAAATTTCAGCAGCCCATTTAGGTTGGCTGTTGGCTCATCACCGTCGGAGCCCATGTTCAACTCCGGTTCGGCAAAAAGGGCAATTTGAAGTCTGCTTCGTCAAAAACTCCGAGCCATCTAAAATACAGGCGGCCGCGTCCACTCCACATCTACCGTCACCAGATACCTACTTCACGCACCACCCAGGGAGGCGGCTGAGCTGCCGAGGGAGCGCGGGCGTCGAGGCGTTAAAACTTTCGAATTTTGCGCTTCGACAGGTGGCCGGGTTCATTCCCCCCCTCCCCCCCGTTCTCAGTTTGGATTCCCTCGAGGAAGCCTTGTGCCGAGCGGCGGAGTGGAGGGACCTAGTGTTTTGGGGGTTTGACTATATACTGTGGGACACAGCTGGAACTGACATCTTGGCGACGGCTTTCGATCCTTGGCTGCGGACCTTGGACGGACTTGCTGCCAAGATGTTGGGACCAGTTGCGGACCCGGTGTTATATACTCCGCTTGACCGGGTTTGTTTTGATTTGTTGCTTTGTTTTGATTCCTTTTGTTGGCCGGCACGGTGGTATGCATACACCTTTTTTCTAACAATGTATTCATCGATCCGGCCAACCGCAAAATGATCGATCGCCGCTAGTCGGCTGTCTGTCTGTCTGTTTGTCTGTCTCGTCACCTGTTGTCTGTTATGTATCTGATTTGTTGGTCAGCGGTAGCTGTGATCGTTTTATTTTATAGTAGAGAGTTTGCGCTTTGCGTCTGGATGTAAATTTAGCTTGGTTTTCACTTGATCGTTGTGGGTTCGTCTAGAGAGTTTGCGCAGTTGCTCAAAAGATCGACAGATCAACGGTGTGCCAACCAAGGTAGCAACACGTCTCGTCGGGGTTCTTCAATTCGATTTTCTGCGTGTACTTCCTGTAGTAAATCCAGTCGTATCGCGAGTTCATTGATTTCACGTTTTTTTTGGCTTTCCAATTTTCATCTGGAACCATACCTATCCAACCTCATCCCTTCGGTCTTTGGGTGGCATCCGACTCTTTTTTTCTGGATTCCAAGAAACATCCTATGCACAATCTGAGCATGACGGTATTCTAATTCTCGTTGACGGTGAATTTGGGACGTGACGACGGTTCATGGTGGTTGTTGGTGGTATTTGGTGGAAGGCTGGATTTGCGTTTTGTCTCGACGCAAATACCCTTGATTTGCGTCTGGACAAAACGCAAATTTCCGGGTCCAGAGTGCCAAGAAAACCGGGTCACAGCCTGGTTTTTGAGTCTAGACGCAAAGCGCAAACTCTCTAGTGTGCTTGTTCGTCTGGGACTTCCTGAGGTTCATCTGTTATTGTCTTGTTTCGTCATATTCCTTCTGTTGATCTTCTATTGTTGCTATTCTATTCTTATCTTGTTTCGTCTTGTTATTTCTGTTGTTCATCATAGACGGTAGACCACCTACACAATTGATCAACCTTTTGTCTCATCACGTTTTTAGGGTCTCTCACCCAGGAGATGGAGCTCTGAGCATGAATTGGAATACCTAACAACTTTATCATTCTTCTTATTTTTCTTGCGCACTTATCTACATAATGTACATTACCTAGTTTGGTCTGGAAATCTTGTCAGTTGGACTTTGAATCTATATACTACTTACCTCAGGTATGTACAGTAGCAAAAAGTAGGGTGCGATTGATACGGGGTGAATACCGCGATCATTTGACCGCGGTATTTTTCAGGTAGTAATCGCACCCCACTTTTTGCTACTGTACTTAGGTACACACATCGTTGCGTATAGCCTGCAGGTACTCTCCCGTGAGATAAGATGAGATGCACGGGTATGGCGGTATGGCGATATGCAGATACTTACCACTGGCTATGTACTGGTGTAAGGGTAAGTGGTGCACCCCCTTAAGCGCCATGGCTGGTTGGGTGGCCGGGTTGATGATGTAATGGTGACATTCTCGAATATTCGGCTTGTATATAAGGCGAACTCAACACCGCCACCCACCATCGTCGTGCGAATTCTGTCGTTGTGAAGTCTAATTGTTCGAGCATTCGGTCGTTATACGAAGTCCATCGCCGCACAAAAGCATGAAGCAAAAAGGAGTCCGCGATCCGGTACCGGAAGGAGTCAGTCACCGAGAAACGACACGGGACGAGCGAATACAGCTCATTGCGCTACGCGAGAAAGCGGGATGGAGCTGGAGGCGAATAGCAAAGGAGTTCAAGATCGACAAGAGCACAGCCATGAGAATATATCAGCGGTATCAGCGGTACGGTACTCCTTCGAATCGGAAACGGTCCGGCAGACCCCCAGTATTCTTCGACGCCGCGGAGAAAGCCCGGCTCGAAGAATTTGTTACCCGCGACTCCCGCACTCGACGTCTCAGCTGGGACGCAATCTGTGTCGAAATGGGGTATGCCTGCGACCCCAAGACGGTTCGGGACGCGATTATGTCGATGGGATATCACAAGTGCGTCCCGAGAAAGAAGTTCGCTGTCGAACCTGACAACAGAGCGAAGCGGGTTGCCTGGTGTCAGGCCAGGCTACATTGGACCAAGGAGGAATGGAAACGAGTTATCTGGGCCACGGATGAATCCTCCTTCTCCTTCTCGGCTGCAGGTTTTTTTGGTCACCACCGTCCATGGGTGATTCGAAAAGCTGGCGAGGAGGATCACCCCGACTGTGTTGATACACATGAATTCCATTCCGGACGCCAATCGATGATGGTTTGGGGAGCATTCTGCGGTACAACGAAATCAAATCTTGTCTTTGTACCTGTACCTGGAAAGGAGGCGAAGATCGACTCGGCGTCCTATGTACGGAAGATTATGGAGCCTGCACTGGTATCTTTTTGGCAGCAGTGTTGCGAGGAGTATGGATGGACAGTTGTTCAGGAAGACAACGCTCTAGGGGGGCATAAAGGAGATGCCAAACGCTATAGAGAATTGAATGGGATGGAGGTTTTAGAGTGGCCCGCAGATTCTCCGGATTTGAATCTGATGGAAGCATGTTGGGGGGATATGGAGACCGAATTGGGAGAGACTTGGGGACGGGCGTCGGATGAGAAGGTGTTGGAAACTATGTTACGTATTGCTTGGGGTGATATTAAAGAGGAAAGGTTAGATAGATTGGTAGAAGGTATGCCTGCAAGGTTGCAGGCGGTGATTGATGCTGGAGGAGCACCGACAGAATATTAATGGTTGGGTGGGAAGGGGTGGTGCACCACTTTTTCAAGTTCACAGGTTGGTTTTCTTCATGGGTCCTCACCTTGGGTTCCGGCGGAAAGATCTATGCACGGAACTCTCTCTTTCTCTTCTTCGCCATAGTCTAGATAGGCTGCATGGGAAATAAAACAGGAAGATCTCTCTCTCTTCCGTCTGAACCAGAAATGGCTCCAAATCCTGTCCCGACTAATCGAGAGGCTGGACGGACGGCGTGGGCACTCGGCCTTCGTCTGCCTCATTCATAATCTACGCACCATCTGTATAGTAAAGCAACGACCGCCGCAGTTCCATCGAGAAACTAATCCCCATTCCCTCGTAACTGAATGTAATTGGTATTTCCCACCAAAAACCGAAATAAAAAGATAAAGTAAAATAAACGCCCCACCAAGTTCTAAGTTCCAAAACCAGGCGCTCGCCCATTATCCATAACCAAAATCATCAAAAAACTATGTACAACCGCTTATTCCTCCTCCTCTTGATACTCATCATCCCCCTCCTCATCCTCCTCATATTCCGCCACATACTCATATTCCCGTGGCTCCTCCCCGCCTCCAACAGCGTCCCCAGCAGCACCATCGTCAGAGTCCATAAGCGCATCAACAGTATTCACGAATCCCACCGGCGCAGCGCTCTGTCTTCTATTCCGTGCTTTTCTCGGGGATCTCTGTACCGGTGGTGGGGGTGGGGGTGGTGCGGGTTTCGGCTTCGATTTCGGTTTCGATTTTGGCCTCGATTGTGATTGTGCTTGTGATTGTGATTGCGATTGTGATTGTAACTTGGACCTGGGCTTTTTTGCTGGTGGCATTTCGACATCGCTGGCGCTTGAATCTGTCGGCGTAGCCTCCGCTTCCTCCTCTTCGTCGTCGGAGTATTGGATCCTCCGTCGTTTTCGATTCCGGTTTGGAGTTGCTGGCTGGTCCGGTAGTGCATCTTGATGGGTGTGCTCGGCCTCCGGCCACGAAATCGTATCGAATTTTTTCACCACCTCCCACGGTGCGTGGTATACCACGTCGTCACGCCAGTCGGTGGTACACTCGAGATCCCGCACTTGGCGGCGGAGAGGGTTTGGTACTTCCCCCTCATCCCCCTCCTCCTCATTCTCATCTGCGGATGTGGTGGGGGAAAAGCCCATCACTCGCCACAGCTGTTTCTCCTCACGCAGGGATTGTCTTGCGTCGATGGCGTTCATGTAGCGGTCCTCTGCTGCGGCGAGAAGGGCCAGTTTCCGTGTGCGCCGGATGTGGGCGGCCGAGGGGTGGGTTGTCATGGCGTCGTCGTCGGAGAGGTCTGAGGAGTCGGGATCTAGGGAGGAGAATGAGGACCGAGCGGTGGGGGATCCTGCCTCGCTTGCGTCGGAGTCCTCGGCTTCGGAAGGGGGGTTGCTATTCGCTTCTGGTGCCTGGGGTTTCCGCCTGATCTTTGTGCCACTGACTTTCGTGATGGGCTTGTTCAGGAACTCCTCGACGTGCGTGAGCTCCATCGTCTTCGGAACTTTGTATTTCATCTGGATGATGTGTTCGACAACTGCCAGTCCGGTACGCCGTGGTAGCTGCGCCCAGTACTGCACCGTGTTTTGGGGCAGACTCATTGCCTCCACTGCGGCTTGCACGTCGTCAGCACGGATAAATGGCGCTGGTGCGAAGATCTGGTTTTCCATATTCCGAAGCCGGGACTCGGCCATGAAGATGCTGGTCTGAACTATGCGGCGGGTAACGGAGAGGACCAGACTGTGGAGGTCTTGCAAGGCGGTGTAGCGCATTGACGGAGTCTCGCCGCGCGGGGCGAAGGCTCGGTAGTTACTCTCGCCAGAGCCGTTCATGAAGTACTTCTCCGAGAGGTCCAGAATCTTGGCAACATCGAGCAGCTCGGCCTCTGGAGCGATCTCGTTAATCCCCTCGGTATCATCGGCTTTATACAGGCTCTTCACCTCCGCCGCAAGCTCCTCATCGATGAGCCAACAATCTCCCCACCGCCGCTTTTCAAACCGCTCCTCATCCCGTCGTTTCCGGTCCTCGACGAAATCGGCCTGGCGCTCGAGCGCCGCCACACAGTCCTCCGATAGTTCCACCGCGGCTGGAATTTCCCCCAGCCCTACGGTATCCCGCGAGCGCGAGACACTCCTTCTCCCCTGTACCTCCAACAGCCCCTCCTCTAGTAGCTGTATATACGCGCGACACTCGAAGACGGTTTTTGTTCCCACGGCTTTGGCGATGCCATCAACTGCGTCCTTTCTCAGCACTGCGAGGTGGTTGAAAAATACGTCTTGCTCGTCGGGTGTCCAATACGACAGGAGCACGTAGCATCCCTGTCGACGGAAAGCATCGGAGGTGCTGTAGATAGACCTGTCCCGCGCCGCCCGGATCTCGGTGTTGAGAAGATCCACATACTCCGTGGTGAATTTATTTCTCTGGGCCCCTCGCCGCCGGCCCTTGACGCGTGGGGGGGATTCCGCATCTAGGCTTTCGTGGAATTGCTGCGAGGCGTTTCGTATGAAACGGGATTTGCTGGATAGAGGTGGGGGGGACGGGGACGGGGACGGGGAAGACGTTTCTGAGGTTTGAGATATGCGGGAGCGGGAGGAGCGGGAGGTTGAGGTCGTCGAGTCGTCATCTTCATCGTCTTCTGCTGATAGTTCTGGCGAGTGGATAACCGGCCTCCGGCGGCGATGGGGATATATTTCCTCTTCCGACTCGGCTTCATAGGCTTCTTCGTCGGTGGCTCTTCCTAGCGCGGGCCCGGTGTCCTCCTCGTCTCCACTGTCCTCCGCTCCCTCAGATTGGACTCTCCCCTCGCCGTCCGAGGCCGCCTCAACGCTGCCCCAGTCATCGTCGGCTGTAGCTTGGTCGTCAATACTGACTTGCGCGTGCTGCACGTTTTCCCGTTCTTCATCCTCACTCTCCTCACTCTCCTCATCGTCTCCACCATCCGGAACAATTGTCACATCCCCGTCGCCATCCTCATCCTCGGTAGGCTCAACACTCCCCCAATCATCATCTGTCGCAATCCCAACGCCCCCACCATTGACCCGCGCGGCGGGCTCCCCTTGCTTCTCAGCATCACTCGCTGGTTCAACACTCCCCCAAGCATCATCCTCCCACTCCATATTCTCCGTCCTATCCCCGTTCCTATCTTCGTCCGCGTCCGCGTCCGTCCCATCAACACTCCCCCAATCCCAATCCCCGTCGCCCTCAGCGCCCGCAATCTTTTCGCTCCTCCGCGAGCCACTGATCACGGACGAATGCTCATCCTCGCCCGAACCCCAAGCCGATTCTGGCGGGGGCAATGGGGGCGACGATGACTGCTTGTATTCCGATACATCATCTTCGTCTTCGGAGGAAGAAACGACCACCGGTCTGCGTGCCGGGGTTCGGTCGGGGCTGGATGAGGAGCGCGAGGACGACGAGGACGAGGAGTAGCTGCGTTTTCGTTTTTTGGCTGGACTGATGCTACTACTGCCCATCTCCATCTCCGCCATCAGTGTGGATTCAAGGTGTGTATGGAGGGCGCGTCGGTGTCGTGTAAAGTGAAAAGCGCGACATGTTGGTTCGTTAAAGGTTGTGGGGTGCAAACATCACTAGTGCGTGGTGGACGCGAGGGGACCCTGCATGCAGGCGTCATCTATCTACAAGTGGCCGGTATGATGTATGTACTCTACTCTATGTAATGGTTCTGGGATCACAAGAAAGAGGATTCTATGCATTCATCTACTGGTACAGTATACGTGTCTGCCTACGGCTTGAAGATCTCCGGGAAGACGGTTTTCAGCTCCGAGATATCCCGGATGTGGTGCTTCCCGTGTGCGAATTCGGGGTCGGAGTCTTCGGGCTCCAGCTTGTGGACCACGTGCGGCCATCCGTATTCTAGCGCTGCTTGACAGTTCCAGGCACTATCGTCGATGAAGTAGCATTTGCTCTTGTCGGCGATGCCGGCGTCACGCATTGCTTGAGCCGTCAGCTTGTGGAGGGACGAGAAGCGGGAAAGAGACAGTACCTCTCTCGTAGGCTTCGGGTTTCGGTTTACACATCAGCGGGAACTCCTCATAGTCGCAGAACGTCATCCCTATGCCTCTCGTCAGTATCCACTCCCTACACACTCAGTCTTTGCGTACGCACCCCCAAAGAGCCCCTCAAGCCCCAACAGCTTGATCACCCGGTGTCCATGCGTTTTGTAGGCATTCGTAAACAACCACAGCCTGCACTTGGTCGTATCGATCGCCTCAATCAGTTCTCTTAGCGCGGGATCGGGCGACAGCACGTCCTCGAGCGGCAACGCATCATCGACTTTGCGGTTGTAGTCTATCGGGTCAATCTTATGGTGACGGACGAGGCCCTCGATCGCTAGTCCGTATTGTTCGTAGTAGTGTTCGTGGAGGTTTTGGGCGTCTTCCGGTGTCAATTCTGCGTGCGGCGAGTTAGTGGGAAGGAGAGGAACGGAGGGTGGGATAGGAACCGAGATGCTCCCGGAAGTAGGCGCGGATCAGGTCTTTCATCATGTCGTGCACTCTCTTGTTGCGTGAATAGAGCTTGGAAACTGTTAGCTGGCTGGCTGGCGAAGGGACTGGGAGAGCTAACGCAGTTGTCTATATCGAAGAAGAAGACGGGGAGCTCGGAGGAAGCCATCGTGTGCAATTTGGTCTAAGGGCCGGCTTCTGTTGTGGTTGAAGATCTTGTGAGGACGGTAGTGGTGGTGATGGGCGAGCTGGAGCTCCGGTGAGTAATGGTATGTGACACACGAAGGGAGTCACGCCTGGAAGTGAACCGGTCCCTGAGGTGGAATGCAGATCTAGCTACTTTTGTCGCCCCGCAGCATCACCACAACCCCTCCTTCCTTGAGGTTCTACTCACCTTCACGAATCACGATGTCAACGGTATCCCACTCGTCCTTTTCGTAACACTAGGAACGATTCGTTCCGCATCTATCGACATATCTTTGGGTTCCCAGAAGTTTCCGGAGGCAGGTTTTCTTATCACAATATTGAAAAGCTCAGATCGGCGCTGGACATTGAAAGGCGTTTAACAGGCTTGAGATTGGCTGATATATACGAAAGACAATTTTGGAAACTGTGAGATGTCCACCAGATTCGCGAAGATGTGTAATATGCTGTTGGGTTGCATGATGATGTGTTGGGTAACTTGGGTAAGAGGCTTGAACTGTCTCCAGTTGTGCCTGGATTCGTGATGTTGTGGTTAACGGAGTGATGTTTTTACCCTTCTGCTGTTTGGGCGGTGGTCAATCTTCTACCGAAATTTCTTATGACGTTCCGCAACCGGAGGAGATGAATCAACACCTTATGTATGCCGGTTCTGTTTTGTGGATTTTGTTCCTCGTAGATCGTAATGACTCCCGTACTGAGTATCCCGGCGAATCGGAAGGTCCGGTATGTCGTGACAATGCGTCATGGTGTGGTGGCACTGGTGGGGCTTTGCTCTCCTCTAGTAGTAACAACTAGCGTGCTCCACTACTTATCAGATTAGATCAGATGCACATTGCTAGCTAGCGCGACCGCGACTCGATGCCGACCTCTCCTTCCTTCAATAAGTTCGAAACCACCACCACCACCCCCCTACAACCCGGGTCCTCGTCGCGTGTTCCCCAACCTCACCCACCTCACCCACCTCACCCACCGCAAGCAACGCACCTCCCCGCAAAAAGTCACTAGCTATGGCTTCAGACGTTGCCCAGCTTCCGGGAAGCGTGCCAGCATCACCGGCCGACACACCAGAGGAGATTCGTGACTACCAACGGATCATCAATCTGCGCAATGAAATCTACATGGGGAGACATTCTCGTTTCAAGCCGCCGAGTATCGTGCGATCCGTGGCGGCTGCTACTCCCGCACCTCTACCGGCAGCTACTTCAACCTCTGGCCAGAGCTCGAGTAAACCTACGCCGGTGATGACGACCAAGAAGTCTACCATCCCAGCCGCCTCGAACCCAGCCGCTATCGTCACCGCTGTTCCGTCTACTGCCGCTACCAATGCTTCCGCAACAGGTCAAATCGAGGACGTATTGCTCACCAAGTCGGATGTGTTGATTAGAGCCGAGACTACGTTGAAGCGCCAGCGCATCGAGCATGAGGTTAGGAACCAGCTGGAGCAAAAGAAATATGAGGCGCGCTTGGGCATGGAGGTTAAGGATGGAAAGGCGGTTGCAGAAGTTGAGGATGATGTGGACTTGGAGGCGGCGATGCAGAAGGCGGGTATGTGGTTGAAGCCTGTGGAGCGTCCTGAGGATCCATCGTCAATCAACAAACTGAAGGGCTTCTTTGGGGATAAGGGGGAGAGGGACGATAGGGGCAATAGGGATAGGGGCGATGGTGGAGAAATGGCGAGGAAGTCTAATGATAGCCCGGCGAGGTGGCAGGAACATGTGGAAGACCGGTTCGACAGTCGACGCGTGACGGCTGCGGCGGGTGTGGAGGCTACGAGAGAAGTGCCAATCGAACCACCGCACTCGAGGATCGTTGAAACTCTCAGAGAGCGGGAGAGACGGCCTCAACCGCTGCCACCAGTATCCAAACCACAGCAATCCACATCGCCGCTGGACCCTTTTCAACCCAGCTACTCCGCGAGTAACCTGGCTCGATCGCCATTGGCCTCCCCGCAGCCGCGTTATTCCGCGACTAGCCAGGTTCGATCGCCTGCTGCTCCTCAGCCCGTTCGGCCTGCAAATGTTGCTCGTGTGGAATCCCAAGACCGCATAATTGAACTGGAGAACGCGGAGCGACTGTCACCGCCTCCTCCAGCGCATACCGTACAGGTGCCGTCGAAGCGAGCTAGACAGCCATCTCCAGATCCTTACCCCAAGCAGGAACCAATAAATGCTCCGCCGTTTCCCCCCCGCGACGAGTACGCCAGGAGGATGATGTCGCCAGAGATCGTAGGAGCTCTGCGACCGTCAAGCAGGGAGAGTGCTCATCCGGGCGGACCGCCCTACCGCATGCCTCCTGATGTAGCAGCTCACGGTTACTACCAACACCCTTCTCCTTATGGGCAACCTCCGCACCGTCACCCATACGAGGGGTATCCATACCAGGACCCTTACGCGTACCCTCCACCGCCGCCCGATTACCGAAGGCCTTATGCGCCGCAATATGCTGCACCTCCATCGGCGCCGCCGTACTATGCACCGAGACCGGCATATGAAGATTACGGTCGTTATGGAACAAAGCCCCCGCCCTCAGTTCGCCCGCCATTCCCCCGCAGATCTGCATCTCCATCGGATCCGTATGCACGCCGTAGGGACAGCAGGTCCATATCACCTGACGTACGGGGTAGGAGGGATATCATGGGGAACAATACTCCTGGCCCAGTGAATCAGAGGCTACCACCAGCAGGCTCCCCCAGCCCTAAGAGAGCTCGTCTCATGCCGGATGGTGTTGAGCAAGACATTCGCGGGCCCGGTCCTGTAGCAATGGAATACCCATATCCGCCACCGCCCCGAGATCCCCGAGATCCCCGAGACCGTGTCTATTACGAAGCCCGTGAGCCCTCCTTTGCGCCGCCGGCCCCGCACGCTCGCTACCCCGAAGAGCCGCCATTTCTGATGCCTCGGCCCGAGAGTGTTATGTATCGGGGAGAAGAAGATTACCGTGGTTACAGGAAGCGGGACTATTCAGGCTCGTCTCAATCAAGGCCACCGGTGCCTCTCGGCGGATCATACCCCCCGCCTCCTGAATACGCCAGACCACTCACGAGGGCTGCCATGGCCGTACTTCCGGACGGACTGGAATATCCTCCCAGAGCAGGTGTTGATTACTACGGTAGATCGGACGGAAGGGCCAGTGTTCGTCCCGGTGAGGGAGCATACCTTCCGCCTCCTCCTCCTCCTCGCCAACCCAGCGTTCGTCCAGACGTCCCGGAGTATTATGGGGACAGGGTTTACAGCAGAGCAGCAAGCGTGCGTCCCGATCTGGAAAGGGAGCGTTACAGCATACCACCACCATCTATGGTCCCTCCACCACCCGGGGCGGGCTATTCTCCGTACGGCGGCGTTGGGGGATATAGGTACCGGGATTGATTGGAGAGAAGCGTTGTCATGAGATGAGATGATGCAGGGGGATGGATGGGATGTTGACCGCCACCGTTTTTTTCCACCTTTTTTTTCTTTCTCTTGTGTTCTTTCGGGGTTACGGGGATTTGGTTCCTGATGGGATTTTTCCTTTCGTGCTTTTTTTTACCGGCTTGTATTTTTACTTTACAGGGGGTCAAGAAAGTGAGAATTGTGTGCTTGAATTTGAAGCAGACAAACATAAAACTTCTTTTTCATTGTAAAAATATCTACACCCTCAGCGGCGTGAGTAAACTCACCGCAGCGGGCCATAGTCACATGATCCAGTCCCACCCTTCAGTCCATCCACCCTGCCAACCAGAACCCGCCCCGCCTTCACACTTCACGGGAGTCAATCACGATTATTGGAACCCAAGTCTCGGGGACACGAGCATCATGTTCACTCGTACTCTGATTTCGGCATCCCTTAGATCATCAAAAACAACCTCTGTGCCTCGGCACGGCGTTGGGCGAAATGGAGGTGGACGTCAATTGCGCTTCACGGGCCTTCAACCACAAGCACGCACAGTCTTCTAGGGGCTCGCTGTGAGGCTTTTTGCTCGTCGATTGCTCTCACCTCACACCACCGTTCTGCCACCGAATGATCCCCAAAGAGCCCTAGTTCGAGTGTTTGAAACCAGTTGAATAGATCTGGAGTGAAACCAGGAACAAGAGTCGGGAGTGCGTATGATACTCTGGCTGGAAGAAACAAGAGGCGTGAAGAAGTTGTAAACATCGATCTACATAGTCACGACTAGCCGTGCAGTGAAGGCATCGAAGGCACTGGAGAGTCTAGAAATAGGTAGAGTGAGTCCAAAGCCAAAAGTTAAAACTAAAGCAAAGTTTGCCCCGAGGCTCCCCGACGTTGATATATAGGACAGTTCGATTCGAAGACTCGCTTTCCTTTGCTCGCTCGTTTGGGCCCTCTAGTCGTATGTATGGTTTTTGTTATGTTTGTTTTTAGCTTCGGGACCGGAATAGAAGACGTGGGATTTTCTAAGCTTTGCCTCCGTCCTGGTTTCGTGTCGATGATGGAACACTGTCGTCCGGCAGACACGCCAGCTGGCCCAGCCACATTCACACACACTCCTCCCACACGCGTGTTGTTTTCGTGGTGGTCTTTCCACGAGTACGTACTTCTTGTTTGGCTTTCCGAACCTTCTTCTTCCTCCTATACCCCTCCGGAACTCGCATCATTGCATCATGGTCGGATGTGACGGCCAACCGTGACGAGGCGAGTGTGGATCCATGACGACTACGGGGAGCGCTTGCGGGTTACGGAGCGAGATGGGTGGTGGGCAGAGTACTCCTAGCTGGCTATTGCAAAACTGTGCAGAACGGTGTGTCAATCGGGACGAGGAGATACTTTGTGATGTCCGGCCCAGATGGCTCAACACAAGGTTTATGCGTATACATTCGAGTCCAGTTGTGAAGTTTGTTTGTGGCCTTCCCCCTCCCTTCTCCCCCTCCTCTTCCACATCCTTCTGGTCTATCTGCTTCTTCTTCTTCTTCTTCTTCTTCTTCTCTTCTTTCTGTGCTTGATATCCTCTGCCAACTCCCTTCTATTTCGATCCATATACCGAGATATCGTCAACCTTCCAGCCCACGGCTTCCACCGTTTGAGTGCATATATCCAGCATACGCAGAGACACTACCCGACTCTGCTCCCCTGCGTAGATTCCACACCACACTTTGCGTGCCTCGGGCATCTCCATCGGTTGGTTCAATTCGATTCTTTGAGCCCTAAGCAAGCAATCCGGCTGGTGATCATCGAGTAATTGCCCATCAAGCACACACACCACAGTACCTGCCCTTGCCTCTATCGTATCACTATCATAAGTGCCATCTCGGCCCGCTTCTTCAATTGAAAGCTTGGCTAAGCATTTTGCCGCCAACAGCAAGCAACATCGTTTATTAAAGCGAAGAGCCTCAGCGCTCCTCGCCCCCCCCCCCACACCGATTGCTCGCTCGACTTCCCTCTGACGACAACCCAACCCAGCCCAACCAACCACATCCACCACTACCACCACTACCACTACCACCACCGCCCACCGCCCACCGCCCACCGCCCTCTTCACCACCACCACCAACAAACCCGTCTCTTGCCAAAACTCCCTCTCGGACAAAAAAAAAACGAGAAGCGAACAACCACAATTTGCGTGCTCGGCGGGCTGCAAACTTCAACTTTCTTCTTGTCGAACGGAATAGAGAAAAGAGGACGCCACAGGGAATCCGGAATCCACATCTACGGGTAAAAAATCTAGGGCAATCAGCAACACATAGTCGGCATATCTTGATGCACCCTTAGACCGCCAGTTCGGACAACACACGACGACGACACTACTTCACGCATACACGCATCGCAACGATACGAAACGAACGAGAGAAGAAGAAGAAAAAACGGCGAAAACAGAAACATTCCCCCTACGAACGAACTCGCAAGAGAGAGAGGAGGAAAGATAGAGAAAGAGACGGAACACCCTATAAACTCGCCTCCGAAATAATCGTCTACTATCCGCACGGCTACCACCACCACCCCCGTGGGACGTATGATGTACTCTTCGCAGCCGTCTGGCCACGCCCTGCCTCCGAAGCCCGTTTTCGACAACTTTGCGCATTCCCATATCCAAGCCTCGTCGTCATTCGTGTCAATTTCTCCTCATGCGAGCCTAGATACCATTCCGGCGATTCCGGGCCACCACTACTCGTTCTGTATCCAGCTGTCGATACCGCCACCGCCGCGCAAAGAGGATACACTGCTTCTGACCAGCAATGCCGAACTCAACTGGCTGCATCCGGACGGGTGTCCCCCAGTTCCACGGAGATTGCCGTTCTACCAGAATGTAGTGCGGGAGTTGGAGATCTTGTGTAAGGAGATTAACGACCGCCCCGGTGGCTGCCAAGCGTCCGTAACGGTGTCCGAGCCGCAGAGTACTACCGGGCCCGGATCGTCAGATCATAGTTTTGAAACTCAGAGGCCGAAGAGTGATATCGTTATTGGCGTCTGGATTGCTGCGCCGGACAGCACCGCGATCGAAAAATTGAGATCTTTGTTCCTTGCGCGGTGTCCGGTTGCATTGGTGAGAAAACACGCCTCCGGATATCCCTATTGCGCGCCACTCTGTTAACGTTTCTTTTCGGTAGAGGGCGGCGTGTGTTGACCTCGATCATGACCTATTCTACGGTGCCGACGGAAAGCCCAGTGCGAAGGTCGTGAACCACTTGACACAAATATCGAACTATACCGGAACGGGCATCTTCGTCATGAAGCCCGAGGAATCGAAGGCGAGCGCTGCTGGCGATCCGGAGGTGGATGCGAGCCAGGCAACGCGACTGCGGGTCAAAATATACGGCGATTACGAGAGTGTCGAGCATGCGAAGACCCGTATACTCATCATGATCGATGACCTTGTGGGTTCAACCCCAGCATATTGATTGTTCCTTGATCCCGGTGATCGGTGTTTCTGACCAGACTTTCCCCGTATAGCTTGGCAATATTGTTTCGCCGATGTACGTTGAAGTTTCGCTACATAGCGTGCTGTGCGGTCGCTCGAGAAAGAACGTCAAGCAGATCGAGTCCGCTACTGGAACGGCGGTCTACTTTCCTCCACCTTTTCCGCGCGTGTATGGCTACTTTCCGCGAGGGTGTCAACGACGGCATCCTGACGAGATCTTCATTGTTGGTCCTACCAAGGCCGATGTTGCAAAAGCGGAGCAGATGCTGAGTTCCCTGGTAAGTTGAACTATGGTTGTCGTGTGGTGCCCTCTTCTGACTTCTCGTTTCCGTAGGCCTGCCAAGCGAACGCATTCGTAATGACTCTGCAGATGTCGTACCGCAAGATTGACTTTTTGCTGCTGGAGCGCCTCGACGAGATCAAGAAGATTATGGAGGCCAATGGCACATATGTTTGCTTGCCGGTGCTCGGATCTGGCAACAGTTCCATGCGGGTGCAGGGACTGGAGACTCTCCAGATCGACCGTACCATGCGAGCGATAATGTCGATCGCGGGACAGTATTACGATTCGACGTGGTGGATGATTGACGACCGGACGACAATCAGCGGTCGCCGTGTCCCATCCCCGGCAGAGTTCCAGCAGATCCTCATTGACTTGTCAACCAAGAGCGGTGCCGACGTGGCGTTCAACAAGAACTACTTCGAAATTGTCGGCTCCGACTGGGCTGTGAGACGGTGCCTTGAGCTCCTCAACGAAATTGACTACGTCCGATGCAGTAACTACCAATTGCGGGTCAAAATCGAACTTGCTAACGAGCACAAGGAGTTTGTGGCTGGTAAGAAGAACGGCAAGATTAATAAGATTATGGGCCAATCCAACATCCACATTCTGTTCGATGGCTTCAGCGAATACAATTTTTACATCGACGTCGTGGGTCAGAAGTACGACAATGTCAAGGTGGGCTTGGAACTGGTCGAGCAGGAGCTACCAGCATCAATGTCATTCCACGTTCCGGACTCTTACCACAAGCGGATCATTGGCGTGGGTGGTCAACACATCCAAACGATCATGAAGAAGTACTCGGTTTTCGTCAAGTTCTCCAACGCGATGGAGCGGGGGACAGCAGGCAAGGTGGAGAACGAGGATCTCAAGGTGGACAATGTCGTGTGCCGGACACCAGCCCGGAATGCGGCAAATTTGGAGCTCGTCAAGGCTGAGATCATGGAGATGGTACAGCAGGTTGATGCTGACATTGTGACTGAGTCGGTCGAGATTCCGCGGTTGTTCCATCGCAATATGGTCGCGCAACGAGTCATCATTGACGCTTTGGAGAAGAAATGGAGTTGTAGTGTTTCGTTTCCCAGCACGGAGATGGCCAGTGATTCTGTCACCATCAAGGGACCCGAGTGGCAGGTTCCCCACTTTAAGGAGGGGCTTCTGGTATGTTCTTTCCTCTGGCTGGGGCGCCGTTGTGTTATCTACGAGTATACTGAAAAGATGACAGGCACTCGTTCCGGAGAGTCACGACATCCGGTTAATATGGTCACCGGAACTGGCTACAGCCATGGTTGACGAGCGTTTCACTAGCGAAGTCGTAGAGCCCACGAAGGATCGGATGTGCATCCAGATGCAAGTAGGAGAGGCAAACCTGGACAGCCCCATCAAGGAGCAAAAGATCACGTTCTCGTATACGCGGAACGATGCGGGTGGACTGCAGGACGCCATCGACTCATTGACCAACTATCTTGCGCTGCGCGGCGTCAAGACGGAGGTTATCCAAGGGCGGCTATCACGGCCAAAATCGGATTCATTCGAAGATTTTGCTCCGTTCTTCAGTTCAGCAATCCTCCAGAAGTCGTCATCCAACGGCTCGCAGGATGGTCTCAACAGGCCTGGAAGCAGACTCTCTCTCTCGGGAGAGCCCGGCTCTATCACCGGAGATAAGTTACAAGCCGAGCCCGGCAGAGTGATGAGTGACATGGAAGCGGCTTTCTACAATGGAGACCGCAGACGCGGATCAGGGCAGGACTCTGTCGCTGGACCGCCTGGAAGTGCTGGCTCCGCATCTAGCAGAGGGTCATTCCACAGCAGGGCCGGATCTTTGGACTCAGACTGGGAGAAGATTTCACAACATTCCCGGACATGAGTTTAGTTGTTGTCTCGTTGTCATTCGCAGTTTCTCACCCACTTCGTCGTCATCCATACCTACCGCCATCATCTTTGCTACCATCACATACCACCATACCTTGCCCTCTGCGTTGATTCTCCGAACAACATTTCGTTCCGTTTTTCGTCTGTTCGAGCTCGTGTCTGCCTCGGTGGCCTGCTTTGCCGGGTAGAGGAAAGATATTGACTGCTTTTCACTTCATTGCACATACCGTTAATACTACATACCTTGATTGATTAGTTCGATTTGTTACCCAGGTGGTTTCCTTTTCTTTCGCATTTTTTCGCATTTTTTTCCCTTCAAATTCCTTCCACACCAATTGTCGAAGAGTTCGATAACGACAGAAGTCCGTGTGGTTGTCTTTGTCTGTGTCTAGCTTTGTGTTTTTTTTGCTCCCTTTGTTAGTGTTTTCTTCTCCCTCTATCGATACCTAGAACTTTTCCATTCCACCCAACATCCATCCATCGTTCTCACTGCCTTTTCCATATCTTCCCTTTACACACACTCTTTTGAGGTTGTGAGGTTACGGTCGAGGCTCGAGGGGGGGAGGGATTTGTTTTCTCTTTTCGTTCTGTTTTGTTCCGTGTGTTTGGCGTACAAATGTTTTCATGTTTTGATTTTGATTCGATTCGATTCGATGCTACCTGTGCTAGCTGGTGGGCTAGTTTTGTTAGTAGTGGTGGGCTGCCTGACTGACTTGCAAGTGGCTACAGCTTTTTCTTTTTCTTTTTTCTTTTTTTCCTTACGTGTTGACTTGGAGTTGATATAAAATGGTTTCTTGCTTTTCTTCGTGTTTTGTCGTTTTTGCTACTGCTTCAAATGTTTTTGGTGTATGGTTTTTTTTCCTTCGTGATTGGCTTCGGGGGAGGGGGTGCTGGATGAGGGATGAGGGATGAGTGACGAGTACGAGTATGAGTATGAGTATGAGTATTCATGAAAGAGTGTATGGAATTGAAATGAAATGTTTTTTTACGGTACTGCTGTGGCCTGTGGGATGAGGCGGTTGTGGTGTTTGGTGAGGTGCTTTACCTAGGTGACTTCTTGGCCGTGATCACTGCTACCGGTACCGATTCTGGCTCGTCGGCGTGTCAGCAGCTTCCCGCTCACCTCATGTCATCCGCCAACAGTCGTCTAAGCACAGGCGAACTGTTTCCAACCGAACCACAAGGCCGCCGGTGCTTTGGCTAGCTTGAAGGCTGAGCGCTGAAGTTGGGGAAGGACTTATTTGATCGCCGTGACATAGCCCAAAGCTTTGAAGATGCGACTAGGAGAGATGAGATAAGATTATGGTATGGCATCAATATCAATATCCACAAAGTGAACATGCAAACATGCATAGCAAACGCTCAATTGCGGTCTACTCAATTCATCTACCCGTCCATCCCAACATTACACGCACACCGACTAGCTAGCCCGAGTGCTCTACGATCTCACTAACCAACTGCCCATTCCTGATGGTATGTCTGAGCTGTTCGGGCACCGCACGCTCCGCATAATCCCCGTCATCGCCAGCGCCGGGGATGTAAACATTGACACTACTCGTCTTGCTCGTGAAAACCTCGACATCCATGCTCTCCTCCGAGACGTAGATGGTGCCGCCATCGCACTGGTCGAGTTGTACGGTTGGGATCTTTTGCAGGACCTGGATGGCGAAGGAGTTGGATTTGATCACGTCGATGCCGGAGACGAGGGCGTCGGCGACGACGTTCGTCTTGCTGCATTCGTTCATGGTGATGGTGTTGACCTTCCCCTTGATCTGGACCGTGGTGTTTTTGCAGCGGAAGAGGAACACGGATTGGTTCAGTTCCGTCTCGGAGATGACCAGGCCCTGCTCGTTCTCGAAGTACTCGACAATCCACTTGTTTCCTTCGAGCTCGAGCTTGCCGGGCTTCTTCTTGGTGAGGGACGCAGGTTTGGCTCGTGTAGGCGGCGCCGGGGATTTACCGCGGAGACTGCCGGAAGAGTCGCGACGCGCAGGAACGGTGGATGACACGCGCAGGTCGGGGTTCTTGTGGGTCATCTGGGATTTGTCGACCTTTTTGAGGCCGGCGGTCACGGCGGAGCCGCGGTTGAGCTCATCGAAGACGCTGCCAATGTCACCGCCCGAGGGGGCGGGGGTTGGAGGGCCGTCGAGAGACAGGATTGGTGGCGGGCCCGGGGGCGGGGGTGGAGGTGGTGGGCCGCTGGGAACGAAGCTGGGTGCTGCGGTGGCGGTTTTGCTGGCCGCGAGAGCTTCACCCGCATCGATGCCCTTCGCGTTCCAGGTTACACCCATCGGGTGGTGCCTCTTCACATACTCTTCCAGTGCTGTGAGGACGGCGTAGTAGGATCGGACCCATTCGACCATTTCGGGACTCCTATGGGCGGCATAATGTCAGCACTTAGATTCGTTCCACCCCGTCCCGCTCGAGCCACGCACTTCTCCTTGTACTCCCTAAGCACGCGATCACCGTAGAATCTTGCCGCGCCGACCATCTCATTGATGAACTTCGCGGGCTTGGTATCATAGGTGACCCATGCGAGCGAAGGGATTCCCTCGCTGACGGTAGACAGATGGTTAAGAAACGGGGATGCGCGGTGGTTCTCGCGGATGTTGGTGACCTTTGTCATCTCCACTTGCATTCCGGACAGGAGATCCATGAAGAGTTTAGAGGACGCTTCGGGCTTCTTCGCTTTCGTCGTGATTATTAGGAATTTGCGTTGCTCGGAGAAACATTCTTCGACAGCTCTGCTCTGTGTGCGCGGGGGAGATTAGCTAGTTGAACATGGAGCTATCTACAGTAGAGTGGAGGAATGGTATACCTGCTCCTCGATCAACCCTCCGAGACCTTTGCTGAGCTTGACGTACTTCGCGACCTCGCCATCGATGATCTCATTGAAATCTTCAACCGAAGCCGGCAGCTCCTCCGGCAGGGGCAGAGGAGCGGCAGCCGCGGAAGCTGAGGCGGGCAGGGAGGAAATCAATCCAGCTGATGCTGCTGATGGTACTGGCGCCGGAACGATGGCGGAGGAAGCGCTGCTGCCCGGTGGAGCTACCGTGGCTAGATCCTCCAGACGTGAAGTCGCGGCTTCAAGCCTACGGCGCGAAATGGAGATGTCAACACACGTCGCACACGGGGTAGAGAGCTAGATGGGAGCTATGTTTTCTCGACGTACCGTTTGATCAGTGTCGTGAGGTTGTTCATCTGATTTGGCTGAGCCATCCGGGCGAGTTTGGAGCTTAGGGAGATTGCGGTGCAGGGTGGGCGAGCGGGCGATGATGTGAGCTTCTCCTGAGCTGCGGTGAGGTATGGGCGGAATAGAGCACCCCCGCCATCTAGATCTCCAGCTCGACATCACGAAACAATATAATACACATCGCCCCCCAAACTCTACCCCGCTCGAATTTAAGTAACATTGAGATGCTCCACACGGCTTTTCTCACTCAATTATCTATATTTCGAATGATAGCGATAAACTAACCACATTTAGTCGTTGACAGAGATTAGGTCCGCAACCCTAGCCCGCACCGCACAAATCAACAGTCCGGCACCAACGCACAGTGCCCAGCCTCACAATCTTCAACACCCACCGTTAGTACTATCAAGTTGAGACCCACACGAAAAAACGACGACGACCCGCCTAACGACGAACGACTTTCCGCGCCCCACCCGCCCTACGCCCAATTTCCGGTACTTCCGCGTACGTGCCGAATCGCTCGCGAAATTGAAAGGCGTTTCAGCTGATATTTTGAGTGCTGCAAGCAGATCTACAATAAATCAACATGGAGTCAACCAAGGTCGCCGTTAAGCTTGTCAAGGTTTCGAAGGTCCTCGGACGTACCGGTACGCGTTATCCCTCACCCCGACGGTAAACGGAGATGGGAATGGAGCTGGAGATGGGAATGGTGGAATGGCGGTGGAATTGGGTTGCAACTGCAGGAGAGAATGATTGCTGAGACTTCGACCCTCAGGATCCCGTGGAGGAGTGACCCAGGTCCGCGTTGTGTTCCTCGACGACACGACCCGATCGATCATCCGTAACGTCAAGGGACCCGTCCGCGAGCACGACATCCTGTGCCTCCTCGAGTCCGAGCGCGAGGCCCGCAGACTGCGATAAACGGCGCAAACAAAAAATGGGCATCTGTTGAGGAGGAGGATCGTTGTAGGGATGGGGCAAGGGGGAATGGTGATTATGAAAAGTGGGGGGGAAAGGTTGCGCTGCTGCTGTTTTTTCACCCCAACACATGTCATTCTCTGGTTCCGTAATTGCAAAAAAACGGATCACTTCCCCACCATATTACCATCTTCCTTCTACTACGAATGCTGGCTGGCTGTTGCGATACTGGTGTTCATTCCTTTTTCTGATTTTCTGGGCGCGCAAGGTGGAATTTGGGGTTGGATAATGCAAAATACACACTCACGCGCGTCCACGATCAGCAAGGAGCTATGTGAAGCTCGCTCCACGAACGGCGAGGCGAACAGTCGCAACCCGCGGTATGGAGATCTGCATGCCTGCATCCACGGAGCTCGACGACAGATATCGAAACCATAATTGCCGTGATATATGTGTGTACCGGAGGTCCCCGACGGAAGCTGCAGCAAGGAGAAATCGATATCTACGAAGAAGCTCGTCTCGTGTTCAGATGCTTACTCGGACTATATGACGCAGCCCACAGTTTATTTGGATCCGAGTGTCTCGTGACCTCCGTAGCCACACTTGCGCTTCTCGGCATGTGATGCCAACTCACAGCTTGTCACTCAACGCTTTCCAACTCGAGTAGCTATCGCAGAACATTGCGGCTTGAATTTATATGCATATATAATATCTGTGTAAATGAGCAGCCCTGGAGGCTTGTCCTGCTCTCAGCATGTGATACCTGCCATTCACGATCTCTCACCCGCGCCGCCTTCGTTCGGGACCACATTTCTGCGCCTCTCTAGCCCAACGGTCCAGTCCGTGCGCACTGCGGGCGGCCTCGGTTTTCCGCGAGATCTATCCCCCCCGCCCCCAATCATCGGAGTTCCCTCCGAAACTCAACAGGATTATGCAGAGAGTGCATACATAGAGCTCAGAAAAAATCTATCCAAATTATCCATCGTATTGCAGACCCTGATGGCTGGGTAAAGTCGTTGCGGAACATGTTCTGTTCATACAGCGTTCGTGATTACATCAAAATAAAAAGTAAAAAAGTAAAAAGTAAAAAGGTAAAGAAAAGAAAGTGAAAAAAGGGTTGTCCAATTCCTCCCTCCCTCCTATGAGGCTAGGCCATGCTCACCTGCCTCGCAATGGTATACGAGCCGCTGCCCGAACTCGGCGCCTTCGCGTTGGTGAACGGGTCTTCGCTGCCCGGCCGACTGTGCAGGCTGTGCAGGCTGTGCCCGTGCCCATGCCCGTGGCTGTGGCTGTATTTGGCGTCTGTTACTTCGGAGAATCTGGGTGGTGTGTTAGTACAATACATACGATGAAGTCTCTAGGGGGCAGGTGTGTCCGTACCTCGTGGAATCCCGTATATCGAGCATCTCATGACTCGGGACAATAACCTCATTCTCAACAAACTCCTCCTCCTGCTGATTTCCGGAGCTTCTCAGCAGTACCCTCAGCCCGGGCAGACAAGACACGATAGCCGCAAAGAACGTTTCCAGCTCAGCCAGCAGCTGCAGGGGAATAGTGGCGTGGTCGGAATAGAACATGACGTTCATCGTGAGGATGTTCAGGATCAGCCGGCCGATTGCGACGGACACGGTGATCGCTACCATGATGAACAGCAGTGAGGCCGCAGAGATCGGCCGGTGCAACGCGGTCACGGTCTTACACGCGATCAGAACCAAAAGGATGTCCGTGATGATGTTTGCCGCTGTAAGCACGAATTCGTTGTCCGCTTCGAGCGCGACGAAGCGGATGCCATTGACGTAGATGCCGCCGCTGTGGGGGGGGGGGTTAGTCTGTCTGTGTCTGTGTCTGTGAGGGGTATGGGGGAAGGGGGGAAGGGAACGAACAGGATGTCTTCGACGGTGGGGTGGACCCAGCTTTGGATCACGTCTTTGCACACGGTCCAGATCACCACGACGAAGGTGACGGAAATGGTGGCGGCGGTAATGTACAGGACTATGCGCCAGCGGTGGCTGAGCGCCTCGCGCGTCTCGAGGAACAGCGCTACGAATGCGAATTTGACGAGCCAGAGGGCTATGCTGAGGGTTATTCGAAGCCATAGTTGGAGCTATTTTGGCCAGGAGATCGGGTCAGTGCTGCTCTACCTATGTCGTATGGACGGATGGATGGATGGATGGATGTAGATACATACCATGTAGATTTCCTCCGAAGCATCGATAACTGTTTGTATCTCTGCGGCCGAATAAGACTCTGGCTTCCGATCCATCTCATAAGTTGCCGGATTAGGGCTGATAATGTCGCGGATGCGGATGATGCGTTCATTGAGGAAGTAGTTTCCCGCGAGCATGGCGACATAGATCGTGCACATGACGGCGGACAGGAGTGTCAGCGCGGTGCTGAGTCCTCGCCAGGTCCTCCATCCGCAGTAGTGTTTTCGGAATACCCATAGGCGCACGCCCACCACAATCCACACCAGGCAGATCAGCCCGAGGAATATCGGCAGCTGGACTCGGTCGTAGTATAAGTCGTTGGGCCGTGGCATCGTAGGTTGCAGCTAAGTGCGAAGGAGAGAGAAGGTTTCTATACCGCCACTCAGACCGGCGAAATTGCATGCACTGATGCTTTAAAACGAGGGGAGGTCGATGTCAGCATATGCCCTTTCGTGAAGTGCGGTAGGTGACCAACGAGATATGTAGGAAACCGGGAACTCACGCATGTTATCGCACTTGATCTTTGGTTCCGAGAAAGAAGCAAGAACCCAAGCATGGATCCGTTATGAGGGCATTGTCCCTTTAAGGACGAAACCCAAGCATCCAGTCTGGACCAGGACTACTGGCTGTTCTGCGTGCCTGCGTGCCAATTCTTACCAGCGCTACTACTACTACTGCCGCTACCACTATAGCTACACGTCTACCGGCTGTACATAGCAGAACACACATATGGCTCCGAGGCCGTGGGATATTCCGTCCAGTTTTCCCAGTTCAGTTGGGGCCTCCCCCCTCATCCTCCTCCTCTCACCTTTGTGCTCTAGCTAATAGCAGAATAGATAGAGTATGTACGTACTTGGGTACGAAGCATGGTCACCTCGAAATCCCTTCATCCCTCCCCAGGCCCATGGCTGATCCCCACTTTCTCGCAGCTCGTTCCAAAAGCCCATCCATCATATCATATCATGGGGGCTACGGCGGGGGCGGCGGGGGTATCTAGTAGGGGAGGAAACATGGTGGCCGCGGCCGGGGGCAACTCACCCATGGCCACTATTTACACTAGAAGAAATGGCCGAGCTTGTCGATTAATATATTCCATATATCCCCTGTTATCAATCCAGATGGATGGATGGATGGATGGGGGCCGGTCAGTACCGGCGGCAGACGATGGTTCCCCTCCCCACCCCAGGATTGTCGTCAGATCCGACCAACCAGAGGCCGTCATCGCTCCTGAGACCTTTTCGGAGAACGGCCTGGCCCGCGATGTCTTATTTAGGATGTAGGTACTAGTATGGTAGCCATCCCCTCAAACCGACCGACCAACCGACTGACTGACGCACCAACCAACGCCTTCCTGTCCCTAAGCTCCCTTCCCTTCCCTTCACTTGCACCCCCCCCTCGACGAGGAGCGAAGGTAACAAATCCACGCGACAACTCGCTTAAGTACTAGTAGAGTATAATGTGCACTACGTACATACACAGGAGCATCAGTACCGTACCTATCTCGCGTGCACTCTCGCTTGGAGATAACGTGTTCCAGCTGGATGTTGGGGGGGTACATAGGCAGGAGATATGTAGGTAGGCAGATGTGAGTGTGCGTGTGTGTATGTGTGGGGGGTTGACGAGCGCCGAAGAGTCTGAAGATATATCGATATCTCCGATCTCCGAAGGCGATGTGAATACATAGCGGTGTGTAGGTACAGGACGATTGCAGAAGGGCTTTTGGCTAGTTACCGTGCGGGTTAGCTTGGGACTAGTTAACTCTAACGGCGGGCGAAGGGTCCTGGAATGTGGGGGCGGCCCCACGCCGCACCTCACGTGTCTCATCCGGACTCCATATCAACGTCCAAGCAACATTTCGTTCGGCTGGCCGTTTTCCCTAGGTATGAGGTAGGTACCTACCCAGGTACGCACTGTGATTCGAGTCCGAAGCATGAGGGCCACTCCGTCAACCGTCCATCATAGCAGAGGTACCGGTATGTAGGTAGGTGGCGCCTGTCGGCAGAAATCACAGTGGAGAATCGAGATGGAAGCCAGAGGCCCTGCGGGTTGTTGCTACATACGTCCGCTACAGAAGACAAGATAAGGGCTATGTAAACCCACCAACACTCACCCCCCTAGAACACCATAGGTATCATGGCAGTACCGTAGTATGAAGATAGATATTTGTTCCGTATGGAGAAGCTCAGTCGTGACGGCAAGGGTGTGTAGGGTAGGTCAGACTCCAGAATCCAAAGTAACTAGCAACTAGCGCACCGTCCGTGCCTATCCTTGGCCTTCGCTAACTGCGGGGCTCGGCCAGGAAGCAGAAGCATCCCTTGATTCAGAATCCATTATTCGCCGGTGAGCGGTGTTTCCGTCTACAGATAGACCTTGGGGGGTGTGGGGTGGGTTAAGATAGACATCTATAAGTTAGCAGTATACGATGTGGGGGGAAACGGAGCCGATGGAGTATGTATTCTACCCAAGCAGATACATACGGTATGTAGGATATCCATGTTGTAGGTGGTCTCGTCGAAACCGCGAACTGCACTCCGCCGTTAATTTCAGGCACTTGGATCTATTCACTAGCAAGGATGATCGCTCACACTCTCGAGTCTCGCACGATGCGGTCTGTCTGCGCCGTGCGGAGGCTTACACCTGTAACTAGCCGCGACAACAACAGCAACAGCAATAACAGCAACACCGGCAAGTGAAGATCAATATCGCCGTTATATATACACGCTCAGATGCTCACTCAGACTTGCATCTGCGCACTGCGGAGTGCGGAGTGGAGCTTTGAAGTCTGCGCGTGGCGCCTGCGAGGCGTTGCGGCGGCGGCCAGACTGCGCTTCTGGAAGGTGGGAGGACTCGGGATACACGCTCACAACAAACGCCGATCCGTTCTGGCCGTTGTCCGAGGATGCTGGTGGTGTATATGTAGATATAGTATGCACATAGTAGACATGCGTTCAACTATAGCAACCCTCGACTCGGTGCGGATGTCCGTGCTTCGACCTTTGGGATCCGACTCTGTCCCCAGTGGAGTTCCGACGACACCACAAAAACTCCGAAAATTCCGACTTCCGGTACTATAGGTATGCAGTGTACATACGGTATCGCTATTGAAAGGGGGGGGCTGTCTCCATAGAACCCGGTATCCTCGCCATGCCACGTCGGCCAAGTCAGTGTCCGTCTCGCAATTGGCGATCTGACGGACGAGCACCTCGGGAGCAGGCATGGAGTGGCGATGGCCGGGATCCGTGATTCAGGAAGGAAGTGCTGTGGGGATAGGTACCATGTGCTGATGATGATTACCGGGAATGATGGGCTGATTGCATGCGGCATGCCAGCATGCAATTGCGAGAGGCACGCGGCAGTGATCCGTATGACATCCTAATCCTCGAAATCCGTAGGCCCGATGGAGAATTCTGCGTCCACCTCAAACATGCCGACCCCCGGACCGTGCCCATCTCACCCATCTCACCTCCGGGGAATCTGCCGACTGCAGACTCCGACTGCGGAGTACCGTAGAGTAACTATCTGCCAGTAGTGCGCGGACTAGGCCCTTCCCGGCGCTAGAGACTTTGGTGCTTACGCTCTTCGGTTACTCTGGGTGCTCACCTACATACCCCCGATAGATGGTAAGTGGAGTTCATATGGTAGTTGTCGACGAGTATCATGGCGCGGTCACTCGCTCGGTGGTGATCTCGACGGGCAGTGAGAATTCCGACAACTTGGCGGCGCATGCAATCCATGGTCAGTCAAAAATAGAAAAATAGAAAAGTCAGACAACTTAATAACTTGGCAATCGAGCATGCTCCGAGACTTTACCTCTGCTCTCCATTCTCCCCGGCCGAGTCGTCTGCTCGTCTAGACTCTGCTCGTCTGCTCATCTGCTCATCTGCTCGTCCATGCGTTTGCCTTGTGGTGATCGACCACCATAGTATATACATGGTACATAGTACCTCGCTCGTTCGCTAAACAGCCCACCACTCTATCATAGTTCTATTCTTGTACCAGCACTCCCCATACTCGTCACTCCACTGTCCAGTGGCCAGTGCCCACTGCGCAGTGCCCACCATGTTCCTGGCCTCAGTCCACGTTACATACCGCTCGTTCCTGGCCTCAGCTAACGTTACTCTAGAGCACTCGTACATACCTACATACTGGTACCCTCCAGCGAATCACATCCAGCCCTACCTCCCTACCTACATACGTTCCTGCGCCAGCGGCCAGCAGCCAGCTCATCCCAATATCTCGACACTGACTGGCCAGGACTCAGAAGCGCCGCCAGAGCAGAATCCAGATGCGGGTACGAACGTCGATTCGTCGTCGAACACAAGCTTTTGTTCAGCGAGAGATGATTCGCCAGTTCGTGATTCCATGTGACGGCAGCAGCGGCCAGTCCTGGCCAGTGGCCGAGGCTCATCAGAAGTTCCGCGGAGACTGGTAAGGTGAAAGCCCCCCTGGGTAGTGGGGGGCCGGCAGAGCTCGGATGTGGAAGGGCCAAAAATAAAATAGGTAAAAGTCTCGTCGTTTTCGCGAGCGAGAGGCGAAGTATACAGGTGGAAAAGAAAAAACGTCTGGGTACGTGTGCAGAGATAAGTATGGAAACCAAGCGTGATTCGTGAAGGATATCGATCGAGCGGATGGACCGACGGGCGGACCGACGGCTTAACACACAGGCGCCGGCGGAAGGCCGTAGACGAACCCGAGTAACTACCTCCCAGTCCAACCCGCAAAAACCTGTCGTGCCCCTCCCCCCCCCTCCCCCCTCCCCTCTCCCATTCCCCCACCTCTTCCCGCTCGTACCTATGTACAAGGTATGTACTATATATACCGGTCCTCCCATCAGCCCTGTCGGGTCGGCGACCACATCGCGGGAGGACGGGCTTTGTACTTGTGCAATACATGTATAGGCAGGTATCCGCCAACAGCCGTGGCTTGATTGCTACCTATGATTGCTACCTATGATTGCTACCTATGCATCTTCCGTTTGGGTATGTGCAACGGGTTACGGTACACTACGTGCCCAAAAAACGGGCCAGTAGTTGGGCGGATCTGGGGTAGAATCGTTCGACCTGTGCAAGTACTACGTAGGTACATAGTTCTGGTGATGATTGATCTACAGGGTTCTCCGCTCTTTCACTCTATTTTTGGACGCGCGATTGACTTGAGACCTCACGTGTTCGTGAATATGATCGTGAATCGTGAATATGATATTATGATGCGGTGCGGTGCCGTTATTCCTGGTGTTCATGTCTTGTTATCTGGAGCGATCCCCATTGGCCTTTTATGGGGAAGCTGAAGCCGAAGGGTTCAGTTTTCAGCTGCTACTGTATCCTGTCGACGCCAGTTACCTCAACCTGCGTATTCAGAGACAAATGTTTCTCTCTAAAGAGACATCGATTCAGCGGCCAACTCCCGCCGTCCCACGATCCGACGCACCGTGCCGCGATTTCCATGGTCTCGGCAAACAGGTGAAAATGAATACGAGATCTTCTTACGTCATAGGAGTACTTCTCAACTCTCACGATCACTGATATGTACCTGTATGTATCGTGTATGTACGATTGACTCGCTTTCGAGGCTTTCCATACGAGCTGCTGTAGCTAGCTATGGGAACGTACGGATCTTTCGATACGAGGAGGTAGGTTGAAAACAGCATGTCTAGGCTGTGGTGTGATGGTAACGTTACCTATGTTCATCGGGCGTGGTTACAGTGGTGATGAGGCCTCAGGCTATCATGAGCTCTCACGCCCTGGTGGGAGAATCTGGGGAATATAAAAACCCGCCCAATCCTCCCCTTCAGCTTCAGCTTCATCCACCAGCTCAAAGCACCAGAGTCCAGATCCAGCAGCAGATCCAGTCTCCAGATCACCACCCATCCGCACTTCATCCATCCATCCATCCATCCAGCCAGCCAGCCAGCCAGCCAGCCAGCCAAAATGCAGTTCACCACCTTCACCACCCTCCTCACCCTCCTCTTCGTCGCGATCACCGCCTCCGCAGCCCCAGTGAGGATGTGCGGCACGCAGCCATACGAAATCGACAAAGTCCGCCCCCCCCATCATCCCCCCCTCCCCTTCCCCCCCCCTCCTCTTGATGCCCAGCTAACACAGCATAGTACACCTGCTATCCCCAAAACAACAACCTCCTATGCCCGATCCTGCACGGGGTGATCTACCAGCCATGCGGCGTCGCGTGCTTCGACCCTTCGAACTACTCCTGCGTCAATGGCGAGCTGCGGCCCGTCGGCGTGTGCAACGGGCAGGTGTTTGATAAGAACTCTGTGAGTACCTCCTTCCCCCGAGAGATGAGAGAAAGTGATGGAGGGGGAGAGATGAGGGGAGAGATAGGCGGGGAGATGGGGAGATGGAATGGGCGGGGCTAATGTGGGGGGTGCAAAAAAAAAGTATGTCTGCGTCAATTACTTTCTCTGCCCAGTTGGCTTCCCGAATGTGTGTGGCACTGCGTGCTATAACCTCAGTCAGTATAGGTGTGAGGATGGGAAGTTGGTGCAGCAGTAGGTGGTAGGGCTTGGGCAAGGTAAACAGTGAGACTGGTAGTGTTGGCGGTGAAGGAAATGGAGTGGGATATTGGGAGGGAGGAAGGGAGGGAACCAGGGGAGGGGCTATTGGCAGAGAGATTGAGGGTTACCAGTGGAGAGTGAGGGGGAGGGGAGGGTGAGCGGTTATGACTATATGTCCATTCTTTTGTTATCGACTTAGGTACCTATTGTTTAGTTTTTGATGAATTTAATTGCATTGGCCATGCAGAATGAGGATCTTTGGATGCTCACACGCGTATAATGCTCATATATGATAATGATATAACCTCGATATCATCCAGTTGGCTGTTGGCAGTTGCTCATCTGGCAGCGAGCGAGCGAATAAGCCCTCGAGCCGTAGTCAGGTTACGCATATACCGGTATGTACTAGTACAATGTATCCTGCTGCCCGCCATTGAGCCCCATACGAGTATCGGAGTATTCTGTACCAGTAGCTAAGCAAATCTCAATGTGACTAAGAAACGCCCATCCCATCCATCTAACTCGGCTTGAGGCTTGGAAGAGTCAGAACAGCGAAGCGTCCCGTCCAAGCAGTGAACACCTCAAAATCACGACGCCCTCCCGCGTGAATACGGATTTCGGAACTCTGGTCCAACTTCCAAACCAGCATACCTCCGCACCCCCCTCCCAAATGCGTCCGGCACACGATCTCACTCGCTTCTCGACAGTGACCGAAGTTACGGTAAAAATGGAAATTACAGTGTCGGAGTTGGACGTTTGGATTTTGTAGCATTTGCGTAATTTGCGCACAGAGAATTGTTTGCTCGAGGTGCAATGTGAAGCGGGAGGTGCGATGTGATGTGATGTGCCCAAATCGAAATACGTCTTGCTTTGGCCAATAGACAGCTTGCTAGCTCTGGAGTCTGGTCCGTCTTCCATCCGCAGAGGAGTACTATAGTAGTAATGAGCTCCTCCAGACATACTAGGTAGTAGATTCTCCAACCTCCAAAAGATGACATTTGGCGAGTGATATTCCATGATCACTGCACCGAATACTGTCCTACTATCCTACCTACCATAACTCCGCGCGTAGTAGGAGCGGTATGTAGCTTGAGGGACTATCTCCGACGCAGGACGTCGTCGCAGGCTGGGTGCCACATTTGATCGCTCATGCCCCTGGGTCTTCAGGCTTCACCGTCGGCCAAACCAAAGACCCAGAGGCTTGGAGTTCATTCAATTCACTACGTGAATGTGACGGGTGAATCTGACGAGTAAGATGTTGGAAGGACTCGTGGTGGTGGTGATGATTCACTGGAACAATCGAGATGGAGTGAAGCGGTGTCTTGAGGCCTAGGAGCTACGGGTACAAGAGAGAGAGAGAGAGAAAGAAAACCAAACTTGGACTCGCTACCGCACCGAATATTCCAAGCACCGAATGTTCGAAGCACCCATCACCGGTCCTCCGAACGGCTAGTGGACTATTCATAGGAACACACTCGTCTGCGAGAAACGTAACTGCGCACCGTAGACGGAACTTGGAAGGCGAGGGTATGTACGGGCGATGGACGGTATGTAAGCACTCTCGCACTCTCGCAGTAGGTACTTAGGTGGGCACATTCTCAGCCAGTTTAGCTGTTTTCGTCACTATCCGGATATCTCCACTCTCTATGGTATCTACAGTCTATCTACCTCCCCTCCCTCCCCTCCCTCCCCTTCACCCACACAAGCTTCCTCCCCACCTCCGCCCTCAGCGCATCGACCTTTCCGACCGGATGTATCCTCGCCAGCTCCTCAACCACCTTCACCGCCCTCTCATCGCCCCTCTTCGCACAGCCGATCGCCAAGAGCTCATACGACTTCCTCCGTAGCCTCCAGCGCTTGAGCTTCATTGCCTCCAGCCAGGTCCAGACATCATCGTCCCACGGTCGCTCCACCCCCTCAGCGTCAGGCTCACACGCATTGACGCATACACGCACCATAGCATCATACGACTCCTGATCAGGCGGCACCTGCATCCCGCGCATTTCCGCGAGCGTGTAGAGGGCGAGTGCCTTCTCGCCGGCGGCGGCGCAGCCGGCGAGGAGGATGTTGAAGGTGTGAGTTGTGGGCATGGCAGAGGTCAGCTGCGCGATCGTGGTGTACACGTCGAACGCCGCGTCGAGCTCGCCGAGCGCGCAGTACGCGGCGAGAACAGATTCGACTGCGGCGAGGTCCGCTGTTCCCCCGAGGTCGAGCAGCGAGGTGGATGCGGCGTCGGTGGCGGATTTGGTTTGGGAGAGGTGCAAGACGAGCGGCTGCGCGGTGAAAGCGGTTGGGGGGAGACCGATCGACCGCATGTGCGAGAGGATGCTGAAGCATTTGGTCGGGGAGTTGCTGGCTGTCGCTTCGAGGAGTGAGGCGTAGTGGTGCTCGCTGAGCGGGAGGCCTTCTTCGGTGAGCACGCGGAGGACGTCCGCGGCGAGGGAGGCGTCGGAGTGCCGCGCTGCGCAGTTCAGCACCAGGTTGCAATCGCCGAGGGAGGGCGTGAACATCGGCAGTGGCGCTTCGTGCACGAGGGCTTTGTACCAGACGTAGCGCGTCACTTCGATCTGACCAGTTAGCCACCATACCACCACCACCAGCATCCCCCAGACGGAGTACACACATTCATATCCTTTGCGCCCTTGACCAGGAGCTCCCACCACATTCTGCTCCTCCCCTCAGGTCTCATAACACCCTGCCAGACCAGCCCGCCAAACTCCCCCTCAATCCTCCTGAGCACTCTCAGAGCCTCCTGCACCTCGCCCAACTCCACCAACCTCTTAACAAGCGCCTTATAGACCCAGCGTCCAACCTCCCACCCGCGCTCCTCCCTCTCAACCACCATCTCGAGCGCAATCTCTACTTGACAATCCTTGAGGTACCCCAGCACCACCCACCCCCACGCCTGCTCGCCCACCTCAAACCACCTCTGCTGCATAAGCTCGAGCACTCTAGCGCGGCGTACATAGTCCGTACTCCTAGCCAGGAGCCGCAGTAGCATGGTGTAGACATTCGCGTTCGGCACGATGCCGCGCGCACACATGTCGTCCAGCAGCGAGAACGCCGTCGCCTGCAGCGATACCCCATGCCCCCCCACTACGCACGCGCCGATAAGGATCTCGTACAGACGCAGAGACGGCGCGAGCGCGCCCGAGGCTACGAGCAAGGATGCGGTCGAGAATACAGCAGGCGAGCGCCGAGAGGCGAGGCGAGATATCTGCTCGAGGGGCGGGAGCGCGGTGGGTGGTACAGGCGTGGGCCGGGAGTGCGTGGGTGCGCGCGGAGGGGCGGCGTACACGGGCGGCGGGTCGACCGGGGGCGTGACGATGGCCGCGGCCGCAGCGGAGGAAAGGTTGCGAGGGGACGTGAGGAGGCTCCGTGAGAGGGCGACGTCGTTTAGGCGGGGGCAGAGGCATCGCCGCAGCCCGTCCGCCTGGATGAGGAGTCGTCGTGGGGGTCGCATGGGGATGTGCGAGGTCGGCACGGGTCCATGCGGGCGTGCGGGAGGGTCACTTCGACTGCGGGGCTACAAATTGGGGCAGGGGTTGAGCTAATAGGTGGGCCAGGGCGCTTGGCGGAGCACGGTGGTGTGTCATCGGGAGTCACTCGTAGCCTGGTGACACGGCTTCAAATGGTCATGAAAAGGCCGCATGCGACAATAAATTGATGTTCTCTCATTCCGTTACGCAAACCCGGTATATCGACAGACTTAATAAAAATGAGGATGAAAACAAGCACCCGAACAGAAAAGAATTCCCAGCCAACGAAGCCATACAAGTCCAGGACTAAAAAAATACCCCCTCTCAAAAACAGAAATCAATTCGAAGAAGAAGAAAGAAACACACGCGACCGCTCAGAAGCGGAATTCAGTGCTCTTTTCGTTTTTGGGCTTGTCATTTGGATATCCGTTTTTGACGGCCGCCGGGCTGGTAAGAGCCCTTGGTGGCGGCGCAAAGTACATGCTGTTGCTGCCCTCGCCACTTGTGGGGTACCCAGCGGGAGTGTATCCAGGAGGAGGCGGGGTATGTGAGGTTTGGCCGGGGGTGATCCTTCCGCTCGGGGGACCAGCGTGGGCGCCTCCGAGCGGGCCATCGCCCCATCCATACGGCAGACCATCGACCTTCTCGCCGTTGCCGGGCACGATGACCTCTCCTCCGCCGCGGACCTTGCCAACGACCATTCCCTTGGCGACGCCCTTAACGACGGCGCGGCGCGACACACCGGAGGCGTCAATGTACACGAGACCCACGTTCTTGACGGATCCGGTCAGGTTCTTGGAGAGCTCGCCGGCTTCGGCACCGTACTTGTGCGTGACCATCTGCGTGGCTGCCTGCGACGTCGAGTTCAGCAGCGATTTGGATGCGTAGTCGATGCTGTCGGCGACGGTCGAGAAGGCGATGAGCGACTTGTTCAGGATGTTGGGGTCCCTGGGCTTGCCGCGCGTCTGCGGTTTGTCTTTGCCGGCCAGCTTCGCACCCGCGTTCTGCGCAAGTTGCGATACCTTTCCGACGGCGACGGACGAGAACTTGGCGGCCGTCGATGTCAGAGTGTGGACTTGCTGGAAGCGCTCGTGTGTCGAGGGCTGGAAGGTGGTGGGTGTAGTGTTGGGCTTCGTTCTCTCAGCGAAAGTCTGAGCGCCCTGCGTCATGGCGTTGGAAATGTAGGCGGATGTGGTGACGATGAGACGCGATGCCGTGGCTGCGGTCTGCACCAGAGAGCTGTTTTGGTACATGGGGTGTGAGGCATCTTTGAGGTAGTCGGCTGTGCGGACCTGTCACGAGAGATGTCAGTCATTTGTGAAACTGGATCGCGATGAGTGAGGCAGAGCAACATTGGGGTATTGGGTAAGAAGAAGGAGTAGGAGGTGACGGTCCGAGACAGCGCACAAGGCGCTGCGGCGGAGACAGATGTGGAGATAGTGTTCGAACAAAGACGACAGCATTCGAAGAACACATTCGCAATGTCCTTGGAAACAGCAAGTGAAGCAAACAAGACTGTATAAAAAGCTGGAGAGCTTACCGTGACTGGGCCACTCTCGCCTTCGGTGGGGAAGGTGATTTCAACGGGATCTGAGTCGACGGTCAGCTCCAACTCATCTCGTGTAACATCACCCCACCACATGCATCGCCAGCCACTTTACGTCACTCGGCCTGATCATGGGGATAGAACAAAATTACGTACCTTTACTCCCCGGCACGACATCGATGGTCGCCACCTGCATGCCCCCGACCTCACCCACCTCCGCGCCATTCTCCTCATCAACCAGCACCAACCTGCCACCACTCCCGCCACTCCCCCCCGCCTTCTCATTCGGGTACGCCCCGGGGTTATACGGCTTGATGCCCTCTGCCTCACGGGCCTTCCCGCTCTGCGCGCCAAAGGGGGCATCGAGGAGGGAATACGAGTTCTTCCTGTAGCTGACGAAGCGGTCTACCTCAGCCTCGAACTCTCTCACGATGACCTCCCAGGTCATGCCGGCCTTCGCCTCCAAGGGCAGGTCGATGCGCGTATCGTTCTGCGGGATCAAGTGGTGCAGCTCCGGGAACGAAATCGTGATGTCGCCAAATTCTGTCGCGAGAACGAACTCGCGCGGCGACGTCTTGCGCAGCTCGCGCCACGCCTCGATCAATACGTCCAATGCGTCAGACCCTTTCTCGCTGTCGGGCGTGTGCCGCAGCCGCAGGTAGATGTCTTCCCGTGCTGGCGCATAGTCGATCTGTTGCGAGGAGGAGGAGAGGATGAGCAGCCCGACTGCGCTGGTAGAGTGCGGCGCCGTCACGGATATGCCGGGGAAGGTGAAGATGATGTTTTCTCTCATAGCTGCTGGTGTTTGGGGGGTTCTCTGGGAGCTCGTTCTGTGTTTGGAATGCGAGAGGAAAGCGGAGGAGAGGGAAGGAGAGATGATATGGAGATGCGGGAGCAGGAAGGACGGAAGGGTGGATGGAAGGTGGAAGGTAGGTGGAAGGTAGGTGGAGGGTAGTTGGGGATTAGGTGGTATGCAGAGTAAGTCGAGCTTTTTGAGCTTCACTCCAAGGGGCCCGGGCAGCTGGTTGTTTTTGACCACACACCCACCCACCACCCATCCACCACATTCCACCCACCACCACACCTGCTTAACCGCACACACGCACATGCACGGGATGCAACAAAGCTCAGACAAGACTCAGGAGCCATGTATATTTCCTTGGCCTCAAATCCTTCAAGTTCGTGGCGACTCAACAGACGCTCTGCTGTGCCCCAGTGCCAGTGCCAGTTGCCAGTGTCCCTCCATCCAAGCTCATCCCCTGCACCGCCATCGTGACGTAATCACCCATCCCGCAAGTATTCCCCCGCACTAACCCCAGCCGCAATCAAACGCCACGGACATTGCTGGCTGGCTGGCACAGCCACACCCAACCGTTCTTTGGTGCAGCGGATTTCTTCGCCCACGCAACGCGACGCAACGCGCGGCGCCTGTCGCCACAAGGATTTTTTCTTTTCTGCGGGGCCATCTGGGCTTCAGGCACCGGTGGGGGAGGGGGGCACAGAGAAGGCGAGAAGGCAAGTAGGCGAGAAGGCGAGCAGGCGCGCGTGGGGCACGCAGGCAGGCAGGCATCCGGTTTCCAGGCGTCTCTATCACCTCTGACAGAGTACTCTACTTGATAACTAGTGGAGAATCCTATCCCATCAACCTAGAGTAGAGACCTATTGTTTCAACTTTCCATTCGTCTCAGCACGAAACCGTCATTCAGAGAACCCTGAGCTTCAGAGTAAGTACGCATGATTTCTCACGGGGCATGCTTCCCTCACGGGAAAGTGTCTGGGAATGATTTCTCTCGAGCGAGACCCCACGGCGGATATCTTGGCGACAGCCGCAGCAAGTAGAGTACCGTCATAAATACCAGTATCTATGTACAGTGTACACAGAGTCACATTACCTACCGGTCCTGCATGTGTTTGTTTAGAGAGGATTCATGCTGTCCACGAGATGGTTGCATACATTCTTGCTCTCCACCACCGTGATTGGACATGCTGCGTCCTGATCCCAGCCCTGACTGCGACGGTGGTTGCAGCTTGCTTTTAAACTTACGTTGCATATGCCATGCCATGCCAGTCGAGCGCTTCCGGGGAGTCTAGTTTCGTTGGGGGGTGCGACCGGCCGGGGGGTGCATAATACAGAAATTTATTGGGGGGTGATAAAAGAAGTCGAAGGTGGAGTGATGCCTCGTGATCTGGCGGGGCACGCTAGGCAGGTGATGTAAGTAGCTGAGATGTGAGTCACGTGCATGACGCGCGACATCCGGCGCGAGTAGTGTTTCCCATCCACCTAGCACTCCCCGCGCGCACAGCAGCACCACAACTTACCTCACCTCACAATGGCACCTAAAAAGCGCGCGCGCCCGACCGTTCGGATCGCGTCCTCCGGTCTGGGCGAAGAGACGACGACGACCACGACGACCGCACAAGCGTCACCGATCACGTCTGACGGGTGGACAGACGAGCAAGAAACGACGTTATTCAAAGCGATCGCGATCTACCGCCTGAAGCCGGCAGGGATGCACAAGCACTTCCGGATCATCGCGATTGCGGAGCTGATGAAGAACCATGGGGTGTCGGGCGAGCACACGGGGATCCACGGGATCTGGGAGAAGCTCAAGACGCTGTACAATCTGGAGGCGCTGGACGAGATGGAGGACGAGGTCGAGGCCGGCGACGATGATGATGAGGCGCAGGATGATGACGACGATGCAGACGACGCTGCGAAGGATCTGCCGAAGGGTTGGAAGGAGTTCAGTCTGTCCGAAGACGAGTTTGGCGACTTGATGCGCAACAGGAGGTGGGATCCTGACTCGAGGGATAGCCCTATGAGGACGGCGAAGGAGGCTAGTACCGTGCCAGACGATGATGGGGATACGATCTCGGGTTGGTCTTGCTCTTCCCATGCCTGGTTGCCCCGGTCCGTGTACTGACCGTGTAGATACTCCCTCGCGCTCCGCGTCACCGGCGCCCACTCCCGCCCGCAGCACGAGGGGCCGTGGCACCAGAGGTCGTGCTACTCCGCGTGCTCGTGGGTACGGCGGTAGGGGCAGAGGCGCGGGAGGCAGGAAGACCCCAAACACGCCTGCACGCGCTGCAACGGAGGAGAAGGAACCCGATGAGGAGGAAGACGACGACAAGATCGTCGGGGACAACAGTGTTAGGGCCGAATCTTCCGAGGCAGAGGAGGAACAAGAGGTGGAGGAGGTGAAGAAGAAGAAGGAAACCGTTGTGGAGAAGGAGGAGGAGGAGGTGGTGGCGGTGGAAAAGGCAGAGGAGGAGGAAGAAGAAGAGGAAGAGGAAGAGGAGGACGACGAGGAGGATGATGAAGACGAGGATGAGGAGGAGGATGAGGAGGAGGACGGTGACGAGGAGGGATCTGGCTCGGGTACTGCTTCCGGAAGTGACGAAACCGAGGATGAGGTGCCGACTTCTGCTAGGGGCAGAGGAAGGGGACGGGGAGGCAGAGGCAGTCGCGGTGGAAGGGGCAGCAGCAGGGGTGTGGTGGTTCGGGGTCGCGGACGTCCAAAGGGCTCCAGAGGAAAACGAGGTACTCGCGGAGGAGCAAGCGATGTCAGAAGGAGTTCGCGGAAGAAGTGATCTCTTCATGACACATCACCATCTCACGAATACGATTTCAAAATACGGCGTCATCTTTGTTTTTTTTCCTTCCCCACGGAATCCGGCGTTTGGCATCTCCAATATCCCTTTGTTTTACCATACCACCCATAGAGCATTTCTTTCTGTAATAGCAATACCAACTCAACTGCTCTCTACTCAAAGCTCCACAGATCTAACAACAGATTCCCACTCTGCTGTTGCTCCTCTGTCCCCTCGAGCCTGAAGAATATCTTCTTCGGAACGTCAACCTCCACCACCGGCGCCTTCTTCAACTCCCTATTCGTCTCGATATCGAACATCTACCCGCAATCATTAGCCATTCTCCCTGCCACACGATATCTTTGAGCGAGTACTCACCGAATTATAACTATGATCCAAGAAATCCTCCATCAAATACCGTTCCTTGGTGAACTGTTCCTTCACGATTCTACACAGCGTCGCCACATTCGGATGCCAGTGACTCATCAGCGTCTCGAGTTCCCAGACGGAGCTCTCGATGGCGCCCGTCTGCAACGGATCCGTCTCCTCCTCATCGAACGGGTCGACGTAGCCCGCAACACTCCACTCCGCAGCCTCGTCCGCATCCACCGGAATCCGGTGCATCATATACGTCGTAGCCCTGTGCTTCTTGAAGAGGTTGTAGACGAACGGCACGACGGTGACGATGGCGCCCGGGGGTGCAGAGAGACACAGGCGCGCCATGCGCTTGATGAAGCTTGCGATGAGCGCGGCGGGGAGATGGGTAGATGCTAGGAAGGTGTCGAGCAGGCGGAAGAAGCGCGAGCGGTAGCGCATGTGGAAGAGGTTGCGGTCGAGCAGCGCGTACAGTTTTGTGAAGAAGTTCGGGTAGTCGAGGTTTTTGGTCGAGATCAGGTGGAACAGCGCGTTCAGCGCGAGCAGCGAGATGGTGCCGCCGTGGTCGTAGCAGGCGATCAGGAAGTCCATCAGGAGCTGCGGTTTGGTGAAGGAGGGGATGATGCGCCGCTCGGCGGAGAGAAGGACGGATTTGCAGAGGGCTGCGGGGAGCGGGTGCCGGAGAACATTGCACCAGGCTTCTTGCACCACTTTGCGGTGCGCGCTGGGGGAGAGTATTGTGGGTGGTTTGGCTTTCCGTGAGGTTTTGCTGGGCAGCACGACGGCGTAGAAGTCTGTGATTTCTTCCGTTTCGGCGGTCGGGAGGTTTTTGGGGAGGAGAAGGAGGTTGACGGTGCTTGTCAGGAGGGCGGGAGAGATTTCGTCTTCGCGCTCGTCGAGAAGATGTCTATATGCGTCAGTAGATACCAGACAGCACCTTCATGAATGGACCTACTTTATCGCCGTGAAGAACGAGTACCGCACATCGTTGTATGCATCCACATACTTCTCCACCCATGCCGCCTTCGCCTCATCGTCCATATTCTCCGTCACCACAACGCCCTTCACGATCTTGGCAAACGTATCGCCGGGGAAGTAGTACTCCTCGCCCTCCGGTTTCTGATGCATGCCCTCATCTTTAACCAGCCTCATGAGCAGCGTCAACACCGTGTCCTTCCCTCACAAGTCAGCGCTCGTGCCGGTTCCACACTCCCGAGAGCACAAACCTGCACACCACTCGGATGGTCCAGCGCTTTACACAGCTCCGTCACGTATTCCTTATACCTTTCCTTGAGCCACAGGACAACTGTCGCCTCGTCCTCGTCGTCTCCCTTGCGCTTCAGCAGCCGTCCCTTCGCCATGAGGCGGCAGAACGAGCGACACAGCGATACCGCAGCGGTAACAGCGAGTTGCGGATCATCGTCGAGGGAGTCTTTGAAGCAGGCGAGGAGCGTGACAATATTGTTGTAATTCTTTGCGGACTCGACGATCGCCTCTTCGAGCTGGAGGATATCTTCCTGCGTGGTCTTTGGTGGAGCAAGCACCACGGACCGGGACTTCTTGGTCTTGGGCATTTTTTTGGAGACGGCCTTGGCATCGGCGCCGACGGCGAGCTTGCGCTTCTTCGACGACGAGAGAGCGGCGGTGGATGGCATCGTATGGTGCGATCGGAGGTACGAGTGCGATTGCGGTGGGAGACGTGAATTGAAACTTTTTTTCTGCAATCGGTAACTAGAGTGAGGCTCTGACGCACGCGTGGGGTGCAGGGTGGCCTTTTCCGGTTAGTGCGGGCAGGCGGGCCTGGACCGGGTTCTCGACTGGTCGTGGTGCATGCGTTCGCACTCGGTCGTTATGATTGTACGTTTACATCTGGGTTTCGGACCGAGGTCTAAGTTTGGTTTTCTTTCTCTCCCTCCCTCTATCTCTCTCTCTTATACCTGTAACTCCTACACCGAACATACTTCACTTCTCCCCATCCCGGCCGCTCCAGTGGTCACCTCCACGAGCAGACGAGCAGACGAGCAGCGGCCACACGAACATACGAACACACGACCAACTCCACGACCACACGACCAACTCCACGACCTCACGACTAACTCCACGAACAGCAACGTCGTGCAAACCCTCAGCAACGATGGACTACCTTCTGCAGGCAACAGCTGGCATCGCCAAGTTAAATGCCACCAACTACGAAGAGTGGGCATTCGACATTCGCCTGGTTTGTGGGCTGAACATGTGCTCGAACATCCTCAGAGGCATAGAGGGGGAACCAGAGAAGTCCTCAATCGCTGAATGGTTTTCCTGGTCCCAGCGTAAGGAGATTGCCAGGTCTACAATTCTCTTGGCCATGGACGAAGATATGCAGAAGAAGTACATCGACTACGAGGAGCCTCGGGCGCTGTGGGAAAAGATCAAGGAAGACTATGCTACCAAGATTCAGAAGAGTTCCTACGAAATTCGGGAAGAACTTTCTAGCACTCGTCTTGAAGATCTGGGCAGCGTCGAAGCCTACGCCCGAAGCATCCAGCACGCCGTCAACCAGTTCAATCTTGCCGCCAAAGAGGATTCCGAGAAGATGTCCAAGAGGGAGCATTCCTTCTATCTGCTCCACGGTATCGACCCTTACAGTGCGGACTGGTACATCACGGTACAGCTTATCGAGGGCCGTATCGAATCCGAATCTCTGGACAGGAAGCCGGACGAAATCCTGCGAATGCTGCTTGCTCGAGAAGCTGAAATACGAAGCGTCAAAGGCATCGCGCCTGATGCGCTTTTGTATCCCAAGGCGTCGAATGAATCAAGGATGCAATCTCGCAACAAACGAAAGAAGTCCTTGAAGTGCGCCTACTGCGGGCGAAGGGGCCACATCGATTCGAACTGCTTTCGGAAGCAGCGGGAGGAGCCTCCTGGCAAGCGAACCACCGACAACTAAAAGCTCAAGAATGAGAAGCTCGGCAATAATTTCTGGTGAGTAGTCTACTAGGTAGCCGTTTGGAGGACTAGTGATGGGTGCTTGGAGGATTCGGTGCAGCAGCGGGTTCAAGTTTGATTTTATTTCTCTCTTTTGCACCTGTAGCTCCTAGACCGAACATACTTCACTTCTCTCCATCTCAATCGTTCCAGTGAATCACCTCCACCAGCCCTGAAAACACATGGCACTTCATTCTGTCCCGTAGATACTAGAGTACAGTATATCACTCGGAAGTTGAAACCCATCTCTCCTCCAACGGATCAAAGAGGACAACAGAAATCGAGCCCCTTTTTTATGCGCGGAGGGGGCCGGGCGGAGGGCAATGGGGAACCCACATCGGGCTCGCGGCCAGCGATCGGAGACAGTGGGGTGGAACCGGTCGTGTACACAGCCATGATCTGCAAAGGTCGAATGCTACGATGATGAAACAAAAAAAAAAGAAATCGAGCGGTTTAAGAAATAAGGACCATGGCCCTCCATTATATCTCCTGCGAAAGTACATATAGTATATGACTCAAAACCCACAACTCCATCCTTCTAAGCCGACCTCCACAACGCCATATGTCCACCTAAAATCCCCTTCGGTCACCACCAACATCTCCGCGAAACCGGATCCACAGCACACCCTTTCCCTGGGGTAATGTTTCGGGACCCTTACCTACCATACGGCGAAGGAAAACGCGGCCGTGCCGGTCCGAACGATTACTCTTGCTGCATGTGGAATCACTCGGCATTTCAAGCCACCGGCGCTTTTTTCCGATTCACCAGGCCCGAAGGCCCGAGGCCCGATAAGCTGGGTGCTTGTATGTATGTAAGTCTACAAGCTTCGGATCGTTCGGACGGAATTCCGCAGAGACGGAAACGTAACCCTACATAGGTGCAGACATAGGTACATTCATACCCAGCCGCTGGCCGCGTCCACGGAGCGCCGAGCTGGCGGGGCAAGCGCAGACATGCAGTTATCGATATCGACACATCTATATCTCCAGATATATCAGAGCGAATCCTTCATCCGCGGCGAAAAGCTGGAAGTTGATCCCATTGGCTGTGGGTTAGTTATGCGCACGGGCACGGGCACGTGCATATCCACCGCACGCCCTGGGAAATCTCGACATCGACGTAGAGTAGGTAGTAAACAAGCAATGATTCCTCCGCTCCCCGCACACGTCCTCATACCCTGTTTTCGGAGGCTGAGGTAGAGGCGAAGGCGTCGATTAGAGTTTATATAACCTTAAGATTGTTGTTGCCGCCAGCGAGAAGGAAAAAAAAGACTGGAATAACTAAGGGCTCAAGCCGGGGGCGGAGGTTGTGCGGAGGTTGGATGCCTCTTTCGTGAAACTTCAAACGCGGGAGGGTGCGTGATGCATGTCGGTACTGTAGATATCGAGTATATAGGGAGGTACCTAGGTTGTAGATGCCATATATATACCGACGGGTATGCGACTACCTATTTACATCTTACCTTTGTACTTAGTATGAGCTTATGAAGTGTTGGTATAGGTATGGCCGTGCATAGTTGGATGGATGGAACGTGAATGCATCGAGTAGAGTGCTCACGAGGTACTCTAGGTATTATTATGTAAGAATTCACGGCTCCAGATACTAGAGATCAATACCAATATTCTGGATACCCTATGTACTCTACATTACACACACTTGGGTGAAATTAGTCACAAGTTACAACTTCACTCTGGACCCGGCAGACTGCAGTTAGAGTAGATAAATCCATCCATACATTCACAGTCCGTTTCCTCTCATCCCCCCGCGCTGTCATTTCCCGCTCCTAGGGGCCCCCGGGTGGCACAGTCGAGATCCAAGTAAATAATCACCCACATAAATGCCAGCTCGGAATAAACCCATGTCCGTCGATAGTAGATAGTAGATACCCAAGTAACAAAGTAGTATGATACCTAGATCCTAGATTCTAGGTAGATATTCTCCCTCACTCTATTGGAGCCTATTCCCCCTCCCTCCCCCACAAATTCATACATACTGTAAATACGCACATAAATACTTGGCTATGATACATACATAAATCCTCAGGATCCCGGCGGTATCCGGACAGCCATCCTGCATACAATACCTGCATACATACTATATAGTACACAGAGTCACATACAAAGGCGGACGCCCCCGTCTCCGCCCAGTCCAGCGTCCAGACGACGAGAAGGAAAGAGAAAAATCTGCCGTGGCACAGCACAGCAGAGCATAACACAACAGAGTAAAGTACAACGGAGTACAGTACAACAGAGTACCTAGAGTACAACAGAGAAGAGCACGCGCATGGGAGCATTATCTCGACTCGTCCACCCGCCCAACCCACCCACACGGGCGGAGTTGGTGGCGATCCGATCCGCCGTATGTAGAGTATGTGTGCCTAGCGATGATACATGGGCCTAGGTACTTGGGATGGTGGATGGCCTGCGGACGCTGGAGTCTGGAGGGATATGTATCCATGCTGTAGAGTACGGACGGTGGACGGTGGACACTGGGCAGTGACAGCGGAGGGGGCTTGGATGCATAGCAGAGGAACTGGGTATCATCTGTTGGCCTGTTGGCCTGTGCTGTTCTGTGCGAGAGAGAGGGGAATCTGACCCCGAGTCCGTGCCGTGCCATGCCGTCGAAACCGGAGGAGCCCTGGTTGCTGGGCTGGGCTGGAGGTACCTAACTGTGTGGAGTAAGGACTTGACCATCAGCCCTGTGGTGGGTGTTCTAGCCGAGCGAGTCCTGGGGAAATCCCGTCCGATTTCTGTGCAAGCTTCAGATTTAGATTTGGATTTAGACGCCGGGCGGCGGGCGGGCGGCGGCGGGCGGTGGGCGGCGGGATAGCTCTTTCCCGCCGGCCGCCGCCAGCACCACCACCAGCACAACCCCGCCGCGGACCAGGACCCGGGACAAGCCTTTCGCCATGTCTGTCTAATATGGAGTTCGTTGGCGACCATGGCATGATGGAACCCATTCGCTTCGCTTCGTTCTCATGATCTTCGTTTGTTCTTATCCCCACTCCCCGACAGAACGGCGACGATGACAGTTCACCGGAGTCGGGCCTCCCATTTCCTATCGAAGATATACAAGATACCGATAGAGTGCTCTACCCACTGTACTCTACATGTGTACTTTGTTGGTGCAGTACACGAGTGGACGGCGAGTTGCCATCGCTTGTCCTACCTCCTCAACCGCCACCCTGCGAGTACCGTTCGAGGAGCTCGCCTCACCTCGCCGGTATACTTGGATATGTAGAGTACCAAGTACACACCACGACTCGCAACTGCCGTCCGTAACTATGGCATGTATCGTATCGTGTCCGACCGGCAACAATAAGTCCATCCAATCCCATACTCTACTCTATTCATCCACATGCTCGGAGCGGAAACAGCGCTGGGCCGCAGCGTTGGTCTTCCGAGTTCCAAGTTCCAACACAAACATCATGATTCCTGCCATCCGTTCCGCTGGACGGCCTGCAAGTCTCGAAAGGAAGAAGGCTGAGCAGTGAGCAGTGAGCAGAGAAGATGAACCTCCCCCCCTCCGGCTACGGTCCCTAACCTCCTCTATGTACCCTCCCCACTCTACTCTACATGCTCCAACCGACCCAGTCGCAAAGCAGCAGGTAAAATACAATCCCATCCCATCCCATCCCCCCTCCCTTCCTCCCCGGGCCCCCTGATTAACCGCCCGCCCGCAAGGCGCACGCCCCCCCCCCCCCCCCCCCCCCCCCGATCAGGAAAAAAGCCAGGCCAGGCCAGGCCCAACCGTTGCCACCACCCACCACAACAACCACAAAGACCACCGGTCCGCCTCTTCGGGTTCATCCTCATCGAGGGTCACGGATAGACAGATATACTAGTATTGGTAGGCTGCTGCACGCTGATCCGCGGGGCGCGAGGGCGAGTGTGCAGTGTGGTGTGTGTGCGCGGCTTTTGCGGTTACTCAACCGACCGGCTGGGCTGGGCTAAATGGAGGAGAAGGAAGAGGAGGAGGACAGATCCATAGTCCGGTCGACCAGATACCCTTTGAATCTTGATTGATTTCCATGCGGAGAGGGCAGAAGGAGGGGCCTCTCAATGCCTTCCAACTTCCCAAGTTCCAACATTGCAAAAAAATACCCACCTACCTATGGCATACCATCAGCACCACCGCCACAACACTGCAGCCTCCCGTCTCCGTCTCCGTCTCCGGTTTGTGAGGCCCGAGTCCGTCCCGTCATCACCCACCCAAGACAAAAATAAAACAAACCGCAGCCCATTTCGATCGAGGCAGGCAGCTGACTTTCTCGTCCGTGTCCGTGTCGCTGTCGATCAACGGTACGGTACTCTAGATGGGTAGGCACTGCACACCAGGCCTGCTGCACACTCCGATGCGGAAATCAATCGTGAGACTGAGACGGCTTTTATTTCTGCGTGATGTGGGAGTTTTCCAACTTCCAGTTTCCAGCGGCGCCCGGCGAGGGTGCTACATATGGAGACGTCTTGTCTTGCAAACAGCAAGCAAGCAAAGCAAGCACGGCAGCCACCACCCAGGAACCCCTAACTGGGGCCCAACGGTGTTCGAGATCGAACGGTTTGGTTTGGTTTGGTTCGTTGGTTGGGGAGGGGGGGTGATGAGTGGGCTGTCGGAGAGGAGAGGATAGAGATAGAGTTTCGGCCCCGTATGGAGGCTGCAGTTGGTTGGTTGGTTGGGGGTGGTAGCCAGACGGAGTTAGGTACTTTGATATAGAGTACCTGCTATGTAGTGGGTAGAGTAGTGGTATATAGTAGTCTGCAACGGCCGCCACTAGTTTGTGGGGTCGGTTGGTTGGCTGGATTGTGGAGAAGAGTATCAATAAACATAGAGTATCCAGAGTAGAGTAAAGTGGAGTGAAGGGGCTCGAGGATGTGGAACTTGGAATTTGAAAGGTACTTGAAGTTCGTGTCTCCTTCCTCACTCGTTTCTACAGCACAAGTAGCAGCACTTTCCCAAGGACTGTCGAGGACTCGAGCGTGATTTGCTCGCTGGCCGTCTGTGACTGTGTGTATGTAGAGTATCTCACTCACAGACCCAACGCACGGTGCACAGTGCATGCAGTGGATTATGTACCTACCAACCAACCAACCAACCATACCAGCCAAGCATACCAAGCATCGTCAGCAGAGGCGGGAAAGGCAGAGGAGGAAAAGGCAGAGGCGGAAAATGCGGAGGCACTGCAGATCTTTCACCGTTTCAAGTGTCTCACCGCCGCCGCCGACGCTGTCTCTCGAATCTCGATATGCACCACCGGCCGGCCGGTCTTTGCCCTCCGGTCCTCCGGGCCTCCGGCCCTCTGCGCTGACGATCAAACGGCCTAACTAACTTGCAACTGGCCCGCGCTGTGTTACTATGTATCGATACTATTTAACTATCACAGTCCTTGGATGTCCGATGGGATGGGAACTTCTAATGGAAGAGGCGTTGATACGTACCGGCACTTGCCCAACGGTGTCCATTTTGCGGTGGCTATGCCCCAATTTCCGCCCCCGCCTTCCCCGTCACCAGAAGCCGGCTGGTACTGGCTGGCTGGCTGGAAGGTTCCACAAAGTGCAACTCGACGCCGGGCGCAAAAGCCTTACTCTGGGCGGGGTGCTCCATACGGTACCTAGACGGATGCCAGCATCCAATGCTTCTGCTTTCCAGCGGTGTGGACAAAACGCTAGGTGTCATGAACGTGAGATCGCTGGGCTGCGTTTGTTGGTTGGTTGGATAGAGAGATGCTCCGAGATACCATTCTACCTGTGATACCTATCGGCATGTTTCAGCCTTGCGTTGGGAGCACGGCCATTGCGACGGAGTAGGTAGTCCACCGGTATGTACCCAAGTAAGTACTTCGTGAATCGTGAATCGTGAATCGTGCATCCGCTACCGTACCGCACCGTGCCTGCCCGGAATCACGAGCCACAGTGCCACAGTCCAGCCACAGCTGGTAACCCCGAACTTGCAACCATCGACTTTCGACTGGATTGGGGCCTGGGTCCTGGGCTGCTGCAGACTGGCTTTTGGTGTGGTGCGGGCCGGAGCTTTCTCGGGTTCCACGGGTTCGCAACCTTGCCATGCCCACATACATAGCACAAAGTGCATAAAGGTGCACAACCCTGAGCAAAACTGTGAACAGTGGACTGGGCGAGCGTTGGAGCGATAAGAGGATGGATGGACGGGGAGGATGGAGAGGAGAGGAGAGGAGAGGAGAGAAATGGCCGGCTGGGATGGGATGCCGGCTGGGATGGGATGCCGGCTGGGATGGGATGCCGCCTGCGAGTCTGCGACATGCCGCCTCCGGCCTGTGGCCCTGCGGACTGCGAGTGCGGGCACTGGCAACTCTGCTCATGCCTAACTTGGGGATTTAGAGTGTGCACTGCACTCTACTCTGCGTAGGGTACTGGGTATTATCATGATCTCCACCCCATCCATCCACCCATCCATTCTTCCACCCATCCGTCGCCGGGCTTCATCGTAAATCATAAGCCCCAACATCCCTCCTCTGACGAAACCTCGGGAGAATCCACGTTGGATAGATAGAGAGTCCCGAGAATCGGATGGAGTAGTTATAGTAGCAGTTAGAGCAGAGCAGGAAAGCACCCATTCCTACATGGCTGCGCATGTAGAGTGCCTTCTTCGACAGCGGTAACCATCCCCTCGCTCCTCCCTCCCTTCCCCATCCATCGATTTCTTCCCTCCAGGGGTGTGCGGGGAGGGGGCGGCGGGCTTCCTTTCAGGGGAGCCGAGAGTAGTTAAGTCGGACGGGTCCCCCCACCACCACCGTCCACTACCCATCACTAACTACCAGCCCTGCCCAGGCCCAGAGTGCGAACCCGAACTACTACCGCGACGACTCGTACCCATCACTCCACCAGGAAGAAAACATCGATCCCGTTGCATGACACTGCGGCGCCGCCAGTGCTTTCCTTCTTCCGACGACAGCATCACCACCAACACCACGACCGCCACGACCACCACCACGACCACGACCACTACCGCCGCAACCATCGTCGCGTGCCGAACGACCGCCGCTAGAGATCCTTATCCACCGTCGCCTCGCATCGCTCGCGCATCCACTCCGCGGCGGCGCTTCGAACGCCACAGATGTCGGGGGGCGGACGAATCTCGTCCGACGTCGAGCTGATGTCGGTGCGGTCCGACGCGAGCACTGGGGCGGAGGCGTTTCCGCAATACTATCAGCGGCAGAACGCGCGGGGGGCCAGCACGTCGATGGAGTTCGATCGGCGGAAGGATCTGGTCGAGCTGCGCAGTCCGCCGCGGCTCACCGACGAGGACGTCGGCGACGATAGGGTCGAGTACGTGCCTATGCCAGAACAGAAGAAGCTCGGGTACTTCTCGACCGCTGCGCTCATCGTCAGCAAGATGATCGGCACTGGCGTCTTTGCGAAACCGTCGGTGGTCCTGGAGAACTGTGGTGGCAGAGGCGTCGCGTTGTTCCTGTGGGTCGCTTGTGGACTTATGAGTCTAGCTGGGTGCGCGATACTTTTCTCTCCCTCTTCCTTTTTGATGGCTTCTGTTTTTTTTTGGGGGAGGGGGGTGTTTTTTGATGCAGGAGACTCGCTCTCTCTCATCCTTCCTGGAATCCAACTTGAACCCGATTCTGATCCGAGTTTTCTGTTAGACTGTTGATTTATGTTGAGTTGGGGATTACGTTGCCGTTCTCCGGCGCCGAGGTTGTTTACGTAGGGCCCCCTCTCATGCCAACTTGACACGGGAGACTTTCGCTAACGACTTGCGCAGGTCGAGGAGTGTTATCCGCGACCGAAATACCTTGCCGTGATCGTCATCGCATTACTCTTTATTCTCCTGACCCACTTCGCCGGGAATACTATCGCCTTCGCGAAACTGATATTGCAGGCATTCGAGCCCGGAGACATCAACCCTGACTATCGCTTACAGAAGTTCCTCGCGCTGTGTCTCCTGACGGCGGTATGCCTGCTGCACATCTTCTCGCGCAAGATGGGTATCTTCGTCAACAACCTCCTTGCCATCTACAAGGTTACTCTGGTGACCTTCATCATCATGGTTGGGTTTGCGGCGATGGCTGGGGGAAGGGGCAAGGGAGTCACAAGCGGAGGCACGTACGGTCTTTCCAACTGGGATAACGCCATGGTGACGAGGACCATGACCATGTGGGAATACTCGAACGCCATACTGGGCGTGTTGTGGGCGTACACGGGCTGGGAGAACGCGAACTATGTCCTGTCGGAGGTGCGCCGACCGCCAGGCAACGAATCGAAGGTTTTCAAGATCGCCGCCTTCTCGGCGATAGGATTGACGACGGTGCTGTACGTGCTGGCGAACGTTGCGTACTTCACGGTGCTCTCGGACGAGGAGTTGATGGCGGGTGGAGACATGGTCGCGGCCAAGTTCTTCGTCAAGGTCTTTGGTGACAGCTGGTTCATCGAGAGGGGCTTCAAGGTCATGGTCGCATTGTCCATCATGGGCAACTTTGTGTCGTCGACGTACGGGCTGGCAAGAGTGAAGCAGGAGATTGCTAAGCTCAGGATTCTGCCGTTTTCGAAGTATTTCGCAAGGCAGAGTCACTACGATACTCCTGTCGGCGCCTTGGTCCTGCACTGGTTCGTTGCGGCTGCTTTCATCGTACGTATTGACCCATCGGGAAAAAGGCCCGTCGTTTTTTTTTTTTTTTTTGGCTTTCGGCTAATGGTCTTAAGATATTCACGCCGAGCAACAAGGACGATGCGGCTTACAATCTTATCACGGATCTCTTCATCTACGGACAGAACTGGATGATAAGTTTGTTACCCTTTACAACTGCTACACTGTGTCATGATTTCTAACAGCTCTGGCCAGTTGTCGTGTCTCTCGGAGTGGTATTCCTGCGGTATCGCAAGACGGGTATCCACCGATGGGAGCCACACATGCTTCCATGGCGGGTCATGCTCACGATCATCGCGATCTACGTTCCACTCAACCTGTTCATCATCGTGCTCACGTGGTGGCCGCCATTCAGCCAGCCCGACATCCCATCGTATGTCACGCCTGGCGTGGCATCCGGCATCATCGTTGGCGGCTTCATCTACTGGGTCATCTTTGCAAAACTCATGCCGTGGCTCGGGTTCCATATCGATTCGCAGCCTGATGAGCTCGTCGATGGGAGTCGTATCGTTACATATAAGGTATGCACGCTCGCCCTCCTGACGATTGTCGCATGAACTATAGAGGAAGACGGACTGACTGATACGGAAACTATAGCGGTATAAAACTGGATTCGCCCTGAAAACGTCGATTTGGTGGAGCAAGTATATGAATTTCAAGAAGAAGAAGCGGTGATCTACTCACTCGAGGCCGGCCGGCTTTCCTACCTAGGACGAGGACGGTGACGGAATATTCCTGCACATATTGCCCTTTCATCGCGACAACATCTCGACAACATCTCGATCCTACCACCAACTACCACTAACTACACCCCTACACCACCTTCATCAACTCAACTTGTCAGCACCACGCGACTTCTTCCTTTCCTCTAGCAGTGTTGTTTCGATTTCAATTTCAAAGCGTGGGATATCATCTTGTTTCCTTTCTCTCTATTTTCGGGCTTCGGAGTCAACATTTGGGTGGGCACACGGCTATCATCATATCATATATCTTCTGGTTCCTGTTTTTTTTTCCTTTTTTTGGTTACGGCGTTCGTTATCTCTGGGGGGGAAGGGGAAGGGGAAATGGTTCTTTTTGGTTTTCTATTCTATTCAGCGTGGGTGTGGGGTTCTTGCTTTCTTTCTTGTATGTATGTAGATGTGGTGTTTTTGGATATGAATGTACTTGTACTTGTACTGCCTACTTGGGTATCGGTGAAGTGGGGGTGGGCAAGGAGAAGGAGAAGGGGAAGGGGAAGGGAGCAAATGTGGGAATAGTTAACCGCCAATCAATGGTCATTGAAAGTCTTAGTTCCATGTAATGTTATGCGATGTGATATTATGTGAGTGGTAGCGCCTATGGAAATTAGCAAGAGGAGAATGAGGAAGGAATCAGGGGTATACTATATACCAGGTACGTAGGAAGGAAGTCGGCTGGCTAAACTTTGGTACCAATGACCATATAGGAAAGGGCCGGAAACGAGTGATAATGCTCGAGTTAATCAACTCTGCCCCACCGGTAACTACTATAAATGGTCACCCACTCATCATGCCAATATAACCCCGCGCAATTAGTTATTGACAACGTCTCGGTAGACAGTAGAGGAAGTACACCCTCTCACCAGCACGATATCATAGTTTATGCATCATGGTCTCATGCACGCGGCATCACTCGATGTCGTGGTTTCAAGGGCCGCAGATAGTGGGATACTGGGTATAATAGTAGGTATACTATACTCTGGGTTAGATCGGAGCGAGGTCGCCAAGCTACGTATACTGGTGGACATCCATCAGGGGGCGTCCGAGGGGGGATGGGGATGCATCGAACCGAGGTCTTGGGTCTTGGGTCTTGGGTCTTGACTAGCTGCATGTAATCCTCATCAAGATACAGCTGGTGATCCTTCTCCCAAGACTGCTCGAGGTCGGGACGGGGGTGCCGAGGCTCTGGTGTACTCCTGTACCGTATTGGCCGTATTGACCGAGTTGGCGTGCTGCTTGCTGGGTGGTTCGACGCTTGCTCGTGCTTCTTACTTTGTCCTTGGCCCTTTCCAACGGCGCAGGCGAGAGCGTTGGTCGGGCAGTGCATACGCCCGCTGCTTGGCCTTTGGCACGGGGGATAGTTGGCTAAGTACTTACGTTACGGGGATGCCGATGCCGATGTCCCAATGACCGCTCGCCGCTCAGGAAACGATTCTGGGTGCGATGCGATACATGGTGATGTATAGTGATCGGGAGCCCCGAGATGTGATGTTTGGCTCGGCGGATGTCTCTAATACAGTGACCCCCCGTGGTCGGCGGACAGCACGTGAATTCGAGGATAGCCGAGATAGGCACTATACAGACACTATACATTCTCTGGGCTCTATATATTCTCTATATATTCTCTATATATTCTCTATATATTCTCTATAAATTCTCTATACACGCTCTATACGGGTACTCTACGAGCTCTATACACGCTCTATACGGGCGCAGCGAACCTCGCCAATTTTTCCGGCGGGAATAATTCCGCCGTTGACGCGGTACGGCGGTACCAGTATATTACAATTTACGGCTGCCAGCCCATCCCAGATGTATGTGAACCGCGGTCAAAACCGATCTTCTAGCGATCTTTGGTACCATATCGTGAACCGTGATTAATGCGGGGGGAGATTCATTATTTAAGATAGATGCGTTTTTGCGGAGTGCATACTTACTCTAGATTCATCGTGCGGGATGTATGTGCTCAGTGGCTCGGTTTGGAACCGAGTAATGCGATGAATCTTGAAGGTTCAATTTGCATAATTGCAGCGCATCTCGATGCAAGGTCCCAAGCCGCGCTGCCGCGGTCAGTGGGTGATGATCGCTGTCTCCGTGGTCATCTTCGGCGGTGGTGATGGGTGCGGTTTCTGTGCCGAGGACTTAGAATGTAGATATGTACGGTATATAAACCCACCAGCTGGTTGGAGCTGTGTATGTACTGACAGATCGCCACCGCCCCCCGCTCCAGCACCAATCCAGCAGCATGCATTTCACCACGCTCCTCCCCCACCTCCTCGCGCTCCTCGCCGTCCCCGCGCGCGCACAAAGCAGCGGCACCGGCCCCTACCCAGCAAAATACACGACCTCCACAACGCTCCCCAAGCACACGATCTACCTCCCCTCCACGCTCCCCTTTAACCAATCCCTCCCGGTGATCGCCTGGGGCAACGGCGGGTGCATGGGCCGGGGCCTCACGTTCTCCAACTTCCTAACCGAAATCGCCTCTTACGGCTTCATGATCGTCGCGAACGGCGCGCCGGACGGGCGGCTGTTCCCGCAGACCACTGCGGCGATGTTGACGGCGACGCTGGACTGGGCGGAGGAAGCGAGCGGGGAGGGCGGGGAGTACCAGGGAAGACTGGATACGGGGAGTATGGCCGTTGCGGGACAGAGCTGTGGTGGCTTGGAGGCAATAAACGTCGGGAATGATACTAGGGTCAGGACGGTGGGAGTTTTTAATTCGGGATTGCTGGATATGGAGAAGAAGGACTTGCTGGATAGGATAAGGGTGCCGGTTTATTACTTCCTCGGCGGGAGTGGTGATGTATGTACTCTACCTATGATCTGTCCGAGGTGGATGTGTGCTAACAAGTAGCGGAAGATTGCCTACCCCAACGGCGAGCGCGACTACGCGGACCTGCCGGCGGGGCTGCCAGCGTGGAAGGCAAACTTTGATGTTGGGCATATGGGGACGTATAGCGAGGCCAACGGCGGGGAGTTTGGGAAGGCCGCCGTGGCGTATTTCAAGTGGGCGCTCAAGGGGGATACTGCGGCGAAGGCACTGCTGATCGGAAATCCACCCGGGCTGGCTGCGGCCGGGTGGGATGTGGTCTACAAGAATATGGCGTAGTTAGGTAGGTAGGCAAGGGAAAAGGGCGGTTATATGAGAATGGTGGGAATCATATGTGTGCAGGTATTGTACTCTACTGTGCTGGCCTACGAAGGTACATACATATCACTCGCAATATTATGCAAGGGCGAAGGGCGGTTATATGAGAATGGTGGGAACCATATGTAGGGTACTGTACTGCATGTGCAGGCCCACGGAGGTACATATCACTCGCAATGCAAGGTTGCATTTGCGCTCGGCTAAGAATAAGCGGGCTTAGATACGTGTAACGTGATATCTTGGGGGCCGTATGTAGCAACGGCAGCGCGTGAACCGTGCTTCTGTGCGGGAAATAGGATAGTTATCGATACAGGCTTACGGAGGTTTCGATGCGAGGTCTCATTTCCGCTCGGCTAAGTAAGAATAAGCGGTATTCACGTGATGCAGGCATTCACTAACTCTTAGCAACGGCCGCGCGTGAACCGTGCCGCGCTGTGCGAGGATCAGGATCTGGGGATGCGGAGATGATGTGATCGCATCTATTACCTATTGCGTACGGTTGCGTCACTGGCCCAATGCTTCCGACTGAGAGGTCTTCACCGGTCCGCCCCGCCCTCCCTCCAAACCCACCAGATGCATATCTACCGCCGTCTCATGACCATCAACAGACGAGGATTCTCCGCTGAAATAAGGCGACCAGGAACAATGCGACCAGGAACGCCATCTCCGCCTCCACCGCCGAGCCCCGTACCATCGGAAGAAGCAGGACCAGCACCTTCCTTGACGCTCCCCGGTTCGCGGACACATCCGCTCCTCCTGTACGGCACCGCCTGGAAAAAGGGTGCCACCGCCGAGCTCGTTACAACTGCACTCCGAACTGGATTCCAAGGTACCCGTGCTCCTCGCCCCATCCCCCGCCGCAACTAACAGCCTCCAGGCGTCGACACGGCGTGCCAGCCCAAGCACTACCGCGAAGACCTCGTCGGCAATGGTCTAAAAGAGTTCCTGATGACCAGCGTGCGCGGGCAGCACACGCCGCGGGACACACTCTTCATCCAGAGCAAATTCACGTCGCCGGGCGGGCAGGATCCGCGGAACTGTCCGTACAAACTAACGCTGCCGCTCGCGTCGATGGTGAAGATGTCGGTAACGACCAGTCTCGCGCACCTCGATACGTACCTTGACGCGCTGCTGCTGCACTCGCCGATGGAAACGCATGCCGAGACGCTCGAGGCCTACCGCGTCCTCGAGGACTACGTGCGGCTCGAGAAGATCTGGCATCTGGGCGTCTCCAATGTGGCGCTGCCAGAGCTCGAAAGGCTCTATGAGGAGTGCCAGGTCAAGCCTGCGATCGTGCAGAACCGCTTCTGGCCGGGAAATAATTGGGATGTTGATGTTCGCCGGTTCTGTAGAGACCATGGAATGGTCTGGCAGAGCTTCTGGACGCTCTCGGGGAATCCGCAGCTGCTGAAGAGTGGTGTCGTGCAGAGGGTGGCTATCCGCGTGCTGGAGGATAGTGACAAGAAGGAGGAGGCGCTGTATCTTCTGGTTCTCGCGCTGGGACGGGGCTGGGAGAAGGGCGGCGGCGTGGCGATCCTGGACGGTACCACTAGGGAGGTCGCTATGAAGAGTGATTGTGAGGCGGCAGCGCTGGTTGGGGAGGTGAGCGACGCCGAATTGGGGGAATTCAAGGGGTTGATCGGAGAGGAAGTCTAGGGGGCAAAGTTTTGAGCAATGCCAAAGTGTGGGAATTCAGGGGAGTGATCGGCGAGGGAGAGTAGGGGAAGTTCCGTGTCCGTATGGGCATATTCCGCGGCTGAAGGATGGTGTTGGAATCATGCAGGACAGAAAAGAAGCAATTGCACAAGTGCGAACCTGCGCACCTGCGAAACACATGCACATCCCTCTGCATCGCACTTCTTAGAAGGGGTCTTTGAACTTTCTTTTGGCATTAAAGCGGTTATTCAGTTGGATACTTTCTCTCCGATCTCGCCACAGACTGCCGATACTAGTAGAGTACTCTACTTGATGTCATACGGTGGCTTGAGCTTCATTCATTGGCCAACATGTTCCAACATGTTCGAAGTGAAAATGCCGTGCGCAGCGTGCGAATTACGGCGTGAGGGCTGAACTGGGTAATTAAACGGCTGATGTGAGTCACCCATTTATTCTACAATCCTTGGTCTAGACTTGGCCAGCTAGGTATATACCTGTACGGGTATGATCCGCACTCGGTATGAAGACGTTCAAATCATAGAACTTCAAGTTTCCTAAGCAAAAGGCCGTTGCGGCTGATAAGCAAGACAAATTTCCCCGGATCTGTGGGGCTGAAAAGGGAATATCCCCACCTATTGTATGTACTCTACATACATATGATACATACGGCCCATGGCACGGTGTTCCTCTCACCTTTAGTGCGGTTATCTACCATGGATAGCCTTACTCACTGACAACTGTGCCGCCTCTGTGCATGTCTCATCAATGATGACCGTCGTCATATGTGCTGCCGGTCGTTCTAAAACTCTCCAACCCAATTACGCCGCAGCATCATATCTCCACGATAATCGGCAAGTGCACACGGGCTGGACGTTCTTGACGCTTGAGATTCCATTAGGTAAATTGGAAGCTACGCATAAGCAACAATCGTCGCAGCTAGGTGCTAAAGGGGCTGGGCGGCTGGTTAATCTCCCTGTTTATACGGACCGACGAAGCTTGACTTGACTGGTTGCCGGTATGCGGCTGGATTCCCTTGCGGAAATTCTAATGCTTATCTTGTGGGGGATTTGCGGAGGTACCCGATGTTTGGAATCTGCCAAGGACTCCCGCGACTTCATCGCGAAGCGTTCTCTATGCATATGGATGCAGCTGCTGGTCCCAACCTCACGAACTTCACTTCGAGAACAACACAGTTGGTTAGCTCGTCCTCCCCGGGAATCAAAGTCGGCTCTGGTCCATCCAGTGCTTTCACTGAGCCAAGCCGGATGAACGACGTCCTCTAGTAACAAGCTTGTGGCGACGGCGGCACGGATTCAACATCAGCCGTGAAGGTCTGGGGCCTGGGCAAGCCACAAGCTAAAGTAGCATCTATCTAGTCTGTAGCGTTATGCATGGGGTTAACTAGGTGGTTTCTGTTCGCTCGCCCCCGTCTTGACGAGAAGTTGGATCAATTTCGCTAACGGATGACAGCTGCGACATCTGAGTGAATGCTTGAAGCCTCACGGACGTGGATAGGTTCATACGGGGTTCACTCGCCTCCGCACTCAGAAGCCCAACGACCAGGTTTCTACCAGAGTTTTTGGGTAACGTAGGACGCAGGTTGGTTCTTTCTCTGCTTCTGGGTGGCGAATCACCACCATGCTAAGATCTGAATAGTGGAGGTCTCGACCTTCGCCTCGCACTTGAGCACTCGGGGTTTACACACCCTGGAGATTCGGTGGCGTGAACCGGAAGTCACTCCCAGGAACCATCGCCAAGGACTTTGCCGAAGCTCGGAATCGGATTTTCCAGAGTTTTAACCCATGAGGGTGGCCATAAACCTTGTCTCAATTTTGGTTAGTTTCCACAAAAGAGCATCCTCTTTTAGATTTTGGAGAAAACCACCAACGCCAAACGACAAAGACGATATGCACCAAGAAATGGCTGCGCAGACTGCGCTTGTTTGCTGGCAGTAGATTCCCCTAAGAGGCACCTTAGTGGGACCCCGTGAGAGTTGGTGTCTTGTCGTCTGGGTACTTAAGCTGGAGGAGAGACTTGCGTTTTGATATCCACGCTTCTTCATCGGTCAAGTCACTCTTTATTCCACTTGTCACTCGTTAGCAATTCAGTATGAAGCCCCAGTACATCCTGTTCATGCTGACAGGTTTGGCCTTGGCCAGCCCTGTGGACCACGAAAGACGCGGCGCCGGCGAAGCCCAGATCGAACAGCGAGATCACCGCGATCGCAATCACAATCACCGTACCGTCACCGTGACGAAGACCAGGACGAAGACGAGGTACGTCCCGAAGACCACTACGAAGTGGGTCGACAAAGGCTATGGCCACAACACCAAGACCGTCACGCGGACGATTGAGGTAAGTCAATTGATCCGGACCGTGGTGTCTGCCGCATTTGCGAGACGGATGTCAATTGCTACGACCGGTTGCTGATGTTTGTGGTTTGTAGGTCCCCGGCTACCCAGCTCCTCCTTCGACTCGTACGGTCACCATCACCAAGACGGGTGAAGTCCGTACGACCACCCTCCCTGGTGGCACTGACACCGTCACCATTCCTGGGGGGACCACCACCCTCCCTGGAGAGACTGTCACCATCCCTAGCGGCACTGATACCGTCACCGACACCGTCACCATTCCCGGCCCAGGTTCAACCGTCACCGTCCCTGGAGAAACTATCACTCTCACTGGTGGTCCAGGCGCAACAGTGACCCTCCCCGGAGAGACTGTCACCGACACCATCACTCTCCCTGGTGGCTCAGGTGTGACCGTTACCGACACCATCACTCTCCCTGGTGGCCCTGGAGCGACTGTCACCGACACCATCACTCTCCCTGGTGGCCCTGGAGCGACTGTCACCGACACCATCACTCTCCCTGGTGGCCCAGGTGTGACCGTCACCGACACCATCACTCTCCCTGGTGGCCCTGGAGCGACTGTCACCGACACCATCACTCTCCCTGGTGGCCCAGGCGTGACCGTCACCGACACTATCACTCTCCCCGGTGGCCCAGGCGCAACAGTGACCCTCCCTGGAGCGACTGTCACCGACACCATCACTCTCCCTGGTGGCCCAGGCGTGACTGTCACCGACACTATCACTCTCCCTGGTGGCCCTGGAGCGACTGTCACCGACACTATCACTCTCCCTGGTGGCCCTGGAGCGACTGTCACCGACACTATCACTCTCCCTGGTGGCCCTGGAGCGACTGTCACCGACACCATCACTCTCCCTGGTGGCCCAGGTGTGACCGTCACCGACACCATCACTCTCCCTGGTGGCCCTGGAGCGACTGTCACCGACACCATCACTCTCCCTGGTGGCCCAGGCGTGACCGTCACCGACACTATCACTCTCCCTGGTGGCCCAGGCGTGACCGTCACCGACACTATCACTCTCCCCGGTGGCCCAGGCGCAACAGTGACCCTCCCTGGAGCGACTGTCACCGACACCATCACTCTCCCTGGTGGCCCTGGAGCGACTGTCACCGACACTATCACTCTCCCCGGTGGTCCAGGCGCAACAGTGACCCTCCCCGGAGAGACTGTCACCGACACTATCACTCTCCCTGGTGGCCCAGGTGTGACCGTCACCGACACCATCACTCTCCCTGGTGGCCCAGGCGTGACTGTCACCGACACTATCACTCTCCCTGGTGGCCCTGGAGCGACTGTCACCGACACTATCACTCTCCCCGGTGGTCCAGGCGCAACAGTGACCCTCCCTGGAGCGACTGTCACCGACACCATCACTCTCCCTGGTGGCCCAGGCGTGACTGTCACCGACACTATCACTCTCCCTGGTGGCCCTGGAGCGACTGTCACCGACACTATCACTCTCCCCGGTGGTCCAGGCGCAACAGTGACCCTCCCTGGAGCGACTGTCACCGACACCATCACTCTCCCTGGTGGCCCAGGTGTGACCGTCACCGACACTATCACTCTCCCTGGTGGCCCTGGAGCGACTGTCACCGACACCATCACTCTCCCTGGTGGCCCAGGTGTGACCGTCACCGACACCATCACTCTCCCTGGTGGCCCAGGCGCAACTGTCACCCTCCCTGGTGGCACTATCACCGACACTATCACCGCTCCTGGAGTAACCGTCACCGACACTATCACCCTCCCTGGCGGCACTATCACCGACACTATCACCGCTCCTGGAGTAACCGTCACCGACACTATCACCCTCCCTGGCGGCACTATCACCGACACTATCACCGCTCCTGGAGTAACCGTCACCGACACCATCACCCTCCCTGGCGGCACTATTACCGACACTATCACCGCTCCTGGAGTAACCGTCACCGACACCGTCACCCTCCCCGCTACCACCGTGACTCTCCCCGCCGTCACCATCACATCCTGCCCCACCACACCACCGCCAGTCTGCACCCTGACCGGCAACCGCGTGGTTAACGGCGGCTTCGACGCCAGTGCCAACATCTCTCCATGGGCGATCAGCGGAGCCGTCAGCGCCAGCTCCTCCTCCGGCGCGCAAACAGGGCTAGCACATGCCGGCAATCGCGCATACATGATGCGCTTCACCGGCTCCAACGGAGCCGCCACCCTCTCGCAGAGCATCGAGGTGTGTGCCGGCGTGCAACACACACTTACCGCGTACGAGCGTCAAGACGCCGACGGTAACTGCCAGTACACCTGGAGCGCCGATGGTGCCCCCATCCAGACTACTGCTACCGCCCCGCCGAACGCTTGGACTCCCGTCTCCTTCACGTTCACCCCCAGTAGCTCAACTGCTGTCATCTCGCTCACCGTCAATTGTCCCCTTGGAGGCGGTAACAACAGAGATGCCTACGTCGATTCCGTCTCGGTCGTCACGGGTGCGGTCACTCCCCCAGGTGGTGGTGGCGACGGTGATAATTAGTCGTGCCGTGTATTGTAATTTGTGAGTTTGGAGCGAGGATGAAGATTCCACTAGGGAATCAGTGGCTATATGCATTCGTTTATTTTTGGAGAAACTGGGTTTCTGGGGTAGTTTTTAATGGAGTTTTTTGTTGCTGTCCGTATCACGACCTTCTCGAGTGATCATCGTGATGGTGAGGGCGATCCAAAGTTTGGGACTAAGTGATGTAGGGTCTATTGAACATCGTCAAACACAGCTTTCTAGGAAACAATAGTCTATCCAAGAAACCTAGAGTACACACTCACTCTCACATTCACTTACCAAGCACGTGTGCCTGCAACGTCCCATTCACATTAACATCCACTCCCACGCACGTGTGCCTTCAAAGTCCTATTCACTCTCACGTTCACTCACCCAGCATGAGTGTCTACAATTCGTTTACCAACGCTACCATGCCGATATTGTATCTCCACCAAAAATCACTCGCAAGCTCTTACCGCTTGACTGTCGGTTATTTACACGTCTACATGCCTGTGTATCCCGGCCACTGGTTCTTTGCATTGTTCCCTATCATTTTACGGACCCACTAGTAGTCGTCGTAAGCAGCCTTTGTGAGCTTCTCAGCATTGTCCCTGACTCCCTAGTATCTCACCAGAATCAGCCTCTTTCCTACAGCCCAGTCCGGCATTGTCTATCGTCGGTAGCATAGCATTCTCTGTTTGAGGCAGCAGCAGGGGCTTCGCCACCTTTCCTACATTAGGTAACACATCTCCATTCCCTCCACACCATCCTTCCCGGCGCCCACTTCTCATCCTTATCCTCTCGACCGTAGCCACTATGTTCGAAAGGAAGTAGGTTGCGTACCTATCGTAGTAATTCCGTATCTGGTCGGCAATAGGTAGGTGCGTATCAACCCCTGCCCATATGATGATTGTACCTATGTAGTCATCGAAACAGGCAGAAATTGCCAGTTCCGTCTCGTGAACATCGCCAAATGCCTCTCTAACCATCTAACCAGCCCTCCCCGCATTTTTCCTCTTCTCCCCTGGCTGTTCATGGTTAGTTACCGGTAACCTCAAAGCTTCAACATGTCGAAAAGTTCAAATTTCAATCGCATCAAGATGTCGATGTCGGCTCATCAGTGGAATCGTATTATACCTAGACGGCTTGGGACGATCTCTTTTGCTCAACTGGGCGAAACCCAAAGGTACCAAGTATTTAGCTCTTCTAAAGACTCCGAGGGAGGGAGGGAGGGAGCCAAATGTGCGTTTTATCGACGCGGACGAGTGATTTTCCGAGATTTTCGATTTGTTTTTCACCGGTCTTTTGCCCCTGAATTCGGTGGTTAAGAAAATTTTGTGTGGTTGATGCCGCAGGTTTTCTGTCAGACACCTCGAGGTTTGAATCTTGATGCATGCTGGCCTCTCAACCTCTCCCACGGGAGATGTTGGCGCGAACAAAGTTCCGCGGACGGTCGACCGACCGAGTGCTGCCTGGCTGGGGGCGAGTTCCCTTCGCCGGCGGCACCTGGGCGAGTAGGTACCCACCATTCGGACCAAGAAGTTCCAAGTCTCAAGTCTGTACATATAGGTATGTGTAAAGAGAGACCTCGCCGCTGGCGATATTGTTGCTGCAGCGAACGTTTCCAACAGGCACGCACACATCGCTGTGCCGAATCTGGAGCGTGGGTGGACGTTCGGCGGGGTCCTCTGTGCGGTGCTCAAAGGGCAGGACCAGTGCCATCTAGATAGGCAGGCCGTGAGGATTAGTCTTTCAACTTTCAACTTTCAAGTTTCATCTCCTGGGACATCTCGGGACGGGGACGTTTTCTTTATCTATGACTGCCTATTGCCGGCGAGTGATATCCTGTGCACACTACCTACGGTAACCACTGTGTACGATCTCGCTTGCGTCACGGCGGACAAATCTCCGAGTTGAACCGAGATGATCCGGAAGCCAAGACTCCAAGACTCCAAGAAGAACGGCGAAGCGTGGGTAACTGGGATGAAGCGCAAGTGCAAGAATTCGGCGGGGAAGGCCTGTGGGGAGGGAGGGGGGAGGCGGGGGGAGGAGGGTCAAGCTTTCGTTTGCCGGGGAAATAGTAGACCAACTAACGGTTCGCACCGGCCTTCGGCCTTCGGCTTTCGCTGCGAGATGTACACACCTACGTGAGGGCGCATGATCATTCCTGTGTGCACTGTGGACAGTGGACGCACGCACGCACGCGCCACCTTCTTCCTACCTGCTTTCTACCTGCTTCCCTCCCTCCCTCCCTCCCTCCATCGTCCTACCGGATCAACCGTGGTGGATCGTGTGTATTTACACTATAGTAGATACACACAACGCGCGTGATGCAGTGCTCCACAGTCCACGGTCCACGGTCCACGGTCGACGGTCGACGGTCGACGGTCGACCACAAAGGATCCACCACAAAGAATCCGGCCTCGCGGAAACTAACTCTCACACGATGCTCCTTTAAGCCGCTGTCGCCGAAATGTGGGGTTCGCGGATGCGGGGTCTCGATTGATGCGGGGCTACTATGTCCACATGTATGTCCTAGTTTTGTAGAGTGCCTAGTGTAGAGTAGTAATCGGAGATCAACAACCGTGACAGCGACGGCGTGATCGAGACTCGGGACATGGGTGTCACTACTACTAGGTAGTACCAGGCAGTAGAGTGCTGAATGCTTGCTTGCAGGTTGAGTGCTTTGACGTGTGCACTGTGGTGTTGGGCAGTCGCAGGTCAAGTTGCGATGAAATAGATGCACATACTCGATGGTGATGTACGGTAGGAAGGTGCGAGTTTGGAGATGGCGGACTCTCGACGTCTTCCCCGCCTTCCAAACTCTCCGGGGTTTTGTCCGGAGGGTCGTCGGAAGTGTCCAATTAGATTAGCCGGCACAATCCAGTGAATCCACCTCGTCCAGTCGATGAAGCTTCACATCGATTACCGGCACCCTGGAAGCACTGGGAAGCATGGCATGGCATGGGTGGCCCACGCGACCAGGAAGGAAGGCCATTTGGCAGCTCAACTTACTCGCTCGACTCCCTCCCTCCATCCTCCATCGAAGCTTGACGACCGTGGACCACCCGGTGGCTGGGCAAAGAAGTGTGGAAGCTGGAAGTTGGAAGCAGTTACATATTACTACCGTATACTACCGTGAACTATTATGATACCGGTATGTAGGATCTACACCACCTTACTCGGTCCTGGATTCCTGGGTATTTATGCACATACCTGTCTGCTACCTATTCTGGCCGCTGGCGCGAGGCGGAAATGCGGATGCTCTTCATACGGCACATACGGTACTCAAGGTAGATACATGGTACTCAAGGTACCTACCAGGTCTATTGCTATATATGTGCAGGAATGCGAGCTGACAGCCCGACAGACAGTCATCCGGCCTGAGATTGTAGTGAGTATGTACGGTGGAGTGCTCCACCTCGCGCAGTCGCGGTGTCTGCTGACCGTCTCTCTGCAGAACCAGCCATCCAGCCAGCCGTCCAGTCCATGGCCAAAGCTGCGAGCTCCACAGCCGCATCACAGCGACTCGCTCAGATATAGTTCACCTCCACACAGGGTACAACGCCAGCCGGCAATTTCCGTTTGGAAGATAGAGACCGGCAAGCTACCAACCAAAGCACGGTGTTGGGCAGAGCACTCAGCAGGTTTGTGTGCATCCATGTATCCAGTGGTACTTGCAGCTACCTTATCAGCGATCCTCTCCAGTGTTCAGCGGTGTTCACCCCTCACTCCTCGCGAGTCGCGCACCGAGGAAGCAAGAATCCTGTTGTCTCCCATGTAGAGTAGCCACCTTGGCATGTATGTACACAGAGCATGCAAGCCGTCAGAAGTACCGTCGTGTGAGCGTGTGATTGGATCTTAGCATCTCCGATCGGCGAAGCGGCGAGCGGCACGCGCTGCGATGGATGGATCAAATGTTGCTTCTTGCTGCTTCGGCATTCGGCGAGACCTCCCGCACAGGGTATCGATCCGCGGTCCGCGTCCGACCGAAAAAGGAAATAAAGAAAAAGGAAACACAGAAAAAGAAAGAAAAAAGGAAGAAAAAAGAAAGAAAAGGAAAGAAAAGGAAAGAAAAGGAAAGAAAAAGGAAAGAAAAAGGAAAGAAAAAGGAAAGAAAAAGGAAAGAAAAAGGAAAGAAAAAGGAAAGAAAAAGGAAAGAAAAAGGAAAGAAAAAGGAAAGAAAAAAGAAAGAACTCCTGCCTCGCCAATCGCTAAGCACCGGTTCCTGTTCTGTTCCTGGAATACATAGAGTACCATGTATGTCGTCACGAATGCGCCTGCAGCCGGGCGACAGTGCGGCATTGCGACATGGGTACACAAGGCAAGGCAAGATTCCACGGCGACGGCGACAGCAACGGGTGGGCGTCGCGGGCAAGGTTTGGTTCGGTTTGGTGAGCGAGTAGGTCGGCCGGTGCTACCGAGCATAGCGGCTCGTTGCACCTTTCCTTTGGACAACTCCCCCGCCTGCGCTGTTCGATGCCAGCTCGACTCGACGCCATCCACAACCACTAGCCGTCATCGCTTCGAGACATGTTTCCCCCGAGTGGCCATGTGCGTAGCTATGCGCGTGTGCGGGGTTTGAGGGGTGAGGGTTTTCCGATGGAATCATTGCAATGTGCGTCCGTCACGTCACTTGGCCCGCATTGCTTTGCAGCATCTAGATTCAGACACGCCCCTCCTACATACATTCGCCCGCTAACATGTAGCTAACTGCTAGCAGTAACTATTTGCTCGACTACGCTGGTATCATGTCTACCGGTATCATATGTACCGGTACCTAGAGTAAGTACTTGCTTGTCTGCTTGCTGCCTGCTTGCTTATGCGAGTACCGGTAGGCTTTGCTTTGTCCTCCTCACACACCTTCCCTGCACACGCCCCCGCACACCACAAGGCACAAGACGTGGACACTCTATCTATGTATGCCGTTCAACTCGGTGATCCCGGTGCGGTGGATGAATCATGATTCGATTCGCCCTTGCTCCGGGCAGCAGAAGTATTGATGTCGACCGACATGTGTCGAAGAGTCAAGACATCCCTGGGGGCGTGGAGATCACCGTCTCACCGTACCGTGCCCGACTCGACTCTATGTACTGGCCGGACTGTGTTGTTCCTGCAGGACATTCCCTTCCCCATCGACACATGCAACGCAGGTCTTGTGAAAAACGGCAAGGTCCAGGTCTATGTATGTAGGTCGAGTTGAATGGTGAAAGAACGTCCGAGTCGAACGAACGGCAGCAGCCGGTTTCCCGTCAGCTGTCTTGCCCTGCCGTCTCTGACTCTGCAGTCTGGAGTCTGGAGTCTGGGCATGGTGATGATGAGCTGGCCGATCAGAGTGCTCCCCTCGCCTTTGTCCGGACCACGGTCGCCGCTCCCCCTCCCCTTCCGTTCGAGGAATGCCGTCTCTAAGCTGATCACTTCACTGGTCGCTGGTGCCTTGTTCCTGAGCGTGCCCATGCCCACTGCCTATCTTTCTCGCCCCACTAACTACCGTGGAAAGGGGGGGGGGGGTGTGTGTGGGAGACAGACTGACATCGGCCACATGCCATGCCATGCTATGCCATGGAACGAGGCGAGGCGAGGAGTGTTCTATGTAGAGAGGTAGGTTATTCCCACCATCTCGACGGGCAGGGGAGAGGGGGGGGGGGGGGGGCGTCTTTGAATGTTATGTATGTACCCTTGTTGTGGTAGCGTGTGGCCCGGCGAGCGGGCGTAATAATTGTAATGGTGGTGTGCTGCCCTTGTCCCGGTAAATGTACCTGTGATGGCGGATGACTTGTGAACTATGTGAGCTCCGCGAGCTCACTTAAATACTCCTGTCAAGCCCCCGGATGTCGATGGCACGTTGGACGGACGGGACTGGACTCACACGTTTCCGAATAATATCGAACACCCCCATCATCATCGCTGCCGCCGCCAGGGAATATAGAGGGCCTTCCGCATAATTCCATTCAACGACCGTCCACAACAACCCCCACAACAACCCATAACGCATCACAGCAAAGAATAAACCACCGAGATACACCATGCGCTTCACCGCATTGCTCACCGCGGCCGCCGTGCTGCTGTCCAGCGCGGCTGATGCGCTTCCATAGTCAGTCCACCACACCTACCCCCATCTCGCCGTGTGCATTACCTGCTCCAAGCACCAGGCCTCCTACCCATATACTGACACGATTGCCTGCGCACCTACAGCGACGTGATCCGCCAGCGGGACCTAACCTTCCCCTATGGCTCGCAAAAAGTGCGCGGAGTCAATCTCGGCGGCTGGTTCGTTCTCGAGCGTAAGCATTTCTGGCTGCAAGTGAATTTGAGTTCCAAAGCCGACATACTAACGAAGTCCAGCATGGATCACGCCCTCCCTCTTCAGCGACGGCAGCGGCGCGGTGGACGAGTACACGCTGTGCCGTTCCTGGGGGAAGACCGCATGCCGCAGCCGTCTAGAAGCGCACTGGTCCAGCTTCATCAGCGCGGGTGACCTGCAGCAGATCGCCGCCGCGGGAATGAACCACGTGCGCATCCCGATAGGCTACTGGGCCGTTGACCCGCTCGATGGTGACCCCTACGTCCAGGGGCAGATCGCGCACCTCGATAATGCTATTGCGTGGGCCGGCGCTGCCGGGCTCAAGGTTTGGATAGATCTGCATGGAGGTAGGTTTCCCGCTCCCGCGCCGTCGGTAAAGGTAGCCGGGGCTGATGGGATCGTGCGACTTTAAGCTCCCGGATCCCAAAATGGCTTCGACAACTCTGGCCTGCGTGACCAGATTGGATGGCAGAGTACCCCCGGCTACGTCCAGCACACCAAGGGCGTCATCTCCATGTTAGCGAAAAAGTATGCGCGGCCGGAGTACAACAACGTAGTGACCGCGATCGAGCTATTGAACGAGCGTGCGTATTCCTCTCCCCCGCTGCCCAACCCCCCGCTAACCCCCTCCCCAGCAATGGGCCCAAGCCTAAACATGGACCAGATCCGGCAATACTGGATGGACGGCTGGGGGGCCGTTCGGGACTACGGCGACATCGCGGTCGTGATCGGCGACGCCTTCAAGAGCCCCACCGAATGGAACGGCTTCATGACCACCGGCTGGAGCAATGTCATCCTCGATACACACCAGTACCAGGTCTTCTCCCCGGGGCAGGTCGCAATGTCAATCGACGACCATGTAGCTGCCGCTTGCGGCCTTGGTCGCATGCTTGATGGCGTGGATAAGGTACCCCCCACCCCCCACCCCCCAACCTACCCTTTGCACGCAAACACTAACCCCACCCCCCGTGTAGTGGACAGTAACCGGCGAATGGTCCGGCGCTTTAACCGACTGCACGAAATGGCTGAACGGCGTAGGCCGGGGCATGCGCTACGACGGCACCTTCGCGGGGTCCTTTTTTGTTGGCAGCTGCTCGCGGCGGGTTAGCGGGTCGATATCGCAGTTTTCGGCGGCGGAGCGGGCAAACACGCGGCGGTACATTGAGGCGCAGCTGGACGCCTACGAGCGCGCCGCCGGCTGGTTCTTTTGGACGTGGAAGACCGAGGGCTCACCTGAGTGGGAGATGAGAGATTTGTTAAGTAATGGGGTTTTCCCACAGCCGCTCACGGAGAGGTGGTATGGGAATCAGTGTGGTTTCTAGGGAGTAGGTGGCGACCACATGGAAGCGGCTTTGTTGGGCGGTCACGAATCTTCTTACCTTTTTTTTTCTCGTTTGGTCGGTCGGAATTTCTTTGCATACTCTACATACGGAATGCCGGGGAGGGGGATTTTTTCTTGCATAGTAATTCGGAAATTTGGGCGGCGGGAATGCGGGGTTGGGATCTGGGCATAACTCTACCACATGCTGTACATATTATTATTAGCACAATCTTGATTCGAGAAGTTTCGATCGTATCGTGGAATGGAATGGTGGAACGGTAGAAGGGGGGAGGACATTCAGGAATTCAGGAATGAATGAAGGAAGCAAGGCAAGAAGCGTGGAATGAGAAGTGGGAAGTGGGAAGTGACAATGCTGGTATGTGAAGATGCGAAAGCAAGGAGGACCAGGACACGCGGCATCACTCGTGGGCTGCGGCCGCTGACGGGTGATGCTGCGAGATTTGGTACTTGGCAGTGGTAACGGCTTGGGAGGAGGCAATGGAGGTGGGTAGACAAGCTATGTAGAGTACCTAGAGTATATACCACAGAGCGGAGCGGAGGGCTGAGGCCCGGGGCTGCGGTTAGGGACAAGAGGGTTCGAAGTGACAGTATGCGAAAGTAAGGAGAATACGAAGGAGGAGACGAAGCTGCACGACACGGCCAGGACACACGACAACGTCACTCGGTGTCACTCGTGGGTCGCGGCGGGTGATGCTGCGTGACTTGGTTCTCTCTCTTGGCAACGGCAATAGCAACGGTAACGGTAACTAACGGCAACTAACGGCAACTAACGGCAACTAACGGTAACTAACGGTAACTAACGGCAACAGAGGTGGATGGGTAGATAATCTATCTGTGTATATACCGATCGTGAAATCGTGGAAAGAGCCATTTATGTACATAGGAAACGAAGTGAGAAGTGAGAAGTGACACTATGGTAGGTATGCGAAAGCAAGGAGAAGATGCACGACGACTAGGACGCAGGATCAGGACGCACGGCCAGGACGCACGGTGTCACTCGCGGGCCGTAGCAGGTCGTGGCGGGTGGTGCTGCGAGAGAGTGCGAGAGACCTGGTTGCTCACAGAAGTCGGTGTTCACGGAAGTCGGTGCTCACTCACTCACTCACGGATGCGGGAATCGCGCGCAAGTTATGACTCATAACTCCCGACTCCCGAATCCCGACTTTCGACTCCTTACAAGATCCCAAGCGTGCGTGCGTGCGTTGTGAGTGTGTTGTGAGTGCGTGCGGACCGCGGAAGGTACGGCTACTCCTACCCCATGTGTAGGGAATCGGTGAAACGGGCAGAATACGGTGGAATACGGCAAACTTGAGCAATGCGGGCGGGCGGGCGGTGCACTTTCTAAAGGCGCCGAACGGCTCCGAACGGCGCACGCCGGGTTGGTTGGCCCGTACGCCGTGGAGTGCGGGAGTGCGGAGTGCGATACCGCACGAGCACTCGGACTCCCGGCCGAAACTCTGAAATGCTATCCGTGCACCAGAGTGGACTCGGCACGTTCGCCGTGCCAGGAATCGAGAATCGCGGGAGTGGATGTCCGGTATATACTGTACCCAGGGAAGACAGCGATGAGAAAGAGGAGAAGAAAAATCAACAAGAGGAGAGCGAATCGTCAGTTTCGGAAGACTGGATATGCGGGGTGCGAATTCTCGGTTTTAATTCTTTCTTCACTCTCACTCAGGTGGATAGTTGGGCCTTGGGGGGTTGAAACCCTCGGTGATTTTTGGACACGGCTGAACTTTGCAATAAGTATGATGAAACAAACAAAAAAACAGACAAAAACCCCCAACAGCAGGGAGAAAACGATAAGAATCCCAAAATGTCATGATTCATAGGTACGAAAAACGATAATCTCACAATAAGCCGAAACATCAGAGCCATCTCGAGATACTAAGGAAATGCGAACCCTGCCACTGCTGCCTTCAAGCGCCGTCCTCAGTTGGCTTACGCCCATACACGGAATAGCTGCACACGAACGACATCAGTATCCTGCTTTCGGGGTGAAGGGCTCGCTTCGAAAGTACTCACACATAATTGTAGACATGGTACCTCGGATTATGGTGGGCAGCGGACGCATCATCGCATATTTTCTCCGCCGCCGCCGTTTCCATTTCGAGGACCCTCGTGAACGCCGCGAGGCCATACGCACGGTATCCCGTTTCACCCTGGAGGAGCGCGATAGCGCCGAGCTGCTTCAGGCGCTTATCCTTTGGCCACGGCGCCCACGGCTGCTTAACCTTTGTCACGTGGACGTCCTTAAATCCGGCGCGGCGCAGCTGCTGCGCCATGATCGGCCCGTCGACCGGCGGCCGCCCGAGCTTGATCATCGCTGTCTTGAGAAGGTCGAAGAAGGGCAGCAGGGGGTTGTCTAACTCCAGTGTGCCGTCGTCGCTGTGCGGGTATAATCCGGCCTCGCAGACTTCGACGAAGCCGCCGGGCGCGGTACATCTTCACGTACGCATACATGCGTCAGCAAGAAAAGTCGCAAAGAAGTATGTATGTAAACACGTACCTGTATATGTTCTTGAGCAGCTTTGGCCAGTCGCTGATACTCTGCGAGATATTCCGGCAATGGATCAGGTCGAAGAGGTTTTCGTTGAACGTCCACTCCCTCTCGACATCGTCGATTTCGAAGCGGCAGTTTGTAGGGACCCATTTCGGCTGAATCGGGCTATTCTCGGTGGGGGGGGGGGGGTCAAGTCAGCAATGCCGCCTGCCACCCTCGACACGCAGTATATCCACCGACCTCAGATCCACCCCGACCACCTCAGCGGACGGAAACTTCTCGGCGATGTCGACGGCCCAGATTCCCGTACCCGTGCCGACGTCGAGGATGTTGTGCGGGTTCTCGGTGATGGGCGCCTTGTGCAGCCCGCCGTTCCACAGCAGCATGAACATCTCGTGGTTCATGTCAAGTCTAGTACAAACATATCCAACCCCGTCAGGAACCGGTTCACACACAACCCCAGCGCACACGAGCCCGGTAGTTGAAGTTAATTACCGGTCTTGCTCTGTCTGAATGGACCACGGATTAGCAACCGAAGTGGGGGACGAGTGAGTCGCGGTGGAGGCATACCTCATCCGTCGGGAATAACGATTTGTCATGGCCGAAATACGTATGGTAGCGACGACCTATAGCACATAGTAGTTATGAGTCAGCCCTGAATTCGGACTCCCCCGAGGACAGGCTGCAGTGAGCCCACGACGCCGAATGACGGAACTGTACCGTTCTCGAATATGTACTCCTGGATGCTGGTCGTGACGCTTGCGGTACTCGAGTCGTAGCTGGCGTAGGTAGTAGTTCTTAGTAATAGCCCCTCCACGCCCGACCGGTGACCAGTGATCCCGAATCGAATCAAGAAGTCACAACTCACCCCGTAGACTCGTAATCGGTAAAGTCCTTTCCGACCTAGTCACATCGGAAATTTTAGTTACGGCTCGAGCCCGAGGGAGTGGGTGCAAGTGCAAGTGCAAGTGCAATGCAGTGAGGCGAACCAGATCAGGGTCGACTTCGAGCGGCGCATTGTCGTATATTTGTGCGGGACCGGACATATTGTTGACGTTGACGTTGAACGGCGGAGGAGACAGGGGCGGGCGGGCGGGAGTCTTAAGCAACGGAAGTGTAGGAGAAAAAGGCGAGTTCTGGTCGACGGTGGTCATTTGGAAGGGGACCTTATTCTCTTATGTATACTCCGCAGTCCTACGGCGCTTTTCGGTCTCAAACTACCGCTGGCCGCCATTCTTCAGGGTGGGGGGATGGCTAGCAGCCTACACAACACACCACCGCCACCCGAGCTGGGTGTTGAAGAGATCGCGGCGTCGCCAAACGGGCCATAGCTTTTTTTTCTAAGCGATGCACCGAGTCGCACCTCGAGAGGCGGAGGTTGGAAGTGACCAATCATGATCCCGCTGTGTCAATGCGTCGTCGTCGGACAGGGCGGTCACACGGAGGCGTTTACGCGTCCAGATCCGCTTCGGGTATCCGGTCTGTATCAACTGAGATCTAGGTACTCTATGAGGATGGGTATCGATTCCACATAACGATAGGCACTCGAGCCGATGTCCACAAACGCCGCCTCAGCCAGGATAGGATAGGATAAGAATCTTCAGTGTATGTATGTAGGAGTTATGCAGACTTCGGAAGAAGTGGATATCTTTTTGTATCGGTACCGTATTCACAGTACCGTAGGTACGGAAGTAAGGATGGAAAGACGACCATGTAAGACCAGATGGAAAGGACTTAACCACGGTACTCGCATAGCCGGCTTAGCGGCAAGATTGTCTATCGACTGGACACCAGTTCCCTCGGCATCCGCACGGACCGTCCCGCCCCGCGCCCCGCCCCCATGTCATTGCTCCTTCGGGAAATCCCACGCTAATTGCAAACAGCCTACAGGATCGTTCCGCGAGCAACATGGGATAGCACTCGTGTCCAGGCCCGGTTCCGCAAAAGGTTGTGTACTAAGTTACGACAACCAGCACGCCCCAAAGGTACCGATGTGCGCTCGGTGTGTACTATAAGTCCACAACAGCGGGTGGGCGTACTACGGTACACCAGTTCTTCCTCGGCCTGGCCAATTATTCTACTCCAGATCCCGTTCAGACTCCGGCCTCTGTGGAGCCGGTCATGAATACCTACCTATCTGTTGGAACATGACTCATGGCATACCTGCTGGGGAGCAACTATCATGACCTAGATATCCAATAGGCAAGCTCGAACCCGAGGATCGAACCCCCCTCCAAAAGATGAGATCGGCACATCCGTTTCACCCCCGCGCGAACTAGTCTGAAAAAGAGCTTTGACTGTAGACTACTAGTCCATGCGGGTTTGCCCCGCACGGTTTGGGGGATCTCCCACCCACCCGTGGAGGCGGAGGCAGGGAGCGCGATGCGCGCGATGGGCGCGATTGGATGCATTCGCATGGTGGCGGCACGCTTCACGGCATTCTGGAATTGGGGGCGCCTATGTATGGTGGCTTGGTCGCCTCTGTGCGTGTAGAATAGTAACTACATGCGAGCAAGCAAACTTGTTCGGACAATGCGGATTCTCGTATCATACATATGGATCCACGCTACGCTACTCAATACACGATATCGAATACCCGGTACCCCTCTCCTCTCGGCGGCCTGATGATCTCTATCCTCTGAATGTGATCGTCTTCGTAGTCAAGAACTCCTCCAGTCCATCCGTGCTTCCGAATCGCCCGTAGCCGCTGTTCTTCACACCTCCGTGCGGCAGGGCTACCTCATCGTGCACCGTCGGTCCGTTGATATGCACCGCCCTAGATTATAGTAGATCAGCGTCAGTCAACCGTGCAGCCACCGGAGGAATTTCATGCTGCATACCCGCTCTCGATCAATTTCGCAATCCTGATGCCCCTGGCCACATCTCTCGTCCAAACCGCCGCCGAGAGTCCATAATCGGTATCATTCGCCATCCTGACGGCCTCGGCCTCGTCCGAGAACTCGGCCACCATCACGACCGGGCCGAAGGACTCGGTCCGCCACAGCGCCATGTCCGTCGTGACGTCGGTGACGACAACGTTGTGATGCTCGTTAGGGTTGGAGGGGTTCTCGAGCGTCGGGTGCAGTGTCGCGCCGTGCTTCACCGCGTCGAAGAGCAGCTCCGACACCCTCTTGGACCCCGCCGATTGGATCAGCACTTGCGACGTGCCGTACATCTTCGTCACGCCGGCTTTCAGCGCCGTGGTAAACGCTGCCGCGATCGACTTGTGCACTAGGATCTTCTCGCAGGACATGCAGATCTGGCCAGCCTATGTTTTGAAGCCCATCGTTAGTATTTATGCACGCATCGCTGCACCTCATCGGCCAGGGAAAACAAAAACGGAACGGAATGCACATGATGAAAAGCGCCAAAAACGCCCGCCTCGGCGGCCTTCGCCAGATCCGCGTCCTCAAACACGATCATAGGGGCCTTCCCTCCGAGCTCGAGGGTGACCGGCTTCAGATTCTCACCCGCCAGCGCCGCGATCTTCCTTCCGATCGGTGTGGAGCCGGTGAAGTTGACCTTGCGCACGGCGGGCGCCTGGATCAGCGCCGTGGTGATCATTGGCGCGTTCTCCCGCGAGTGGCCTAGCAGGTTGACGGTGCCCTTCGGGAACCCGGCGAGCTGGAATACCTCCGCTACGAGGAAGTGAGTGCGCGGTGATAGCTCGGACGACTTGAAGATCACGGTGTTGCCCGCGGCGAGCGGGAAGACGATCGCGCGCACGGCGAGGATGATCGGCGCATTCCTAAATTTTGTCAATAGACTGAATGGGGGAGGGGGGAAACGTGGAGGAGGAGGAGGAGGAGCAGGACGACAGACCATGGCGCAATCGCAAGCACAACACCATACGGCTCCTTCAGGATCAATACTGTAGCATCCGAATCGCTCTCTGGAATCCGGCCCTCAATCGAGGTGACCCTACTAGCGACACCCTTGAGCACGCCTGCCGCATTCGAAACGTTGAAGCCAGCCCAGCCGTCGTCGGCGGCTGTCTCCGCCATCATAGCCGCCTTCAGCTCATTGGCCCTCTCCTCTAGCAGCTGCGCCGCGCGGATTATCAGATCGCGGCGCTTGCTAAACTTTGTGGCCCTCCAACCAGGCAGCGCCGCAGTCGCCGCCGCAACTACCGCCTCCACGTCCTCGAGCGACGCGGAGGCACCGTTCCACAAGGCTTCGCCGGTCGCCGGACTGTACACGGGGAACGAGGCGCCCGTCGAGCCCGTCGTCGTCTCGCCGTCGATCAGGAATGGAACCGTGAAGGAGGTGTCGGGCTTCATCTTGTCTTGTCTTGTCTATCTGGATTCGCTAATGGGGATTGGCTTTCGTCATTCGTGGCGGGTGCCGTGGATCTTTATAGCCCCCACATGGTGGACCTCCGTTACGCCCGTGATGGCTTGCCGTCGCAGGACCCTGGAGGCGAAATGTGGGGCAAAGGCGTTAGTTAGCTAAAGCCGGCGCCGGACGAGATGCCCATTGCCTTAGATGCGCTAGGGATACCGTCATTCTTACGCATCTCATCGCCCCGGATATATGCTTTATCCACGAATAATCTTCCACAAAGCTCGGTGATCTGTATTACTTCAACTCTTTAGAACATTTTACCACTCGGAATGCATCCGTACATACAGGTGAGCAGATACGGTACCTGTCTTGGTAGATGTGCGTATGTGGGGTACAGTTTATGCACTAACGTTGAGACAGCTCTAGCCTGATGCGCTAGCATCGCCATTCAACCGATCATCTGCTCAAGTAGCCGAGATCGTAGCGCAGTTTCGGTCCAAAAGTGAAGTCAAAAATGGATGAAAGTTCAGCCCCGCTTTCTACAGGATCCCGCGACCACTGACCACTGATCAGTGACCATATCGATGGTGGACGCCGCCACAGAACGCTGCCGAACCAGAGGACGATATGCAGCTAGGTGAAGCCAAGCCCAACGGGTTCTATGTATGCACATATGTACCGGTACCTAGAGTATGTACTTACAGAATGACAGGTGCAATGCTGAGAGGCCTATGGATGGGAGGTGATTAAAGAATCAATCGATTCAAGAGCAACAGCAGAAAACTTCAAAGGGTGATGAACTGATGTACTGATGAGGATTGATGACCAGAGAACAACAACAACAGGTAGACAGAAGTAGTGACAACAGAGGCAGGTAAACGTTGGATGACCGCATCGGGTCTGGATCAGGTCCCACCGGGACTCAACAAGGTCTCCTCTCTCCGACGATCGCCGATGGTCACAAGCCGCCTCTGCCTCCGCGCCCCCTCAATGCCTAAATACGAGTTCCTTTGATCATTGATGATTTGTAAAACGAGCTTCTCGTATTGTACACTTATGGCTAATAGTTACACTGCACATTGCAGACACCCGAGCCCGCGCTTATCAATCTTGCAACGGCGCTACGTATTCAACTATTAGTTACCGGTAGATCTCGGTGACATGAAAGCAGTGCCGAGCCTTATATATGCTTCGGCGGAGTCCCCCGGCCTTACGGAAGGCTTCCGTGATACTTACCTATCACTTTATGTTCTGGTACCTGCCCGAAGTGAATCATTGCTGTTGGTTGTTGGAGGAAGTTGGGCGGACGGAAGGCGGATATAACTCTGTTGATGCCGTGACTGGTACCGGTCGGCGGTAAGTGGTAGAGTGCTTATATACCTGCTTAGGTCGAGAACGGGCTATCGCAGCCTGCAGGCGCCGGAGGATAGGTTAGTTGAAGATCGGCATGGACTTTGCTGGAGACGAGATGATTCCTGCTGATCCTGGGGGAGGGCTGCGGCGGTGGGCTGATACTTGCATAGGGTATGTATTTGCGTATAAAGACACATACATCCGGTTCTTCACGGTGATTTGAAAGGCCATGAGGCTGAACGCAATGGTGCCAAAGGTCATACAATTTCCGATACAAGAGACTACATAATCCATCTCCCTCTCCCTCTCTAAGCAAAGCCGCCATTGACCCTAATATTCTGCCCCATCGTCCAGCCCGCCTCCTTCTGGCACAGGAACACCACGACCGCAGCGATATCCTCCGGCTCGCCGATGCGGCCCGCTGGGCTCATCCCCTCAAACATCTCCACGACCTGCTCGGTCTTCCCCTTAAGGAACAAGTCCGTCCTCGTGGGGCCGGGACTGACACAATTGACCGCGATGCCCCTACGGCCTAGGTCCTTACTCACGCCCCTGACCATTTGCTCAATGGCGCCCTTGGTGCTGACATAGAGCGTGTACGCGGGGGTGAGCACGCTCGCGGCCGTCAGGCTCGTCGAGAAGAACACGATGCGCCCCTCGCCGTCGGGCATGTGCGGCGCCGCCGTCTGCGAAAGGAAGAACGGGCCCTTGACGTTGGTGTTGTAGCAGCGGTCGAAGACCGCCTCTGTCGTGTCGCGAAGGTCCGCAGACGGCATCCACCCCGCGTTCAGCACGAGGAAGTCGATCTTGCCGTATCTTGCGACTGTGTCCGCCACGAGCTTCTGGCACGCCGGGACGGAGGAGACGTCGGCTTGTAGCAGAAGGTGCGTGCTTGGGTTCGGCAGCGTAGATAGAAGCAGCTCGGCTTCGGGCTGCGAGGAGCTGAAGTTGATCACTACGCTGGCCCCCTGCGCGGCGAGGTTCTTGGCGATGGCTGCTCCGATGCCCTTGGAGCTGCCGGTTACGAGGGCGACTTTGCCGGTGAGAGACATGGTGCTGTAGTGGTGGTGGTGGTAGTGGTGGTGGTGGGCTCGTTGGAGGAGTGGGAGTGAAGTGAAGATGAAGTTGAGGCTGTAGCTGTAGATGTTTGGATCTGATGATGAAGCTGATGATGAGCTCAATAGTCAGGACATCACATCGCTTTTATGTCTCCCTCCCTTCTTCCTCCATCCCTCCCTCCATCACTCCCTTCCCCGGAGACATTGAACTCCAAACACACCTCCGCCGGCGATACGGCCGAATCGAATCCACGGCGCCTTCACCGGGAGGCCTAGGTACGTATCTTCTCAGGCCCACCGACCGACCGACCAACCCCGCGCCGCCCCGCGCACACCACGTGCGGGGATTTCGATAACCCGGACCTTACTCCATTATCCCCGCGCACAGCGCAAATACACGGGCACACAGCGTAGGCACACAGACAAACGTTTTTGTGCAACGCGGATATAGATCGTTAGCCGAGTACATTAGAGTAGGTTAGAGTATGTAGGGATGCGCATTGCTCGTTGCTCATTGATCGCTGCTCGCTCACCGGGCACCCGCTGCGGAATCTCCGGGGCACACCAGCAGACATATCCGGCTCCGGCTCCGGCTCCGGCCCTGGCCCTGGCGGCTGACTGTGCATTGCGCCTTAACAAAAACTCCGGGTTCGTACTCGGTGAGTCGGTGGGTGTGTAGTGTGAACTGTGTGTTTCACAGTGTCATCCTTTCTGTGGGCCATGCTATGCTATGCTCGAGTGCGTGTCCGCCATAGATCTACCTTGGAGTAGGCAAATTACGGTATTACATACGGTCTGGGCCCGGGTAACACTAGGAATATATACGTACCGGTAACACAGCATACCCACCGGTATGTAACCATGTGCTTACCTATTGCACGAGATCCCCTGATCACACAGCGGATATGATATATCCCCGCCGCGTGAGATACTTCCGAAGGGCCTTCACTACAATGCTTAAGGCCGGCGGGGTTAAGCGAATCAGCCCTATGGGCGGCCTCTAGTTATCCCCGCATCTACATACGCTTGGACATGATTTACGACGCACATGTTTAAGCATAGGCAATACTTCGCGGTGGAACATGAAGGGGACAATGATTCGGGAATACAATCATGACCGGACTTAGCACCACCTCCGATCTGTCCATGCTCCATTCCTTCACATGGTCCATAGGTACAGCAGCAAAAAATTCATTATATCCTCCATCCCCCCCTCCCCGCCGCCTTTAACTACCACTTCTCAACCCCCGTCCTCAAATCGACCTCCCAAGTCAGTGCCCTCTTATCCTGCGTATGCAGCCACCAATACGCGTCCGCAATAGCGTCCGGATCAATAAGCCCCTTTTCATCGACGCCCTTAAACATCTCCCTGATCCTGGGGGTATCAATCGGGCCATCAACGATGACGTGCGCGACATGGACCCCTCTTGGCCCAAACTCTTTGGCCAGACTCTGTGCCAGCGCGCGCTGCGCCCACTTCTGCGTCGCGAACGCCGCGCTCTCGGCATTGGCCTTGACCGACGCCGTCGCCCCCGTAAAGATCAGCGACGGCGTGTAGGCACCGGCGGTGTCCGAAGCTCCAGCGGTCAGCAGCAGCGGTAGCGCGTGCTGCGAGAAGAGGAACGGGCCGCGCCTGGTCACCCTCTGGTATCAGCACCACCCCCAGCATCCCTCCTCCCCCCCGCACACCCGCAGCAAAAGGAGAACTCACCCCCCCGTAGCCCACCCACTCTCGAACTCGTCAAGACTCAGCTCCAAAAACGGCTTTTTCACTCTGCTCGCAACATTGTATACCGCGGCAGCGAGCGGACGGTCCGCGTACGCCTCGCGGATTCGCCCGAACGCTGCCGCAATGCTGACCGGATCTGTTACGTCCGTCGCCACCGCGATCCCGTCCCCGCCGATGGACGCAAGGATCTGCTCTGCTGCACCCGAGGTCCGCGCGAGAAGCGCCACGGTGTAGGTGCGCCCGAAACGGGCGGCCAGGGAGGCACCGGTGCCTGGGCCGACGCCGGCGATTATGGCGAGGGGCTTGAGGAGTGGCATGGTGAGGGGTTGGGGGAGGGGGGGGGGGGGGGGGGTAGGTGGTGGTGGTTTCTGCTGTTGGTTGGGAAGTGGTTGTTGTTGTTGCGTACGATGGATGATGGATCTCTACCCGATTGCGGGGTGGGGTATGGAGAGTTTATACTTACGCACTTACATACCACGATACCGAAGGCTGAAGCTGATTTGAAATAACTATGCGGGCAATTGCTGGGCCACCTATGCCCCGAGTCCAAAGCTGATTTGAAATGCCCGGCGGCGGTGACGTGCTCACTGCTTGACAGGTAGTTAGATATAGTAGAGCTTTGGTTCAATGCAATTCTTTGATTATCGATCAACCGCGGTTAGTTATGTAGATAGGCTGCGCAAAGTAGAGTAGAGTTTGTGGGGTGGTGCATATTGGACGATGCATATGGAACCATGGATGCAAATGGATGGCCGGATGAGGATATACTCGTGCGAATGATGGACATTGGAGATAGGTACCGCCAATCAGCCACGTGCGACGGAATAGGTAGCTGGAGCACGGCATAAACAGAACGTTCGACGACGGAGTCCCGTCGAGCTATGTCGGCATCGGCGCATCGCTAGACACTTCCGTGGAACGCGGGGACGTCAGGTACATGAGTACATAAGCACTTAGGTAAGGGGCTGCCATGTCGGGAAGAATGGTCGGATGCACTGGAGACAAAACAACAAGACACGAGTGACGAAGCGGCATCAACAGTCAGTAATTCATCATTCGATTGTCGCCCATAGCCTCGCAAGCGTAGTGCAGTAGAGACAGGAAGGGGTATATACATCAGCATCAGCATCAACATCAACATCCATCCATCGACATCGCCCATCATGGTACAAAAATAAACCAAAAATAAAACACATGCACAAGCCCAAAACATTCCCGCTAAACGCTCCCACGCAATGCCTCGTATCGTTCCTCATCATTCGTCATAAAGTCTTATCCAGTGTCCACCATTTACAGCGTCGACCACAGCGCCACAGCCGCAACCATCACGACCCACCAGACCTTCTCAACGGCGGCCTTCGAGCTGCCGCCACCGTCGCTGGTAGTCTGATCACGCACTCCGAGCGGCAAGTTCTGCCAGCCAAAGGTGACACTTTGCGGCACGGTAGTGTTTACGCAATCGCCGCTGCCAAAGTCGAGGCCGGCGAGGTCATCAGGGGTTCGGAAGAACATGTACTTTGCGCGGTCGAGGCCGTTGAAGCCGCTAGTATCGTACGGGAACCTGTTCGCACTGTCGGTGGCGGAGACGTTGCGCAGCAGGATGCACTGGACGTTGGCGTACGCCTTTGCCACCTCCGGGTAGCCGCTCATCACGTCGGAGTTCGTCGTGTCGCCGATGAGCACGAAGCGGCGCCGCGGGAACGTCCGCAGGATCCGCTCGAGCAGGAATTTGCGCACCGCGAACGTCTGCTCCACCGTCGTGAAGTTCAGCGGCCGCGTGTCGAATGAGCCCAGAGGGTACGTGTTATAGATGAACTCGGCGTACTTGCGCGTCGCCTGCTGCGGCGTCGTGGTCAGGTAGTGGAAGTGGTACGGCTGGTCGGGGTACTGCGCCTTCCACTCGGCAAAGCGCTGCGGCATGTTCATCCACGGAACGAAGTCGCGCGCGAACGAGTTGAGGAGTCCCTCCGTCGGCTGGTAGATCTTGGTCACTCGCAGGATGTCGTCGATGTCCGAGAGCACAATCACTCCTTCCGGGGGAACGAGATACACCGTCGAGTTGCCCGTGTCCGTCCCTTGGGTGTGCATATCTAGCTGCACGATGTCACTCACCTGCGAGCCGTCGGGAAGCCATGTGCCGGTACCACCGGTGGGCTCGATGGGGACCGACACGAAGCCGTCGATCTCGCCTCTGGCATCCGTTTCCACTGGCCAAACGACCCTCCCCGTCCACGGCGATAGCGCGGACGTGCTGTTCTGGCCGGGACGGACTTTGAGATGGAACTCGAGCTGCTGGCCATCGACCGGCAGCGACAGGATGGCCGAGGTCAGGTTGCGAGCGTTCGTTTGCTCGTTCGGCTGCAGCTCCGAAACGTCGAAGTCGGGCAGGAACACATTGGCCGCTCGATCGAGGGTGCTGGTCGTCACGATGCTGCTGTCGTTGTCGAACGCGAACGGTTCTTTGTACGCCCACGCGTGGAAGCGGACGTTCCAGGCATTGTCTGACCAGTTCGCATACGCCCTTTGACACACAGAAACACATCAGTTCCCAGAAGTCATGACAGCAACAACAATGGACGTGGAGACATACGGCATGTTGAGAACCTTCACCGGCAAGCTGTTGACGGCATCGTCACTGATTCTCAATTCGCTTTGGATCCGGTCGGTGTTTGGAATCCAGCTGAAAAAATCGGGCAGAATTCCCTGCGAGCGTCAACACGAGAGCTCGGTGCCGACCGACAGAGAAAGAGATATATCTATCTTGTTCATACCTGGGCGATGTCGTCCAGATTGATCCCACTGAGGAGGTTATTGATAACGTCGGAGAGGGCACGACGGCGAAGCTGGCCATCCCTCCGCTGCAGCAGATCCGCTAGATCATTGGGATCTGCTGGAGACGCGGACGCTACGGCGGTGAGAGCGCTCACGAGGATAAACGATAGCCGCATCACTGGAAACACGGGGGGTTGGTAGTATGGACGAAGAAGGACGAAGGTTTTGACGGTGAATGGAGCAGAGAAGATCTTTCGGCATCTCAGACGCACTGCAAGCAAGCAGAGCAGAGCAGAGCACAGCAGCAAAGCGGGAAAGCACAGCACAGTACGTACATAGGCGCCAACGTCATCGGACCGGAAAAATGAACAGCAACACGAACCAGTTCAGTTCCCGGTGGCCACTGGCTGGGCTCGCGGCAGCGCTGTGCTGCCAACCAACAGACAGGGGGATGTTCCCACTCGAGTGGCCGCTGTTTATCCCCGACGCTACCATGTATGCCTGCGAGAACAGCCACAGAATTCCTGATCCGGGCAGCCCATTCCCCCAAAAGTCCACACAAAACACCTCGCTGCGTTTCCAGCCACCAAATTAATTTGTTGAAGAAAAAAAAAGAGGGCTGGTGATCGATGCTAGGCCACGTCAGGACGAAGCTAGAGTACTCTATGTACCAGGGCGGCGCCACGGAGCGAAACAAGCGACATAACGTGCCGTGCGACAATTGGTCCGTCGGAATCACATCACTAGTCATCTACGGGAGACAGTTCCATTTGGCTGGGAGTCGAATTGAATCCCGTGGTAGCACCCGGCCGCCGATCCGAGCTTTTTATTGTTTTCGTTTATTCGACCGATGTCGCCGATCCGATGCTTCTATGAGAATCGCCCGCACGGTGTGAGAGAAACCCATGCGTGGCGAAGTACCATGTAGAGTACTTAGATTACTTCCTATGTAGATCCAAAAGTTCTAGCCCCGGCGAGTGGTCCGCCGTGTAACTCCGGACGCCTGTTCCGCGCGATCGACCGCGAAACCCACACACTGCGAGTATACGCCACATGTCTCGATGAAGATGGCTACAGTACATACCAGGCACAGCCGATAAGTTGTGTCTCACCACCACTGCGACTTATAAGCGCAAGGCGAGGCACCACTTACCCTTACATGCGAGTACAGTGGCGAAACTGGCGCAGCCGTGAGAAATAGGTACGGTACGAAGTATAGGCATCGTAGAACAATAGATCGCTATTATGTATTGAGGAGAATACTATTTGCACAGTACCTACAAGACTCAATTCAGCACCGATCACCAACTACGTTCGAGAACGGCGGGTGATGGGCCATGAAGTGGTCCGTTTCTATGATACATACCGACGACACCAGAATCCCACTGTACGGAAGTCACTGTGGCTGATTGCTATGAATGATCGAAAGTTACTGCACTGGGCACCTACATACATGTACATGTTTTCGGCTCGTGGAGCAGTAACGTCGGCGGTCGCGGGCGATCGCGGGCGATCGCAAGTGGCTACGTAGACGCAATCAAAACCTCGACGGAGCGAAGCTGCGAAGCGCGACGATGGCGGGTTCGTCAGGGTTGAAGATCGTGAGGGCTGTGAAGGTACACATGAGCGTATCTACACACATATAACGTGAGCGATTATACGCACATACGATCAGACTTGCGAGGTAACCAGGTACCGGTACCGGTACTTATATATAACGAAGACCGATAACGACCCGTGGGCGGTGCACGACTGCCCACTAGGATTTCTGCGCTTGGAGCGGACAGTGCGGATATGTAGGTAGCGAATTCCTCTCGACGGCCCGGTTCTCCTCCCGCTTCTAACTTCTCTGCGACGAACGCACCATGCTCCCGCTTAGCGAGGGCGATGGCAAGGGCGCTTTGACCGTTAGTTCTCATACGAAATCACTCGTAAAGCGAGTGATGCCGCGTACATGGTCGATAGTAGAACCGATTCAGTGCTCATACTGAGGTGCAGAGGTGGGGTAAGTAGGTACCAATCGGAAATAAAACTTTCACCGTCACTACCCCCACTATCCGGGCTCCGATGGGTGTGCAAATGTACACACCGCGCAGCCTCTTGCCGGTACTGGAGTCTGGAGGGTCTTCACTTCATGAGTTCATCTTCATCCGTAGAAAGTAGGAACCTTAACTCCTCTGGTGAATGGCTGATGGCTCGCTCGCAATTTCCTCTTCCGCAAGGCATGATGCCCATCAATCGGACTCATGGGGGTGCATACGTCCAAAGTCCACACAAATTGCGCGCAACTCCAGATTTTCGAAAACCTCAATTCTGAATAATTTCTCCCAGAGACTTGCGCTCATCTAGCCGGTCCGGAGCTCTATTAATATTACTCATTATATATCCTTCCCGTAGGAAATTAACCGGCTATATACCGCCAGCCATCCCCCTCTTTGTGAGTCCTCCCATCAACGACAACGCGTAGCAGTAGCGTTGTTGAAGACAATCGCGTTGGGAGATCCTGGGCCAGGACCGATGACCCTGCCCCTAGTCGCGACGTCGAGCAGGAGCTCCGTGACCTCGCAGGGGGTCAGGGCGCCGAACAAGCCCAAGAAGTAAGCGACGACGCCGGCGACGAACGGGGAGGCCATTGAGGTTCCGCTCAGGACGGCGACCGCATCGTTGCTGCCGATGTAAGCGGACAGAATGTTGACGCCGGGCGCGAAGAGGTCGACGCTGGGCCCGAAGTTGGAGAACCCGGCGCGGACATCCGTGGTGGGGTCAATGGCGGCGACGGTGAGCGCGATGGGTACCGACGCGGGAGAGTAGTTGCTCGCTTCGGCGTCGCTGTTGCCGGCGGCGACGGCGATCGGCAGGCCGCTGTCGATGGCGTTGTTGACGGCTAGGTTCAGCGCGGCTGAGCGGAGCGAGCTGAGGGACATGTTGGCGACGGACGCGCCGCGGCGCCCCTCGTTGGCGGCGTCGGTGGCGGCGTATTGCACACCGGCGATGACGCCGGAAAGCGTGCCGAAGCCGTCGGCGCCGAGAACTTTTATGGCGAGGAGCTCGATCTCCTTGCAGACTCCGAAGTCCCGGCCGCCGATGATGCCGGCAACGTGCGTTCCGTGGCCATTCTCGTCGGTTGGGACGCCGTCGACAAAGTTGGCGACGTTGATGGCACGGCCTTGGAATTGCTCGTGTGTGGCAAGGACACCCTAAGGGAAAGTTCGACATCAGAACAATGCAATCACCCTCTTCAAGTGTTTGGAATGGTAATAAAAGCTTACAGTGTCGATGACGTATGCGGTGGTGCCATTACAGTTGTCGGCATCGGCGCTGTAGACGTAGTTCACTGACGGTCTGCGGTGCGAAATGCGTCCGAGACCAGGGCCAGCGTCGAATTGGGTGATCTACGGGATGGTTAAAAAAAATGCGATTATTAGCAAGTCAACGAATCAAAGAGGGAAGGCTCCCCCCACACACGCACACAAACTTACCAGGGGATTGGCGGCGCTGACAACGCGATCGGGTTCGATGTAATTGACCTCAGGACGAGTGGCAATCTCCTCAATGGTCTTGTTGTCGAAAGTACCAACGTATCCCTTCATGGTTCCGAACAGGTACGTGTGCTTTAGAACCCCCTCGGGGAACTCGCCGTTGCCACTCCCCTTCGCGACACCGGGGGATTGGATGCCTGCGGCCCAACTGCAGTGCGCTTCGAATTCCGGCTCCGGGGTTTCGGGTTTGAGCATGACGATATAGGCACCTTCGATGATATCTCCGGTGGCAGCCAGGGCTCCCTGGAGCGCTGCCGCAAGAATCAGAAGTGACGGGAAGAACTGCATGATTTGAGCCGATACGAAGGAGTCGGAGAGAACCTGAGGATGTGATGAACGGAATCACCGTGGAGACAGTCTGCTATTTATCCAGCGGACAACGGAGTGCCATCCTTTGATACATACGGCTGAGAAGCTCGAAGCATACGTGTATGTACGTGAGCCAAAATATCTCGAGCAGGCTCCACGGAAGCACCGATCTTGCGACGCCAGGGTCTGTCGCGGTGGAGCGGTGGGGGGCCCCAGAGCGTGATCGTACACCCCGCGAATGAGGGGTTCTCCATCTCCTCCACACGCGTGGTGGTGGATGATTGCGTTGGAGGATATAAATAAGCTTCGTGGTCCAATGCCAAAAATCCCCGCGCTGCACGGGATTTGACGTGATAGGATCAAGGAATGGCGGGCGGAGTGAGTTCCCTGCTGCCGAACGCAGATGTTAGGTTCGGCCGGCTACATACATATGTAGAGTACTCGCCGCTGGCCTGCGCATGCAAGGACGGCTCACGAATGCACGCTCATCTATCATTGGATATTGTATAGCTTCAGCTCGGCTGCGAAGCTTAGCGAAGCTTAGCGAAGCTCGAACGCGCTACTCCTCGAGACGACAAAGTGGGTTGGGCAAATATTACCGTCCAAGTACCTTCTCGGTGAACAGAGTTCGGCTCCAGTACATACTGTAGGTTGAGATTCCTCGAAAGGACACATCCAGCTTCCGGGGAGACCACCGGCAGATCGATCTTGACTCGCTACCGTTTGGCTACTGCAACTGGCTTCCGGCTTTCCTTCCTTTTGTCCATGCGGTTTCTTTTGCTTTCGGATGGTTGGTTGATTCGGACTTCCCCATCAAGTGACACAAAAGTGTGTTCGGTACTCGAATGTTACTGGTACTTGTCTGCCGGGACGCAAGTGGTTCTGTCGGTTGGTGTGTTTTCTTTTTTTCCCCAAGGTGTTTCTTTTGTTGGGCACCAACTCGTTATTCTGAGGCGTCCGCGTCGAAATCAACGTCCACCACTACCGCCACCGTGGCCTGCTCATGAGGATGGATCCGAACACTCAGTTGAGGCAATTGGATGCCAATTGGCCGAGTTGTCAGATTCAATTCCTGTTCACGGACGGTCACTCTCGCCAAGAAACTCACCACACGAGACGAGAACATCTCAGCCTCCCATACTGCCATGATCCAGCTACTATTAGTAATAGGTCGCATGCAATCAACGAGTAAACAAAACAAAAAACCCTTCGCGTCTCCGCATCCAAGTATCCTGCACATTCGAGTACATACCAGCCGCACGCCCTCTACATGCGTGCAAAGTACTTAGGAGCTGCATGCATGCATGGGCACTGGGCAGTTGGTGGCAGCATCGCCCAACACCTGGCGGGTTCCTCAGCTCTGTCCATCATCCAATGGGTTCAATGATCTGGGCACAATCGACATAGTTATGTGGAGTACCTACTGCCCAAAGTATCCGTAAGTTCGCTTATGTACCAAAGAAATCTCCTTTCCTTGCTTCGATGTCTTGCGCCGGTTTGACTGCGTAAGCCACATACGAGTTTCGATTCTGTTGGGCGGCCCCAGAAGCAGCAAAAAGAACGTACGTACGCACTGCGTACATACACAACTTCCCAGCTCGAAGAAACTCTAGCCTTGCGTCCATCCAGAGTATGATTCGTATGAGGGTTGGGAACACATGTGGTGGGTGTCTGCGTGTGTACACTTGAGTGAAGCTGGTAGAGCCGCCTAACGATTGGTCCGACGTATGCAGTGATCTAATGCACACGGTCAGTCCGTCTGTTATTGGGGTAGGGGTAGGACTGGATTGCATGACGGAGTTTGTTTCAAGGCTGCGGTACGTACCACGGTAGTCCTGGGAAGTTTCGAGTGATCAACCTTTTTGGGTGTTCGTCGTCGTCGAATTGCACAAAGTTCAAACTAGAGTACCTAGCTCCTGATCCCTCTCAGCCACGTGACCTAGGTAGTTAACTGAATGTCTCTGTACCATAAGTCGACGAGCTTCTTAGTAGTCTTGAAGGTCCTGGAGATGTCGTTCATAGGTTTGGCTGTCCCACGGAGCCAGTGTATCGATAGTAGCAGCTGCAGAAGTTGATATTTGCCCGGGTTTGATGCCGTCGGCTGTATCTTCCGTCGTGTACGTCTTCTCGCCGTATGCTTTATCCGCCGTTAGTTAACGACCTTATCCGCCGTTAACGTACTTCTCCGCCGTGTACGTGTTTCTCCGCCTTCTACGTCCGTATCCGCCTTCTACGTCCTTAGCCGCCGTGTACGTCCTTTCACTCGATAGTACTAATGGGGGTATTCGGGGCTTTTCAAATTTCCGTCAATCAGTCTAAAGATATCCGAGTTTAGCGCACCAGCCGAGAGACCACAGAACGGGTGTGGTCAAATAAAACGTGATCAATTAACAAAAGGTCTATGCAGATGATGATGTCTGTTGTGTTGAAAAAAGAGACGGACCGACAAGAAGAACAGAAAACATTTCAACGTTCAACGAACGCATCGGGTCTGCCCTACATAACACATAGGTCCCACCAGGTCCCGCCTGGTCCCAACAAGGTCTCTCCTCCAAAATACAAGGTCTCAACAAGGTCTCTGTCGTCTGCCACCGCCATGAGAGGAGCACATGTAGAATAGATGGCGGATCCGATAAAATCGGAGGGGAGGCTGGTCGAATCGGTGGATCCGAATGGTGGTGTCAGCCGGACTAGCCGGATCGAGTGACACCGAACGTTGTAGGCAGCGGGGGAGAGCCGTATTAGATGGCTCTTCGAAGTTGAATACAACCTCAACTTCTTCATTATCTATCTTTTGTTTTCGCCGTCTCCCTCCCGTGCTCACCAATGCCGCTAAGCCGCCTTCTCCTTCGCGCCCCTCAATAGCCAACTAAGACCCCATATCTCCACACTTCTGGATGATGTGAGAATCGGATGTCGATTTGGGACTCTGCTCGGCAAAGGTGCTTTCCAGAATGCCCGCAGCAACACGGGTCCGGATTATTGTCATGATACCTTCCTCGGACTCCGAGTGAGCTCCTTTCAAGTTTGAAGCTCTCATGTCGCCCACCGGGAACTATTGGCTTACTCATATTCGTGTCAGCATCTACTACCTAGGCTGCTGGGCACGGCATGGCTGCACTCCACTCTTCGCTTCAGGCACAAGGCACGTGTCTCGGAAGCTGGGATGTGGATTAGACTTTGATCTAGCTGACCTGAAAAGAGCTCCGCCGCATTTCAACAAGACACAGCAAACTCTTTGTGAACTAGTCCTCTCGAAACTAGTCCGTCGGCCTTCACCGGACCATGGTCGTGCTGCTCTCGAAGCCACCGCAACCAGGCCGCACCCACCGCACTCACCGCATACGTATGGGGCCGCCTCCGCTCTAACCTGTGAGGCAACACCATGCGAAACACATCTCCTCGGATCCACAGTGGACATTTCTCCGTCGCGCTAAAGTGCTGACTCACCAGTAACTTCCGGTAGTGCTCACCGCAGCGATACGTCCAGGGGTGCCTTTGCGGATGGCAAGGCAACCACCGGACTCAAGAGTCAAGACCGGGAAACGGGGCCGTGGTACTCCGAGTACGGGGGAATGCGCATATGTAGTAAAGCTGCAATAGACGCAATCTTGACACCTGATGACAATGCAACCCAGGTGCCGCTCTGGCGGACCGGAGGAAGTGTTTTTTGCCCAGGAAGGCCCAATTCTGACAGATGTGCCGGGGGATTGACACCGAACCGTGTGCTCGAAAGGCCGGCTGCCACTCAAAAGCCCTCAGCCACGATCTGTCGGTTTAGTCTTTTCGGATTCTGGAAAGTCGCTCGCTACTAGTAGCGGATAATTCCGCAAATGGCCCCCGCGTCAGCCTTACTGGTGTCCGTTTTCGCCGCGCGTAACTCTGTCAGTGGTCTACCGGACCGTCAGTCCACATTTCCTCGAACGTCCCGGACGGCCGTGAGCTGGTTGCGTGGAACCTCAGGAGCACGTCTGCAACACCAACTGTTTTGGATGCGAACGAAGAATTCGAAGGGGACTCTAACTGAGTATGTAGCTATACATACGATGGTGGATAACTATATTTGTGGGTCTTAATTGTCACCGCAGGGGCCATGATCTACTGGTGGATAGCTATTTGCCTATGTCTGTGGGTCTCAATTCTCGCCGCTTGGGCCATGATCTACTATTTTCCGCTCATCAGTCAATATAACGTAGCCCTGTGAGGCTGGACAGTGGACACATACTATCCTGCAATTCCCTCCGGAATCGAACAAAGCAATTTCAATCCGACTAGGGATTCATATGCACTTCTCTTCAGGCTGTTGAACCTGGCACCCGATGTGGGTTGTGTTTGTGTACCTGCATACCGTACACAGCTAGCGCATGTCTATGTATCCTCACCGGCGATCACGCGCAGCCAGGATCTGATAACCGGCCCCGTCTATTCCCTCCTTTTGTGCTGACACTATGTTGCAATTTGCCTAGTCGTGGGCATGGACGTGCACAACACCCTCACCCAGGACTACAATTTACCGCACAGCAGCAGGGGAAAGACGGGTACTGCTTTAAGGGATGCCTGTTGCCTGCGCCCAAATGAGGCACGGCTGTCACAACCCACGTTGCCATTGCGCCGATGTTGCAGCGCTATTACCACAGCCATCACCCCGGAGAGAAGCCCCCCCGGGTGGGGTTGATGGGCAACAAGCCCGAGGGCTGCCCCCTTTCCAGGGGTTCCGTACACGGAAGGATGTCGTCTAAATGCTGGAATGCCCGGCTTGTAGTTCCATTGGAGTCCGAATATACATGGAGGTCCTATGACGGTGGGGACTATTTTGCAATCCTTCCACCTCGACGACGACGACTATGTGTCCGTGAAGACCGTTCGCCAATATCCGACCTCAATACACTCATTTCGTTCGATCGTTACGGTTAAACAGTCTTCACTACTATACACTCATTCCTGGCACTGTCTTTGGCGGTACTATAGTCCACATGGCCGTCGCCACAGCAGAAGATGTGAACACATTCACTACAATCGTGTGTTCCCTCGTACATCCATCTTGAAGTCCTATGCTAACCAGAAACCCATCCAGACCACCCCGCAAGCCGGCTTCAATGCACCAACCGCAATCGTCTTCGATACCGCAGCGGTGCCCACCGTATCGGCCTCAACGAGTACGAAAGCAGTCATTCCTACCGCTACCTCCTCCAGCGCATCCGCTACAGCCTCTTCTTCCTCCTCTGGAACGGGACCTATCCCCACGGGTGCCATCGTGATCCTCGTCGTTAGCGGCGTGGTATTACTATCGCTCGCCATAATCGGTGTCGCCTTCTACATGCGCCACCGTCGTCGGCGACGACACAACCGCATCTCGCACTCGGCGAGCCCATTCGGGCCCAAGGGATCGGGCGGCGTATCTCTAGGCTCCCTCGCAGACGAAGGAAAATGGACACGGGTAGTCGACGAGCCGTCGCCAGCAGGCGCGCACGTCGAGCCCATGAAAAGCCGGGAAAGCCTCTGGGTCCCCGGTCCCAAGATCGTCGACATCCCACGGCGGCCGCCGCGCGCCGCCGCGGAGCTGGGCGGGGGCTATGGCTATGGCCACAGCATCTCGGAGTTGGGCTCGACGTCGCGCCACAGCGTCTCGGAAATGTCGTCGATAGTCTCGCTGCGGAGTATGGATACGCGGTGGACGAAGGCGCAAGCGCCAGCACCGCTCGGAAGCGCAGAGCTCCCACCGCTCCCAGACCTCCCGGCAGAGTTCGACTTCGGCCTCTCGATGGACTCGACTCCGAACTCGAACACGTATGTGTCGTGGGGTGCAACCGGATCCCCGATCGCATCCCAGGCTGCCCGCGTACCCTCGTGGAATCCCGACACCGTGTTTCCCATCAGGGACTCGCTGCTGTCCGACACGAGGACTTCGCTCTGGGGCCCCGATGCATACCCGATCCGGGACTCGCTGTTGTCCGAGGAGAGGACTTCGACCGTGCCTGACCCGCGGGACCCGTTCAACTACGAGCCCGAACCAAGCGGCGGAAATAGGAGCCCGGTTGGACCCCCCGTAGGCGTGTCGGATTGGATGGCTAGGGGAGGGCTGTTCTTGCCGGAAGAGCGGGCGCGAGACGGGCGGTTGTAGGGGAAGATTCACGAATACCTGATCCACTGGGTACTACACCTACCACCACAACAAGCGTTGTTCAATACTTTCTTTCTTTTTCTTTCTTCTTCACTTTTCATTCACGGTGTGGTGGTGGTAGTGGTGGTAGTGGCTGTGCCGCTGCTTGTTTTGTTGGTAACTTTTATGTATGTGGAGATTAATGTCTTGATTTTCGGCCAGAAATACTTCTGGCATAACTATGAGATCGGAAACGAATTGGGTTTTTTGCTTGCTTGCTTGGGGATATTTTATGCGGAGCCTTTTTGGGAGCGATTGAAGATGGGGCAGATTTTTACGACTTTTTCTTTTCTTTTCTTTTTCTTTTCGAGTGAAAGAGCTGGTCAGATCCAGATACATGTGACCCCAAAGCGGATCTTTTTCTTTTGTTTGTTTGTTTCTCCTGTCTGTCTGTCTGTCTGTCCGGCTGTAACTACCTTCTATAGATACTCGAACAGTGTAGAGCGGTACCTATGATACTTCCTACCTATAGGTGTCACGACACGCACCGTGATGTCGAGAATTGAGATCCGAATGCAACAATTACCTACTTCATACCTGGGTACCTATGATAGTAGGTATCATGGCGACCGCACATGTTTCTGTTTCTGTTTCCATCTGTTTCCATCTGTTTACCCCGTCGTCCGTACAGCGTCCGCCCTCGCTCTCCAAGTGCCACGCTATGCACTCGGGTGTGGGCCCTGTCCCTGTGGCCCTGTGGGGGCGGGACTGGCCAATAATATGAACCGCATCCGGCCGCGACCCCCGCCCCCGACGCCCCCAGCAAGAAACAGGCACCAGGCACCAGGCACCAGGCCCGCCACCGAGTTCCGCTCTATGTATGTAGAGTATGTATCTGCGCAAGATAGATGTTTTCGCTCTTGGAACTTGGAAGTTGGTCGTGTATCTACTGCTGCATATGGAAACTTGGAAAGAAAGAAACAAAGAACAAAAGCAGGGCGCAAGGGGAAGAGCAAGTTAAATTGTAACTTATGTATGGGGAGTTGGGGAATTGGGGAATTGGGGAGTTGGTTACGGCCTTGCAGTACCTATAGTGCAGGGATGGGCCTGCGCATGGCGGAGGCCGAGGTAGGTACCATCTACTCTGGGTACTCTAGGAGGTGGAGCTGGAGATGGAGGCGCGGGGGGCTGGTGGAACAGCTGATATGTGAGGTAGCTTGCGAGGGGGAAATCAATATATCGGTTGTCAAACCGAAATTCAGCCCGGTTCGTAGCTGGCCCGACTAACCGAGCGCCGGGCCGGCCGCTGGGCACTTGCTGCGAGGCGGCGTTGGAGCCACTGACTACCCGTATCTAGTGGAAACGGCCATGTCCACTAACGCCAGCTGCTCGCCCCCACTCCCGAGTCGGGGCTCGCCGCTCCATTGGCTTCCCTTCCATGTTCTCCATGCGCCGCCCTGAGTGATACACCATGCACCAGCCATGCGCACGTGACTACTCCATGCACTGCATATCAAAAAGCCGGGGAACCGGTATATCCTCCAGGCGCGGGCCGAGGGGTCGGTGGCTTTTGTTCCGAAATGGTCGGCTCGCATGACCAACGTCATGGGTGACCCCGCTTCTCGAGTGCTGGGGGGTGATTGTGTGCGGGCAATAAGTGGTTATGCGACCGCAATGGATGGATAGATATCGTACGTACGACTGCAGTTACATACCGCCATCACAGACAGTAGAATACCCAGCAAGAAACTTTACCAACTATGACCCGACCCGCCGCACTCCTCCTCGGCCGCATCGACCACGCCCGCCCCGAATGGGAGGCTTTGAGCGACATTGCGGAGCTCCAGGTGCCGCCGCTCACATTCTACCCGCTGTCCGCTCGTACTGACACCAGCCACTCCCTAGGAATTTTCCAGCGGCACCCTCACCACCTTCCACGCCGCACTCTTAGCGGGCGCGTACTCCAACGTGGTAGCGATCTACCGAACCTTCGACTCGGGTGTGTCACTGACGGGGCCGTTCTCCCGCGAACTGATCTCCGTGCTCCCTCCGTCCGTAAAATTCATCTGCCATAACGGCGCGGGCTACGACCAGATCGATGTTGCGGCGTGCTCGGCGCGCGGGATTGCAGTCTCGCACACTCCGGCCGCCGTTGATGCCGCGACAGCAAACGTCGCCATGATGCTGCTGCTCGGGGCGTTGAGGCGCTCCTGGATCCCAGAGAGCGCGCTGCGCATGGGACGGTGGAAGGGGGAGATGCAGCTTGGACGGGATCCGGAGGGGAAGACGCTTGGTATACTCGGCATGGGTGGTATTGGCAGCGCGGTCGCTCGCCGCGCAAAGGGGTTCGAGATGAGGGTTGTGTACCATAATCGCCGGCCCGCAAGGGAGGATAACGGCGCGGAGTATATCGCCAGTCTCGACGAGTTCTGGGGGTTGTGCGATATCGTACTACCCCTCCCACCTTCCCTCCCCCCTCCCCCCTCCCCCTTCACCCCGTCCGCTAACCACACGACAGATCTCGATCCACCTCCCCCTCTCCACCACCACCAAGCACTTCATCACGCACGCGCAATTCTCGTTGATGAAGCGCGGCGTAGTAATCGTCAATACAGCACGGGGGGCGATAATCGACGAGGAAGCGCTGGTGCAGGCGCTCGAGAGCGGCCAGGTCGGCAGCGCCGGGTTGGACGTGTTCGAGAACGAACCGGAGATTCATCCTGCCCTGATCGGGAATGCTAATGTCGTTCTCCTCCCGCATATAGGCACTGCGACGGTAGAGACGCAGAGGAAGATGGAGTGCTTGGTTGTGAGCAATGTGAGTGACGCCGTGGTGGAAGGGGGAGGGGGGGGGGAGTGATACGACGCTGACAGATATTGGTGGCAGGTCAGGAGTGCGCTTGAGAAGGGGACGCTGGTTACGCAGGTGCCCGAACAGAGGGAGGGGGGCCAGTTTCCTGTTCTGTAGATACTGTACATATCAGGTACATAGCAGAGTTAAGCATTATTCCGCTATCTACTCTAGACGAAACAGGTCCGAGCCGTTTGAGCTTTGGAGTCACATCCGAAACAATTCCTTGTAGATACATCCGACACTCTTCTCGAAATGTCACCCGCCGCAAGACGGAACGGTACCAGTACATAGATCGGACATGCATCAAACCTTCCTCATACATACCTTGACATTCCATGAATCCAGCATGCCGTCCTTCTGGAAGCCCATCATATATTAGACCCCCTCCGCCTCTGGTGTCAGACTAAGTAAACCCACAGCTGCCGGCCAGCCCTCCATCCCACACTCAATCACTCGCACCACCCCACTTACCAAAATGCACCTCTCCCCCCTCCTCCTCCCAATCTTCGCAGCCCTCAGCAGCGCCGCATTTATAACCACCGATAAAGTACGCGACATGGAGCCCGCGGCGGCGATGGAAACGTCGACGGCACAGACTGTGACACAGACACAGACGAGCGGGGCGGCGGGGGGGATGGCGGGGGTGCCGCTGGTGCTGGTGATGGGGATTTTGACTATGGGCATGGGGATGGTGGTACTGGGTACCTAGGTTACATAGGTTACATATGCACGGTACTGGATCGTGCTGTGTGGTCAGCGGTCAGTGGTCAGTAGTCAGTAGTCACATGTGGATGATGAAAGCTGGAGATATTTTTCCACCAGGTACCTAGTCAAATACGAGAACGTATAATTGGTATTCATATCGTAACACGAAGTTGATATCCCCACTGGAACGAAAACCTAATCCTAACGAGTGTTGATACCGCCACCCCTCCTCCACACCGTCTCCGTCTCCGTCTGCGTCCCCATCCACCTAACCCCTCCAAACCGCGCCTCCAGCTACACTCGCCATCAGTCCCACGTCCCACGCTCACGCACGCCTCGTTACGGGAGGGGGGATCAACTCACGCATAGTATAACTCGTCAACACGGGATAATAAATATTAACCGCAAAGCTGGAGCTCGCAGCATTATACCCGGCGGGGAGACTAATCCCGGTGGGGACGGCACTGCCACCACCGGTGACCTTAATCTGCGCGCACGAGACATAATGCTGGGCGGGCATGGAGTGCAGCGCAACCTGCTCGATGCGCAGGAGATACTCGCCTGCAGCGAGCGAGGCAGGCAGCGTCCACGAGAACGTGTCTTTCCCCTCAGTGTTCCATACCACGCCAGAGGAAGAGATCGTGGGCGCGATCTCGTACAGCTTAGCCCAGCTGCCGGAGCCGTCGTAGGATGCGGCGGTACTGGGCGCTTTCGAGATGTACGCTACGATGGGGCCCGCGTGGTAGACTGTGACTGGTCAGTGCGGGTGCAGGTGCGAGTGGGGGTGGGGGGTGGGGGGTGGGGGGAGTACTGGATTGGTCCATCTTGAAGCCAACGGTGGACCCCGCGGCTACGGTGGCGGTCTGCGTGCTCGCGCCGGAGCCGCCGCCGACGTTGCAGCGCACGTCGGTGGAGGTGGTGGAGACGGGAGAGTTGTGGTTGCTGTTCTGCCGGACGTATTGGTATTCGCTGGTGACAGTGCTGCCGACGATGAGGCTGGTGAAGCGGTAGTGCGCGGCTACGGGCTGCAGCAGGGCCGTGCAGGCGGCGAGGAGGAAGAGGGAGAATTGCATGATGTATTGAAAGGAGTGTATGTATGGGTTTGCTTGTGCTGGCTGTGCTGGCTGGGCTGGTGAGTAGGGAATCAGAGGAAAAACAGAGGCAATGCCGAGGTGTTAAATACCACCAAAGCTCTCATCACCAGCGGTTTCCAGTAGAGTAGGCCCGCGGTTTCCGTCCTCGTGGCGGAGATAGAGTGTCTCCTCCCGTCCGTCAAATTAAACATCAATGTAGGTACATCGACAGCGTCACCGTCCAGCGTCCTCCACCGAGGCCGTCCCGGGCCGGGGAGTTTAGGCGTCATTCTGGCTAAACAGCCACGGATCGACCGCGTAGAATACCCCAGATTCCCAGCAGCAGCCAAGTGTAACTGTCAATACGTAACACCAACAGCCGTCTGTCCCCCATGAGCGGTTGTATGTAGGCATTCATGCGCATGTAATGTAAGGTCCGTCGGGCTCGGTTCCGGCAGCTGGGTATTGATGGCGGCCGCTGAACTGCAAGTTTATGCAAAATAAGAGTCTTTGATTGATGAGCAGGCATACCCGAGACGCGATCGCACATCATTACAGTACTAAGTGTCCGTTCGCCTGCCCCGCCCTCTGATTTCAACATCCCCTACGGGGTTACCAATCCAGTCGGATGGATACCCCCCTCCCCGGAGAGCCGCCGCTAATCGTCCCAAGACTCGAGATGCCAGGTTGGCTCGTGGAAAGACGGTTCTGGCGTCCGGAGAGCCTACCTCATTTACGGAGATCCCGTCAGACGAAGTCGTAGAATGAAAGGCCTGGAACTTCGCGTGTTAGCAATCGGAAGACGCCAAGTACCTGCAGTGATATCGCGAGAAAGATGAGTTCGCGGAACTACCTAGTGCTTTTAAGCTCACACAATCTTTCCTCAAAAAACGCTGTGCTGATGTATAGGATATAGCTACAAGGTCGAACCTCAGATGATATGTGTCGCAAGGAGGAAAGCAGATAAGGAAAAATCGGAAAACAAGTAAGAAGACCCAGAAAGCAGAGAAAGCGGCACGATCTCGTTCTCCCCCGAAAGAAAATTCACAAGAGACAAGGTAAAAGTACTCCGATAAGAAACCAAATGCCATACCAGACGCCATTCATGCCGTTCATTAGTTGTGGGTATCACCATGCGGGCGCGCTCTTGACGGGTTCTGTTCCGGAACAAGCGGAGGAGCGTCATTCATATCCGTGTCGTCTGTCGGTATAGCCAATGCAGACGAGGCGGCTTCTGGAGCGGGGGCGACGACCTTGGCAGCCTCATGATCCCTCTGTTTCACTTTCCGGTCTCTGACAGCGGTGATAGTATTAGTGGAGTCGGTGAGCTTTCTGTTGTACTCTGGGCCATACATATTCAATTGGGCAGTGACAGCAGCCTCAAGTCCCCGCGCGATCTCAAAAACCTTCTTCCACCGCTCCTCGCCAGCTTGAATGAGCGGCTCGACTTCTTCGACACAGCCCTTGAAGGTTTCATGATCCTCTCCGCTCGCGAAAGCTACTGGGATATACTGTTCCTCCTTCTTAGAAACCATTGTGGTCTTTATCAGCTTGGCAGCTTCATTTTCCTTAGAGCGTCTCCTCCTAGGGCGCTCTTCGAACTCGTTGGGATCGTAGGGGTTCTCGATGTTGGGATTCAACAAGTCCTCGCCAAGGTGCGAAATATCAAAACCGGTGGATTCCAGGAGCATGAGCTGCGCGACGAACGCCTGGTTTGGGTGGACCATCCTGCGTCTGTTGCGAACAAAGTCGAGGGCATTACCGAACGTCTTTCCGTGATGCTTCATGACTGTATACTTGTCAGCGCTCCTCTCCACCCATCGTCCCAGCCCCCTCCTCTCCAAGAGGCTCAACATACTATACGCCACAATGATCGACCCGCTCCTGGAGATGCCCATGCGACAGTGAACAAAGACCTTGACCTCGCGCTCTGCCAGTCCCATGCGCTTGTCCGGCTCCGCCGGATTCCCCACCGCATGTGTCGGCAACACCCCCGTGAACGCATCCTCGATGAACTGGACGCCGTCGAGCACCTGCACGAGCAGGTTCTGTCGCCGGTTGTCGCGCACGCGGTACTGCTTGTGCACGATTCCCGTCCACGCCGGGATCTGCACCGCTTCCGACGTGAGCGAGAGTACGTGCGTGATCCCTTGAGAGACGAGCCAGCCCGCGCCGTTGGCGGCGTGCAGACTATAGCGTGTAAGAGGGGGAAGCTGACACGCGGTGGGGTAGGGAATGGACGAGAATACTTACTTGCCTAGGTACAGCCCGTCCGCGATCAGGTCCATGTTCGCCTGCTCGGGCTGCATGTATAGCGTTTCTGTCTCTATGTTCTGAAGAGGTTCAGACATGGTGGCGATGAGGGAAGGAGTGGGTTAAGCGTCGTGTCTGTAAGGTAGGCGAGGCTGTGTAGTAGAGATGAACGACGCAATGAGGTGCACAAAACAGGTACAAAGGGCGTGGGTGAGGTGAGGGGAAGCTGGAGCTGGGGGGGAGCTCTAGGATCTTGGCGCGTATATCACGTGATGAAGGATGCACATAACGATACGTTAGACACTATCAACAGCGAAGACGCCGGCATCAGTGTCCTGGACCACCGCGAATCCCCTCGGCTTCGCTACGAACTTGCCCCTTACCTAGCCGAGTATTTCAGTGAACGCTCTGATCCACTACTGCCCAGTAGTAACTCTTACTACGGTAGTGTGTACCTGCACTGCCTGACTTCCGCCCATGGTCCAAGTGCCTCTCCACCGACTCAGCAGGTGAAAAGCGCTATTGAGCTTGATTCCATTACTCTGCAGCTACCCATCACGCATCACTCGAGATGCACCGAAGCCGTGTCACATCGAATAGAGTGAGAAAACGGTGCGGCATCGTGGAACATCGCACCGCCGCGCAGTGTAGATGTCACAGCTTAGCGTTACGGTGGCTGGAGACGTAGGCGCCCGTAGAACTCACCATCGCATCACCATCTGCCACCGCATATTCCCATTGGCCACCCCCCCGCGTCGCTTCGTTTCGGAAACATGTTGAGTCTTGACAACAAGTATAGACTCCTCAAAACAAAACGCGTGATAGGCTGGTTGGGCGGTTAGCAGGGTTGGTGGTTGCCTGTTGCTGGGCAACGCGTGCCACGTAGTGAGGAATCAAAACAACACTTAACCTGCAGGACCGCTCCCTTTTCGTCCAGGGTTGACGAAGTTCACGACCCTTCCCATCCCTCCCCACCCCGTCCCGTCCGAGCCCATCACGCAGACAATCGATCAATCGGCCCCACAGAGAACCGTGCACTACATGAGACACGGTCGCTAGAGCAACCAACTATCGAAAGCATCTTTTCCGTCATCTCGAAACGATAAACAATCCGTCCCGCGCTCAGGTCAGTCACCCTGATACCGATGGAGTGAACAAGGTGTTCTCTCCGCGACCGTTTGATCGCATCTAACGTCCTACTGCCGTCAGACCATGTCCTCCTCAGCCTCCCACAAACGACGAGAATCCACCGAACGCGACCCACTAAGCCCGCCGCGCTCACCGATGTACTCCGACGAGGACCTGACCGACATGTCCTCGTCGCTGAACGCGCACGTCGCGACCGTCGAAGACGACTACGAGGAGGGGGAGGGGGGGCGCGAGCACATCCACCACACAACGGGGTCTACTGCGCCGTCCTCCCCACCGACGAGCATCGACGCCGCGGCCGCGGCCGAAAAACAAGCCGCGTTTGCCGCCGCCGCTTCGAAGGAATATGCGGGCGCGCATCATGCCACATCGATGTACTCCGACGAGGACGAGGATGACTTCGCGTTCCGACACCAGCACGACACGCCTGTCGATGATCCCGAATCGCAGTGGGAGTCCGATGGTCCCCCCGTTGCTGGCCCTTCCGCGCCGAAACTGCACTCGCACAGCAGAACGCAGAGTAATACCTCGACTAAGAAGTCGGCCACCCCCTCGGCGCCCGGCGGCGGAAAGATGTTCTCCAAGTCATCGCGGCCGGTGAGTAAAGGGCAGCAGCAACAGCAGCTTCTCCACCCGATAATCCCCAGCGGCACCGCGCAGACTGCCGGACGGCGGAGGTCGACGCATTTCTACTCGTCGCGCGCGTCGTCGGCTAGTTACAATGAGGCGGGGAAGGACGGGCAGAAGGCGCCGCTCGTGCTGCTGCACGTCACACTGCTGTTCCTGCCCGGTGCCGAGGAGGCGATTCTGAACAAGATCACGCCGACGATGTTGGAGCGGGGGTTACTGGTTGAGCACCCTCGTGGCGACTACCAGCTTCTCGAGGAGCTCATCATCGACTCGCTCGGACTTGACGACGCCGCCATCGCGGGTATGGAGGGGGACGACGACGAGGAGGAGGAGGAAGACGAGTGGGCGAAGTCTCTCGGCGTGCGGCGCGTCAAGGCAAAGAGCAAGTGGGAGCTCCGGGTGTATGCTGCGAACGGGCTGATGACCCCCGGGGCGTGGAAGCGCGTCTGGGGCGAGATGGAGCGTGTCGACGTCGAAGTCGGCCCGAGGAACTGGCGCGCTAACGGCGTGGCCGCTTCCTCGAGCATGTGGAAGAAACTGTTCTCGTCGTCGGATGCGAACTCGACCGTGAAGGCGGGTGAGTTGATGAGGGGTCTTGCCCGTGGAAAAACGGGACGCATAGATGGTCAGGGGAGGAAACGACAGAGCAACGCCGGACTGTATACGCCGCCGCAGCAGAACGACGTCAAGAGGCTCTCGATGGTTGCTGGCGGAGTGATGCTTTTGCTTGCCTCATCAATGGGACTATTTTGGACCCTGAGTGGAAAGCAGACGTGGACCAAGGAAACGGGCATCCAGAACCAGGTCACCTATTCGGCGGGGGGCGATGGTGTTCCGCAGGTCATCGTCAACGAGGATACCGGATTGGTCGAGGTTCTAGGCGGCGTCGACGAGTTGGGAGCAGCAGTGGACGGAGTGGAGATCGCTGAGACGTCCGACCTCGCTGCCGACCCCGCTGCCGAAACACTCCCTATCTGCGGCGAGGAAGGACAGTCTGAGAATCCGCTCACTGGTGAAGAAACCCTCGACAGCGATACGACGGCAACGTCCACCGCCGAGTGCGTCAAGGCATCAACCACGGAAACTACCGAATGTGAATCTTCAACTCAAGACAAAGCCTCATGTATCGATGCAGCTCACAAGGACGACCAAAAATTGGCTGGCGATAACGTTGATATCGATGCGTCTATACCCTCCGCCGAAGCAAGTGTAGAAGCTCAGCTCTTACCCGATGTCGACGCCGATGCCGAACCTGTACTGCTCGACTTTGCGGGAGAAGAAACCACTTCTGCGTCTGGATGGTGGAAGAAGACGTGGTAGAGGTGTTTGAAAGGCTAGGAATTGCGGGTGGTTTCGGAGAGGATTATCTCCTGTGTTTCCCTTTTTCCTTCGTCGTTTGGGGGTGGATGTCGTGTTGTTTTGGACCCTGAAGTTTGTTTGCGTCATTTTTGCCTGGGGAGATGATGGTGATTTTGGATGAAGGTTTACGGTGGATAATGATCATGTCTGCATGGCGTGTACGAGAGATGATGAGTAATGAGTTGATGGCCGGAGAGATAAAATGTAGTACTTCATATACCCAGTCTTCTAGATCTGCAACGTACTTCGAAGACGTCATGCACGCGATGTCACTCAGTAACGCCCACAACGAAAAGTACAGATGCACAAGGGATGATGTGGCAGCTGCATCTCGAACTTGCTGGAGAGTCGAATAAGGTTGGTGGACCGTGTAGAGGCTGTCTGGGATTCCACTCTATCCGTTAGTAGCTTTATGCATATTGCTCGGCTGGCCGCCGCGTTTGTTTGTCTTTTAGGTACGTCAAACATTACAGCCCTGCCTCCAAAGCAAGAAAACTCCCTCCCCCAACCATCACGCCGCAGGGCATTGTACCAAGCTAGCCCCCTCGTCTCACTCCATCCCTCGCCTTAAGAACCCCTCCTTCCTCCCTCCTTTCCTCCCTCCCTTCCTCCCAACCCACTCAACCACTCTCGTTACCTCCTCCATCTCCTGTTCTATACTCTCCCCCTCAACGACTCTTCTAGACTCTCCACGAACTTCGCAAACAACACCAAGCCCTTCAAGATGCAGTTCACCACCTTTGTCGTTATGGCTCTTGCCTCCCTCGCTGCCGCTGTCGTCGATGTTCGTCAGGTTGGGTGAGTCTTCTCCCATCCTTCTTTGGTGCCCTTCTGTCACTATGCTTGCCGAACATGTCCTTCTAACGACAGCCCGATCTGGATCAACAGCTCCGCCACCGAGTCGACCACCTATGTCCCGACGACCGTCACCCTCAAGACCAAGGTTCCGGGTAAGCTCTTTACTCTCCTATCCACTGCTAACTAGCAAGACTGCCATGTGCTAACAATGCCATGTCACCGCCAGAGACTACCGTCTACTACACGGGCACCGCTCCGGCGAGCATGTCGACCTCCGTCGCTAACGGCACCAACACGTTCCTCGGCCCGATTGCCACCAACGCTACCAACCTGACCTCGACCGGTACGCCCCCTGTCGCCACTGGTGCCGCTGCTGCCCTCTCTCCCCTGGGAGCTGCCGCCGGAGCCATCGTCATCATGGCCGGTGTCCTTGGAGCCCTCTAAACGAGTCAAAACCGCTCTTCCTTCCCTGCACGTTACCAAAAGTTTTTCCTTTTCCTTTTCCATGGGTCGAGATCTCAGTCCCTCCGTCTCCAGTTCTTGCTCAGCTGGCTTCTGTTTTCTATTGGTTTTATGCCGGCCGGCTGGCTGGGCTGGGCTGCTGGAGTGGTGCGAGGGATAGATCACGGCTGGTGCGGGTATCGATACGGTTGTTAATGCGGCGGGAATAAAATACCTTGTTCTTTTCTTTTCTTTTTCTTTTGTTGCTACCATGGTGTAGTCAATTGTTTGTTTGTTCGGCTCTATGATGCTTGTTTTTCTTCTCTTGCTTGTTGTGGAGGGGAGAGCAGTAATCAGATCGCGTTCTGTCTGTCAACTTCCGTCAAGCGAGTGATTACCCGAGTGATGCTGTTTCGTTTCGACCACTCGCATATATGATAGGTATAGTGTGGGACCCAGCGACAGCGGCAGCGGAAACGACGCCTTGGCTGGCGCATTGGTTTCGACCCGGAGGCCGGAACTGGCAGACCCGCGCGAGAGACCGATTGCTAAGAAGGTGTTTTTCTCATCAGCCGTTGTTTCATTGCTTTTCATCGTTGTTCGTCCTAGCTATATACCTACGCTATTCAACTCGCGAGGTTCTTGGGGTTCAGCACCTGAAGAACACAGGTGCAGCGGCGCTTTTCTTGCGGTGTCGTTTTTCTCTACCTAGGCAAATATAATCGGTCTTCTATCTCTTATCAAAGTTTCCAGAGGGTCATCTCGTCCGTCCCCAGTGCTTCAATAGTCAATGCAGTAGCAGCGGCACATGCGAATTCACACCTTGCAATGACCACCATCGCCATCACCGTCCTCACCGCCATCACCATCATCACCATCACCGCCCTCACCATCACCACCCTCACCATCACCGCCCTCACCACTACCTATCATAATAGGCACCCAAGCTCCCCCACTGCAGCGGCCAGATCTCATTACACCCATTACACCCCTATAAACATACCATCCCGCCCTGTCTACAGTACACGGCCTTAACCCGGCTAACTAGCAGAAGCTCCTGGCGTCTTTATCTTGAGTTTAATCGTTTAACTACTCCCCAGTGCGCAGTGCCGACGCGGCTGTCAGTCGCGTTAACTGCGTATGAGGTACGTAGGCATGGATTTGAGTTTGAGTTTGGGTTAAGGCCACGAGTGATGAGTGACGAGTGACGAGTGACGAAGGTGCCTGCGCGTGCAAACTGCTAACATGTGCTAGGCTGCTAGGCAGAGTAACTAGTAGCCGCGTAATAATAAGTGCAATTGCCACTGTCAGATCCGGAGACCTGTACTTATCGATGATTTTAGATCAGTCTACCCGTACTAGCAGGCGGCGGACAATAATCCCGCGACCGCTGTGCGGGGCGGGGCGAGTGACGGTCTGCGGCCTGCGGCAGAGTGCACGTGACCGGACGCCCGCAGACGCGGATGCTGTGGAAGCTGTGGAAGTGGGAAATGGAAGTGGAAGGCAAGGGAAGACAGATGTGTGAAGTGTGTTGGGGTGTGGGGTGTCTTCCTCGCGCTCGCCTTTTTCTTCTTCTCGGGAAAGAGAACCCAGCTCTACGATACGGTATGTACCTACTCTACAGGATGGCTTTTGGGGGAGGGGGGGACCAATCGGATTCTCCGCGGATGCGGATGCTCGATTGCGGATTAGCGACGGATCGCCCGTCCCCAACGAGCATGTCTGCGCGTGCGGATGGCATATGTGGAAGGCAACAGGTCCACAAGCAGACAAAATTTGCGATGTTGGCGGGCGAGGGGGAAGGACTGGGTTAGGGGTGGACTGGACTTGCCGCTTCTAGAAACTTTCCACGGCTGGACGGACGGTTGAGAGAGCGAGAGAGAGAGCGAGAGAGAGAGAGAAGAGAGAGAGAAGAGAGCCTTGCGTGTGGAGGATGGATGGATGGATGGATGCGGAGAGCTTTACTTTTCTCTTCTCCTCACACAGAGAGAGTGTGCTCCACTGTCCTGTCCTGTCACTGTCCGAGTCACTCTTTCTTCATATCCACTTCTGCTGCTCATTTCCGCGCCTGCACTTTCCTTCGATTCGCCCGTCCCATACATACGTTTGACAGACATCCATTCCCGAGAGGAAAAGAAGAAGAAGGCCCCGAGCGTGTGCCCGCCACCACTGAACCAGACCATGACAACTACTGCCCCAAGGACAAGGACCGGATGGTAGGCTGTCCCCACCCGCGTGTGCTTTTCCTGCTGTCGTGAGTCCTAACGTTTCCAGCACGAGCTGTCGCGTTCGTCACCTGAAGTGTATGTCCACACCCCGCCCCTCCCACCCTTTCCTTCGCCTCCGTTTAGTGCCGGTTGATCGGCTTCGGCGGTAGCGATGGATGGTGCAAGTGTTTTTTCGGCCCCGTTCGCTCCGTTATTCGATCGTCGTGTACTAACGGACCTCTCCCCTCCACAGGCGACGAGCAACGTCCCGTGTGCCGCCGCTGCCAAAGAGCCAATCGGGAGTGTGTTCCAATTTCTTGTGTGAACCTTTTCCCCCTACCTGTGGATCGCGACCGTCTAAGTCGTTTCGTGTTTTGTTCTTTTCGGCAGGTGTGTTCGCGGATACAATGTTCGGTTTCGCTATGGCACCGATCTCGGCGAGGAGCCGCCCGCCGGCGGCAGGGCGGCCGGTGGCAAGGGCGGCGAGTTCAGGTTCGAGAGGGATCAGGTCTGGTGCGATACCCTCGGCCAAGGTTGGTTCTCCGATGATTCCGAGTGTGCGCGTGCGAGTGCGAGGTGTCAAGGCAGCTGGCCGAGGAAAACATATCGAGCGTATGCAACCTGGCCTCGATATGTCTGGCTTCTCGGCTACTTGGCATATGTTGTATCATGTCCCGTCACTCGGCGCCTCCATCCTCTCCGCTGACGACGAATGTTAGTCTCCTTCGTGGACGAGACCCCCGATGTAACGCGCAACTACGATAGCGGACTCTCCCCCGTCGGCTCGCCGCCACCGCATTCGAATACGCCCTTCGGCGCCGTCCGGCAGGTCGCAATCCGCAGTCTGATCTCGCCCTCCGCATCGATAGCTTCTCCGCCGAGTGATGGCGGTAGCCGTGGGAACTCGGCGGTGCACTCTCCGATCGACGAGCCTACACCTCGCGAGTTTGAGAGTGCCTATCCGATGGAGGACTCATTCCGAGATGGGAATACGAGCATTGGCCGGAGAATGGAAACGAGAAGGCTGCCGCTGTCGGATATTCTCATCCCTCCGCCGCAGAGGGGACCGTTGATATCGCCCCCGCCGTCGAGGAAGACGTACGACGATCCCATGGATGAGGATGACCACGAGGTGCAGAGGATGGGGTGGCCGCTGGGAGATCGGCGGGATGCAGTGTTGCTGAGACATTATATCACGCACTTGGGGAAATGGGTGGGGCATTCCATCTCCATCCTTGGCTTGGCGCCGTCGATCGCTGATGGGTAGATGCACAGTATGATGTTCACGACAGCAAAAACCACTTCCAAACCGTGGTGCCACTGGAGTCCGCCAGCAATCCCATGCTGTTGAGCGCCATGCTGGCACTCGCCGCTCGACATCTCACACATACCAGTGACTACGATCCGGGCGTGGCAGGTCACTACCACCAGGTGTGCCTGAAGCAGTTCATTCCCGCGCTCGAGTCAGCCGGTCGGAGTCTTGAACCAACGTTCCTGGCCACGGCATTGTTGCTGCGGACGTATGAGGAGTTCGACAGTTCGTGCTCCATCCCCATTGATAGTGTGGCATTCACTGACCGGAACAGCCACGCAAGATGATGCACAAGTCGGCGGCGACTACCTAGCCCGTGCATCATTACTATTCTGTTCTCCTCCCCCGCAGGATCTCCCCGCCAACAGCCTCCGCACGGCCTGCTTCTGGATCCACCTACGTTAGCAGCCCCCCTCCTCCCTCCCGCCTCCACCTCCCGCTGACCCTCCCCCCCTCTCAGGCCAAGAAATAACCAGCAGTTTCCTCGCGCGCCGCCCAGTTAGCACGCACCACTCGCACCTCCAGCACGTACTCTCACACAGCCGATCGGACGCTTACACCCCCGCCAACGCGATAACGCTTCTTGCCGCAGACATCCTCGCCTTCGCGTTCAGCGTCAACGGCAGCGGCAGCAGCAACAGCCTATGGGAGCGCCTCTACACACAGGTCGCGGACTGGCACGCTCTGCACTCCCCCAGCTTCCACCGCCTATACCACGTTCCGCGCGACAGCGCCCGCGGGCAATGGTGGCCCGAGACATGGGTACGCACCATCCCTCCCCCTCCCCCGTCCCTTCTTCCCCGTTCTCTAACGCAAGAAACAGTACGCACTCCCGCACCACGCGACAGCCATGCAGTACTACTACCTATCCCGCCTACTACTGGCCCTGTATAACCCAAGCTTCCCGCGGATCTCGTCGGGGCCCGGCGTCACCCGCGACGCGACCGCAAAGGTCATTGCCGAAGTGGTGGATAATGTTCGCGCGATGTGTGGCATCGCACGGGGGAATGAGGGGCTGCCGGATACGGCGCAGGGTCTGGTTAAGGGCGTTGTCGAGGTCTGTACGGGGTGGTTTGAGGAGGTGGAGGAGAGGAGGGCTTTGAGGGGTGTGGGTGTGGGGGGGTAGGGGAGGTGGGGAGAGAGAGGGGGGACAGAGGGTTAGATGGTGGCGTTTGTAATATGTATTTGGATTTGCCTTGGTGGCTTGCTGGCTTGGTGGCTTGGTGGTCTATGTGTGTAGTAATGATGATACCCCGCTCAGTTTTTGGTAGTGCTGTGAATGTGTGAGGATTGCTTCGGGTGGTGGGTGATGTAGGCGGCGAGTGATGGTTTTGGATAATGGCAGGTCTCGCTCGCTCCATTCGTCACCACAAATAAGGCCTTCAAATACCCGTTCCGTTTAGGCAGGAAACTCCTTCAGACAGCTGAATAGCCCTGCCCAGATCCCATAGTACCTAGATCCGCTACAGAAAAGATCTACATATCCACCAGCATAAATGAGACCTTCAAATCCCCATTCCGTCGGCAACTCCTTCACATACCTAGCTGGAGCCTGAATAGCCCTGTCCAGAGTAAATCCGCTACCGAAAAATACCTATCCATCAACATAAACCAGACCTTCAAACCCCCATTCCGTATAACGTCTTCACACAGATGAAGCCTGAATGGCCCTGTGCAGAGTAACTCCGCTACCGAAAATATACATCCATCAGTCCGCAGAGGATCCTCGACGTCGGAACTGGCACCGGCATCTGGGCTATCGATATGGCCGATAAGTTTCCCATGGCGAATGTTTTGGGGATCGACTTGAGGTATGTTGTGATCTGTGCCGTGAGAGGATGTGAAAGGAGAGGGAAGAGGGCTGACCAGTGCGGTCGTGTAGTCCTATCCAACCGAAATGGTAACTCCTAGTACCAGAGTCAGCGTTACCTCAGGGTACTAACGCCCCAAGGGTCCCGCCCAACTGCAGTTTCGAAGTCGACGACACGGAGAAAGAGTGGACGCACAGCGTGAACTATTTCGACTTCATCCACATCCGCAACCTTGCGCAGAGCATCAGCGACTGGCCGCGGCTGATGTCACAAGCCTACCTGTTTCCCCCCCCCCCCCCCCCCCCCCCCCCCCCGCCCCCATTGACCCCCGAAACTGAAACTGCGATTAACTAACCCACCCAAACCCCACAGCGCGATGGTCCCCGGCGGCTACGTGGAGCTGGTAGAGTCCACCCCTCCGCTCTACTGCGACGACGGCAGCATGAAGAACGACGACGGCAACAAGATCTACTGCGACCGCCTGGTAGAGTCGTTGGAGCGCATCGGCCGCCCCGTGGCTAGGCTCTCGGCCATGATGAGGTACCTGGAGGACGCCGGCTTCGTCGACGTCGAGGTGTTCAAGTACAAGCAGCCCGTCGGGCTCTGGCCAAAGGAAAAGCGGTTGAAGAGAATTGGCGCGATGTGTCTGCTGAGTGTGGGTGGTTCCTGCCCGAAGGGCAACTTACGGTGGAGGCTGACCGAGTGGAAGTGCGAAACGGGGTATGAAGCGTACGGAATGGCATTCTTGACGAGGATTCTGGGGATGGAGAATGAAGACGCCTTGAAGTTGTGTAAAGATGCGCTGGAGGCGGTCAGGAACAAGAGGGTTCACGTATATGGATACATGTGGGTTTCCCTCCGAGAAGAAGAGCAGAAGACGGTGTTGGTGCTGACGAAGAAGGTATGTGGCATACGGCCGCAAACCGGAGGAGTACTACTAGTAGAAGGAAGGAAATGGGTGCTGTTGTCAAGATTGAGCAATATGTCGTTGTTTTCTCGTAACTAACCGCCGACTGGTCGACCGACCGGGTGAAATCTCCACGGCTGAACTTGCTGGCCCCACTTAGAGTATCAGATCTCGCGATGTGATGCTCCCATCGCCGACATATCCCGAATATAGAGTACTTCCAGAAGGCGTTCACAGACCCGACGCCGGCTGAACTTACTTGATTCGCCTGTGCCCAGAAGCGGCAACATCCGCAGGCGACATCCGCCAGCTCGGTACGGGAACATCCAAAGTGCAAGCTTAAGCATAGGACCCAAAGCCCGGAATTACAGGTACAGGTGCATAGAGTTGGAAACCCGGGGCATCGTTTTACCGACCTTAGGCCTAGATTTCGCTCCCACATGCGTCGGCGAAATAGTTGAGGCCCTCTTCGCCGTCACTGGATATGGGTCTCGGAGGAAGGATATTCCGTTTCCGTCGCGGGGGAATTGCCTATCACGGAGCGTTGAGAGCACGTATAGTACTCTCGGCCCTTTCCGTGCCTTGCGAGCATATAGTACTCTCGGCCCCTACTAAGACTTTTCAGCCGGGACGTACGAAAATGAGGTCAATGATGCCTCGCCAGTCGCATCGGATGGCGCCCGATCGGAGCCGGCGTTTCTGCTTTAGTGCTCGCGAAGGCTGTTGGCGGGCCGTTGGCTCACTGTGGCGTGGCTTGCCGGGGGGAGAATAGCCGCGATCCTGGTAACACCATGTCATATAGCCGCAGATGCCAATGTCCTGCCATCTCGGATCGCCACGGTGCTATTCTAAGGCTTACGTGCTAGGTATGTACTAGGTATTCTCCGGGAGCTAACCAGTCTGTCGCGTAGGGTGAAGTGTTTCGTCGGTTCGGATGGCGTGAAGGTCGGTTATCGTTGTGGGTTAGAAGCAGGGCTGGAGGCCGCAGGTAGACAGAACACTCGCCAAGCGTTTCGACTATACACCTATTGACGTAGCCGAGCTCTGCTGATTGAACCGGAAGCAACCGACGACCAAAGCCCCGTTGTGAATTGGCCCGAGAGGGCAGCACGGACCGTCGCCTTCGGTGTTCGGCGGTCACCCGACTTCTGTTCCCCACCACGACGATGCAGACATAAAGAGGGCCGCAACAGCCCGTTCCAAATATCTTTTTTCTCCAGTTCACTCGCTCGCAACACATTCCTTCCTTCCTATCCACAGAGCTACAGCGGAAGCTAGTCTTTCTTTTCAGTCTTCATCCTATTCTTTCGGCAGGGCCATCCAGTTTATTCACTCTCTCATTCCAATAACTCACCTTTCGTTTCATCCATCCGAAAAAATCACCATGAAGTTTTCCATCTTCACTGTTCTCACCCTTGCGGTGACCGCCATCGCCGGTCCCATTGCCAAGCGTGCTGCCGCCGCCGACGCAGCTCCTTGGGGCTATGCCACCATGAACGGAGGTTTATTTCCCCCATCTATCTCTTCAATTCGCAACCACTAACCATGCCCAGGAACCACCGGAGGATCCGGAGGTACGACCGTCAAGGTCTCTACCCTCGCCGCGCTCAAGACGGCCGCCAAAGCCTCTGGCAAGTCGATCATCATCATCACGAGCTCCATCACCGGCACCGAGTCGGTGAAGGTCGCCAGCGACAAGACCATTCTTGGCGCCTCGTCCAGCGTCGTCCTCAACGGTGTTGGCTTGATCGTTAAGTCGGCCTCGAACGTCATCATCCGCAACCTGACCATCAAGAAGGTCCTCGCCTCGTCCGGTGACGCCCTCGCCGTCCAGAAGTCCACCAACGTCTGGATCGACCACGTCGACCTCTCCAGCGATCTCTCACACGACAAGGACTACTACGACGGCCTCCTCGACCTGACCCACGCCGCCGACTACGTGACCATCTCGTACTGCTTCATCCACGACCACTACAAGGCGTCTCTCGTCGGGCACTCCGACAGCAACGGCAGCGAGGACAAGGGCCACCTGCGCATCACCTACGGCTACAACTACTTCCAGAACATCAACTCGCGCGGTCCGTCGTTCCGCTTCGGCACCGGCCACTTGTTTAACAACTACTACAACGCCGTCTCCGACGGCATCAACACCCGCCAGGGCGCCCAGCTCCTCGTCGAGAACAACGTCTTCGTCGGCAGCAAGAAGACCCTCTACTCCACCGACGCTGGCTACGCTGTCAACACTGGCAACGACTTTGGCGGTGTGGCCGCTACCGCCTCAAAGGGTACCTTCACCAAGGCGCCTTACTCCTACACTGCTGTTGCCGCCACTAAGGTCAAGGCTGCCGTCGTCGGTGCTGCCGGTGCCACCCTCAAGTTCTAAGTGCGCGGAGTAGTAGAGGAAGTCTAGGGGAGGGGATGGGGATGGGGAGGAAGTGGATGTGCGGGGTAGAAAGGGGAGGGGAAGGAGAGTGAGAGTGAGGGGGTTGTATATATGAGCCACTGGTGGGTTCGTCTATTAGTTAGCGGGGGAGGGGGGTGTGGCGGTTAATTTATAGTTTCTATCCGAAATCGTTCCTCGTGACCAAAAACCAATCCATCCAGTCTTCAGAGTACCCGGTTTTTTCTTTGTTTAATCATCATTGCATTCGAGCTTGGTAGATCATGGGTAGATGCATACCGGTATTCGTTTCCACCCCACTGTCACCGACCGCTGGCCGCGAGCTCGTTACCAGTTCGCTATTGCTCTCCACCCAGCCCTCACCGTTCAACACCGACAAGAAAGAAAAGAAAAAAACGAAAGACAGAAAGAAAGGCGGGGTCCGCCTTACCTCCACCTCAAAGCACCCGTACCCTCCGTAGTACTGACCGGCGCCCAATGCCGATAGCCCGGAAGGCCGAAGTGGCACCGAGTGACATCCAACCGATATTTACCAGCAAGCAGCAAGCCAGTACCAGTACTCGATTCAGGTACCAATGACTATAGTGCACACCCGCACATAGTTAAAAGCCGTTCATCCGCCACTCGGTCACTACCCATCACCGCCCACAATATTCACAGATATCACTCGGACCTCCAGCCCGGAGCCGACCAGCCCGAATCCCGGAATACGCTCGTCGGCGGCGTTGGGCGGTGCGGCGGATGCCAGATGGTGGAAGGAGGGAATGCAGGTATCGAATAGTCATCTCTGGCAGCAATGGGGACATGGAAACGGACATGGTCACTTGGGGTTTAATTCATCATCGATTACGTGCGGCCAGAATTCGAAGTATTTACATCACCCGGCACCGCGATCCACACAGAACATCTTCCTAGCCTCGATTGGGCCTCCCTGGAGCCGCTGGACTAAAACAGCCAGCTCGATTCCGGCGTGGGATTGACCGTTCACCGTGTCTGCATGACCAGTCACTCGTGCTTAGTCCGATCGTCCACACGATACCATTATGTATTCTTTTTTTCGATTCTTCTCTTATAGGTACTTCCAACAACGCTCGCCACACACTCACCACCGTTAAGAAAAATTCAAAACGCCCAACGAAACCCGCAGAAATCCGACCATTAACCCCTCCGAAAACATATCGTCAGCGATTCAGCGCCGCTCCTTCATCTCCTGTCCCGGGCCCGGACTCCTTGCCTCCGTCAGCCCCTCCAGCAGCGGCGGCGGGTAGTGTCCCGGCACAGGACTACGAATACTCATAGGCTCCGGAGACCTCCAACCGTGTTGCGGCAGCTCCTGCGGCGGCGGAGGGCTAAGTTGGGCGCCAGCATCACTGTACCCGTTGCCGGTGGTATCGTAGCCCATCAAGGGCGGTGGCGGCGGGTACGGCGGCTGGTAGCCGTTGAAGGTGCCTGTGGGCGTGTAAGAGCTCGTGACGACGCTCTCGGCCGCCGCGGAGTTGTACGGCTTGTAGCCTGGCGGCTCCTCGGCGGGGCGGGACGCGGCGTTTTGGCGGCGGCGCCGGAATAGGAAGAAACCCAGTCCGGCGAGTAATGCGATGCCGATTATGGTCGGGACGAGGATTGTGGCTTGCTTCGCGGGCGTGGCAAACGCGCCCGAGTCGTCGGTGGATTTGGCGCTGGACGCGGACGTGGAGGTGGCGAACGCGGCGGGCGCGGTGCGGGTCGGGGTGCGTGCCGCCGGAGCGTACGTCCGCCGGAAAAGAACCTCAACGTCGTTGAATTCGAAGTTGTTCTTGGGGGATTTTACTGCGGCGTGGCCCTGCGCGTCGCCACCGATCACGTCGAGGATGTCGTCCGGAACGGTGTACACCGACCGCTCGGGGTCGAATACTTCCCAGTATACAGACTCCGTGCCCTTGTTGACTTTGGACATGACCAGGTTGTGTACGCCGGCTTTTTCTTGGGCATCGCACTGCGGGGAGGGGGCGTGAGTAAGGGGGATGGAAATTGGGAGGGCAGGTACGTACGTTGTTTGCGTCCAGATCCTTGGGGAATTGCCCGCCGATGATCAGGAGCTGCGAGTTCTTGACGACGGAGCACGAGAGGTCGTAGTGCGGGTATTTATCCTTCTCTTGCACCACCACGCCCTTGCCGGGGAAGACCTTGATCCACTGGAATGTGGGGATCGTCAGGATGTGGACATCGTCGTAGCCGGTTGAGTTCGCACCGAAGCCGAGGCCGCCGTAGATATATCTGGGTACATCGAATCATCGATAAGCTTGTGCCAAAAATAGACACCAAAAAAGCAGGTGTGAAAGGGAAGAAAAGTCGCACATGTTCGAGCTGGACCGATCTTGCGCGTGTGCGACGCCTCCGCAGAATCGTCGCCGCGATTCGGGAATATCACCAGTCGCGTTCTGTGTGTACCATCTTCCGCTGGCCAAGTCGTAAAGATCTGTAGGTACGTTTCGTCAGCCTCCCCATCGATACCAGAGGAATCTTGCGTGTCGATCGTACCTATGACGGCCATCGAGGCCTGTACTCAAAAGAAACAGTCAGTCAGTCAGTCAGTCAGTCAGTCCCCCGCCGGATGACAACCGGAGGAAGCAAGCGCAACACAAAAACCTACCGGCTCCTCCTCCGCACCATCCTTGTCCGCTATCCGCACACCTCCGAAATGCGCCAGCATGCCCTTATCGCCCGCGGGAATATAGAACATTGCGCCTTCCGCACGTCCCGCCTTATCGTCTGGCCCGGTGCTATTCTGCCAAGTATCTGCGACAAAGTCGTATTCGACCATCCTGTTGCTAGCCAACTTCGGCGCGCGCCAGTTGATATCGCTGCGACTGCTCATCCAGCCGCCAAGGTAGTATCCCTTCCCGCTCTCCTCGACCGCCATGCCCGCTCCGAACGACAGCCGCATGATGTCCCGCGCCACCTCCCGCTTCGCCCAGCTGTCGTTATACGTGTCGTACGTCCACAGATCGAACTGCTCATCCGGCACGCCCGGCTCCGGCCACTCGCCGCCGTACTGAAATAGCCGTCCGTTCGCTTGGTCCGCCCACAGGATCCCGCCGATCACTGACGGCACCTCGTCAGGCTTGCTGAGGTTCGTCATCAGCACTGGCATCTCGATGTCTTTGCCGTCCAACTTCGTCTGCGTAAGGTCGTGCCATAGTAATCGGTCATCTGGGGGACGCTGCGTTAACCAACCGGCCCTCGGTCGTCCAAAAGGATCGCATGTGTGTACGAAGGACGGGGGGCTGACTGGTAAAGTTCTTTCCGCCCTTTCCAGCGAGATTGAGTTGGCCGCCGTCGATGTATAACCTATCGCCCAGAACGGCCGCTATACACGTCTGATCAGCATCGGAACCAACTTCGGAGGCAGAGGGAGCGAGGGGGGAAATGGAGCTAACCTTCGTGACTAAACCGTCGACAGAAGTCGGTACGCGGATCATACTGCTGTCCTCTGACGCCAGTTGTTGCCGCGGCAAGGAGCGCAGCGACGAGACCTAGCGCTCTCCCCATACTCGGAATCGAACTTCGAAATGTTGGGCGGGTTTTTTTTGGTGAGTTAACGTATGCTGGGCGGGGATGTAGGTTTCAGGTGGGATTATGTAGTGTATGTGAAAACCGCCTCGAGGGAGGTTGATCGTTCGTTCGGGCGGACAGTGACGGGGACGACAGGGACAGGACAGGACGGGGAGGACACCCACAAAACAAAACAACCCAATCTCGACCTTGGGGGGTGGGGAGGGGTGGCATGATGGAGTACTGTGGAGGACAAACCAGCTACCACACATTCCGGCAGCTGATTGGGTGGCAGTTGGCAGTCCCTATGCATGACCGGGGCAATTGTAACTGGTTACTGGTGGTGCGGAAGAAGACCATGTGCATCTCAGTTCAGTGGAATACGACATGAGTGTGGCGCCGTGAGACATTAAGAAAAGCGTTATTTCGATTGCGTGGATCAGTTACATGGATTATCTACTCTGATTGATTGATCGATTCGCTCCGTTCGATGATTATTCCGAGGTACAGTAAGTACCATAGTAGCTCTTTGGTATGTGCAGAACTACCCCGCGCGCTCCGCGAGTCAGCGGTCGACATTCCACTCGAATGCCCCTTCCACACCCGGTCTCATAGGCTGATGTGCATTCCGGCGTGATTTGGATCTACCTATTCGGTTCCTCGCAAATCTCCATCGTGCCTTTTCCCTCACCTCGCCTCCTTTCCCAGGCAGCCCCCATCTCTTGTTTCCGCTCGTCTCCTTTCCTAGGCAGCCGGCAGCCCGCGGGGGGGCACCCCGTCAAAGTCCGGCTCTTGACACGCTCGAGCCGGTCGCACATCCAGCGAAGGGTCGTGATATATAGTATTGCACTCACTCCCTGCAAATGTGGTGACACGGAGTGAGCCCTGTGTATCCCAAAGTGGTGGTGGTGGTGGTGCCTGCGGGATTCTCTCCCCTCTATGAGTCCATGCAGATATACGCGGAGTATGTATAGTAGCTACTATGTAGCATGCTCTGCGCGTGCTCAAGACAACCGCCCGTGTAGAGTACATACCTCAGAAGGAAGTAGGTATGTAGGTACTACGGTAGGTAACGGGTGGTGCCTGCGGGATTAGCTCGCCTTCATGCAGATATACGGTGGTGGAGTACGGTAGTATGTATGATATGATAGGTAGTTAGCAACTTAGCATGCGTTGCTCCGCTGAGGACAGCAGGCGGCAGCCGACGAACCACCATCTGCCGATGTACACCACCACTACGGCGGCGATGGGGGCGATGCGCACCACGGTATGTTCCACATCGCTTGTTATTGCACCGCCTGTCGATTTTCGCAGGTGGGCGAGTGCCACCGCACACTGCACACTAAGCAGTAGTTGGTTTGTATGTACCGGTTCGAAATCCGGCGAAAGTTGACTGAACCGGCCACACCGTCCAACCGGCAAACGAGGGATCACGTGGCGGAGTGTGGCGCGGTAGAGTATATACCGGTATTCTCGAATCTCGCCAGCAGCAATATACTACTTGGTGCCTACTTCCTATTCCTGCTTCTGTGAAATGCGCAGTTTAGTGCTCGTGTTTAGCACCCACAACCTGTATTAAGATTTCCTGTTAGCACCTGCCACCACGCCCACCAAACCAGAGGCAAGAGGCTACCTACCTACCACAACTGCACCGTTCAAACTGGCTGTTTGCGGATACGGATAGTTAGTACCGTAACTAGGTGGGCAGCTGGTCAAACTGCCAAACCGCCAAACTGCCACACGCCCGGGCGCGACGGTGGAGGCGATGTTCAATGCTCATCAAGAAGTGAATAGAGTGTTTGATGCATACTACTATATACTAGATCAGTAACTTAGAGGACTTACTACTAAGTAGAGTACCCGTAGCGCTCTGCGCGTGCTGCGCGTGTTGTCTACTAATTACAAGTACTTACCTACTTCCTACTTGGGTACTGTGGAGTGAGTTACTAGGACCGGCGTTGCAACCGAGGAGCTAAGGCAACTGCCTATATAGTCAAATATCTACATGCGCACGTCGTTTCGCCGACACAGCCAGCCGACGTGCTGTAGTTAAGCCTGTAGATAGCTGGGTACATACATACCAGGTATGTACATACACACCAGGTACATAGAGTACTAGGCCCTGTTCGCGCACACCATTATCTCATTATGTGGATGTGCCAAGCTTGTAGCGCGAACGTGTCCTCAGCCTCGAATGCAATGGAAAAATGGCTGGGAGTCTCGCGGATTTACTCAGTCATTCCTACTTGGTGACTAGAGTCATTCTTTCAATGACTGTAACTGTGTGAGTTGATTGACTCTTGCAATGCTTCCCGGATGACACTTGTAATAAAGCCCATCGATTCCATAGTCTTCAGCTTCTAGAAGTTCCAAATTCTGCCGAGGAATCAAGTTTCCTGCCAAGGCAGTAGTAAACACTTGTCCGATCTCTTCAATGTTTTTTTTGCTGTTCCAATTGTTGAATTATCGTGGTGATGGTAGTGGTTGAGGTTGAGGTTGGAGACTCCCCCCCCCTTTTTTTATTGTGGCGCAGCCCAACTTGACACAATGGGTGAGATAATGGGTTGTAGCGAACACCTGCCACCGCAAATTAGGAGTAGAAAAATGGTTTTCAAATTTGTGTGGTAGCAGGATGAGATAATGGGTGCGCGAACAGGGCCCTAGTTGGCAACTATCATTGTACTATAGTAGTAAACTGGAGCGAGTCGACGTCTCATTAAGAGTTGAGCTATGCAGACACATCCGATCCGCCGAGACACCTTTTTCTCGCCAGTGCTGACTGCCGCTGACTCCTCAGTGCGTGGCCGTGCCCACCGCCAACCCTCGCCCGCCAAGCCACTCTCACCTTTACTCTCACACTCTCTCACTCTCGGCCGACTCATGCGCATTGCCCAGCCACAGCGGGCGCCCAGCCACTCGCCACTCGTCCGTCGTCGCTGACTCGCTGTTGACTCTCGACTCTTGACGAAAGCAGGAATCCTCGGTGCGGCGGCAGGTGCAACACAAATATGCACTGAGCCTTCCGCTTCCTCTTCTTCGCTGCGGGCCCGGTGGTTATGCGAGCGGACAGTGGCACAGTGGCACCACGGGGCGCACTCGTCATCGTCATCCGCATCGCCGTCGTCTCGGTCGTATCGATGCGATGTGATTCTCCGCTCTCTCGCTAGTTATTGGTTACGAGGCTCACCTGAAGGGTGTGTGTGTGGCAATACGCAACACGCAAAAACCAAAAGTCGAACGACCACACTGCACTGCACTGTAACTGCACCTTCGCTCCGCTCGAATCCCTCCCCGCGATATTCCCGCCACCGCAGGTTTCCGCTTCCGATCCATGTCCCTGGATAACTACTACAGTACTAGAGTGCCTACCGTATCACTCTGGAGTGTTTGCATGCTACTGTAGGCACCTACTTATGTAGCGTAGAGTAACTACTCAAGTATGTAGCTGTGTATGTTCACGGTGCCCACCCCGTCGTGTGTGAGTATGATATAGTTAGCATAACATAGTATCTAGAATATAGTATCGCAGACATGTTTCATCCATAAGCACGGACACTGGCATGCTTCAAAGTCCACGTCCCTGACCTGCCTTGCCTTGAAACCAGCACCGGCGCCTGCGCCCTCCACCCATCCATCCATCCATCTCCCGCCTTCATTCCTTCCTTCCTTCCCTTCAACCTTACCGTCGCCTACGTCGCCGTGGCTGACTGACGGTACTCTAAGCATGGGAAATTGTAACCAAATAATCCATACCCGGGGGAGGCATGGTGTCGACTCTCGACTCGAGTCGATCACCCACCTCGACCCGAGTCTCCGAAATCAAAAGTAGTAGTCAGTTAGTCGGATAGACAGCCGGGGAAGCGCTGGCGCAGGTAGGACTCAGGAGAGAGCTCAGGGAGGGTATCGGAGACTGGAGTAACCTCCTAGGTAGGTATAGCACCTGCCTACGTAGCCCCGAGGATGCGATTACTTATCCGTCGACTACCTAGTGGTAAGAGAGAGGGGGGGGGGGGGGGGGGGGGAGGACGGGACCCAAAGAATCTATTGGTCGAGACTATGCCAGCGGAAGGCTGGAAACGGCGCGGATAGACGGTGGGACGGTGGGAGCTGGCACGCGGCGAGCATGGTATGCGATCCCCCACAGGGCCAACCACCACCACCACCACCACTGCCGCCGCCGCCGCCGCCGCCGCCGCAGTGCGACGGACGGATCAGTGATTCGGCGATTCAGCGATTGAATAGTTCACGGCGGTGTGTCGAGTAGGAAGTAGGTATTCCCGGCCACTCCATTGCATGCGTGTTCGCTCGGAGGGTTGGACTGCATGGGTGAGTGTTTGTGATCGGGAAATGTGGATTGCAGCGCCTTCTGCCCACGTAAGTACTAGATTAGGCACGTATACCCCTCCGTTTCTCGACTCACTACTACCACTACCGCGTCCTTATGTCTCAGCGAGCTCCGCCTCTCAACCTATTCCACTCAAGAGTCAACTCCCCGCCAGGCAACAGCCAAGCGCCGAGAACCTCACAGTCTCAGAGTCTCAGAGCTCTCACGGCCGATTAAAGTTTTCGATGGTTCGGAAGCCAGGTCGGAGGTGAATACTGGAAAGGCTTGCATCAGGGTAGAGATCCAAAACTCGGGGTGAAGAAGCAATCAAGATAAGCAAAGAAGTGAAAGAAGCGATTTTTTCGCTTGAGTTAAGACTCGAGAGGAGATAAGTTACATAGGCATGTACTGGCTTTACTGCAGGAGCGCTGGGAAAGTAAGTAGCAGGGCGACAGGAGAGGGTAAGCAGGAGGAGCCTTGTTTCGTAATTCAAGAGAGCATCCTAATGCGGAGATGGCTTATTCTCCGAGGTCGCCAGGCTGACCAGCAAAACGATTTGCTAGACCAGACTAGAGCTATGCGGACAAATCCATAGGACCATAGGCGCAACTGTGACTGTGATTATTTGCACTTAAGGATGGATTTGACCCTTGCCGAGTCGAGTCAGGTATATAACACCTCGGCAGGAACGGCAGAGATATGTACTACCTTATCAGCAGCACATCACTAACAGTCACTCGCAAGAGGAATCCCCCCGACGTCGAATTTTCGCCACCCGCAGAAAACACTGTGGGCAGAGGTCCGGAAGGAGACGGGGAGGGGAGATGGTCGCTTGAAGATCCGAGACCTCATCGCAGAAGAACGTTGCAGCCAGGCGATCCCAGATTTCCTCTCCTTAATGCCACTGATGTGGGCAGACGAATCCCAGAGGCCACTGAGGCAGGTACAGCAAGTGAGGTATCCGAGCGAGAGCTCAGGAACGAGCGGCAAGAAAGGTACGCGGAGCTGAGGCGAGAGGAGCCTGGTGGATGAAGGTGCTGACGTTGAAGAGTCGGGGTTACTCCCGCTGTTCCTCCCCACACCTTCTTTCATGGCATCCCCTGTTGAAGATGCAGGCGGCGAGGCAGGAGGCGAGGCAGAATAGGGAGAGGAAGCGGAAGGTACCTTTTTTAATGTCATTTCCCTGACGTGCTCTGTTTTTTATCGCTGGGACAGGCCGGGGCGGAGGGCAGGGAAATCTCTGCTGTACCTGGTTGAGAGCGTTTGCCACCCCTTCAGCTGGGGTATAGGTAGTATATGGTGGTATGAACCGTTTGGTGGTATAGTGTTATAGTGTGCTACGCACTCGCACTCTCACACACTATGTAGTTTGGTAGGTGTGATCCTGTAGGTAGATAGGAGTGACGAGTCCACATCTATGGTTCGGAGATTGATGTTGATGTTGATGGCAACGGCGTCGCTGGAGGCGAGATTGTGAATACCCACTTCGTCGTTATTATTGTCTATCGCGAGGCGCCCGCCACTTTATAATGCTCGAATTCATATCTGCAGCACGGAAAAAACCCCGCGTGGTCCAATGGTCTAGGGCCACGCAATCGGCGAGGGGAGTTGAGGGAAAGTTCTCGGTTCAAGATAGGTTCAAAAACTTTGTATTCAGCTCTTGGGGTTTCCGAGCCACCCGCCGGGGGTGGTGACGGTTTTTGTTTTTGGCATCACCGACGGAGCACTGGATATCACCCGGTGGTATCACGTGACACGCCTTGCGCTCCTGCCGTTTTTTTCCTTCTGTTTAATCACTTCATTCGACATTGGTAGATCATTTCAGATTAAACATCCGCTTTTCCAGCCGTCACAGACTGCTGGCCGTGAGCTCGATACTGGTTCGTTATTGCTCTCCGCCCTCCCCCCCTACTCAACCCTCTCCGCTCCTCGCGCTGCTGGCTGTGGAGGCGAGGATCCCGAAGATGAACTTCATCACGGGGGGAAGGGTGGAAATAAAACTTACGGCGAAGAACTGAAGTCCCCCCACACAGGAGGTAAGATCAGATGGATCAAGACGTACAGGAAGGTGGGGTGGTGGGCTATGCGGTGGTCTGGTACAACCGGTGCATTCGGATGGATAGGCATCGATAGGCGCCACATCGGACGGAACCAGGAGGCGTACGACGGCTAATACGCGGCGATTTCGAGATCCCTCACAGAGCCCACTCTCAACGACCGTTGCTCAATACACCCTTTAACGGTGCTCGTCCTCATCGTCGGATATATCGGTCGGTTCTCATACTCGACTCTCGGTCGGAAAGAGGGGACACACACACACCACATGAATTCTAAAGGCTGAAGCTAAAGTAAGCCAGGCATGTGCTGGGCTCAACGCGTGGCCTTGGATGTTGCGTGCAAAAACGTTCGAAAAGAATACGAAAAGTCGTATGTACCGAAACCAACGCTCAAAGGATAAACCAACTTTGCGAATTCACACTTGCAAAGTATATCGGCGGGTTTGGGAATCATCGTTGTCGTCATCACAACTTTCATCAAGATCGTTCGCCGAAACTATGACTGAAAAGGAGTAAAAGAAGAAGAAAAAAAGAAGAAAAAACAATACTTGGGCCACTAACCCGAGTGCGGCGACGGCGACGGCTATCGTCGCATCCTCTGTCAGAGGCCCCGCTTCATCTCGTTGTTTACAGGAGCTCGTTTTCTTCTATAAGCAGTCTCCTTTCTCATCTTTCTCGTATTCATTACATCAATCAAGTCAAGTTCTTCCCTCAGTTTCAACAACGTGGCGCCGACTTTGCGTGAGTGATTGGCCGTGAAGGTCGCTTAATCGGTGATATCTAGCCCTCGCTGCGGACCAAGGCCATACGGACTTCCATTGCACGTAATCTATGTAGGTACATAGCAAGGCAAGGGATAGAGCTACAAACTGTTCAATGGAGGGATCGCTAGGTACATACAAAGAGTCTTTCGTCGCCCTCCTCGCCTCCTTCTCCCCTCACCTTAGTACATGTCTACATATGGTGCTTCTCCATCGTCAAAATTTGCACGCCCGGAGATTTAGCGCAAAAAAGGTTCCGTAGCGGATGGCTGAGATTGAGCGTTGTTGGGCGTGAGTGACCTGGGCGGCACATTGGGATGAGTAGCCTTCGGACCAAGAAGTCTACAGTCTGTACATAAAGAGAGGCCCCGCCGCCCCGCCGCTGATGATATCGTTGCTGCATCGAATTTATCATCTTTACCCTTCTACCCAAACGTTCAATCCGGGCCCATAACCTGAGAAAATGTTTGGGTAGAAGGGCAGAGATAATCAATTCGATGCGGCAATAATATCATCGGCGGCGAGTTCTCTCTTTATATACAGACTTCAGGCCTCTTATCCAAGACGACTCTACTGCTCTACGCCGACGATATGCTCAACTTCTCACCATCTGCAAATCGAGTGTCCGAGCTCAAGAGCCACCTCCACGCAAAGTATAAGATGACAGATCTCGGTCCAGTCAGATGCTTCCTCGGAATCGAAATCGAGCGAGACCGGCCAAACCGAGCCCTACGTGTCCATCCGCTACCCCTACTCACTACGATTTTCCCTCGGACCAACAGCGAGCTACCCAGAAGCTCCTAGCAACCTATGGCCTATCGAACTGCAATGGCCACTGGACCCCACAGCCGAACGGAGGCAAGCTCAGAAGACTGGACTTAGGCAGGGAGCGGACCATAGGTGGCGAGTGCTATGGGAGACCGGGAGGGAGGAGGAGTGAGGGAGCATAAACTGCTCCTGAGAGTGGGCTGAGGGTGAGGAGGACTACGGTAAGTTGTTACTTAAATGCATATTATTGGTTGGCAATACTGATTTCAAACTCGTACAGAATTATTCGAAAGTCCTTCCTGGCCTCAAGTCATCAGACCGGGGCACGTCGCCAGCAGAAATTCTACGCGACATCCAAGAAGAGCTCAGAGCGGTACTGGAATTGAACCTGTTTAGTTGGAAAGCGGCGTCGAAGAAAGGGTTTAGGTTGACAAGCCAAGGAGAAAATCTTTGGATTAAGAGGGCATTGAATATTCCGGAAGAAAAGGTGGGAAGAAAAAGAAAATGCAAATGATTGAAGGAGGAAAGACAGGCGCTGTTCGGTTACCTGAGTGAACGGGACAACTACCGAAGACTGAAAAAGTAGGTATCGGATAACATTACTATAGCGTGCAATGCTAACTACTGGTCTACGGAGTAGTAGCCCGGTGGTTACTGGCAACCCAATAGCGCAGAATTCTTCATCGAGCAGACTTTCATCGCGTCCAACACTATTTCATATTTCAAACGCACAACCGGCAGCCCTTTCTTTGCAACTCCCATCGAGCCGATATTCCTGTCCGATCTCGATATTCCTGATTCGAACGATGTCCGTGTCGCATGAGGTGGTTCTTTCTAACAGCTCTGACAACCACGGCAAGAACCATGAAGGAAGAATCGAGTCCCAGCTGTCGGCTACACAGCCTCGGATTTTCCGAAGATGCAGATGACCGAAAATCAGCATCTGGCTACGTCTGTACTCTCGGAGGAGGTGCCATATCCTGGCGCGCCCGGAAACAACCTCTAGTTGCCTTCTCCACCGTGGAAGCAGAATTTTGATGCACAATTTGGAGGTTTGGGGCGCACGCGAGGGGATCCGATCCGAAGGCAGTTGGAAGAGGAAGAAGATTTAGTTCTTATTATTCTAGCTGAGGTTCTAGTTGTACTTATAGTCGTCCTAGACGAACTAGAACCTTCCTCGTGAGCCGTGCACAAACCTCACTCGCCGGACAAACCTGACTCGCTGGACAAACCAGAACCTTCCGCGTGAGCCGTGCTAGAACCTCACTCGATCAAACACGCCGCTCCGACAACAAAGGCCTTACGGGCCGCAACACAGAATACATAGGCGGATCAGATGCAGCCAAGGAAGCCATCTGGATCCGGTCCCTGTACAGTCGAGTCATGCACGGCCAGATTTTATACCATCACGCCGAACGATGCCCGTACCGCCTCTGCCACGAAGAATCCCAGTCCGATACCGATCCACAGAAAATCTTCGTTGATAATCAAGGGGCCATACAACTTGCGAAAAATCCGAATTCCACGAACGTACCAAACACATCGGTGTGCGGTACCACTTCGTCCGGGACGCCTGCGACTGGAAGTTCATCTGCGCTACCTACCTACCAACTGCCAACATCCAAAACCAATCACCATGACGAAAACCCCTTCGTTGGATCCACGGAAAGCAATCACCATGGCAAAACCTCCCTTCCTCGGACCACGCGAGCGCGCAGGAAGAATATCCATGGCCCTGGCCTTGGTGGCAGTCAGAATACCGGGGAAGTGGATTCGGTGGGAGTGAAGCACGTGGCAAGCGGATGACCTGAGTTTCTCCGTTTCATGTGTATCCTTCTCTTTGGAGGGTGTACTCTTTCTCATCGCCGTGGATTTTCCCATGAGGGGTTTTTACACGGTTACGAGTTTTTAATGAGGTACCACCCGGGGATGTAGGGCCATGCAATCGGCGAGGGGAGTTGAGGGAAAATTCTCGGTTCAACCCAGGTCAAAGAACTTTCTATTCAGCTCTTGGAGTTTCCAAGCCGCCCGCCGGGGGTGGTGACGGTTTTTGTTTTTGTTTTTGGCAAGACGGGTGGAGCAAGGTATATCACTCAGTAGAATCACGTGACACGTGGCTCGTCTCGCGCCGCCGGCTTGATTTTTCTGTTCAATCATCATTGCATTCAACTAGTAGATCATGGCAGATTAAAAATCCGCTTCCCGGGCTATCACAGGCCGCTGTCCGCGAGCTCGTACAGACCGCTGGCCGCGAACTCGTATGACCGGGGCGGACAGTTGCGGTTCTGGATTTACTATATGCACTGTTCAATAAAGAGTCAAGACACGGCCTAGTTACCACCTTCATTTGTTCGCTCTACCGTACGTGGCTTATTCTATTCCCCATCCACGCATCAACTCGCGTGCTGCAGGGTTCGTAAGAAACTTCGGGGGCGCCGCGGTCCAAATTCCTCATCTGGATCACTGTCCACAATCGAATTGTAGTCATCATCATCACTGTCGGCGTCACTATCGGCGGTTTCGTTGTGTTTGTCATCACCATCGTCCTCCTTTTCACCATCGTCGTGGTCGGCATCGCCACCGCCCCCTTCTTCGTCATCGCCGTTCAATTCGCACTCGTCCATTCCGAGAACCTCGCGAGCGTCTGCATCCGGCCTCCCCTCCTCGCCGCCGATCCGTATGCACGCAAATCCGTGTAAGCGTTTAAACATCATACTGCGCTCTCTCCGGTCCTTCCCGACGTTTCGCGGATGACGATCGTGCACACTTCCGACGTAGCGACAATCGACGACCTCACGGCCCGCCGACTCCTTCGCCACGGTAGCCACCAGGAGCACCGGCTCATCTTTCTCCCCGGGCTCCCTGACACCCAGCAGGATACAATTCCGCCACTTCTGCAGCGCCAGCTTGATCTTCATCACGACCGACCAGTGCGTACCGAACGGCAGGAGCTTCCCCTCCTCCGCGTCGCCGCGCGTCAGCAGCCGGTAGTCCCAGTCTCCCTGGACCCGCCCCAGTGCGTCGACCTGCAGCGTCACCACTTCGTTGTAGAACGAGCCGCTCTCCAGGTCGCCTGCTGCGTCCGTCGGCATGTCGAGGATCATTGGAGGACACCACGAGAACCCATCCGACGTGGTCATTGTCACGTGGCCGTGCATGAGGCTGGGCGGTCGTATGCGCCCAAGATGGGTGATGATCGCCTTGGTGGTCTCGCCGACTGGCAGCTGGAAGTTGTGGTCTTTGAGACCCGCTAGGAGCCCGGCGATGATGATTCGGTCGGGAGACTTGGAGGTGCTGCGCGGCTGTAGCGTCACTAGGATATCAGAGACGTTGGTCAGTTCCTTCCGTAGCTTTCGTATGAGTGAGGATGCGATCCAGTGCGCGCGAGTGCTGCGCGCGGGGTCCTTGGCCAGGATATCATCGTCCAGGTCCTTCACGACGGAGACGCCGGGTTGCTGCCCTTTGTACAGCACTTTCACTCGCTTCGACATGTAGAGTTCCAACGCGGTCCAGCCCCGCGTGAACCACGGAGAAAGCACCATCGCTAAACAGGGGCTTCCGTCGTCTGCCCACTCGAAGTCGAGAAGATACTGGTCGTGGACGAGTACATATTCCGCGTTCTTGTAGTTCTCGTTCATGGCCTTGATCGCCTTCCTGCGTGTCTCCCGCTCCATCGGAATGGAGATGGTGTCCCACCAGATCCCTTCGGCGCCCAAGTCCGCGCAGATGCCGGAAAAGCTTTCCCAGAGGCAGTGGTTGACCCTGTCCTTCTCGCCCACGCCCACTCCGGTCCCGTCGGACCACACGTGCGATATGGCGACGTACGGCCGGCCAGCGGGGAGTGGAGTATCAGCGCCGCCGGAAAGCGACCACGTCGTGCTCCCGTCGCGATTGAACGACTCCGCGAGAAGCCGCGAGTCGAAATGCTTCTTCGCGCAGGTGCGCGCGTCCGCACACTTATGTAGCTGCTGCATTCGGGTACTGTCGATGGTGGTGAAATGGCAGAATCCCGCCGTGCAGTGCTCGTGTCCGGCGTGGCGGAACGATCCGTGCTTCCTGATGGCTTCCATGAGCGGGTGCAGATCGAGTTGTTGGCGCTCGCTCGCCATGGCCAGGCTCCACACTCGGTTCGGGCACAGCCCTTGCTCGGATGCCGTCTCGGCTGCCTTGACTACCGCAGGGAAAAATATATGCTGCGGTAAAAGGTTCGGCTCCCACCGGCCTTCGAAGACGGCGCCCATTCCGAGGAACGACTGGATCGTCAAGGTCCAGTAGATGACCTCGCAAACGCCCATAAGATCCACCTTGTGCAGCCGACCATTGCGGCCCCTGAGCTGCGGGCTGACCGGGCGGCCATCGTGCTTGCGACCCAACAGAACCCAGTGGGTCATACAGCATGCGGTGCGCAAGTGAGTGTACGTCCTGGCCCTCTTGTCATGCTCGCTGTACGACGCCTGGCAGGACGTAGTGGTAAGTGCCCATTCGCGAAACGCCTTCCACTCGCACAGCGGGGCGACGCTGTCCATCTCCGTCCTGTTCCGCATACACGTCTCGTTCTCGCAGTATCGCACTTTCGACTCGACGCACAGCTGCCCGAGCTGGTTCAGGAACGTAGTGTGCTTATTGACACGCTCGTTGAGCGCCATTGGATCGTGGCGCGCCCAGCTCCCACCGCTGAGTGGGCTGTTAGAGCAGCCTCCGTGGGTGGCCGGTTGCAGCAGTGCGTCGTCGATATCGAGCGTGATGGGCCGTGGCGGTGAAGGCCGTCTTCCCTTCCCAATGTCACCGAATTGTGCTTCGATCGAAGCGATATCGTCCATCTCCTGGTGAACGGCTTGGATGCCGCGCCTGGCTTCGATGTCGGCAAACTGGTCAGCGTAGCCGGCAAAGAGGGCGTCGTTGGACATTGTCGGCTGCTACGTACACTGGCTATTGGTGTTAGCCCAGTAAGGCGTCATGATGATAGGAGGTAGACAAGCCTCCGGACTTTGAGACCGGCTTCGGTGTGTTCTAGGCAACTGTGTGAAGATTCGGGTTATACTCGAGTCAACGTGCTGGATGTGTACATATGCTCGGGCATTCCCGCTACCGTAGGTTGTTCACCGAGTCTGATAGTCGCTGACTCGCGTGGGGCGAGGCTTTGATACCGTACCATCTGCGGCTCTTCATCTGCGTGGGGTCATCTGCTTTCTGCCACCTGCGGGGTCTATGTATATACATGTGTGTGACGGTCGCCAGGATACGGTATGTAGCACACCCTTGAGGTGTTCGAGTGCCCAAGGCCCCAGTGACATAATCCTGGAGAAGACGGCGAAAATGAAAGACTATGGAGACGTTGAGGTTGTATTCAGCTTCGAAGAGCCATCTAATATGGCTCTCCTCTGCTGCCGATGTATTGCACAACGTTCGGTGTCAATCGATCCGGCTAGCCTCCTCAAATCTTATCTGATCCTTCATATATTCTTCATGTGCTCCTCTCATGGTGGTAGGTAGCAGACGACACCTAGGGAAGAAGTATGTAGCAATACTAGTAGGTAGGTCTTGGATACATCCAATCGACGTCTACCGCTACGTCGTTCATCACCAATCAAAACAGTCTGAGGAGAAATTCGAGTCCCAGCCAATTTCCGACCAACCAGGCTCGTGGGTCGTTGAACCCCACACTCTGCAAGTTTGTGGGCTACACAAGCAGATATGAGTCTTCCTTCAGCTCGTGAATATGTATTGTGCTCTACTCTGCTAGTACGGCAGTACCTACGGTAGGTAAGTCCTTAACTCTGTACCAATAGAAGTGATCGAAAGGCATAATCCGGTGCCGGTTTTTGGCCCGGCTATACAGTAACGGCTGGGTCTGAGTTATCAGTTGGTGCGGCTGACCTATTCGCTGCTTTCTCCATTTAAAATTCCCGTCCACGGTCTAGGTGGCAGGCTGAAGTATTTGCTGGATGATAGATATCCGTCAAGATGCACACTGCTTTACTAGATTTGTTGGTTCCGTAACGAGTACTGTTGTATAAACAACCTGGAGAGTGGTACGTAAGTACCTATCCAGGTATGCTATCGGGTGGATAGGTAGGCATGATGATATCGCACAATGTTGGGGCAGCTACGACTTCCTGCGGAATCTGAGTCGGTGACGATATCTCACAACCGCAATGCCTCGTAGAGTCGTAGCCGCCGGCACAATCGATGTGACAACTTTCAGGCGGGGGCCGTCGGCCTCCCCCGCTTCATATCCCAAGGGTTCGTCCGACATCCGATTCGCGAGAGATCTTCAGAGGATCATTGGTGGAGCAGCTAGAGCTATGTTATGATAAAGCGTTGGACTGATACCGGTAGATGAGTAGGCAGGTAGTGTACTGCTAGCCTGGGCGCTGACATACCGTAACTATTGCCCAGAGCTAGAGCGATCTGCCCACCGGACGATGACGAGGAGGGGCAGACCAGGCGGATTTGTGCAAGATTGTACTCACAGCACACCGTAAATGGTTGAGGTCTACTAGCCGTTGGTGGTTATGAAGCATGTATCGTTCAGCGTGGTGTTGGAGTCTTTCTCCTGTGGTTTCTCTTAGCAGACGTACAATACATACCCAACAGACAGCTCGACAGCCACTTGTTCGATCTCCTCCCGCTCCCGCTCTTCTCGGTTCGCTTGTTCACTCCATCCATCCAACAAGATTCGGCTGGAGCATTCCGGAACCTGTCCACCTCAGACCTGTCCAGGACGCCAACAGTGACGACGGAGACTCAGGGGCGGGGGTAGGGGGCGATGAGGCCGGATCATGGCGATCACTGGATGATCGCAGGTCCGGTGCAATAACCGGTGTGTCGTTATGCGGACCACATAGTTATGCACTTGGGGGTGCAATAACCGATGTGTACTCATGTCATTTATGCATACCAATGCATATTACCAATACATTTCCGCGGCAACACGGCAACACGGCAAGCCCACCATCCGGCTCACTCTAGAATCAAGAGTCAAGAGTCAAGAGTTAAGACATGTCCAATATCCAGCGCTGGACGATCCTGACAACATCCCCCTCCCCCCCTCCGCATCGTGTTGGTCGAAGACTCGAAGCCCCCACCACCGCTGAGAAGGCTACTACGGTATCGGTTAGTTAATCTCTGGGCATTTCAGGCCAACCACCGACCGTGCGGCGTGCACGGGTTCGCTCGCTTGCGATTGCTGGTGCTGTGGATATGCACAGTCAGCTTCACGATCTGAGGCTAGGGTCATGGCGGGGATTTCTCGCGAAATTGACGAGCCGGTATCATAGTCCTAGGGCTGCGATGATAAGGGATGTTTATCGGTGACGGATACATGTTATTTGAGTACCTAGGAAGATTCCTAGTACTTTCTTGTTCATACCTGGTTCTAGTCTAGTTCGTGGTCTGTGGTTTTTCGTTTGTTTTTCAGGCTAGGTTGAGTTGTATTGAGTTTCCTTTTCTTTCGTTTCTTTTTCTTCCCTTCTTCTTCTTTTTCTTCTCCCGGCGGCTGCGGGACTCGGGGTGCTCTCCCGGGATTGGTTTTGGTCTTCGGCCCCCGTCAGGATTTCGGGAAGCTGTGAGGCGCAGCTAAATACTCTACAGATTTTTGCCGCCTGTTCTGTCGGCGCAGGAGGCCAGGCGATCGATGCCAAGAGGCGAGAATCGAGAATTGAGATGGGAAGCGGCTCACTGATCAAGAACTCTGGACAAAAAAAGCGGGGATCGTGGTTACGTATCGCTTGATCATTGCGTCCTTCGAGTACCATGAGTGGGCACTACTCTACACGGTATTCTCGCGCGATCGTCGATGTATTCACTCGCTGTGAATCGTGGTTCGTGGCACAGCTTACACCGTACGAAGATCGGAGTCCGTGGAGCAGCAGAGTGATGCCTTGTGACTTGCCTGCTCTCCATCCGGATATCCCAGACTCCCAGACTTCAAGACGCCCGGACTCCAAGACTCCCAGCAACCGGACGTCGCACGGCGCAACGTTGCATCCTTGCACCACCCGCACGAGAGGGACATCCTGGAAACTCCCACAACCCGGGATATCAGTTATGTGGTCAACCTGGAAACCGGGACGTCACGCAGCCTGCAATTGTCCGATTCGGTTCCTCCCCGTCCTGGCGTTCCCATCCGTACTGGTACATTGGAGGCGTGGTCGGGCCTACCATCGTGCTGAGTTGTCTTGTCTCCGCTACATAGAAGGCAGCGGCGAATGTTGGGTTGGAACTTGGGAGAACGCCCGTGCCGTCCTTTCCTCCTGCAGATCGTCTCGCCAACGACGGTATGTTTTCTACTCTCGTGATGGTGCATCGAAGAGGGCAGAGTCGAACCTCGCATCCCCGACTATCGTCACCAACACCTGACTTACCGCCTAGGCAGGCAGGAAGCATGTCGAGAATCGAGATCTCCAGCAGCCAAAGCAAATTCCTCAAGCATAGGTAATCGACAGGTCTCATTCCCAGCCGCACTCCCCGTCACTCGTTGCTCAAAGATCTCGTGACTACGATCGCCTATATACGCACGTACCTTCTTCTGCAAGCACGCATGCACTCATGCAGTCAATGATTATTGTGCAGAAATCGTACATACTGGGGATTTCTGCACGTTGATCTTCTGTCTCCCCCTCCCTCTCTCTCTCTCTCTCTCTCTCTCTAACGTAGCTTCTGCACGCCCCGCTCCTTTCCGCAGCCTATCCCACGCTTTCGCGGCATGGGTCACGATAACTACCGTACCGTAACTCCCTCGCTCTCTTATGAAGAATTTGATAACTGACAACACCGTTACTACATACTACAACATCTTCATACCTCGTGTTGGTATTGCTTTCGGCTTCCTTGATTTGCCCAGCGATGTCTCTACTTAGCGCCCAGGTGCCAGCCTGCAGCGCACTGCGCAGGCCTAGTTAGGCAATGGGCATTGCGCAGTGGGGGGGCCGGGCAACACGGGGGTGGTGATCTTCAGGCAGCTAAGTGGACTGTGGCATAAGCGCCGAGGGAGGTTGACGTCTGGTTAACATGCTTACCTGGCAGCGTGCTAGGCTAGGCTAGGTAGATACTGTATTGGCGGAGCGCAGCTGAGCTTCTCGGGGCACACAGCAGCAGCTGCTTTTTTTTCTTCTTCTTCTTCTTGTCTGGCTTTCTTTCTTTCCTTCTTTCTTTTTGACACTGTCGCGGCTTTGTGTTTTCTTCGCGCCCGGGGTTGGGGTTGTGCTTCCCTTCCCAAGCAAATCGAATGCAGTTCGCAGAAAGAAGAAGAAAAAGAAAGGAAAAAAATTGTGAGGACTGACTGACTGTCTGACTTCGGCCCTCACTGAGGGGATGCATACTTACGTTGCGCAGTGATTGTAGTGTACCACAAAGGGACTCCGGGGAGTCCAGCGGAGCCCATCTAGGTAATTGTTATCTTCTGCACGCTCTGCTCTTGAAGGGGAGATATATATGTGATTGGAGACGCCCGCTCCCCGCCGCCCAGCCCCGCCTTCCCACCGACATATATGATATGACCTCCTTGCTTCCCGGACGCGCAAAAAAACACCCGCTCCTCCGCCGCGTGCCCAACATCGTTCGAAACGAATCCCGACAGGAAGACGGCACGTCTGCTGTTGATCAGCCTGCAACTGCAACTTAACCGGAGTGCCAACGTACCGCGACAATGACTATGACGACGCCAATAACACTCACCCGTCTCGCGGTCCTAGCAGTGCTCTTCGCCATATCCACCGCCTTACCACTGTACTTCCCCCGTCCCCCCTCCCCTCCCCCTTCCACCCCTCTCTCCCCTACTAACCTGCGCAGCACCCTCCACACCCGCGACTACGACGACGTCGACCTGCCCAACGGCGCAGCGGGCCCGTACTCGGAGGGCGGCTACAAGCCACCGGATGCGCGGGCGTCACTAATCACCGCAGGGGTCTTCGGCTTCCTCGGCCTCGTCGGCGTCGGCGTGTTCTTCTACCTGTGGCGGCGGCTGCGTCGCGAGAACGAAAAGGAGGATGCTGCGCTAAGGGCGCTGCGCGCGGAGATGGGGGAAGAGGGCGAGGATCCGCAGTCGCCGGACTCCGCGCGAGGGAAGGGGGAGGATGGGAAGGGGGGAGAGGGGGAAAGCGAGAATAGGATTGGATGGAGGAGGATGATGCGGGAGATGGTTGGGTTGGAGGAGAAAGACGAGGTGCGGAAGGATACGAGAGAGGATGTGGATGGAGACGCACAGGGGAAGAGGCCGGAGGGGTTGAGGATCAGTGTGCAGTCTATGGAGGTGCGAGAGGTCCCGCCGCTGAGGATGCCGCTGCCGCCGGCGAAGGCGGTCATGGCGGGGCAGGGGAGGACGATCTCGGTGGTGCCAGGGACGTCGAGAGCGTAGGCGTTTGGGGGGTGGGATACCGAGCGGCACGGTATTCTCTTGTCGACCTCTCGAATACACGGAATCCGGGCGGAGTTGGGGACTCCCGACTCTCACGGCAACCAATTTACCCAGGACACCCGAGTCGGTTCGGCTGCACTGAACCTCGAGTTCTCTGCAACATTTTTACTTCCCGAGTCCGAGTCCCAGTCTCCTTTGTAATTTTTCCTTTGTATTATTTCCTCTGTACATCTATGTTGTTTTATTATTTCTCTTCTATTTCCCTTTGTTTCTCTCTATTTCTTTCCTCTTGTCTCTGTCTGGAGCACCTGCTGAGGCTGCTGGTTGTAGGCTGGGGCTGAGATTTTTTCCTGTAAGCTGTATTCTCGTTTGTCTTTCTCTTTTGTCTTGATCTCTGTGAGTGAGTGGGAAGTTGGGCGTTTTTTGTTTTTGTTTTTGTTGTTTCATTTGTTTTTCTCTGGGAAGGGCTGGGCTGGTCCTCGTGACTTGAGGGTTTTCCATATGTACAGTAGGGAGTTAGGTGGGAGCTAGGGGGGAGGGGATTGGGAAGATCAACGGAAACGGGACACGACACACGATACCTAAAAATCACATCCATATGTTGGATATCTAAGAAGTACTTTGTACAGATCTACTGCTCCGCAAAACGCGGGGATAAAAAGTTCACTTGACAAGCACCCGCTGCCCCAGCCCGGCTCAACACTTCGCTTGTACCCGTGCTACCCGTGCGAAAGGCAAAATTCGCGATCGCAAGTACGGCCGCAGTTGCTGGTACAGGATGCTCAACACGTGTAGCTCTGCGAGATAAAAACTCCTCAGCCAGAAACCAACACGCGGGTTGCACGGCACGTTACTCTGCTATGCCTCCCCCCGTCCTGTAGAGAGCTGGAGTAAGAACGCACACCCGGTGAGTCGGTGGCAGGACAGGGGTGCAGCAGCGTCCAGCGTTCAGGTTATGTAGTACCACCCACCACCCACCACCCAAACTCCTCAGCATGTTACAGCATGTTGGAGTACAGCATGTCAGCGTCGCCCTCTCCACACACGCACGCAGAGTAGGCGTTGCGTTTCCAATACTCCGCACGAGTCTGTCCCCCGCGAGCCAGCTTGCCGGTGGGCTGGGAAATCTTGTTAGCAAGCCAGGCAGTCAAGCGGTCAGGAAGTCAAGCAGTCAGGAAGTCAAGCAGTCAGGCAGGCAGTCAGGCAGGCGTTGTGGGGGCGACGACGATCGATGGTGTTTTTTGTTGTATTTTTTGTAGTTGTAGTGGTTATTGTTGTTGTTGTTGTTGTTGTTGTTGTTGTTGTTGTTGTTGTTGTTGTTGGAGAGGAGGTTGGGAGGTTTTACTTCCCTCCGGTGGGCTTTCCACGTTGTCATTGTTGCTCACTCGTATTGGTCTGTCTCCGGTCGAGGGGTTTCTGCTTACGGCTAGCGGGCTGGGATATGGGGAGTAGCGGTCTCAGGGCTGTCGTGCAATCAACGATCGAGCAGAGTTACAGAACAGAACATCCGGTTGGTTGAATAATTAACAGCGGCTGATGGTCAGCCTACTCTAAAGTTGACGGCCGCATGCAACTTCTCTGACCCTCTCAGCTAGTCATCATCGGTGGTTAGCAAGTGCGCATTCCGCAGCGGAGGCATGTGGGCACTGTCACTGTCACCGCCATCCCAGCACAGTTCCAGCCCAGACTTGCTCGAGTGGGAACGGCGTCGGCAATCGAACGTCAACGAGGTTCCCGCTAGACAGGTTCTGGGGGGAGCGTTGTGCTTTGTTTTTCGGGATGTTTTCTTCTTTTCTTCTTCTTCTTCTTGGGCGCCGGATGACACTAGAGTACGGTACTTGGAGAGCATGTCCAGCGGCTCGGCTCGGCATTCGAGTGCCGGACACATCGCAGGGCGCCCTCAGTTGGTGAAGATCAATGTATCACCGCGGGTATCCTCTCGTACAAATGTAACTAGCAAGGGGGTAAGAGTTATGGCAGTGGTGCTGTCATGTGTTGACAAGTGGTAGTGACATCGACTCTATACACCGTACTCTATTTCAAAGATCGCATGAAGCAATTCCGCGAGAGCGCGAGAGCCGCAGAGCGCCGGGGCGCGTACGGTCATCACCCCGTCGATCATTCGGCCTTCGGACATCACTGATCAGGGAGTGTGGCGCGGCGGTTCGGCCGGCGGTCCAGCTGCGCATCGGCGTTGGAAAACACAACGGGAGGGAGGCGCAGCAACACCCGTCGAGAGTGGCTATGCGGGCGGCGCATAAACGGTGCGCAACGCATTGGAGCAATCGGATATGGGCTACCAGGCGGCGGCGGCAAGCTTCCCGCTGAGCGTTCCTTGCGTGCTCAGTGCTCACTCGCCGTCTCGGCCGGTTTTTTGTCTGTTTTTGTCTAATCACCATCGCATTAGACCTTAGTAGATCGTGTAGATCATGGCAGATTACATATCGTTTTTCACCCGACTGTGCGGTTGAGCGGTAAGCGATGATGGGTTTGCGCTTCCGGGGCGGTTGTGCCGATCGGGCTTCGGCTCTGCTGGCATGGACCGCTGACGAAGCACCGAAGTCGCGATTCGGGATTCGGGACTCGGGACTGCAGGGTGCTCTCCTGTGGCATGGTGTGGCGCCTCCCTTTCCCTTTGCATGCGGTCCACGCCAATGTTCACGGTCGCGGACCCAGTGTATTGCTGGCGCCCCGGTGCCCACTGCCCTAGCACAGCGGAATATAAATAGTCACTCGTTGAATTTTGACTCATCCACGGCGACGCCGTCTCGGCCGACCAAGTTGCGTGCACTCGCAAACACAGCCGAGACGGGAGGCTCGTAGATACCCACGGTGCCTTACCTACTCTCTCTCCGTTGGCTCCGCCATAACTGACTCGTACATCCACTGCACTGCACTGCACTGCGACGACGGGGGTGTTTCAAGCGCGGGCGGTTAAACGTCTCGGAAACGACATGGAACACAAGCCGCCGCAGAACGGACGCCTCGCTGGTTCGTCAGGGCTCGTCAGGCAGCAAGATCTACGGTACATGCTGCTAGGTACTACTCTATATATCTCCGCGACGCGCCGCTGTTCTAGTAATTTTCTAGCTTGTTCTCCCCCATTGTCAATTTCCGGTCCCGCGGGTTTTTCTTTCTTTTCTGTCTTCTTTACGTTCTTCTGAGCTGGTTCTCATCTCCCCCCCCCCCCCCCCCCCCCGCGCGCGCCTACCTATACCTATACATAAAGCATAATCACTACGATGTTCTCCCTGATCCTCCTCCCCTTCCTCTTCATCCTCAGCTCCAGCCAGTCCCTCTCGATCCCCACCGAACTAACCACCGGCTTCACCACCTCCACCAACCTGATAGTAACCTACGGCGCCAACGAGCTCACCTCAGGCGAGACCGTCGCCCTCTCCCTAACCCAGTCCGCACCCACCTTTGCCCTCGGCGACTCGGACGGAATCAACACTAACGCGAACTACATCATCCTGTGCATCGACCCGGACGCGCCCGCGCCCGCCTCGCAGGTGCTGCACTTCCTCGGCACAGACTTCTCGCCCGCCCCAGGGATCGGCACGAACTTGAGTAGCGACGTTGACGCAGCGCTAGAGTATGCGCCCCCTGCCCCGCCGCAGGGGACGGGACGCCATAGGTATGTCTGGTTGCTGTACAGGCAGCCGAGGGGGTTTGTCATCAGCGATGTGCCGGAGAATAGGACCGGGTTCGATGTGCAGGCGTGGAGAGGGAAGAATAGTCTTGCAGAGGCGGTAGCGGGGACTTTCTTTGTCGCGGAGTTTGGAGGTGCGTAATGCCAAGGTGCGTGCGGGATATGCGGGATACATGCTGACGATGACGGGGGTAGATGGTGGCGTAGTGTCGAGCTCGACGACGGCGAGCGGGGGCGGGACGGCGACGAGTACGCCGAGCGCGAGCTCGACGGCGGCTAGCCCGAGCGGTTCCGGCACCAGCTCGACGAGGGCGCCCGCGCCGACGGGGGGGACCACACTTACCTCGCCTCTGCCGTTTCCGACGCCGACCGGTGGGGACAGCGAGACGGGATCTGCACCGAGTGCGACGGCCAGTGCGGTTACTGGTGGGGCTGGCCGGCGGGAAGTGCGCGTGGGGAGTGTGGTTGCTGTGGCTGTGGCTGCTGTGGTCGGGTTGGTTCTGTAAGCTTGCATGGGGATTACGTCAAGCGAAAGGGGGGGAGGGGGGAGGGGGGAATAGACATCGCACATGCTTCTCGCGGTCGTGCAGCCGGGAATGAAGTGATCAAAGGGTGGAAATATGTCGGTGGGAAAGGGGGTTCCGAGTTGTGTGACCGCCGGATCGAAACGGGCGGCGCCCCGTGGTCTGACGAGTACGTTCTTTTAGTATATGGCGATATACCGAAGCTATCCATATCGGTCCCGTCTCCCTCTCGTCTTCTGTCGTCCGTTTCGGACCATATCGCGATGTTGAAATATCGAAGCGAGTGATCCACGATGCCGCACCCCCTCCCTAGTCCCGTCCAAAATCCTCTCTAAAAGCAAAGCACCAAGGGTTCACAGCCTTAAGTACACCCCATCCAGCACTCGTCCGATAGCCACCTACCTACCTACCCTATCTCGCACCCCCCTCCCATCTAATCATAGCTACAACCAGCAGCCATCCACGCCTCGAGTGAGTGACATCGCATGACCGTTCACCCAATGCCACATCAGGCTCAGGCTCAGACATGTCTCGACTCTCACATGTCTCACCTCCCGCCGCCGCCCAACCTCCGCGCCGAGAAAAGACGCTCGCATGATATAGATGTCGGAGACCAACCGGAGACCTGTCGCATCCGGTGCGCAGGCCGATACACACGATTCACTCTGTTGGCCGCTCGAAGAGTCGATGGGCCCAGACGTGGTTGTATGACAACATGTATGTAGGTAGGCGGCGCAAAGTAGAGTAGGTACACGCATAGGTAGATGGAGTACCAGTGTGCAGCGGTGATACGTTCTCGACGGTGATTGGATAAACCCGTAACCCGCGTAGGGCCAAGCTCCTGGGACCTGTAGACGGTTCCCGTTCCGGTCGGGTAGGCACCGAGGCTCGACGTGGAGAGTTCTCGGCGGCGTTGGGTAACGTACCGATATCTAAATCATACTACTACTGTACCGGAAGAGTAGAGCTGGTTTGACAGAAAAATGTTGAACTCAACCCCCACCCCCTCACTCGAATGGCTTTCTGGGGATCACAGAAAATCGATAATATCGATAAATAGCCATGGACATTTCAATTATCGGTTTCCGCCCATCCAGTGTATCCACCACTGAGGTGGCTGTTCCTGTAGCCGCAGCCCCGCCTATCCGCGTTGGGCGGGCGTGGGGTTCGCAGATCGCCACCACCGGTGAGGGGGAGAAGGGCTCGCTTTGCTCGCCAATCAGCAAGGAGTTAGGTGGATAGGCAGTCGAGTACCGACAAGTTACAACCACGTCCAGTGAGGTTTCCAGGCTTTCCAACGTGTCCCGCCGATACGCATCCGTAGTGTGCTCTAGTATTCCTTCCCTTTTTTCATCTCTTGTCGTGCGTGCTGGGCGTGCGCGCATTTGTGTCGAGCTCCAGTTCTCCAGTCTTCCCACCTCCTCCGTTGTGAGAGGGTATTCCTGCTCCTTGCGCATCTCACGAAGTGCCGTTGCGCACACGTCTGACCAAGACGCTGAGTCGCTGACATCACCACACCACACTTTTGCGTCTCGCTTCAGCCGCACGCTGCCGTAATTGGGATTTTGGTGAAGCCTGAACTTTGAACTTTGAAGGTGGTGTCGGTATTTCGGATTTCGGATTTCAGCCCGGAACTTGGAACTTGGAAGGCGAGGGGAATCAGAAGATCGTGTCCCCTCGAATGCTCATACTTAGAGTCAGTAGCGGCCCTGGGGGTGCGAAATTTAGAATGGGACTTTAAAAATAGACCGACATACCGATAGTCGATCCCCCCCAGGGCCCCCACCACACAAACGGGCGTCGAGCGATCGAAAATCCATCTCGCCGTGTGCTAGACTCTGCAGCTGCAACCGCAGGGCTGAGCTTGAACGAAAACCCTGCGCACTGCGGTTCGAGTGGACTGCGGGGCCCATGGTTCGTTTCGAGGACTGCATAGCATGTGGGTGTGTATGTAGAGTACGTACTTGCTTTTTGAAAGCTGGGCAATTAAATACCCCGCACCGCCATGGCGATATGTACTGCGGCTGTGGAATCACATATGACCTACCTCTGAAAGACTGCAAGTACGTGCTCAGAGTACTCTACATAGAGTCCAGATTCTAGAGTTCTACCCTGCAGCCCTGCAACAGCCGCAGGCAGCAGCGGGGGATAGAGCTTCAAACTTGCCGCGTTTGACGCAGTTATGGCGTCTAGAAAACGAATATGTACAGAGAGCAGCAATAGTGAATGGGTGTTTCTTTCTCTTGCTGAGTTACAGCGTAGCAGGTTAGAGCTCGGATTTGGAATGACGAGTAGTGGTTACCATAGAGTACCGGAAGAATGCTTATGTTGAGGGGGGCCGGTTGACACGCTGCGGATTAGTTATCTACAGTCTTACGGGCTGACAGCTGATGTATTATGTACATACCAGTACTTACATGGTGGATGCACCACGTAGGTAATTTCCTCAGCTAAGCACAGTGCAGTTGCCAGTGACATTGGAATCCCGGGACATTTCCCGGTCGCATCATACTGATATATACGGTACGATACACTGTCACCTCTTCACGGGCAAGTCCAAGCGACAGTGGCAGACGCAGTTGCAGCCGCATATGCCGGGAAGAAATTCGGGCCGAAGATGGAAATCGCTCGGGACAAACATAGGTAGCTCGCACATGTCATCTGTCCCCCGGGTCTTCTGACACTGCGGAATGTTGCTCGGCACTTGCAATCGGGCATGTCACTTGTGTCAGCAGTGGGCCGGGTTCTAACTTCTGCATAGAGTACCTACGGAGAACTTTGGATCGTGGCAGCACGTGCGGGCCGATGTCTTGGACGGCAATCGGAGCACATATCATATGTCGTATCATACTCGGTAAAGAAACTCGGTAAAGAAACACCGTGTGCTCGTGACCGCAAGGTCACGCCGCACGCCGCACGCCGCACGACATGTCTCGGGCTCGTACATAGAGTACATACCGGTACACACAACGGGCAGCGGCATGGCGGGGCTGGATAGTTATCGATATCGTTATCGCAGGCACGGCAACGATTATCGGCTTCATAGAGGGTGCCGCCGGTGCTGGATATTTGCTGGATTGGAGTACTCTTGCTGCGCCCAGTCCTCACTGCCCACGCGAACGTCCGAGAAAATGATTTCCGTGCCGTCTAAAAAGACGGCAACTGTTGTTTTTTCTTCTTTCTTTCTCGCTCAGGCTCAGTCTCAGGGCTGATTTCAATAGTTCTCGATGTTATCTATGGGTATGCTGCTGGAACCAACCAACCAACCGCGAACGCGAGCAAACGGCCGCGGCTGGATGTCGCATGTATGATAGGTATGGAGTATGTACTGTACATAATATGGCTACATGGTCGGGAATCACATAAGATTCTCTATTACAGTCTACCTACTAACTACAGCTCTTCGCTTCGTTCACGGTCACGCTCACAACTCACCACGCCTTGCGCAGGCAGGGGAGCCTCGTACGACATCATCATCAACATCAGCAGCATCACCTCAGGATTTCAGTCTCGGTGTAATTTTCACCGTTCACAAGGAATACATCCATCCCTCGTCCCCTCGTCCCCTCGTCCCCTTGTCCCCAGGTAGAAGAGCTGAGGAAAAACGCGAAAAAAAAACCAGAGCGTTTTATGCTATGCGAGCCTGCACTGCAGCTGCGACTCGCGCCGGTAGCGAACGAATAAATATGGCCATGGTAAACGTCTGTATGAGCTGAAAGTTGAAACGTACGCGCTCTCGTCGAACCAGTCAGGAAGGGCGAGGGTTGGTATGTATAGGTAGTCCTGGGCTGAATGTATAGTTCGCCGGAACAGCCTCGTTCGATATGGATATGGATGTGGATGCGATTCCTCCAGCACCAGCACGAATCCGAGATGCATCCTCCACCAGAGTCCAGACCTCAAACGGTATGATATGTATAACGTCATGCCGCAGAAGTACCATACAATGGCATACATACCCCGCCCAGCTTGTTCAAAGTTCATGTAGCCAAGGAATGTATGTAGAGCCCGCGTAATCGCTACTGCCTAGTTATACTCGGTGTGCTGGCGACGTGACCGCCGTTCAGGACCTGCAAAGTTGTTTGGACGTCGCGAGTACCGCGCAGGAGCTGAACCTATGCAGGGCATGGACGTCGTACGGCGACCTAGTGAGTGCGATGACGGGATATGGGGGTGTAGGAATGCATATGGCGGGTCTGGCGCGGCGGCGAGGGAGTTGGCGAGAAAGAGGAGGAGGGGAAGAAGGATGGGTTCTGACTTGGGGGAGAGGGGTCAGTGTTGTTCCGTCATGGCTGGCAGATTCAATTGTACCTATCCGAGTACCGTAGGTAGAGTATGTATTCGAACGCCCAGAATAGTACGGCCACTGTACCGGCCGCCCAGTGGGCACTCTATCTGATATCACACCTAGGTAGTAGGTGGATAGAGTACCGATCGGGAACTCTTGTATGAACTTTACCCGGGACCTTCTAAATTCTCACAGCAAACACATACACATCAACACGTTTCGAGTCGGCTTTCTCTCCACTCCCCAGTCTCAGGCTCAGATGATGGCTCAGATGATGGCTCAGATGATGGCTCAGATGATGGCTCAGATGATGGCATGATGCTGGCCGTGCGATTTTCGATGACTATATCGAAGTAGCTATGTATAGCAGCCTACCTACTCCTACACACGCTCGAAATACATCCATTCTCCCGTGCCGCCAACGGGCTTCTGGAAGTATTCTATGTAGAGTAAGGAAACGTAGGCGGCGTAGTATAATATAGTTGGTGCTCGACGACATGGCATAGTAATTGTTCGATGACATGGTATTAAGCTCGACGACATGGTATATGCTGAGTACTCGAAATACATCTACCCCGCCGCCAACGGACTTCTGAAAGTATGTAGAGTAGGGACATGGAGGCGACATGGTAGAGTATACCTAGTACTCGACGACACGGTCTGCTGAGTACTCGAAATATATCCACAGCGCCGCCAACGGGCTTCTGGAAATATGTAGAGTAAGGACATGGAGGCGACATGGTACAGTATAGTTGGTACTCAACGACATGTTAGAGTACTCGACGACATGGTAATACTTGACGACATGGCATAATACTCAACCACAAGGTGACATGTGTGCTTATCAACCATCAGCGTAACCGCATGTATGTACACATGTAGGTGGTTACTTACTCGTGAGTCTACGTTCGACAAGTACCTGCTATGTAATCACCTGGCGTAGCAAATATCTATGTACGGTACGGTGCCCTCTCGTCTACTTTCCATCGGTCGACACCTCAGGAACGTATGTAGAGTACTATTGAGCACCGTACCGTTGCGGAATCCGCTGCGGCATACCCGCACCGGGCCTCACGTCGGCTATCCGAGCAGGGCTAGCCCTACCGTGCTCGATCATATCATCGTCGACTGAATGGACGGTCGACACCTCCCGTGAACATTTGTGTGACACCCGAGTCCCCACTCGCAGTCTCCCCTCTCGCCTGCAGAAAAAGCAATCAAAAAATCTATTCCGGGCGTCTCTCCGACTGCGACCCCTGCCGATTCGAGTAAGAACTAGCATCGAACCACATATGGGACTTCTTGATTCTCAGGCCGCCTGCGACCCTTCCTTCTCGATATGCACAGCAGCGGAGTACACACTGTACAGCCTCATCGTCTCCAGAAGTGATCCCCCACGCCACGAGGGAAGTGAACCCCAACGCATCGAGAGAAAACAATGCGATGCCGAAAATAATCCGGGGTGGGCACTGGGAGGCTGAGAGTTACTGAGCTAGTCGTTCGACGTTCGTCTCCATTTTTGGCGGCAGGCTGAGGAAACGGGGCCGTGGTCACCTTGCATTTCAACCGTGGTCGCAGAGGCGAGGGGGAGGTGAATAGCACTCCAGCCTTGCGCGAGTCAGTCAGTCAGTCCCGGAAGCGGTGCGTGTCCGGCTTCTTAGGCCAGCCCCCACCGGCCGGGCATGGATTGGGCGTAGAACAGGAGCGACTCGCGAGTGCGGGACGGTTCCGGGGATTGGATCTGTCGGAGCGCGGGATTCCTGCAGCCATCATCACATCGGCCGGCGAATGGGGGAATTGAGTTGCACTGCTGTGAGTCGTGACGGGCGAGTGTGCCTGGGGCGCCGAGATCTGCTAGTACTGTATCTACGGCATTTCGACGGACAGCAGCAGCAGCAGCAGCACGCGGACTGTTGTCTGAGTATCTACTCTGTCGACTTACTTACTCGGTTATTCCTTTCCCATACACACGGCGTGATGCGAAAGACCACACCACTGCCGAAGAGACAACGTTGACGATCCGGGCCCCAACGTGCATGTGGGCTGACGGTCTGCGGCCGGCCTGAGAATCCATGGGTCCCGTGAGTACTAGTTATTCCTGCGCCGTACAGAGTTAGTGTCGGGCTGTCATCGCTGAGAGGCTGTGCCACCGCTATCGAGGGACATGACTGCATCCAACTGCTATTATGCTTATGCTGGTCCGTCAGCCTTCAGTATCTGGCCTACTAACTACTATGGGAGTAGGTGCTATACTGACCCACAAATCTGGTACTGCTCAGTCAATCCTACTACCCGGACTGTTGGTACATACCGCCTCGACCGGGGGCTCATCCCAGCACATCCCCATTCCCTGGGAGAGACACAACAGACACCGAGCCGGGCGGGGGCGGTGCGGACATCTATCCAAGTACATACATGACACAGGTGACGGGAAAATCGAGAGTACAAGTATAAAGGCCTCCGGTCCTAGTTTCGTGTTGGGCATCCCGCATCGAACACTGCATCCGGCACTTGATAGGCTACAAGTCGAAGCGCGGTACACCGCTTCAACCACGGGCCTGTAATTCCCCACCTCTCTACCTCACCATCATCACCATCATCATCAGCCGGTCCTCCAATTCACTTTGGCAGATCAGTCCGTCCGAATAGAAAACATAAACAGAACCGTCTACTGTTAATTCCTGATTCCTAATACCCCCATCACATCACATCACCATGAAGTCCTGGACTTTCGCGGCACTCGCCGCTTCGACATTATTATCGTTGGTTTCGGCAACCACTGTTGCCGCTCCCTGGGGCCAATGCGGCGGTGACGACTCATACAAGGGCACCGTCTGCCCAGAAGAATACTTCTGCAGCAGTATCAACAGCTGTTCGTATCTCCGCTCTACTGTGCCCTTTGGTTGGTGGGTACTAACGGTGTCGTGCAGATTACTCGCAATGCGTAAAGAACGGCGAGAAATCACCAGCAGAGTACGACATCCACGCCCACGAGCTCTTCCGGCGGCAGGCCGGGTTCACGCCCGTGACGGGAGCCAGATCGGGCGGGATCGTGCAGCGAAGGCCGATCGGCCTGCTGCAGACCGCCGAGCCGGACGTCTTCAACATGTTTATCTGGGCTTTGGTATGCTTTGCTTCCTCGCTCTCGATCGACGGTGAAGCGAGTTACTGACGTGTCTTCAGTACATGATGCAACAAGTCTCCGAGACCGACCCGCTATCGTACTACCAGATTGCCGGCATCCACGGCATCCCGCATATCCCGTGGGGAGAGCCGGCGAGCCCAAACCAGGACTCCGACTACGGATACTGCACCCACGCGTCCGTGCTGTTTGCAACATGGCATAGGCCCTATCTCGCCTTGATCGAGCAGAGGATCTCGGCTCACGCTGTCAACGAGGGGAGGAAATTCCGCGGTGCACAGGCGGGCAGATGGCAGGCTGCCGCGGCGCGAGTCCGACTCCCGTACGTATTCTTCTTCTTCGCTGCGACACTCTGGCTAACACTCATGGTAGATACTGGGACTGGGCTCAGGATGGCTCCGCGATTCCCGCCATCATCATGCGGCCGACAGTCACCGTAACTCGACCGGCCGCTGCCGGAGGACAACCGCAACAAGTCACCATCCCCAACCCGCTGTACCAGTACCGGTTCACCAACACCCGGCTGAAGGCGCAACACTTTGGCGGCCTGCAAGCAGAAGCACAATACACCCTCCGCCAGCCAGTCGACGCGCTCACCAGCGAGAACAACGAGGCGGACCAGCAGATGCGGGCAAACTTCGCCGCACGCCGCGCCAACACCTTCAACCTCTTCAGCATCCCTAATTTCAGCGCGTTCTCGAGCAGCGCGTACGTCTCCGGCGGCGACCCGAACTCGTGGATCTCGATCGAGTCGATCCACAACCAGGTGCACGCGTCGATCGGCGGCTCCGACGACCCCCTCTCGGGCCACATGTCCTTCGTCGACTACTCCTCCTTCGACCCGATCTTCTGGTTCCACCACGCCAACGTCGACCGGCTGACCGCCATGTACCAAGCCGCACGGCCCGGCACGGGCGTCACCCCGCAGCCCGCCACCGGCGTCTTCGGCCGCCGCGTCCAGGACGGCGACGTCGACGATATCAACACGCCGCTGTGGCCCTTCCGCAAAGCCACGGGCGGGTACTTCACGTCGCAGGACGTGACGACCGCCGCGTCAATCTGGGACTTTGGGTACGCGTACCCCGAGGTGCCGACCACGTACCGTGGCCGCCCCGCAGCCGAGCTGCGCGCCTTCGTCGTCGCCCGTGTCAACGCGCTGTACGCGCCGCGCACGGTCAACCAGCGGATGAAGCGCGATGGCGACGCTACCACTACCCGCAGAGAGTGGATCTGCCACTTCGTCTTCTCGCCCGCGGACGTTGGCGGCACCGCCCAGCTCGATATCTACTTCAATAACGGCACCGATACGGAGGGCGAAGGATACGCTGTCGGCGCCGGGTCCGCGCTTGCAAAGGTTAAATACACAGAGCACGACAAGAAGATGCGCGTTACCGCTGCGGTCCCCCTCTCCGATGCCCTCGAGAAGGAGGGTATCGATGTCAACGACCCCCTCGCCGTCGTGAAGTACCTCCGCGGCAACATCGACTGGGTTATGCGCAAGGTACACTCCCCCCCCCCCCCCCTGCCCCGCCCCCCATCCACTGAGTACAATACTAACACAAACCAGGGCAAGAAAAACTACTACGACCTCTCTCTGATCCCCTCACTGAAAGTCGGCGTCTCCTCGTCGGTCGTGACATACCGCGGCAAGAAGGAGCTGCCGGAGTGGACCGAGTTCGAGACGTACTACGAGGTCACCGAGAAGAAGCGCTGCGGTATGGAGTATAAGGATAGCGATATGGTCGACAGCAGAGATGCGGAGAGGTTCTTTGGCGGGAAGAAGAACTCGACTGCTACTGCGACTGCGTAACGGAGGAACGGAGTAACTATGAGCTGATGAGGTTTATGATTTTCTTGGTATGATTTTTCTTGGTACGGGTAGATTCTAGGTGTTTTTGTTTTTGTCATTTTTGCGAGGGGGGCGAGCATGGTTCTTCATTTTCATTGGTTTTTTCTTGGGCATTTACGGGGTATTAGGCATTCATTTTTGGGATTTCTTTTTTTTTTTCCTTTCCTTTTTCAGTTCTTATGGGCTCATGGGAGTGGGCTTGGGCTTGGGCTTGGGCGTCACGATAATTTTGGCAGAGAGGGGGGGAGATCGAGGTGGGAAGGGGACGAGGCGATGATAGAGAGGCGAGATGGTGGAATGCGGGGAACGTCTAGGATATGGATATGGATATGGATATGAATTACTTTCGGTAAATTTGATGATCAATCATAGGGATATGTCCTCGCTCTACTGGTACTCTTTCGTCCCGTCTTTCGCCTTTTTGCAAAGCTTCTTTGTAATCGTGAGAAGACTGGCGCATGTCCAGACTCGACAGCATCGCAGCCGGAGCTAAAAATACTACATAGTTGCCGAATGACGTCCGCGGCGGCAGGAGATCTCACTCGGTCCACGTCCAATCCACATTCAATCCACATCCGAGTTGGGTCTGAAAGCGATAACAGCCGCTGTGGTAACAGTACCGTGACAGTACCGTCAACGTGCGGAGTCCCATGCTGCTGCTACTACTGCTCCTGCTGCTGTCTGTGGCGCGTGGCCGCTGCCGGCGTCGCACGCGGCGAGAACCAAGATCACGGGCGCTCGCTCGGCTTGGGCGGACGATAGAAATTATTGATGTATGTGTATTGCTTACCTGCAAGCTGTGTACACAGCCGCTGCCGCCCCCATCATCGACACCACCTCCGCGGCCGAAACGGAAATTGACGGGGCCGCCCACCCCGCACCAACCGGAGAAGAGAGGGATGATATTTGGAAGAGAGGGAAGCGTCCCGTCGTGGGCTGATATTGCTCGCGGCAGGGGCGGCGTACATGTGACCGTCTTCGTCGGCGGGAGCAAGAACGCCAGGCCGGAAAAGGCACGCAAGCCCCATTTGAAGGATTTGGAAAACCGTCAAAAGAAGGGACAGAATGCAGGTGGGAAGAGCGGGCGAATCAGCCCGTAGGGGAGAGAAGAGAGGGGGGAAGAGGCGGGCATGCAGGCCCATTTCAGTCTTTACCGTGTATCTGCTTTTTTTGGGACAGGCCGGGGCGGGGGCAGGGAAAGCCACATCGGGCCGCTCGGTGCAAGCCGGGTTGGACAGTGGCGTGGAAACGGGGGGGGGGGGGGGTGAACGGGGTGATATTGCCATGATCTAGATAGGTCGCATGCAATCAATGATTAAACAAAAAAAAAGTGTATTGCTTACCTGGGTACACGGCATTGTTGTACCAGTGTTGAATGGCGATGAGGCATAGTACATGGCCAGAGGGGCGGGAGTCGGTGGGATCACGGTAGGACACGGGTGTCGATGCTGCAGAGTTGGTCTACCCACTCGATGCTCGATACTCGATACCTACCACTCGATGCTCGATACTCGATACCTATCACTCGATCCAAGGACTGGACTAAGCCGCGGCGAGGGAAGATGCGGATACGCAGGCGGAGCGGTGGCTGTAGGCGCCATTGAGGAGTGAGAGAGCTCCCCTCCCCGGTGCAAGAAACCGGTACGTAACTGCCTGAGGTCGAATGCAATGATGATTGAACCCAAAAACCGGTATCGCACGGTAACTAAAGTCTAGTGCGTGTGTGCTAGGGCTATGTACTGTACATGCCTAAGGATATAGCACCAGGGGGATAGGCGGGTGACGTGGATCCGGGGAAGGGTGGGGGCGCCGACGGGGCAAACGGAGACCAGGTAAGTGGTGTTACGCATGTTGGTCGACGCTTTGGAAGGGAGAGGGAGAGGGAAATCGAAAGAAGACGTAGCTCTGCGGGTTTCTTGGTGTGTGCTCTGTCTGCAAAGATGAGAGCGCGGATGATGGCCCTGGCTATGGACACTTCTAGCCACACCGTAGCCACACGCCACACCGTAGCCACACGCCACACCGTAGCCACACGCCACACCGTAGCCACACGCCACACCGTAGCCACACGCCACATCTGCCGATTTCAGTGTACGTGCTCTATCCACGACCATCACAGTGGCGGCGATTGATCGAAGGCGAGTGCCAATCGACGTCAGCCTGCGATCTATTAACTAGTCGAAGCAAGAAACGGCTTAGAGTAGTTTCAGGGAGAGCAGAGGCCGCAGTGAGCATCGGAGAAGAGAGAGACCGTGTTGAGACTCTGTGTTTGAGAGGAGAGACCTTGTCGGGACCTTGTGTACGTACCGATATCGTACACATACCCACGTCCTCCCCCTCCGATGCATCACCACCGCCCACGATGAACTTTGGCGAAATCAACGGTCCCGACAGGGCGGTATTCCTCGGATTGCAGCGATCACTCCCGCACGTCCTGTTACTATCCCCACACCCGGAGGCCGCGCTCCTCGGGCGTCCGCAGCTTTCGATCCCCGCGCTCCTGACCTTCCACGCGTTCCTCGTCATCCCCTTCCTCATCCCGCCCTTCCCGCTCAACCGTCATCTCTTCCTCGGACTCCTCACCGCGCTACTCATCTCCATCGTGCGGTCGACAACCGGGCTAGGCCAGGCCGAGGACTATGTCCTCTCCATCATCTGCGTCGGCTTCTACCAGCGCTTCGTCAGCTTCTTCGTCTGCTCGCCGCCGCCGCAGAAGAACGTCGCGCTCGCGCGCCCGGGGAAGGAGGGCTACTTCGGCACGTGGGGGCTGAAGGATCGGCTGCTGGCGCTGTGGGCGATGTATAACAACACCCGCGGCGTGGGGTGGGCGTGGGAAGTACGTACGCGGGGCTACGCGTCCACGCCAGCCCTCCCGCGATGGTAGGTCACGCTCCAGTACCCACGGTTTCCTCCCGCTGACAGAACCCAGGACCTTCGTCCGCGAGCAGCTCCGCAAGCTCGCATTAATCCTCGCGCTCACAGTCCCCAGCCACATCCTGTACCCGACAGTGGCCGAAGTCGTCACGGCGCCCTTTTGGGTCCGCAGCTATCGCAGCAACCTGTGCGTCTTCGGGATCTACAGCATCGTCAACGGCAGCTACATCTTGCACTCCGTTGTCTCAGTCTCTCTCGGCTTCTCCACTCCCGAGGAGTGGCCGCCCCTCTTCGGCAGCATCACCAGCTGCTGGAGTGTCCGGCGAGCGTGGGGGTGCGCATTCCCCATCCCTTCCGTCCCCCCCTCGATATCCCGGGTCCGTAGCTAACAGGAACGGCGACGGAATAGCTTCTGGCACCAAAGCCTGACGCTTCCCGCACTGCAGCACGCAACCTACTTCTCGCGCCTCCTAGGTGTGCGACAGTCGCACCTCCTCACGGTGCTGACGGGGTTCACGCTCAGCGCGGTGCTGCACGCGCTGCCGGCATGGACGATCTCGCGCACCGACGGGGGGATGGTGGTTTACTTCCTTTTGCAGGCGGTGGGGATCGGGCTCGAGGAGTTTTGTGGGCGGCCGCTGGGAGGAGTGCTCGGTGTGCAAGGGCGCGCGGGGAGAGTGGTAGGGTGTGTATGGATGCTTGCGTGGTTCGCGACCACAAACGTGCTCTTTGTCGAGGGCCTCGTGGCGGTGGGAATGCAGCCGGTCGTCGACTGGAGGTGGGCGTTGGGGTATGAAACCGTTCGGATTAACTGAACTGAATCCATGGAGATCAGTTACCTATCCCGTTCGTTACGATAGCAAGTTCGATTGCGTCGTCTGTGTACGAGTAGAGAGTAGAGTGCAAGCAAATTGCAATATACAAATATCCCTTGGCTATCGCTTATCGCCATGACACTCTATGTACATATCATACTTGCATGGATTCGGGCGAGATGTCCGCACCGCACGGCCTTGGGAACGGACGGGGTGGAGCGTCGCGATCGGCGCGGGGATCGCTGTGGATCGTGACGCAATCGTGTGAAGCCCGGTTCCGGCGAGAGGGTTAGGCCATGCGCGGTTAGTAATAAAGTAGCCGCTAAAGTAAAGCGATCGCAGACATCGCCGAGAGAACATCGCCAAGAGAATTGTGAAGCTTGAACCTCACGGCTTGCCTGTTTGAAGGATTGGTGATTAATGCTTAAGTGTAGGTATGTGTTTCGATTATACAGATTATACACGGATGCATACAAATGCAATATAGTACAGCAATTAAACGAAGTACGGTATACGGTAGTAGGTAAGTACCTAGTGAAGCAGTCGAACAGAAGAAACCCCACGTACAATACATACTTCAAGTAGATCAGAGGTAATCCGGCAACACCCCCGTGCCCCCCACAACCACCGAGTCCGGTCTACCATCCGCTCTGTCCGCTCTATCCGCAGGCCTCAGCGGCGGCGCCCTCCCAGCCCCACCGCCACCACCCCCAAAAGTCGCGGTCCTAACAACCGTCGCATCCTCCCTACCCGTCGGCGTGCCCGTTCCCGTCCCTGGCCCCGTCGCTGTTCCCGTCGCCGTAAGCCACCGCTGCGAATCCTTCAGATCCCCGAGATCCCCGAGATAGTCGGCATTCTCACGCTGCTGGTTGTAGTTGTGATTGTGCTCATCCGACAGCGACGACGTAAAACTATCCGAATCGCTCCCCCTTGCACCACCACCGGCACCGCTGGCATGCACGCCCGAGCCCCCAGTGGCGCTTACCTCCCTCTGAAGCGCGCGCACCTCGCGCTGCTCCGCGTCTCGCTTCACTTCCTGTTCCGAGTCCTGCGCTGTCTGGAACGCACGGGCGGGGGCGAGGGCGGAGGCGTGAGTCCTAGTCGATTGGATATGCGGCGTGGCGATGCGGGTATGCGTCGTCGGCACCGAGCCAAAGACCTCTTCGGCGACTGGGTCGCCCGCGACGACGTGCTCGGCGGTGTACACCGGCTCGCCGTAGGCCTTTGCCTCTGCGGCGGAGATCTCGCGGAGGACGCTCGGGTCCGCGGGGTCGGTCTGGAGGTAGTATTTTGTTGGCAGGATGTGCCGTGAGACCAGCGGCTGGATGAGGGGGTGGATGTGGTGGTGATGGTGTTCGCGGGTTACGCGCTGGAGTTGTTCCTCCGTCACCACCGGGTGCACCGTCGTGTGCACTATCGCTAAGGAGGGGTTAGTCGTCACGTGCGAGACCGCGGAGCCGGAGGTAGGCGCACCGGGCGCGAGCGTGCTGGTTACTTGGCTGGTTACGCCTTGGAAATCGGTTACTACCGGGCTGTGCGTGTGTCGAGGCGCTGGGGGGAGGGGTGTGAGCATATGTTGCAAAGAGGGAGGGAGGGGATGGCGTACGCAGGATGAGAGAGCCGTCGGCGGAGGCGGTGGCGGCGGCGGCGGCGGCACGGGCGGGAGGAGTCGTGCCAGCGGCCGAACCCCGGTTGATATCGGACATGACCTCGCATGCCGAGGTGGGGACGGGAGAGGCGCAGAGGGAGTGTGTAGTCGCTGCGAGATAATCATTAACACAATCATTGCGGAGGAGGATCAGGGGATGGGGGGGATGGGTGATAGAATACAGTGCTGGTCGTAATCGCTGCTCGCCTCGGTGGTGGAAGTGATCCCACTCGTCGACCGACGACTTATGATCCTCTCGCCGTCGTGCTGTCCGGGCCGCAGTAGTCCTCCGGACGGAAAACTCTGGCCACGCCCCGGGCTCGGCTCAAGTCCCTCGCCGTAACCATCGAGCAGCGGCGTCGGCGGCGGCGGCACAGTGGGACTGCTTGACTGCCCGCCTCCGACGGCATCGCCGGGATGGTAACTGCTGTCAATAGATGTAGGAATGTAGTTCTGCGGCACTGCAACCGGCGCAGCGATGTGCTGCGGCACCGGCCGCGGCGCGCTCGCTGTCGGTGCGGTGAACACATTCGAGCCAGCTGGCCGAACGGTATCGGCTGTTAATGGCCGGAATGTCGACGACGGGGCTGATTTCTCGCTGCGATCGCGTTTGTCGCCGCCGAGCTTTGAGAGGATTTTTCGTATATTCTTTCGGAACGGCATCTTCGGTATCTATCGCTCTCTCTCGGTCTCGGTCTCTTCGTCTGCGTGTAGAGTAGTAGTCCGGTGAATACGTAGGTGATTATGAAGCCCAAAACGTGTCGATGCTTCTGCCGTCTTTGCCTTTGCCGTCGACGTCGTCGATTGTCTGCTCAATACCACCAGCAAGGACCGGATGGGATTTTGATCAAGGCCATGCGCGAAAGTGGCGGATTGCGTTAACAGCCGCGGCCGGCTACTAGTGATGTTCCTAGTGAAGTAGAGTACGTTCCTATGAGCTCGTTCGCATAGTCCGCGGAAGCTGTCGCCGCCCGCCCTCCATATCTTGTCTCCTCCGCGCGAACGCGTCGGTGGAGTAGATAGCTAGAGGCGTTGTGGAAGCGTGGAAGTGGAAGCGTGGAAGTGTGGAGGTGACGCACAGACTCTGTCACCCTTCCCTTCCCTTTCTTCCTGCCTCGATGTCCGTCCGTAACCCACCACCCAACCCAGCCCAACCCGGAAAAGTGTCTCGCATTCTCGCATCTCGACTACATATCGATCTGTTCACGGCAGGCTGGCAGGCTGGGTTGATGATCGAGCGGTGGATCCGGAACACGGATCAGCAGCACTTTGTATATGTAGTACTATACCACTAGCACCTCAGCACTAACTTAGTCAACCAGACTAACGTTAGAGCGCAGTACTGATCGCGGAGTGACGACAATGGCGTTTTTTGCTTGGCGTACATTGATAACATCACCACTGGCAGTATCGGGCAAAGATCGTCGTCTAACGTCGTCCAAAAGCTGCAATCTTATGCCCGCTCCGGAGCTCCTCCGCGCGCGTGTTTGGAGTGTTGGAGTTGGAGTGTTCCACATTCCTGGGAAGCACCGGGAAGCAGGATTTTGCTTGGATTTTGCTTGGATTTTGCTTGGATTTTCTAGCGGTAAGGGGTGGGTGGGTGGGGGGTGGGGGCGCACAAGATACGGAGAATTGTTGCAGGCGTGGCGGCGGGCATGAGATATCATTCGCCAGCGGATCTTCCCGCCATGGAGAAGTATCTCTCTCTGTGAGTGCCTACTCTATGATAGCCGGCGGACAGGCGAAATTCTAAAACCAAGGCCCACGTCTCAGTGCTTGTATGTAGCCGTAACAAACCCACCAAACAGGTGAAGCCTAGATCCAGATTCCGTCTTCGCAGCTGTCTCATCCGCCCCCCAAAGCAAGATCCAAGGCCCGCGTCAAAAAAATAATCAAGCATTGATTGGGCTTGTCCTTGCTCTGCGGAGGTGGTGGTGCTTGGACCAACAATCCGGACCGGCCTACCTGTCCCACCTGTCTACCTACGTCGTGGGAGGTAAAGCAGCACCGATGAGCCCGCCATGACGTCCGTCCTCCTCCAACTCGCGTGGAGCAGTAGGACGAAACACGGTCCTCTGGGTTCGAGAACTTAGTATTTATTGAAGGGATGAATCCCTCACTCCTGGCCTTTCTTTCTAATCATCACACCATCTCATCACACCATCTCAGCATACCGCACCAGCTTCGATAAACGGAACATCTACACATCAATACCACACCGCACACTACCAGACCTTCACAAGCCTTCACAAGCACCACAAAGTCCGAACAAGCCTCACCAAGCCCCAACAAGCCTTAAAAAGCAAATCGTCATCAATTCATCATGCAAGCCGCTAAGGACGCCGCCCGCAACTTTCTGTGAGTATATCTTCTGCTCTCCCTCCCTTCATTGAAGCCACACAATCCTCACTATCACAATTAAAATCATGGACCCCAACCCCGTCCCCGCCACCTTTCCCGTGACCCCGCAGTCCCCCAAGTCGCCTGCTTTCGGGGGCACCGGTGCTGACTCTCCCAGCCACCGCGACCACCACCACGAGACCGTGGTGTGCGAAGACTTCAAGCCCGCCGTGACCAAGGAGACCGTCGTGCCCGTCGAAGTCGTCAAGGAGACCGTCGCCATCGACCGCGAGATCCACCAGGACCACCACCAGATCCGCATTCAGCCCATTGAGGACCACGTCCGTGCCGCAGAGAAGCACGAGGCGAAAGTTTTGCCTGTCGTCCACCGCGAGACCCATCACGGAAAGGAGGCCGAGATTAAGCGGAAGCTTGAGGAGGAGGCAGGCTGCTCAATCACCACCGTGATGCATGAATGAAACTAACCAGCCTCTTACAGGCGCAGAAATTCCGCTCGACAACTACGGTCCTCCCCACCACGCACGAGAAGGTACAAGTGGGAACCGTGCAAGGCGAGCACATCCACCACCACGTGTACGAGCAAGTGCAGCCCGTGATCGAGCGAGAGGTGATCCAGCCGACCGTGGTCCACACGACGGTTCCGATCCATGAGCGGATCGAGTACGAGCCGACGTTCCACCCTGCGACGGTGCAGCCCAAGATGACGATGGACGAGTTCCTGAAGGCCGGCGGCACGCTCGAGGGCCGCGGCGGAGTATGCGAGAGCTTCGCGGGAGAGCCCCAGGTCCGCGAAAATGGTGGCGCGCAGCAGACCTACCCCAATGCTCACCTCCAGGAAGGGAAGCGCCCCGGTTACCATCGCATGGCCAGCAGCAGCTCGGATATGCTGAGGGACGCGCATAGGACTGGAATGACCACTCCCCCGATTGGTACCCGTTAAGTAAGCTCGCACACGACGTTACGACGGAGAATAGGCGCTTGTACGATTGGGATTGAGCGAATTTGAGCACTGCGACTGCGGGATGTTTTTTGTTTTTCCTTTCTGTTCTGGTTGTTTGGTTATATGTATGAGCAGAATCAGGGTACATTCACGTGCAACGTCAAATCGATGCTTTCATAACTTTAAACCACAATCTCGACTGTGTGCAAAGCGCGAAACCGTGTCAACCGAGTCCCCAGTCATCGTAATCCCAAACACCCGGCCTTTGCAGCGGGAGATGTGCGACGGGATGCAGAGTTGTCACTTCTATCGATCTATGGTACACATACCGTGTGTCCACTGGCATCAAGCATCAAGCATCCCGGACTCGTCATCAAGGCTCATATATGACGTTTCCCAGGTTTCTCCGGTGCGGCGGAAGCCAAATCCCTGTAGGCTGTTCGTGGTCCCAGCGCCTCGTCTCCGCCCGCGTACCGACAACGGGCCACACCACACCTCCGAACTTCCACATTTACTCCAGGTGTGTAGGCAGTCGGCAGGCAACGTCAGACGCGCCCCGCTCCCGTCTTCCCGAGCGCCGGGGACTGGGGGCCGGCTACCGACGCGGCGCGCTACACCCGGCCCGGAGTGACACTCTCCGACGGCATTTCGCGGCGTGGGCGGTGCCGGACTCCGTGATTCGCGCTGCTGGTGCCGTATGTAGGCAGAGCAGGTTGCTCGGTCCGGTGCCAGCCGTGATCGCTACAGATGCAGCCAGCGTAAACGGGGCATCGGCGGGAGCGGGTGACGGCGGAGCGCGCAGTAGCGTAGTTGACAATCGGTATGGTGTAGCACGGGGGAAGGCTGTGGTTTTGGATTTGTTGTTGGTCGTTCTCCAGTTGTGGTCAAGGCGTCGAAGAGGACTGACGCCGTGGTGCCTGCTGAGTCGAGTTGATCGTCGAGTCCGAACAGAAAAGCAACAATAGAAAACAATTCAACCTTCAACGAACGCATCGGGTCTGCCCTCCATAGCACATAGCGCCCTGACAGGTCCCCCTCGGTCTCTCTCTTGAAATAGGTAGAGAAGGAGAAGAGGAGAAGGAGAAGGAGAAGCTGGACGCATGCATGGATGGACCACGTCCGAAGCTGTAGCTATCGGCCGGCCGTACAGCACCAGCGTCGGTGATAGTTTTCGGATGCCTGCAGGTACACCATCTCGCAGCAAACCCGCGTCAAATTACCGTTGTTGGCAATACTGTAGGACTCGGGAGGTCGCAGAATTTGCAGTTCGAGACATCTCCCATCATGTATGTAAGGCCGATTGGCCGTGCTGTCTAAAAAGTGGTTGGAGATTCGCGTGCCACGGGGAGCCCCGCATGCGTCATGGTCGCTGGATACGCTACTACATAGAGCAAGACGGGTGTGGCTGAGACATAGATGAGCCACAACCCTTCCTTGCGCAGCACTGTTGGAATGTGTGAACAAGCAATGTATTGTTGTTGTGGTGTGAGAGTCTGAAGCCTCGAGAGAATACATAAAAGACGGGTGGTAGGCGGCCAGTGCTCCCGACGCCATGACCGCGTAAACGACTTAAGCAGATATTACGACAAGCACCACAGTGAAATGATCGAGTGATACCTCGCGGAAATCAACCCGATTTCGGCACAGAAACCGCATGATCTAAGCGCAGACTAAACGAGTGGCTATGGTCCTGGAGAAACCGCTGGCATCTCGATAGGTCATGTGGTACCGCTTCGATATTTCGAGATGGACACCAAGTCGTGCAGCACCACGATAACACAACCAATCTTGCGGTTCTGGACACGCAAATATGAAGGTAAATTCGAATACTGGTCACAAACTGTACCAGTGTACTCTACGAGACCGACTTCATGGGTATTGGACTTATTCTGCAGAATTTTGTTGACTTCGACGTTGTTTATGAGTGCAATCCCGTGAAGCCCGATGTAGTTAGTCATTATCATCATCAAGTCTCGATATCATTGGCGTATGCACCTGCGACCTCCGACAGGCTAATGCAGCCCGATATATATCCAGGCACCGAGGCTGCATGCCAGCTGGTTCTTCATATGTAGCGCGTCACATCACGAACACGCAAACTACCCATCAACCATAATACCACGCGTCTCCAGTTTCGAATCTATCCCCGCGGAAAGATACTGATGCCCCGCTGGTGGGACTCCCTGTGCCGGTACACCCACCGGCTTCTGCGACGAGTGCTCCGCAAGGACCGTCATGCCGAAGCGCAGGCCGCGAAACCGGATTTGCCGGATGTGCCGCTGGAACAGAGCGACGTCGATCATGGGGCTTTGGGGACTGTCGCGGCACCGGCTTCGGCGAGTGTCGAGCAGCAGTCGAACCCGCAACCAGCCGCGCAGGATATCGGTAGTGCCGTGTCCGTGTCCGGCTGGAGTACCGTAACGGACTCGCCTCCGGCCACCGCCGGCGCCGTACCAGCCGATACCACCCCTGCGCCGGGAAACCCACCGCAAAGCTCCGGGGCCACCGCCTCGGCAGCCAGCCCGCCATTTCCCAATGCCTCATTCGCCCCCCTGACCGTGCCGCACTGTTCACCGAACACCCCGCCACGCCCCGAATTCGCCTCGTTCACAGTGCCCTACCTCTGCACGTCACAGCCATACGACCACCTCGACTTCTGGACGTTCCCGCTCCGCCACGGCTGGAACGTGCATCTGGCAGACATGGTATGCCACGTTCTGTGTCCGCCTGGGCGGCGATGCCAGCAGCAGGCCGAGCAGGAGGGGGAGGAGGAACGAAGTCCGCAGCCGCCGATATTCTCGCGTGTCGACGGCAAGCCCGTCAGGGCGGAGGATAAGGTCGCGTTTCTGCAGGCGTGGTTGTTCTTTGGTGTGCTGGACGAGGTTTCAAGGCTGTGTGGGCTTGTGATCGATGTTGACGCCGAGTTCGTGGCGGAGGCTGGCGACGAGGTTTCGACGGCGGGGCTCAACGGGTTGTCCAGCCGCTGGTTTGAGGCGACGAAACGGACGGGTCGCGCCGGCGATAAGGCGCTGATGGAAAGCGTCATGAAGGTGGCGAGACATGCGCGGCTGATGCTTACGGAGGAGATCGTTGACGAGGAGCGGACAAAGAGGTTCGAGTATACGTTTGCTGAAGGGCGGATCTTGCAGTCACTCGATATCGTCGTCCGCTTGGTAGGACTGCACTTGCGGTCGCACGTGAATATCCGTGGGTTCACGGCGATGGAGGAGGAGGGCTGGGGGAGACAGCGGATCCGGAAGTGCTTGCAGCCAATGGACTACAGCGAGGGGCTCGACCAGTTCTCGGATCTCGCGGAGGACGCGATGAGGGAGGCCGGCTGGTGCGAGAGTGAATTCGACTCGATGACACCCGAGGACGTGCTGGTCGCATCGCTACTGGATCGGCCGAGGATCAGAGATCATTCCGGCTGTGGCGAAATAGTCTGCTCCGCGTACCAAACCGACGAGGCGACTTACCATACGAGACATACGGATGATGACTGCCGCTGCGAGGTTACTGAGGTGCCCACCACGCTCCTGGTGCAGGCCCTGGCCGCGGGACGAGTACCCAAGGTGTTTATAACGGATCAACTGGAGCTCGAGGTTATCGCGAGCGACGATCATCCCTATATTGCGCTCTCCCACGTGTGTATGCCCCCCCCCCCCCCCCCCCCCCCCCCCGGCGCACCCTCTCACTGTCTTACCATGTCGCTGACCCATGGTACAGGGGCCGATGGGCTCGGAAACCCTTTCGTCAACGCGCTCCCCAAGTGCCAGCTCCGGCGCCTGCGCGGATATGTCGACGAGTTATACCAGATCTACGATGCCAGCGGGCGAGCGGACGGCCGGACAGTCGGAGTGTGGATAGACACGTTGTGCATTCCCGTAGCGCCGAGCGCCAAACAGTACCGTCGCACGGCCATCCAGCTGCTGGGCAAGACCTTCCACGAGGCGAACGCAGTGCTGGTGCTGGACCGCGAACTGGAGATCGTCGAGTCGTTCCCCGCGTCGTTCCTCGAGGTCGGATTGCGCATCCTCTGCAGTGGCTGGATGAAGCGCCTGTGGACACTGCAGGAGGCCTCGCTGGCGAGCGATGCCCACACTGCTGAGAGGATATACTTCCAGATGGCTGACGGCCCGTTCTTGTATCAAAAGTACGATAAGAACCGGAAGTTGATGGTGGGGGCGCACGAGGACGAGGGGACGCCCGATATTGCGTCCGAAGAGCGGCATCTTCTCGGCGACGCCGGGGTGATGTTATCACTGGGACAGCGCATCCCGTCGGTGCGCGCGATGCGAGACTCTCAGGGGAAGGTTATATCGCACTTCTACACCTTCCACTTTGCGATCGAGCACCGATCCACCAGCAAGATTGAAGACGTACCCGTGTGCATCGCCTCTTTGATGGGGCTGGACCTATCGGCAATCTTGTCCGCCACAACCGGCGAGCAGCGAATGGCCCACTTCTACCAGACCGTGCGCTCGATCCCGTACGGCGTGCTATGGCGGTACGAGCAGAAGCTTTCCGTCCCCGGGTTCCGCTGGGCGCTCGCGTCCATCACATCCTGCGACTCCAACGCATACCTGGGCTGGGACTTTGGCACGTGCGACGCGGACGGGCTGCACGTGCAGCTGGGCGGCTTCGTGTTCTCGCAGCCCGAATCCCTGGAGGAAGCTCCGCCATCCGCCGACGACGAAACCCTCCCGCCCAACGCCACCATCCTCTCGGAACAGACCGGCGCCCAGCTGCTGATGCAGCTGTTCCCGCCATCCGCCCCGCCAATCCCGATGCAGAGGAATCTCGCGTTGATATGTAAGCCCCGGCACAGAATGGACGAGTCCCCGAATGCGGCGGTGGTTGCCGTCGAGGGAACCACCGACCGCGGGGATGAGGGAACGGAATTCGTCTGTAGGATTGTGGGCTTCGCGCATCTGGGTAGGAGTCGTCGCACCCTGGACCGTGTGTTCCGCGGGAATATGACGGCGCCGAAACAGAGGTGGTGTATTACTTGACGGCTGTGTGTGCGGGGATGATTGAAGCCGTGCGATGGGAGGCTGTCACTCAAGGAATAGATGCGATTGTGCGTCGGCATTCGGGAGCAGTTGATGGGGGTGGCGGGTGGCAATGTGCTATCCGGGTTATCTTGTTGGGGATTTTTATCATGGCATTCGACCTTGATAGACGATAGATCATGCCTGTATAATGTATACTTCATATCCGTAACAGAAATAAGTCACCGGTATTTTCCACTCGCGTTTCACAGCTGGATCGAGTGTTCGCCGTGCAACGGTGCAAGAGTCATACACCAATGTACCTACTTTTCCAAGTAGCGAAATAGAGTCGAGCAGTGTTCGAGGTGAAGAGTCCCCTGCCGGCCAGAGTGGGTAGCGAAGGTTATGTCCAGCCACGGCATTCGGGATGTGGGCAATGTGCATGGCCTGCGCTGGTACCTATACACGCACCCAGTTAGCTCTAAGTAGTTACTATTCTCGTAGATACATATGTACTCTACATACGAGTAACGGTCCGTCAAGGGCTCCTGACAACCGTTCCACACGAAGTCCCCAGGAAGAAGGAGCCGACATCTCAAGTGGAAGTTCCAGGCCCAGAAGTGGGCTCGATCTTGTCGGCACGACGTTTACCAGGTATAGAAACATGCTGGAACGTATGTATGGTAGAGAGTGAATGCCGGGAACAGACGGGGAGAGACGGAATAATTATCACGCATCCGCGTTTCAGGCATGGATGGGCATGGATGGGCAAGGTCGGATTGATATTGCGGGGGTTGGTGATCAGGGGCCAGGACGCAACCTTGCAATCCCTATTGCAAACCAGGGCGTAGGCGTAGCGTCGATTCGCATTGGTCATCTCCTACATACGAAGTATGGACTTTCGGTGTTTCCTTGCGCGCGTCGCTCGGCTGTTTCGTTGTTTGGCTGTTTGGGTCTATTGTTTCATTGCTCGCTGCATCGTTTCTAGGCAATGCCGAGAATAGGTATGCGTGCCTCCAAAGTTCCCAGCTCGTAAGTCAACTTGGGAGAGAGAGAGAGAAAGAACATTGATTCACTTTCGCATACGGCGTTACTGCTCGTAGACTTTGGCCACCTACGTAGACGTTGATGTGCGAGCCCGCCGCTTCAACCGTGACGGTCACGTGATGCAGTAACCGCAGTAACCGCGGCCCGCTCACCCACTCCCGTCAATCGTCCTACACTTCGCCGTTTCGCCTAGACTTGTTTGACGTATTAGTCGAACGGCTGTATATTCGTCTCCTTCCATATACCTATTTTGTTTTGTTAAGCATTGATTGCATGCGACCCAGAGGCTAGGTATCTAGATCATGGAAATGTTCTCCGTTCACATATTGCTGCGACGTGGTCCTGCTGGCATTGGGTTGACCGCATCTGAAACTATGAGTGTTGACCTATTCTAGGTACATCATCCGACGCTTCCTCGCCAACCCAGGTGGAATCCTCAACAACATGCAATCCCAGCCTCCTCCATGGACCATCCCTCGGTGAAATCGCTGTACCGTAACGTATCGTACATGGGCACAGTCAATCGGATACCCCTCGTCGTGTCGTGCTCAATCACGCTCGGCATGATATACCAGCGCTACTTCTCGGCACGACAACGATCCTATCGAAACAGCGACGTTCACGACTATGGTACCGAACAGTTTCGGATATACCTCCGCCATAGTCCGCATTGATGGAGCCGAGGTGGTGGACCATATCATACGTCTATGAAGTTCCATCCCCGCGGCATCAATAGGCACACATCATGAGGACTCGTATGTACAAGAAGTTCAATTTTTCGGGACGTGGCTAACATGTGCCCAAGAAGATGGGTGAACACCGGAAGAGGCGGATGCGTATTCGAGCTCGCAAAGTTGTAGCTGGATTATAACTTGTGGGCTGGTGCGTATGTACGATGGTTTTTCCTGGCGGTAAAGCCGCGGAGTCGAGGCTCCGTGGCGGTAAAGGCGCAATGCAATGAAGTGAGACGTCCATCTTTTTCTACTTTATTCTGCAACGCGAGTATTAAAGGCTCATGTTTGCGGGATAATCGCGACGTAGAGTACTTACAGCCGCCAAAAAAATAGATATATCTAGTATTTTCATTCTCTTTCCCATCGTAGCAAGTCAAGTCTGTGCGGTCTAGGAAGGAAGAAAACTTACAACTCCACTTCCACTCGAACTTCACACTGCAGATGCGGCCAGCGCATCCTCTCAATTTCTGCCTACGCCGCATCGCCGCATCGTAAAGTGCCCGCAGGCCGTCTAGACTCTAGCCACAGGCGGCCCAATTTCTTCTCGGCACCCGAAGGCTAATCCATCATCCCGTCAGGTTTCCGAGTGACTGACAAGGAACAAGCCTCGGCACCATCCATTCGTCCATCCATCCATCCCAGGTATCCCAGATTCCCAGGTATCCCCGACGTCTCGATAGACTTCGCCCCCACGCAACCCCCTGGCACTTCCGTTTCCTACATAACCGCCAACCGCCAACGACCTACCTACTCCAGCGCGGGCCACGTGCAGAGCCCGGAATTTCTCCCTGTATGTATGTAGAGCCCAGGAATCCCCACGCCGATCGGATCCGATATAACCGGTGGATCCGAAACGGCCGTGCGTGCAGTGCGTGAGGTGAGCTGAGCTGAGCGGGGTTGACCGCTGCACAGTGCACCCTGATACATGTGGTACATGTGCTACATACATGGCTCAGTCGGATGCTTTGCATACCGTATGTAGGATGTATGTATGCCAGCGAAGCGCTGCAGGGCGCTGTCCAGTACCCAGGGCCCAGGGCCCAGGGGAAAGCCGGCCCGAAGCCCGAGGGCGCGGGTATGTACCAGACATGTATCATACATAAACGCGCCCTCACCACCACCACCACCACCACCACCACCACCACCACCACCACCACCACCACCACCACCATCAGCACCACCGCCGCCGCCTCCTCTTCATCCTCCTCGTCCTACTTCCTCGACGCCGCGCAGAATCAACATCAACATGCATCCCACCCCCCTCCTCGCCGCCTTCGTCCTCGGCCTGGCAACACTCGTATCCGCCGCCCCACGGCCGCAGATAATCATCAACCCGATCAACGTCAAGATCGAGCTGTACGCCGACGCGAACTACAAGGGCGACAGTATCAAGGTCGAGCCCGCGCGGAGCTCGTGTAACGATGTTGGCTCGAAGATGAATGATCGGGTATGTGCGCTTCCACCGAGAAGGAAAATGAGATGACTGATGGGGCGTAGATCACCAGCTTCAAGGTCCTGTACGGCTGCTGTAATTTCTATCGGAACGGGGGATGTAAGTTATCTCGTTCACAGAGGGGGTGGGGTGGGGTGGTGGCTAACGAGTGCCATCTGCTAGGCAACGATCTGCTCTTCCAGGCGGACCGCAGAGAACACTCGAATATCGGGTCGACGAATAGTGATCAGATCAGCAGCTACAAGTGCAATCTGACTTGCGGTACGATCTAGATGGATGGATGGAGGCGGCGGACGGGTGGGCTGTGGGGGTGTGGGCTGCGGGGTAGGCTGCGGGGCTGTGCGGCTGGTAGGGGGAATATCAGTGGCCGTGTTGGAGCACATGCGCATTATAGAATGTGCTTCTTGCATGCTGAAGGAGAATTGCAACATAAGTACATATTCAGCCTGATCTCAGGCTCTCAGCAGCGGATCTATCCCTGGCCGAACGTCCGTGCAACGTTCGTGCATGCGGGAAGCACTCGCATTTATCCAGAGTGACGGTGTGATCGCCGACTCGGATCATTGCCGGCCCGCGTCCGCTGTCGAGTGACGAGCCCGCCCTTCACGGTGATCACTCGTCCGCCGCCGCCGCCGCCGGGTGTGCGCAGATTGTGGGTGACGTTTCTGGATTGGAGAAACGAGACTGTTGGAGGAATTAACGTTGTGGAAATGGATATCATGGTATTGAAGAGCTAAGAGCCGGAGGGGCCCTTAGTCGAAGTTGGAAGTGGAAAGGGTGAAAAGGGACAAGTGTAAGTCACGAGAGAGAAATAGGACGAGACTAGAAAAGAACCTGCTGTCGAATTCAGGAAGTTCTAGAAGAACGAGCACACTAAATAAAACGATCGCAGCAACGGCTGTACAGTAAATCAGATAATAGACGACCGTGGCAAGAACGATGAAAACAATGATGATGGACGATGAGACAGACAGACAGACCCGCCGGCAAAGTAAACAAGAGCACACTGAACGTTTAACCCCACCGAATCTGGTCTAGCCAGGTCGGCGAAATTTCACCGCTTGTGCATCTGCCATGCCCGCCGTTTCTGCTGTGTCCCCACACGACGAGATGTGTGGAACTGCTTGTGCCTGTAGATCGGCTGTATGACGCAATCCTGGAAGGGGAACGACGAAAATGAAAGCTGATGAAGAACGAACAGCCATCTTATGGCTCCTCTCTGCTGCCTTCAACGTTGGTGCCACTCAATCCGGCCAGTCCGGCTGACATGTCACTCGGATCCACCGAATCCACCATATCCTCTCTCTCTCTCTCCTCCTCCCATGGCGGCAGTCAACACTGTAGCACATATCAGGATTCACGCTCTGATGCTGTCTGTGGCTTGTAGACCAGCCACCTTCACTGCGGTCGCCACAGTGACACCGCCTCCGACAGTGCTGCAATGCGGGGAGTCCCGATGCGTAATGGTATGCATGTACATGCTTGAAGATTGTCTGCGGTGAACAAGAGAGTGACGGCAATGCCACGATCGGAACAGCTGAACAATCAAAGCAGGCGAAGATAGGTTGCGCGGGGGACTGTTCAGGGGTCGCGGGGGAGAGCCGGCGGCTCTTGTTGCTACATCCATCGACGGAGTTGAACGGTCGAGCAGGACTTGAACGGTCGAGCAGGACGTGAAGGGTCGAGCAGGACATGACCGGTCGAGCGGGACGTGACACGCCCGGGGTGCAGCTGCGGGCTGTGTCCAGCCTGTAGCAACCAGTTGCCTTTTGAAGTGGTTGTCTCTGTCCGTTGCCATCGACGTCAAGCTGGCCCGACACGGCCGGCCAAACGTTGTGTTTTCGCCGGCCACTCTTATTTAAAGATGGGTCGTCGTCCTCTTCTTCTACTTCATCCTCGTCTTCGTCTTCATTTTCTCATCATCATCATATTCTTCTTCTTTCTCGATCATCCTCTACCGAATAGACCACAACGGTCAACCTCCACATCCTCCTTCTCTTCATCCTATTCTTTCTCGATGATCCTCTACCCAATCGACCATCACCCTACATCTCTCCTCTTTCTTCTATTTGTTCTCGTTCTTTCGATTCGCTCACACCTCCCTCCTCCCCGCTACCACATTCGAAGCTCGACATTCCCCACAACCAAAACCGTGAAGCGGTACAGAATGTCGATGAACAAGAACGACGGAACTGAGCAGGTGAGATCCCCACAGACGGAAGTGTCAGCTAATATCATACCGGCGTCGCTAACATCGCCTCCGCCCAGAGTGACCTCGCTTTGCCGGAGCCACACGATGCAGTTGTTGCAGACGGCGAAAATTCCTCGCCCACCTACTTCTCGCCTACCCTCCAGACGGCGCAGCGTCGGAGGATAGAGTCAGGGTGGCTACGGGGTTGCTTTTGAGTTGCGGAACTGTGTTGGCAACCACCTAGTGAGTACTGCCGAATAGACAGACACCTTCCTCACCACGCGTCACATACAAGAGCTCTCAGTTGCCGTTTACTGAACTTACTCGAGCTATTGATTAATAGGTACTACGGACGGGTAGTGTGGGAAACATTCTGGACTGACGTCTTGAAGGCACTTTTCGATCCTTAGCTGCGGACTTTGGACGGACTTGTCGCCAAGACGTTGAGGCTGGGTGTGGACCCAGGTGCGATCTTGTTTAGCCTCGCTTGTTTTGCGTGTGCATTTCTGTTTTCTTTTGATGGTTCTTGTTCGCTTGGGCGATATCTCTTCGAGAACTACGAAGCAGATCTGGCGGCAATGGCGAAGACATTCACCATCGAGACACCGCCGAAGCCAGGGAAGATTTTGGAGAGACCTATCCTATACATATCACGATCCACATTACCGTATGAGGCTGAATACGAGGCCTCAGAACTGGGGATAGCTTGCCTAGCGTGGGCCGTAGGTTGTCTCCGACAATATCTAGACGGATCGCCATTCCGTGTATTCACAGACCACTCCGCGATCCCAGGCATCCTCCGGTCGTCCGCCTCGACGTCGTATTCCCTCAAACTCGACAAATTCAGGATGGCCTTGATGCCATTTATCGATAATATGGACATCATCCATAAACCGGGCAAGTCCATCCCGCATGTTGACTGCCTGTCGAGGAACGTCGCACTGAGGACGGATGCGGATTCATCCGACGGGAGAGCGAGCGGAAGGATCACGACGTGGGAAGTAAGAGAGGAGGGAGCAAAGGTGATAGAAATGGCGAGTGTGGAGAGAGAGGAATGATGATGAGATATATGTATAATGGCGCGGTGTGCCTGATGGCAAGAGTGAGCGGTTTAAGCTCGGGAACCGAGCTTTCGGCGGAGGGGGGACCTGTCACGGTTGCCAAGACGGATCCGAGTAGATCGGGCCGGCAAGGCAGTCGGCAAGGTCACACCAGGAGATGAAGAGGGAAGATATAGCGGTGCGAATGAAGGTTGAGGTGAATGATCGCTAGCAGAGGAGCTGAGGGATAATTGTTTTTCTTTCGTTGGGAGACAACGTCTACGATTGCGGCTGACCGCAACTAGATGCCGCGACATCTAGCAAATAATGTTAGAGCTTCAACGCTGCAAAGCTGAAGAACCGAAATTATAAGGCACTCTAGATGATCCCTGCATGGAACAAAACTGTTTGTGTTGAATGATTTTATGTACAGAGGACAATATGATGTTCTCAGAACTAATACTGCGGGTTGGGTGGGAAGATAACGCAGCGGCGAGTGCCGAAGATGAAATGAAATTGCTTGCGTGATATCTTATGATCTGTTCTTGTGTCACGATGGCCATCATCTGCACCCCTGACCAAAGCGATGTGCAATGAGCGTTGGGCATCTGGGCGGACATATGGGCATCGCCAATTCGCAAAAGTTCCCATCGCCCCCAACACTGAGAGTACGAAAGCAACATTATTCACAGTCCCATTCCATCCCGTAGATGTTCTACCACCACGTCCTACCGCGGCCCAGCACACGCCCCCTGCTCGCACCAAAAGCTTCCAATGCGATCATCATTTTCCCGCAACCTTCCATCACGCCTATCCTTTGCCGAGAATAGGTACTGTGCCGGATCGCACCCGTCGCCCGCATAGAAATCGCAGCACCCGTTCGCGACCGCGTAGCTCGAGATCTACCCCCCCTCCCCTCTCTGCATCAGCGTCTCTCCCTCTCTCTTCATCAGTGGTATACGGGGGGAGGGGGAGGCAAACACGGCCACGCCGCTGTCCAACCCCGTGGCACAGCTTGGTCACCACCATCCCCTGGAACGAGGCGCCGCGGAAGTTCGCGTTGTCGAAGAGCTCGACCCATACGTGGATCGGGCCGATGATGCGTTGTTGCTGCTGCTCCGGGGCCGTGGCGGCGACGGTGATGGCGAGGGTGGAGAGGATGAGCGCGAGGAGGAGGTGGAGGACGTGTAGGAGGTGCATTGCGTCGTGTCGTGTCGCGCGTGGTGTGTGAGTGGGTGCTGTCTGGTGGGAGCCGTATGGTGGGTGTTCGATGCGGGGTTTTATCGGTGGTCGTCGTCGGCCGTGAAAGGAGGCGCGTGGTGCACCACTTGGATGGATGAAGTGCGGTTTGTTTGCGGAGTGCAGCTGCGCGAGGTCACACTGACGCTGAGCTGCTTGTGTTGTGCTGTGCTGTGCTACATACAATGCTACATACGAGGAGTGCAATCGGTGGGCACCGGGGGCGGAATCGGTCACACTCGAGCTCGTCGAGAAGGTGCGAGTTCATCCAAGGCACCGGTATACGGTATCATGCATTTCTTGCGAAAGAAAGTCACAGTAGGCACCAATACTTCGGATCTCGTGAGACGTTGACGTGAGGATGATACCGTAGTTACTGATGTGTACTTAAGCTTAGATACCTGGAGGCTGGCACCCGCATCGCCGGGAGCGGGAAGTGAGATTACCGGCCGGGATCGCTACATACGGTACGGGAAGAATGCGGTGTGTAGTGCCCGTCAGTTCTCACCGGACCCCGTCGCTCGGGAACTGGAAGATCTCGACTGATTCGACTCCGAGAGAGTGCACGTTCCCGCTCCTTCCCGCGTGTGACGATCTTTCCTACGTGTAAAGCGTTGAAGAAGGCTCCCGCCCCGGCGCCGCATAACTGCAGCGGCTTTCTCATCCACCTACAAACGCAATCGCGGATTCGTTTCGTGTGATGGATAGTATGTAGAGTGAGTGTGGCAGGTCTCGCGTTCGTACACGGCAGAACGGGCGGGACGTAGGTGCAACGCTTGAAGGAAAGGCAGGGCTGGTGCATGGGTAACTCTGCTGACAGCGGGTGCGCGTTTCGGTGAGTGGCTGTGGTGCGTGTTGAGTTTATACATTACACGGGATCTAAAGATCCGGCTTCCACCCCTCGCCCCGAACCTTCCCCGAATTCTTCCTTTGATGCAGCACACATTTACATTCATTCAAGGTCAAGTAGTGATCTATGTAGGTATTTTACACTCCTCCCCCATCGCCATCTACAAAAGCGTCTTGAAGTTCTCCGCCCACGGCGCGTCATCGAACAGGAGGCTGACCGGCCACGGCGGCGACACAAACCTCTTGACGCCCTGCGCGTTGTGGATCCCCCAGATGGCCTCGACATCCTCCTCGTCGAGCGCGACAATCTTCGCGTTCTCCTCGATCCGCGAGGGAGTAACCGATTTCGGGATTGCGACTATGCCGCGGGCGACTAGGCAGGTACACTGATTAGCGAGATCGTCGTGGGTGGTGGGGGAGGAGCGGGGAGTTACCGAGCCAGTTGATCAGCACATTGCCGACGGAAATACCGTGCTTCTCGGCCACCTTCTTGACCGTCTCGTCCTTCAGCAGCGGGCCGCCCGTGGAGCCGAGTGGTGAGTACGCCGTCATCCGGATTCCCTTCTCTTTGCAGTACGCCACGAGCTTCTCCTGCGGCAGCAGCGGGTGCAGCTCCACCTGGTTCACTGCCGGGACGATCGTCGCGCTCTTGAGGAGGTGCTCGAGGTACGGGATCGAACAGTTGGACACACCGATGGCCTGTGCAGGGGTATGTCAGTTTCGTGGGGGCGGCGGCAGGTGCGGGGTTAAGCGGGGCACACCTTCGTCTTCCCAGAATCGACCAGCTTCTCCATCGCCTTCCACGTATCAACGAACGACCAATCCTCGAGGACCTCCCTAGTCCCATCAGGTTTCGTGGGGAAGAAAGGATGGTTCCCGCTCGGGTTCAACGGGATGGGCCAGTGCATAAGGTAGAGGTCGACATAGTCGAGCCCGAGGTTCTTGAGCGACGCCTCGAGCGCCTCGGTGGTGCGCGTGTGCCACGTTCCCCACAGCTTCGTCGTCACGAACACCTCGGAGCGCGACACCTTGCCCTCCGAAAACACCCGCGTGAATGCTCGTCCTACTTCCGCCTCGTTGCCGTAGGCAAACGCGCAGTCGATGTGTCGCACACCTGCCACCGTGATCGCGTGGTACACCGCCGTTTCGACTTCGCCGGCCGCGGACTGCCAGGTGCCTTTGTACGGAATCAGACGTTAGCTGGGTGGGCGACGAGGGATGAGTCGCAGGGCTGCATCTATGTACATACCGAGGCCAATGGCGGGAATCGTAGCGCCGGTGTTGAGGGTGAAATTTGAAGTCGCCATGTTGTGCTGTGCTTTGTTGTTCTTTTGATTCCTTCTCTTCTCTGCTGATCATCTGAGGGCGACGAACCCACACCCTTATAGCCCCTCCAACGGATTAGAACCGAAAACCCCACGGAACATTAATCGGTGTATCGGTGCAGTTTTCCCCCGAAACGGCGAAACGCCGCAGAATCCGCGCTGGTGGCCGGCTTCATGCGCGCTTACATACGATACCTTGGCACCTTGGCTGCGGTATGTCAACCGAGAGCTCAGGGGAGGGGCATCATCACGATCATCACGATCGTCACTTTGTCTTTATGTAGCCTTAAGTTTCTTCTTTTTCTTTGAAGACCCAAAAGAGTCTTTTGGTTAGAAGTCGGTGATACTCCAGTCACACTTCAAGTTGCTAGAAGCCAGCTCGAGGGTCGACACGGATGTGCTCGCGTCGATCCAGAAATAGCCAAGTTCGATTCCCGCCGTCACGGAAATAGGTTTCTTCTCGAGGTCGAGTTCTCCAGTGCCGAGTTCTCCAGTGCCGAGTTTCGAGTCGGTTCGGTCCAAGGACGTCTTCTCGCACTGCACACTCCCTTGTGGAGTGCAGGAAGGTTTCAACCAATCTCCGAATGCGATGATGCATACACAGGGGCGCATCGCCACGAAGGCAGGAAGGTACCGCCCACAAACAATCCGGTAGAACCAGGCTAGAGTACGCTAATGGCAAACTGCAGAGGTCGAGGAGGGGGGGAGTCGGGGGTACTACGCCCTTGATTGCCTCCGCTGGGAAGTCGCGCGGGTTGTTTGTATCAATGATATCATGTTCGGGGAATCGTTAAGAGTTAATCAACTCGGTACATCTACCTCATCTCAATACTCTTGGCGTCAGCGCAATTAGCACGCCATTACCTTTTTCCGCGTCCACCTAAATTTAGAATCTAGATGAACAACCATCAAGAACTTAGGTGTCGTTGCTTATACGCAGTCTCTGGCGAACAACTATCGTACCGTGACATTGCCCAGTTTCTTATATATGGATCAATGATAGAGCGCAAGCGCCTAGATAGCTAACTTTCAATCTCACGACTCATCTGCGCCAGAAAAAGCAGGTAGGTATCTCGCGGGCAATCATGTCATGTCACTCGTGTATACTGTCCATGCACTGAATCAATTCTCGTATGATGAAAGCCAATCCCGGCCTCGAACAGATGGCATTCTCGACGGGAAGCACAGATTGCGAACAGGGAGATGACCATTGAACACATTTCTCTGTTGAATTAATACCGCTGTTGTCCGCCATCTCCGATCGAAAAGGTCTAACAGCTTCGTCACTCCTTTAATGCCTATACTAATATTTTCTCCACAAAGTCATAAATCCGTTTCCAGAACCATCCGCGAAGCACAGCGTGCCCGTGTATCACTGTCTGTATCGGTGCAGTAACCCCCCGAAATCGCGTTTGCGGGGGTGACGCTACCAGGGATGTCGCGCGCGCCCCGCGATGCCCCACTTTCCTGAACGAGCGGCGGGCGGAGCCTCGGGTGTTGCGGGCCGAGATGGGTGATGCCAATCGCACGCTAATGCAAGTGGTGGAAGATCGTTGTTCCGGGTGTGGCCCTGTGGTCCTGTGGGGGCGGCAAGGTTAGAGCCGGGATGGGATTGACGATTCATTATACGGCGAAGAACCCGACATACATAAGCAGTACCCTGCTGGGCTAAGCTATTCTGAAAAGACAAAGCGACGTCATCCTGAGGAAAATGAGTGACATCAGGTGCAGATGTGTCGACGGCCTCAGCTTCGTGCAGCTGTAAAGCCTTGGGGGTCGATTTTACTTTGATTCACTCAGCGAGGAGAGCTCAAAAGACGGTTGTCATAACTGCCATGGTTTTATGCTGCTCGAAAACTAGAACTAGTGGTTTGAAATTACCCAATTAGGGAACATGTTTGCGTGCTACCGTAAACGTTAGCTAGGCCCCACCAGTCGCGCAAGGGTGGTAATCACTCTGATCACAACTCACTAGCCACTGAAGGTGCTAGCGTTTCGAAAATAACTCAATTAGGGAACATGTTTGTGCGCTACCGTACACGTTAACTAGGCCTCATCACGTTATGATGTATGCATCCAACATGTCAAATATATGGCAGCGAGAGACAGCGATGGAGGGTAGTGTCCTCTATATTGTGATAAAATGATACAGCGAAAGAAGACGGGAATCTTGATATGTGCGAAAGGAGAGCTCTGCAAGCGCCAAAGCGACAGTACCAAGATGATGGTCAGAGAGAGATATATATTCAGTTGATTTCGCATGAAGTCTGTCTAGACTATGGCCAACCGTCGCACTCCTTTGCTGCCTGCTCTGGTCGGCCGGGGTTCTTGACCCCGTTACCAGCCAACACGATGTGGCCCTGCTGCCTGCTAAACAAATAACATAGGAAATCTCACCCTGGAAATATAGCTACCTGCAAGATAGTGGTCGCAAATGAGCAAGGACGACGTTGTTGAGAAAATATGAGTGTGCTCGATTGCTTGACTTATTCGCAAAACACAGCGGACGACCAGCTAGACATACCAGACAGAAGCAGAAGAAGAAGAAGCAAGTATGAGAACATACAGGATTCCCAAGACGCACGGCACGTATTATCAATATAGAGTGAAAACCGATGGAGTTCCGTCGAGAATCGCAACAGACGTGACCCGGTGGAAAGCGAGGGACATAGCGTGCAGAGGTGTCTACCGCCCAAGCTTCGTGAAGCTGTAAATCTTCGGGGTGGATTTTGCCTTGGTTCGCTGAGTGGCGGGGGCTCAAAAGACCGTTTACGGAGCTGTCACAGCTTTTGCTGCTGTTGGAGAACCAGAACTAGTGGTTTGAAGTGGTTTGAAGAAGCTAGTTTTTCAAAAATTACCCAATTAGGGAACATGTTTGCGCGCTACCGTAAACGTTGGTTAGTCCTCACAACCCACTCACAGTTACTATTCACACTGATCACAACTCACTAGCCACATATTCTCGCGATTCACGCTGCTTCGCCAACATCTAAGTATAAATTCCTCCGGCAACTTCCCTCCTTCTTCCCTCCATCCAGAAGAAAAAACAATTCTAAGCATACTTCGAGCTTGTGATTCTTCACCATCGACAACTTTCTCTTGGACCACCAACAACCGGCATGACAACAACCATGCCATCAAGAACCAACAAGCGCGGCCGCGACCGTCGTCCGAGTCCCCCGCCCTCGCCTTCGCAGCCCGCTGGCCCGAAACCCCCCACCGATGCGGAGCTGTACCGCTTCAAGCAGACGCAGGAGCACATCCGGACGACCCTGAAGCTCCGGTACTGGGAGGTCCCCGCCACCGTTCCGTCCGTTGCTGGTGGTTCGTCCGTGGCCGGTTCGTCTGTGGCCGGTTCGTCTCCGCCGCCACAGCCCGCTGCACCGCAGCCATACGCGCCGCTCCCGCCTGCTACCGATCCTAGATGGAACATCTGGACGGTTGGTAACCTCGACGGGACTGGGACTGGGAAGGGGGTGACAGTCCCAGTGCTGATCGAGGTGCTGAAGCGGGCCGAGGTCGCCCTTGGTATCCCGGTGAGGGGTAGGAGGAAGGATGCCAGGGCGGCGTTGGTCGCGGAGGTGGCCGAGAAGAGGGAGGAGTGTGAGAGGAGGGGGGGTCTCAAGCCTACGGGCTGGGAGACGGAGAAGATGTGGTGGTTTTGGTTGTGGAGGGAGAGTGGGGGGTTGGAGTGTTCCGAGATGCACACGGAGGGGGTGTCGGACGCGGAGAAGGCGGCGGCGAAGAAGGGGACGAAGCGCGCAAGAGAGGAGGAGGAGGACGAGGACGAGGACCAAGAGTCGGTCGGTGCTACGAAGCCTGACAGGAGGCGGCGTAGGGTCGAGAAGAAAGAGGAGGAGTTGGCGGAGGTGGACCTGGCCGCGGAGCTGGATGCCGCTTTGGCGGAGATGTAAGTTCTGAGTTCTGATTAAGTCGTGCTAAACACAGCACTAACGATCTCGCAGATCCGAAGAGGAAGATGACTTCGACGCTCTCATCGGTGAGCTGGACGCCGCATTGGAAGAGATGTAAGTTTAGATTTCTGATTAAGTCGTGGGTAAACACATCACTAACGATCTCACAGGGACCCAGCCGAGGATGACGATCCGTGGGATCCGACCGGTGAGATAGATGCCGCATTGGCACTTCTATCAGGGTCCGGCAATGCGCCGGCCACGATTGAGAGCGTCGAGTCACCCCTCGACGATACCCATACCAATTGGGACGGCCTGTTCGGGGACGAGGATGCGCCACCAGAGGGTTTGGAGTCCTCGGAGTTGATCTTCGGAGACGACTAACTCTTTGGTGGTCGTCTGAGTTCGGGGACGGGGTCCTGTTTTTTTTTTTTCTTCTTCTTTTCTTTTCTTTCTTTTTCTTTACACCGTTTAATTTTTCTTTTTCTTTATACCATTTTATTTTTCCTTTTCTCCAATCTTCCGAGCTCGGTTTTTTTTCTTTCAATCATCTTGGTCCGGAATGTTGTATAGCAGCATCTGGAGAAGCAATGCGCTTCAGTAAGTCTACTATAGCAGGTGCACCACACGCCCCCGATGGTAGGAAGACTGCTACTAACGGGAAAGCGCAGTTGCTGGAGGCCGGTGCCCGTACGGAGATGAAGAGCGATCGATATGAGGAGACGAATGGTCGGAAAGTTGAACAGTTCAAATGGGGAACCGCGATCAATATCAAGGAAACAATCCAGGTAACCAATGGAACACTACAGATATGGGCTAACAGCATTGCAGAATACAAGATGAAACCATTCATGCCCTCACTCACAGTGTGTGGGACATTCGTTTAGGTAGGGCAGTGGGGAGTTTTTACAGTCGAAGCTGTGTTGGTATCAATCGACAAACGGCGGTAAGTACGACGACATCGCGCGGGTTCGACCACCTCTTCCTATTTCATTATATATACCAGGAAACACGCGTGATAGAACAATCTCCATCGCTAGTACTCTACCTTCCGACTCACAATGCCGCCAGCGGCTAAGATGAAAGCTATGCCTCGCCAGAGAGCCGCTGCTACTAGCCGCCGCAAGCAGGCTCCAACACGGAAGTTCTTAACCGCTTACCAGGAAGTTGGGGCCTTCTGCTCATCAGTGGCCGTATGCTAACATTCCGATCTAGCTAGTGAAGCTATGCGTTAGCTAGGTCCCGTACGGGAGAGTCACGACAGCGGATGCAATCTCGGACGCGCTGTCGTCCTCGCCGGAGTGTGTCAGCGGCGCGATTCTCGGTTCGTCCCCCCCTTCGTCACCACTCCCCAGCATTACTGACAGGCCCCAGGGATCCTCGAATACGACCCCGCGTTCCCCACCTACCGCATCGTCCATCACGGCGGTACGGCGGGACTGCTGCTGCTGCCGAAAACACCCATCTCTCACCTCCAAACATCCACGCTCGAAGCCGAAGGCGTCGTAGTCGATTGCTTCGGCAGCGTGGAGAGAAGCTCCCACTTCTGCAACAAATTTGATATCTACCCAAAGGGCACTAACAAGGGCGTCGTCGAGCATGTCTGGGCTGCTGGTGATAGCTGCTCACCGGGGGAGTACGAATACGGGGACTCCGGAAAGTATAGTCCGGCGGATACACTGCCGAAGATGACTGCGCGGAAGTGGAAGGTTGTGGTTTAGGGGAAGGAGGAGAAGAGGGAAGGGGAAATTGTCTCTCCCCGGAATCGATCCAACCTGTATTCCACTGCGCTCTCGTTCTTCTTCTTCTTCCTGCCATAGTGGTCGTGACAGATAGAGTTAGTTTATCACTAATTCACTTCTTTCTCATTGAGCGTTGAGCCGAAGAAGACGAACGTTATCTCGCTTGCGTCTAGCTGTGTGGCGCATTTAGTGGTTGCGAATGTATTGCTATGTAGCTACCTACTGTATAGTGAAGGGGAGGGTAAAAAATACGCTTTTTGGCGTCTCGGGACGGTCAAATAGCGTATAAATACGGTCAAAATACGTATTTTCACCATATCGATACGCTTTTTTCCGTATCGGTACGGTCACAAAGCGTATTTTTTACCCTCCCCTTCACTATACAGTAAGCACGCAAGCACTGCTCCCGGTAACGATAATTCCAGCGCACCGCAGCCACACATCATCAGATACCTGATATAAGCGCCACAGAACATCATGTGACGTCACTCCTTCGGTTTACTACCTACATCTTCAGCTACCTAAATAACAACAAATACGGGACTCAATTTTACAACATCGGAACCATCTGGCAGTCATCGCGAGCAAGACAGAAAGAGAGAGAGAAGACAGTATTAGTGTGGGTCAGGCTGCACGTGAATAGCCTGGCGTCCAGTCCTTCTTTGCGGTTGCCCGAGACGGCTACAGTCTTCCGGGCCGGCGGGAAAACTTTGTTCCTGGTTGCCATGATACGGTAATTTGGGTGACATGGCTTGCGGTTCTTTTCTGTTCTTCCGTTACCTTTCGTTTTCCTTTTTCCCGGATGCACCGCAATTCTTCTGTTTTTGCGGAACGTTTGTCTGTCATACAGATTCCAGATAAGAGAAGGGCCAGATAAGATCCGATGAATGGATAAGATAAGAGGAGAGATAAGATCTGATGAATTGATAAGATAAGATGGACACGAAGGAAACATAACAAAACAAGCCGAGCAAGGACTACTTAAACAAGTCACAGCAAACAGAAACAAAACGTTAGACTCACAGCATCGGTCCTCTCACAAAAGACAAAGAGCATCATCTCCAAAACAGCCGGTCTCACCAGGTCTGTCCAAAGTCCACTCCCCTTTCCCAGAATTTGCCTCGGTGGATCGCCGCTCCGCGGCTTCATAGACAACTCAGACATACCTACCGGGGATCCTTCACCTCCAGAGTCGATATCCTATGGTTCTCGCTCGGACGTGATACGTGCCGTATCGACCCGATGCCTTTCATCCACAGCACGGAAGTCGTTCGCAACCCGGGTAAGACGATTCCCGCGTCGACTGCCTATCAGACGGCACCGCACTGAGTATGTCGACAAAGGCTGCTGGTGGGGGAGGGGCAGGATAACCCCGGCGAAGAACTGGTGGCATGGGAGCTGGCACAGAATGACTAGAAGAGGCTGGGGAAGGAGTAAGTGGGGCATCGTTCATCTTCTCAAACCGCCGCCGCCTCTGATTTTCAAGCTTCGTATAGAGCCTCGCCTTAAAAGCATCCGTCCTGGGGTCTGCGCCCCTCTTCTCTCAAACATTCGTGCTCGCGAATTCCAGTCACACAATATGAAGATTGAAAATCAGAGGCGGCGATCCGAGGAGCTGGCGGGACCTGGACATAATGAGGAGAGGAGGAGAGGAGGAGAGGAGGAGAGGAGGAGAGGAGAAGTTGAAATGGGCGGAAGAAGGAATGCATGTTACGTGTTGCAGAAAATGTTTGTGTATGTCCGATGATCAGGCGGAAAACGAGGAATTGGTAATTTGTTGTCTGCCATCTTGAGAACTGCGTTTGGAAGTGGATAAGATAAGAGGAGATCAGACTCAGCTGGGAAAGCTGGTCTATTTTATTTTTTGTGAAGGGTTGTCTCTTCAACTAATGCGGTGGATTTGTGGATGATGAGCGGGTGGCATATTGATTGATGGGAATCGAAATGGATTATTTTTCTTCAATAATGTGGTCTAATCGATTGCTTCACGTGGTGAGAAGATTTGGCTCGTGAAGAACTGGATGAAGTTGATTGCACGAACCGAACTCAACGAAGAATGTGATCACGAGCGTGACTAATCGCGTGATAACTCTCACAAACTCTCTCCCCACACCATCAGATTTCATCAACATTCAAAGTAAGTGAGTAACCTGCTCTTTATCATCATTTGCATGAGCCATATCTGAAAGAAACAGAGATTTACCTTCCCTCCAGAAATACAGAATATCGTTGATGAGCTCTCTAGTGAGTGATACCGTAGAGCCTCTACTGTCATCCTGCGCCTATATTAGTTCGAGCTCCTCTCCGTCGATAGGGCCGCGCGCCTGGTCATCCAGTGGCCAGTTTCTCGGGCCTTCGGGGAACAGTCGCCACTTCCACCACTTTCTCCTCCTGGATGGATCATTCTATGCCGTCCTGCAAACGTTATGTATGGGAGTGGACTAACCCAGACCAGTCTAAGTCGACCCCGACTTCTTGGCAGTTCCGATCGACGCACGATGACTCTGTTTAGGTTATCAACCTTTCTGTTTGTACCTGCACTGCCAGCTCCTCTCGCCAACATCTTACGCCCGCATCTCTTATTAATACCCTCACCATGGCACCCCGCAACGCCTACTTCGTGGAATTCCAGCGCGTACGTCCCCTTCTCCTCCTCCTCCTCGTACAGTCACGGGTCGTCACTGCTAACTATTGCCGCACATACAGAACGTCTTCAAACACCTCTCGACAATCCCTCCCGGCAGCGTCACCTCCATAACCTCCCTGGCAAGGTTTATGTCAACGCCCGAGATCATAGTCGAGCGGGCGCTGAGTGAGTAACGCTTCCCCCCTCCCGTTCCGCTATCCTTCGCCTTCCCCCCCTCCCATCCGCTAAGACGTCCTATCACAGACAATGCAGTCTTGTCGAGTACGAACCCGCTCCACCGGATCTTGAAGGCAGGAAGGAGACCGGATGAACTCAGGATCAGACAGACCAGCCATAAGCAGTTGCTACTTGACGAAGGCGTGCAGGTGGGGTATTATGGCGAGGTGCAGAAGAAGGGGGTGATGTGGCAGGGGTGGGGAGGGAAGGAGACGACGAAAGACGATGAGGCGATTTGATGTGAAACTGTGAGAACATGGCTACTGATGGGAATCGGGATGTAGCGACATGGCATAGCGAATGATATGTGACGTGAGAAGGGGATGCGTTTGGAAAGGCGATTCTACGGAATTGCGGGATGCTTAGGAGCTATGATAATTCAGGCCTCTACTATACCTGTGATAGGCAAGAACGATCACGATCGACAATAAGGCTGTCACACCCGCTTCACCGTCATGAAGACCCACGCATCGCTCTACTAGGACATACCATTCGTCATGTGCCACTACTGCAACTCGCCTTTCAAGCACCCAGCCCACCTCTCAAGCTGCAGTCCCTCCACCGGGCATAGGCAAGAATACAATGAATTGAACATTCGAGTAGATGGGATGAGATATTGTATTCGATACAGAAGAAAAAAGAAGCACCTAGCGTCTACGGCAAAGACCTCTATTTAAGACTGAGGGGCTGCCCATCAAAGTTCGCCGCCAATAAAAGTTCGCCGCCCATCAAAATCAAAGTTCGCCGCCGCGTAACCATATACTCGTCGACGGTCCGTCGCGGCTGTCGAGACTCCACCGCTAAACCTTAATTCGTGCCGAGATCTCCAGGCGACTAAAGCTTGACACTATGTACATGAAGTATCGGGCTCCGCGGGATCAAAAACCGTGTCAACCTCAGCCTCCACTTTCATACCGACACGATGTCCCCTCGCCGCTGCTGTCTTCACCACTACCATTACAGTGCAATCCGCCAGAGAAAATCTCGTTCTACAGTGGAGAGCTCCACCGCACGGAACTACAGACTAAGCCAAAAACATTCTCCCAGGCAGTGTTCTACATAGTCCGGTCGGGACTGCAGTCCAGTGCCAAGAAATGAAGAAAATGTTTTCCTTCTCGTGATCGCAGGATTACGCCAAACTAAGGCAGAAAAAAACTCTTCCCTATGACGTGACATTTTAATGCGGAATGTTCCTACTACGTGATATTTTCTATCACTTTTCTATTTTGCCTTAGTTTGGCGTGATTTTGCGATTACTGAAGGAAAACAATTTTCTCCATCCCTTGGCATTGGACTGCAGTCCGTCCTGACCTCAAAATCTTTTGGACTCGTCCGTCCGAAGACCGCTTCCGGACGGACTGCCGAGATACAGTCTAGTCCGGTCCGAGGCCCAGGACGGACGGACTGGACTATGTAGAACACTGCTCCCAGGTGCTGCCTCGCAGTATGTACGAAGATGATATCCACTCGCCGGCCGATGCCGGGTTCCAGCAGTCCAACATCACTCCCGCAATGGGCCTCTTCCGCTGATGAAGGGCATACCGGCGATTGTACTACCGAGTACTCGTGAGTTCGACTGCATCACCCAGCTGGGTGCCGGAGTATGCAATGCGCGGTGGGCGCAGACTCCGTTGTCGATGTATGATACGAATCTCTGCGGCGGCCCACGCGTGCCCTAGCCTTGGGTAAGCTCTAAATCTGACCCGTGTCAACGGTCCCGTCAGTTCGCCCGGTGTTTTAGTAGCGAGCTCGGCAATATCCGCCCACCTGGATCCACGCCGGGAGCCGGAGGTAAAATGTGGGGCGCCACGACTAGCATGCGGACGGACTCGTGGGAAACCAGCAACGGATGTGGGAGGGGAGGGAAAAGGCCGGTGGCAGATCGGGAACGATTCTTGAATGGATCATGGAATCTAGTCGTGAGAGTATACACGCGGGCCCCGAGACACTGTGGAGCGCGTAAGGGCGGGAGAGAGCTTGGGTAAATATTCCATTACTATCTGCAACAGAAGAAGACACCAAATTGCAACCAGCCCCCGTATCCTTCCAGAAACAACCTCAGAATCATCCAGCACAAGTGAACCTATGATTTGAACTTCGTCAGCGATTTCTGAACTCCGTCTAAGGTCAGGGAGCAAAGAATGGTAAGTTCTTTGTCCACCTAGCACTAGGTGTGTGCCAGGGAAGACGGAGGGGGCAAAGGCAGGGCAAAATTTTTTACCAGAGCAGGAAGGACTCTGCAGCTGGGATGAAGACATGATAAGGGGTAGGGGAAGCCCCCGATGACTGCTCCGTGAGTACCGCCTGCATCATCTTCTCCAGCCCGTTTGTCACCCTTCTCTGGCTCTGGGCTAACGCTGTCCAGAGCTGGTAGAGTCTGGAGAGGTGAGCACGACGGCTCAGGGGAGGTGCCCCATTCAAGCATCGGGGGCGGCAAGGGGGGCGGGGGGCGTGGGCAGAGGAAGGAAAGGAGTGCGGATTGCACCGAGGACTGGTCCGTGAGTACCAACGGCATCATCCTCTCCAGCACGTTTGTCACCCTTCTCTGGCTCTGGGCTAACGCTGTCCAGAGCTTGTAGAGCCTGGGGAGGCGAGCGCAAGGGCTCAGCAGAGGAGGCATCAGGCGACGAGGCGGCGAGGAGGAGGGGCAAGGGCTGGAGGCAGGAAAGAACGAAATCGCTAAGTGGGGGTTACCCACAGAAAACAAACTACCGAGAGACGTAGGACGAGACGTAGGACTCCGCCACCGTTGTCGCGGCGGGAATTTCGAATCACGTCTTATAACCGATGGGAGGGTGGTGTTAGTCGAAGGATCGGTCGTCGATGGTGTGGGTAGTGGTAGTTGTGTGTATGTGTTTAAACTACAAAGTAAGGAGAGATATATAGTACAAGGTGCCGAGACAAACAACGAACACCTCCTACCCTAGGGCTAACCCCACCAGTCACCAGTGCTAGGGCAACATCTCGCTCTAACAGTGGGTAGGTCACCGCGTCATTCCCCTGTCGATATGAATGCCCTTCAATTAAGTGAAAATGGCCCACGCGGAGGATTCTGAATCAAGGAGAAAAAATGTTGCCGTATCCTGCCCTGAGCTTTGTGGCAATCATGAACTCTTGACAGCCGCGGAAAAACAAAATCATACCTACCGGGGATACTGTCTCGCCTAGGGCAGGTACATTGTAGTCCTTGCGATGCGACAAGCCAAGGAGGCTGGTGGTAGATTCCCCATCTTGAGTCGATATCAACTACAGTGACAAAAAGGATTCGACAGGGCCCGTTTTACACCAATGCTATGCCAATTTGCAAGCAACATAAACCTACGCTCCACCAGGTCGAAAAAACTCCTCTTTCACAGAAGCGTTTAGAAACACAAGGTTCTTCATCAATAAAACTTTGACGACTTTCATCACGGATTGGGGTTCTACGATGTTGTATTGTGCACGAGTTGAAATGTGACATTACATTTTGTATGGGGCTCCCATACAAAAAGCTACTGGGCAACCATTAACTGTTCCCCCGTATGGTATTGCCCAACGCCAACAATTCATAACTCCGTACGGAGTTCCCATATCGTTGGCGGCGAAGTTATAGAGGTCCCTCAATTTTCTCATTTTTTTTCGATTCGTTTGGGTTATTTTATCGGTGGTTGAAAGTGGACATTTTGGTCAAAAATGGGCTCTGTGCAATTCTTTGTCCCAGTAGTTTAGGAAGGATAATGAACAGCGGCAGGTCATGGAGAAGGGTTCCAGGTTCAAGGATCGCAGAAAGTTCAGAGTACACCCGGTGAGCAAGCTCGGTCACAATCACCCAGTTCGCCGGAACGTCGCAGCCGTCAGAAACACCGAATTTGCAGATCAATGATCTAAACCCATCTCCTATCTCGCCTGGTTTATCCCAGTCCACCCCAAGCACCCCTCAACCGACGCGCAAGCTGCATATCTTTCGCCATGATGGTGACCCTCTTCGCATGAATTGCGCACTATTCTCACCGTCAGCCCCCCTTCATGGCACCCTTCCTCGGTCACTACGACATACCAGATTAGTATCCTCGAATAAGTGCACCAGGAACGCTTCCGCAGCCTCCTGCATCGCCAGAATAGCGTGCGACTGGAACCTGAGCTGCTCCCCCAAGCCGGTGGAGTATCCCAGATGCTTGCCGTTGGTGTAGTCATTGGCGATCTCCTTGACCAGCCTGGCGAACGGCAGCTTTCGCAGCAGAAGCTCGGTGGTCTTCTGGAACTTTTGGATCTCCCTAAGGGCTTTCACGCCTGGTTTCGCACGGCGCTTGGGCGGCAAGGGAGGCGGGTCGCCGACTGTGGAAAGTCAGTGGGTGAGCGGGAGGAGCGGAGGAGGGAACGCACCGCGGACGTTGCTTTTAGGCTTGACGACTTTGCCGGATAAGCCTGTCGGTATCAGTAAATGCGGACCATCGGGATGGGGGGAGATACTTGTTCTTATCGCTGTCGAGGATTTGCGGCCACTCTTTTTCGCAATGGTTTTCGCCATGAAGCGTAAAAGGATGGTTTGATACGTGGCTCTAGAAGGATGCTGAGCTGTTGGGAGAAGCGTGAGGCCAGGCAAAGTGTGTGCTGCAAGCTCAACTCGGATGGGTTGAGTTACTTGGTCGAGGCAACACAGTGACACATGGTATCACTCGGACTGTTTTCACCCCGCAAAAAAACCGGAGAAAATTTACCTCCTGATTTATTCAAGCCATCCGGCTTTTATTGTGTTTCTACCCCCAAGATCCTAACTGAAGACAAGACACCTCTCCTATTATCACGGACGCGCGGTAGCACCAGCTGGTTCTCCGAATTCGAAAACTTCCCAAGCACCTGTAACCCAGCCTTAACCTCGTCGTACTAACCAGAAGTTCTATTCAACCTTTGTAGAAGTTAGGGCAGCCAAAATATCGGCCGTTTTACTCATCGCCGCCCCGGGCATCCAATCGTCACCTATCCGCATAATTCTTATCTGCTCCAGATAGTCTTCGAGAATTTGTGAGAACACCTTGCATTGTACAATATCTTTGACGATGCAGTGGGCTTTATTAGTTCCGTGCGCAAATGACCACTAGTAACGACTGGGCTCATAGATGTATCCGAGTAAAGACTGTCTTCTCATGATCACATCAATCTCTGCGTATCGTATCACTCGACCATATGTTCATCCGCCGCTTCAGTGTTTGCCACGCAGCCTTCTGATCCTACGATTCTCTGACTGCTGGAGGTTGCTTCGCGTCTGATCAAGAACTCGGTGCATGTCATAAGCCGATATTTCCAGGTGAAACGAACTCAATAATAGAGGAGCTTTACTCCCAACGTAACAATTGTTCGTTTGGCCGTTTGATTCCTAGTGACCATAAGTAGGTAGCCGTCTACCGTCGAGATCAGCCATACGCTACGAAACACATCCCATTCACATGCTCCTACGGTAACCCCACGGCTATTTTCAGTCTCGGATACCATAAATACCACCGCAAAAGCCAGATTCAAATGACCCCATGGTGAGGTGATGCGGGTTGATTGTCATAATTCGTGACCTAAAATTACCACACCGGTCACGGCTTGTTATTGTCCTGTATCGTCGGATCGGAAGTGCAATTGCGAATCCTCAGACACTAGCGATGGTGAATTTCGGAGTGGATATTCTGGCCGTCCAATTGCACTATAGATCAGCCATCTCCGTGACAAATCCGCAGAATGACCTTCTAGGTATGAATGTGGAGTTATAGATCTTCTGCAGTGAATTCTGGTAGAAGACCTGCTTCTACATCCTCCAGTTTTCCCATAGCTCCGGGAGCGGCTCTTCGCTCGCGATCATCTTCCGCATTGTAGCCCTCATCCCAACCACCAGGTATTCCCCATCCCACCCACCGGGTATTCCTCAGCCCATCCACGGCGTAGCTGTCATCCCGCTCCGCGGAGTATCAGTCACGCTACCGATTCTCACGACAACCCTATGTCTTCGAACGTATTTCAGCCGCGCTTGGCGAGATATCCCCTTCCAGTAATCAGCCTAGAGTTCGGTGAGTTCCACAGCCTTTCGGATATCCTGTAGGGCTTCGGTTTGAGACTCACCTTCCTACCCACAACACCTTCACCTTCCTACCCACACCCACCTTCCTACCCAAACAACCTCTTCTTCGCTTGATTCACACATCTCCACTTCTTCGCACAACCACAAATTCCCTCTCGCCACTCGTTTTAGTTCAACCAATTATAACCTCGGTCATTCGCATTCAAATTCCCGACTAATCCGCGAAATGTATAACCACAATCCCTACCAATTTCCCGACCAGAACCTGGCGCGTCAGGATTCGACCGCGTCGAAGGACTCCAAGGGCTCCGAAGACTCCCGAGGCACGGACTCGACCCGCTTTGGTGGAGGCTCAGCTGGTGCGTGGTACGATGGATGTAAGTTTTCTTTCGCCGAGTTTGTATTGGAGTTGTCGCATGACGATCGCCTCTGTCGTTCGGTGTTGACGCTATGTGTGATGCAGCGGAAAACGTAATGGCTTCATATACTGACAACGAGCTGGCTGAAAATCACCGCCAGTATGTCGCTCCGCGGCCGGTGATGATGTCGAGCGCCGAGCAGCGCCAGCAGCACCCGAGAGAGGCGCGAGAGCGGGCCATGGGTTTTGACAGAGGCATGGGACAGCAGCAGATAAGCTCGAGCGTGCCGTCGCAAGCGCAATCGTCGGGATATGGATATCATTCGGTGCCGAAGCAGCCAGAAACATTGGGCTATGGGTATCATGCGATGCAGCAGCAGCAAATTCCTCAAGTCGTCGCTGGACCCGGTCCTCGAATGATGCCTTTCGCTCAGCAGCATCAGCAGCAACTGCCTCAAATTGTTGCGGGACCCAATCATCGAATGATGCCTTCCGCTCAGCCGCATCAGCAGCAACCTCCTCACGTTGTCGCCGGACCCAATCATCGAATGATGCCGTCCGCTCAGCCGCATCAGCAGCAACCTCATCACATTGTCGCTGGACTCAGTCATGGAACGATGCCTGTCGCTCAAGGCTATCAGTATGCGCAGAGCCCCCCGATGAACCCTGCCCCATCTAGCGGCGCTCCAGCGGTGTTGGGTCAGAACCGGCCTGGTGGAACTGTTCAGCACTTTGTCTTGGACGATTTGGCGACGGCTTACAAGAAGCACGGTCCGGGTTCGATGAATCCAAACAACGTACCTAGTGGATACACGACTGCTGCTGATCCAGAAGCTCCCAAAGAGTCTCTGCTGTTTGCCCCAAGGAAGATGTCGACAGGTAGGAAGGTTTCGTTGCCGCAGAAGAAGCCTGAGCCGAGGATGGCATCGGAGCCCCGCCAGATTCCTGAGTCGAACAAGATGATCGCACCGAGAAAGTGGTCCGAGCCTACGAAACCGCAGACCCAGCCCGAGTCGAAGCACACTCTTGATGTGGATTTTGATGCCAATAGTAAGTTGTTCCGTTTGTTGGTTCGTTGGCGATGGATGAAGTAAAATCTAATCGTTCCTTAGAATCTGCTGGTGGTGAGGGTTACTGGGATGGGAGGCACACGGGTAAGTGACCACACCCCGCCATGTGCTGATTCATCGCTAACACCATCGCAGAGGCGCTCCTACAGTTGACGGGAGGGCGACCAATGGGTGACGAGGCTCGGCTGCCGAAGTCCAAGCCTACTGCAAACTTCACCAACTTCAAGGAAACCTTGCTAGGGCGTGTCGCCGAGCAGACCAAGTCTCATCTGGACAAGCAGGAGCACGTCGGACTAGCTTCGGGAAGCGGTGGCGGCGAGACACCTACAGATGCCCCCACGGTAGCTGAGCTTGTTGAACACATCAATCGTTCTCGCAACAACACACTCGACAGCACCGCCGACCCGGAACATCGCAGCATCGGTGACAAAGTCCTCAACATTCTCAAGCTCAAACCGAAGCACTCATCCGATCCAACCAACCCGGCCACAATGGTCCGATCACACCGTGTTTCACTTTCTCCGGCTCGCCAGGCGCACTTCTACGCGAAGTTCGAGCTCACGGTCTCCACCGCAATCTCGAACTTCCTGTTGCAGCACGAGGACCTCCTCGACGAGGCGAATCTCAACCGCGAGATTCGGGCGTGGGAGGGCGGCTCCTGGAGCATGTTCGAGGGCCCCTCGCAGAAGAGGTACCGACCCTCCGGGTTCATGTTTCCGCTCGACGTGCAGCACCGCCTCCTCCAGAAGAACTGCGAGGCGTTCCTCAAGCACGGTGCATTCAGCGACCGTAACGTCTTGCTGGTCCGCCAGGCCGCCAAGATCATCGCCGGTTGGGGACGAGTCGTCGACGGACTCCCCCACAAGACCCTCTGCGAGCCGGATTGGCTGCTGATCGAGCGGCTCCAAGGCGCCGAGAAGCTCATCCAGCTTCTTGGAAACCACTTCCTCTCGAGCGAAGTGGCCAATTACACCGCCTGGAAGCTGCAGATGGTGATGGAGATCATGGACGCCGCCGACCTCATCCAGAAGCAGACGGACGAGGAGCAGCAGAGCGCCGCCGCTCTCTGATCTCTCGGTCCTTCTGCTTCAGCTCGCAGCGCATCGTTCTTCTGTCAGTTGAGAATGGGAACGGGAAAGGGAACGGGAAAGGGGATGGAGATTTGAATGGAGATTTGATTTGGAGTTACGCGCGATGACCGGTTTTGAAAGTGACTTGTGAATTGGCAATATTGTAGATACGCTGAGGTTGTCAGCTGGTTGCCCGTGATTTGAACTCCATTCGACATAACAGATAGGTGTGCCATCCAGTCTCTAGATTACCGTAAAAGAGTTGATGACTGCCGTCGTGTGAGTCCGCAAACCGCAGTGTCCTGTTGACCATCCCGCGAGCTCGCCTGTGTTGAATACTGTGGAAGGTAGAAGACTGATAATGAATTCGGCACAGAAAGAATAAGGCGAGCAGCTCTCTCTCTACATATACAAGCTTCATATACGAGAGTATCTGTCACCCTGATCCTGACGGGTGGGTGCGACACGGCTGCATGTGCTATCACTCGTACGATTGCATAGGCTGTCACTCGCTCTCGTTTGGGGGTCTCTGTTGCTCGTTCATTGATAGCACCGCCCATCACCCGCCGTTGGAACACAGATCACTCGACTTGCGGGAGCAACCGAACGTAGCCGGACGGTAAAGCACTAAGGACCGAGGTGCCCTAGGTGACGTAGAGAGGGAAAAGTGAGTCAAGAGAGTCAGTGGAGAAGAAACGGGTCGGGCGGGAAAGAGACCTCCTGTGAAGTTCAGGAGGTAGGGGGTGAAGAAATGGGGACACACCAAAGAGACCTCCTGTAGAATCCAGGTGGACAGCGAACAGACACACTGGAGAGATTACATACAAGCAAGACATCACACAAATGAAATTCACCAGACTACTAACTACCACAAATCAAGTAGATATTAAACGGGACCGGAGGGGCCCACAGCCGACTTGGTAGTGACGGGTTGTCTTCAGGGGTGGGTGGGGCGAACCATATGTAGGTCACGAGAAGAGATTAATTAAAACATTAAGAAACGAGTCGTGAGACCCAGTATTAAAAAGGAGCGCACGTAGAAAAATCAAAGGAGAACTAGTGTCAAGAAAGTAACAAGCAGAAAGAGCAGATGAACAAGTGGCGGACCTGTCACCTGAAGGATAGTCATGATGGATGATGAACGACACTCGTGATGGATGAGAGAGAGACAGACAGACCCGCCGGTATAAATATGACAGATCGGCGAACTTTCGCCGCCACCGCATCGTCGTACAACCGTCACGAAGAACACAAACGACCAAAACAAACCAGAATCGACGAGCAAAACAGAAACAGGTCCCCCCCGGCAGCCCCAGGTACGACAGCCGGTCTTAACATCTTGGCAACAAATCCACCCAAGCTCCGCAGCCAAGAGTCGAAAAATGGTGCCAAGACGTCAGTTCCAGCTGCATCCCACACTAGGGCGGGTGCAGCCAGAGATTGCCGACCCTGCCCACTAGCACAATCAACCGACACCACACCGCCCAAGCGAACAGGAACGATCAAAACAAAAGCAATAGCGTGCAGGCAAAGCCAGCAAGGCTGAACAGAACAATCGACCGACACCACACCGCCCAAGCTGACAAGAACCATCAAAACAAAGCATAAGTGAACATGAAAATATGCGAGCCTAAACAAGATCGCACCCGGGCCCACACCCAGCCCCATCGTCTTGGCGACAAGGCCGTCCAGAGTTCGCAGCCAAGGATCGAAAACTGCCCACATAACGTCGGTTCGAGATGCGTCCCACAATAGCTAATACGACATCTTTCTCATTTTCTTCATTGCGTCCGTCTACTTGGCAGTATCTTGGCATTGTTACCTTCGGAAAGTAGGTCATCCACGCTCGGATGCCCCGCTACAGAGCGAGTCGTCATATCCGGACGTCCGATATTCTGACAACCTGCTTTGTTGCCGGAAACTGCTGACTTTCCTACAATAATTCTGCATCATCGATGAGAGCTATTTACCGACGGTAGGAACTCGTATAAACGCCACTCGCTGCGTACGGTTGTCACGAATCATCTACGATAGGTAACTTCGCTTCCTCAGTTCAGATATTACTCCGCGACCTAGATTCACTGTCTCCAACTCCCTGGAGGCTGACGTAATGTCTCGGGAATCGGGATGAAGAGAAGTGCTTATGGCCGCCGTCCGTGGTATAAATACTTCTATACCAGTAGTCCATACAATTCAATGTGCTCATTCCTATTATCATGCCACATCGAGATCAAAGTAAAAGCCCTCGTGATTCGTGAACATGAAACGTGTTGTTCCATTGTCTTTCAACGTATCTAAAGCCCGCCGAGATACGCCCCATTGGTATCTTCGTGCTGACGACTTCCTCTGCCTGACAAGCCCCCCTCCCCCCAAACACCGTAGTAGTAGTAGAAAGAAGAATATCACACCCGGACTCCCCACCAAGCCCCCAGAACATGCGCTGGAATCCACCCATCAGAAAGCAAACAAATCATGAAAGAAAAGCAGACAAAAAGCAAATCCCCAAGATCCTTCCCCGCATATTACCATAACACCCATGTAGACCCAATCCCCCCCAGAACAACACCGTAGTGGAATGCGAAAAATCATACCCGGATTCCCACCAAGCCCCTAGAACATGCGGCGGAATCCACCCATCAGAAAGGAAGCAAATCATGGAAGGAAGCAAATCACGAAAGCAACGCAAAAAAACCAGAGAAAAAGTAAGCCCCGAGATCCACCCGGTAACAGAAGGGAAACAAATTAGGAAAGAAACAGGTATGAGAACCAGAGAAAGAGTAAATCCCTAAGACCCTCTTGTCGAACAGAAAAGAAACGATGAAAGAAACACAACTTGCAACGAAAACAGAAAGCAAATCCCCAAGATCCTTCCCTGCACATTACCATGAAAAGCAAACCATTACCCCCGAGATCCTTCCCCCCATATTACCAAATCGCACAAACTTTTAGGCCCCACATTCCCCATTTCGTACTTTTCTCGTCTGACCCTACTCGGCGGCGAGGTCGGCCTCCACGTGAGTCGTGAGAGGAGTCTCATTTTGAGCAAGGGGTTCGAGGTCTCCGAAGATGGGAATGCGGGTCGGAGTGACAGGCACGGAAGCCAAGCTCACTGACTCGGTTGGAGTGACCGGGAGGGCAGTGGTGGTGGTGATGGCTGAAGCACTCTTGATGAAGGTAGCAGAAATGTTCGTATTCTGCTCCTTTTCTCCGACCGCGGACGCCGCCTTCTTGGTCTGAGACGCCGACTCAGGAAGAGGAGGGAAATTTTCAGCATTGATAACTGGCTTCTTTCCCTTTGACTGTTTCTTCTTCTTCGAAGGAGTCTCTCCAACCCCGGAAGTAGCAGAAGATTTGGCCTCCAGTGCCGCTGCGCCCTTGGCCTTGGCACGTCCCTTTGAAATACCCTTCTTTCCTGAAGAGTCACCAACTTGAACGTTGCTCGCTACCTGGTGCATTGTGCGAGGTTCTTCAGGGCAAACCGGAGGGAGCTCGTAGGGCCCAGCGCAGGGATCGGGCGCGTACGTGATCTGACAGTGATCCTGGAAGGAGCTGTCGCGCGCGAGAGAATCCGCAACCTTTTTG